TACTAAGAACTCTTAAAAGTCTTTAGTTATTTCTAGGTTTCTATAATTTCTATTAAGTCTTTCTAAGAGATTATAGTAGAATTATCTACTTACTTACTAAGCTACTAAAATAGAAAGTATAGTATAACTTTAGTAAGACTAAGCTTATAGTATTTTAGTATATTAAGAATCTTATACTAGCTAATAATATTCTAGCTTACTACTCTCTCTATTAATAAATAAGAGTTAAAATAGACGTATTAGATAGCATAGTTACTAGAGTTCTTTTATAGCTTTAAGAGAATAGTATCTAGTAACTTATAGCTTTCTTTAGTAAGATAATAAATACTATCTAGATAAATTATAGTATTTATAATAAAGAAATACTAGTAGTTATTCTTAGTATATAGAAATAGAAAAGCTAGTTAATTAGCCTATAAAATCTAGAACTATTTATAGTATTAACTAACTATTAAGCTCTAGAGTACTTTATAACTAAGTAAGAACTTACTATAAGGTAAGTTTACTAGGCTAATAATATTACTAACTATAACCTTAAGCTTATATATTAACCTAGTTTAGCTAATATAGTAGCTAACGTATTATTATAAAAGTAGAAAGAACTTAAGACTTAAAAGAAGAAGAATTACGCTACTTATATAAGAGCTTTTCTAAGTAAGAAATAAATTAGCCTCTCTACTATTAAGTAAATTTTAGGTAAGCTAGCTACTCTAGCTACTAAGAGGCTAGTAAGTAGTATTATAAAAATTACGTTTACTAATATTTTTATAGAAGTACCTTCTACTAAGAACCTCTACGCTATAATTAACTAGATTATTACTACTAATTAATTAGATAAATTTCTATAGCTAGCTTAAGAAAAAGCTACTATATTAGGCTCTACTTAGAAAATAGAAGCTAGCTTATTAATATATTAAAATTAATTAATAGTTCTTACTATTAACTATCTATAAGTATATTTAATATAAGCTATATATACTACTTAGATAACTATCTATCTAGAGTACTAGAAGACTACCTAGTTACTATAAGATTAATATTACTAGCTAGATATATAAAAAGATATTAATACGTATATAATAGTATATAAAGCTTACTACTAAAGCTATACGCTATATAATAAGATACTAGGTCTTCTAAAGCTTCTACCTATCTCTAAAAGAGTATAGTAAAACGTCTCTATAAATTTTAAGAGCTTTCTCTTTTATAAAAAAGAATTTAACTATATGTATATTATTATATATTAGCTAAGTATAGCTTCTCTCTACTCTACTATAAGAAAATTATAGTATAACGTATAGTAGAGCTATATTATTAATATATCTAGTATATATATAGTTCTTCTAGGTTTATTATATTAGATTATAGTCTATAGTTTACCTCTACCTTTATAGATAAGCTCTATTAACTTATAAGAATTAAGTAGAAGCTTTCTACTATGTATTATCTATAAACTAATAGAAATATAAAGATTATTAATTAATACCTTAATTAGTATCTATATCTATTTATTAACTATTATTAGAATAATTAGTTAGACCTTTTACTCTATATAGATTAGGTATAAGCTACGCTACTATATAAAATAACTAGATTATTATTATATAAGATTAAATTTAGATACTAACTAATATACTACTAGAATTAGAAAGAGTATATAATAAAAGCCTCTACTCTATATAAGCGTCTTTTATATTAGAAAGCTTAGAATTTTACTAAGAAGTAATATAATACTATAAAAAAAGCTACTAAGATTATATAAAGTAATATTATAAAAGCGTAAGCTAGATAGATACTCTAAGTAAATAAAAAGTACTAAGAATCTAATTTTACTATAGATAATCTTATCTATATTAAATCTTATAGCTTTTTAATAGATTAGTCTAGTATAAAGCTTAATTAATAGATATATAGCTCTTACCTAATTATTACTATAAAGAGTTACTTCTTCTAGCTCTAGCTATCTACGTATATATATATATATATATATATAATATCTTTTATACTAATTAGCTAAGAGAAGCCTTAGAGCTATTACTAGAGTAGATAGAGCCTAAGTAGCTACCTATTAAAGTTAATAGTAATCTAGAGTAGCCTGTATATAAGATTCTAGATAGCTATCTTTATTAAAATTATCTTTAATACTACGCTATATAGGTTACTTATAACTCTAACTCTATCTAGTATAATACTATAGGCTTTATTAATACTCTCTATAAGATAAGAGACTTTTATATAGTATACCTAGATAAGCTAGAGCTACTATTATAATTAGATACTTAAATTAAGATATATAAAAAAGAGAAGACTCTATAGAAGATAGTAAAGAATTTAAAACCTATATAGATAGGTAATATAAGAGTAATATAAAAACGCTACTAAGTAAATCTAAGAGTAATTTAGTAATAGAGTTAATAGCTAGAATAATTTTAGAGATATATTTTAGAGCTTAAGAATAAGCTCTCTCTATAAGAGAAGATAATATAATAGTCTAGCTTAGTATTTACTAGAGTTCTATAATCTTACCTAAGTTATATAACTATACCTAGCGTCTTAGCGCTTAGCTCTCTATATATAGAGAGCTCTTAGAGTATTCTTCTACTTCTTACCTTTAGATAGCTAAATTTAACCTAACCTACTCTACTAGCGTCTCTATTCTTATAGCTTATAGAGATAGTACTACCTATAGCTAACTTATCTAGCTAGGTATTCTAAGACGCTTATAGTAGTAAAGACTATAAAGCTAGCTCTTATAACTATATAATACTAACTTTATTTATTATCTAGCTACTTTTAGAGATAGCTATAACCTAATTACATAATAGCTAGCTACCTTTATACTACGCTAAGAGATAGTTCTTACTTATAATAATAAGAAATAGTAGAACCTATATATTACCTACTACTCTTACTATTATAATTACTAAAATCTACTTATAATTATATAGTTAAAAACTCTTTAGTTATAATTATCTTTTAAAGCTAGTAACTACTACTTAAGATAATATTATTTCTATTATAAAGCTAGATTTATTAAAATTATATATATCTTTATTAGTAATACTATACTTTATCTTTATATTACCTACTAGGTTAAACTATACCTAAATAATTATAGAATCTTCTTACTTTACTCTCTAATAGTTATACTTATAATTAAGCTATATTTTAAGCTTAGAATAGCGTATAACAAAGTAGTTTAGCTAGTACTAGCTAACTACCTTCTTACCTTACTTAGTAAGTAGCTTATTAGCTATATCTTAAATAGTAGTAAGCTAAGAGGTAAATTCTTACGCGTCTAGATCTAGTATATACTTAACTATTACCTACTCTTTATTCTTTATAAGCTTTATTAAATTAGATATCTTTTTACTTTATAAAGTAACTCTATTATATTAACTATAGACTTTCTTTTATAGTATATTATAGAAAGCTATAGTATGCTATAAGCTTAGCTCTAGATTTTATTAAATAGTATAGAGCGTAAGCTATATCTAGAATTTATCTAAAGTTAATTAGGTATTTATAAAGAGCTTTATAATAGAGATAGTAGCTTTTTAGTAAGAGCTTAGTATTTTTAGGTTATTTAGTAGAGTAACTAGTTTAGTAGTAAAGTATGTTATAGCTTTTTAATTACGTAATATATCTTAGTATAACTTTAATATAAGATATAATATACTATAGAGAATATATATATTAATTTTTATAGAAAAATATTAAGATTTCGCTTAGTTATTTAAGAAAAACTCGTTAATTTTCGTTAATTTTCCTTACTAAGAAATTCTAGAGAGTTTGTTTATATAGAGAGTTCGTTTATAAAGTACGTTATAGCTTTTTAATTACGTAATATATCTTAGTATAACTTTAGTATAAGGTGTAATATACTATAGAGAATATATATATAAATTTTTATAGAAAAATATTAAGGTTTCGCTTAGTTATTTAAGAAAAACGAGTTGATTTTCGTTGATTTTCGTTGCCAAGAAATCATGGGGGGTTCGATAGTGTGGGGCTTTCGATGGTGGAGTACGTTATACTATTATAGTATTAAGTTTAGTTTTACGTAGAAAGCCTGGCTACCTTCGGGTAATAGTCGCCTGGGAAGAGGAGCGATTGGGATGTGTTCCGGTCACGACGCAGCCGCCTACACGGCGTAATACTGACCTGATATAACTCGTATCTTTCAGCGAACCACGCTTCCCTTTCAGGCGGCATCAACACCGATATTTCTCAAGTGACGATCGATGAACATATGCTAGTGGTAGGTTAGAGGACTGTGCCGAGGGCCGATCTATCGCCTTCTGCACACCGAGCACAACGAAGCAAGTCAAGGCAAGGTCGGATCCGGCAAGGATGTTTTCCCCACCTGGGCAGTTATTCGTCGATGTTAATTGGGACGGATCGTGGTCCATGATAACGATGCTATGTGATTACCAGCAATGTTCTTGCAGATTTCACCGTTCAGTAGGCGTGGTGAAGGCTTCACTTCTCTCCTAGAGACCGGGGATGGGTCTTCTAGGAGGTCAGCGGCAGAGGCCCAACTCGGCGACAGAGACCCCTGGCTCAGCAGCAGAGGTCCTCACAGAGGTCTTCTGCCCAGCGACGTTCGGCGAGGTATCATGAAGCCTCGAGGCGGCGAGCTGGACTTGGAGCCCACATCAGATAGAGATGCTCACTATGCCGTATCCTCCCACATCGTTCAATTTAACTTATCGCCGTTTTAGCGAAATCTATATCCTCCACGTCAACATCTCTAACTTTAGTATCATTAATCAAATATGAAGTTCCTCGGGAATCAGCGCCTTTCCGACTGCGGGACGGACTCAGACTTGCAGCAGAGACTGCGCTACAATGACAAAGTAGCAGCACTCAGGGAGACGGAGTATCCTATGCTCAAAGGCAAATTAACGTTGTCCATCTGCTCTATGAATAGGTCACTAATCGTCGCAGGAATAACGTACCTCGACCACGCTGGAACGACTCTCCCATCCAAGTCCCTGATGGAGGCCTTCTCGAAGCAGATGCAATCCCTTCTCCTTGCAAACCCACACTCGGCCCTGGTGTCGAAACCCAATGTATCGCATCAGATCGTGGAAGAGACTCGCAGGAAAGTGCTCGGTCTCTTCAAAGCCGACCCAAAACGCTTCGACATTGTCTTCGTTGCCAACGCGACTGCCGGCATCAAACTCGTTGCCGAAGCGTTCTCCGGATATTCGCAAGGCTTTGATTACTACTATCATCGAGATTGCCATACTAGTCTTGTCGGGGTGAGGGAGCTTGCTCGTCGGAGTCACTGCTTCCTGTCAGACAATGGGGTCGAAGAATGGATCCAGGGCGGCGATGAAACTACCGAGCGAGATAGCCACGGAAGGCCAACGCTCTTTTCTTATCCCGCTCAGTCCAACATGAACGGGCGACGGAATCCCCCTTTCCTGGGCATCGGCTCTGGGCTCCTCCCTAAAGCAATCAGATGCGTATACTCTGCTTGACGTGGCGGCGCTTGTCTCGACCAACCCCCTTGACCTGAGTGACCACTTAGCAGCGCCCGACTTCATCGTCCTGTCTTTCTACAAGATGTTCGGGTTCCCCGACCTCGGTGCCCTTATCGTCCGCAAGCCTGCCGCTCACGTTTTCGAGCATCGAAAATACTTTGGGGGAGGCACAACAGAGATAACGGTTACTGGCCAGCCCTGGCATATGAGGAAGGAGAAGGCCTTGTCTTCTAGACTAGAAGACGGTACCGGGGCAACGCACAGCATTCTTGCGCTATCGTGTGCTATTGGGACCTATCGGGGGGCCTTCGGAGGTTTTGAGGATGTGTCGAAGCATACCGGCTGGCTCGCAAAATGCCTTTACGAGAAGCTTGCCGGGATGAAACATGTCGACGGGAGCCCGGTTTGCCGGATCTACAAGGACCCGGCCTCGACATACGGTGATGCACGCACACAAGGAGCCACCGTGACGTTCAACATCCGCGGCATGGACGGAAACTGGGCCAGCGCTGCAAAAGCTGGCGCCATGGCCGCTGCGAGAGACATTCACATTCGCACCGGCAGTCTGTGCAATCCTGCTGGTATGGCATGCGCATTGGGTCTTACTGCCGACGACTACCAGAGGGCTTACGCGTCCGGTTTCCGTTGCAACTCCGACCAGGATGTGATGAATGGTATCCCAACGGGAATGGTAAGAGTTAGCTTCGGGGCAATGAGTGCGTTGAGCGACGTCGAGGCGTTCGTGAGGTTCATGGGTGACTGCTTTGTCGAAAAAGCAGGCCAAGCGAGCGAACCGACGTTGGTGACTAATGTGGCGAATGTGTCAGAGGGTGGCGAGGAGAGTCTTCAGTATTCCGAACACAGTGCTGGGAGCTCTCGTAAGCACCAGGTATCAAAGAAGACGGGAGGAAAGAGATCGCTGCGGCGTCTTTTTGCTTCATGTTTCCGCTCCAAGCCTGGTCAATAGCTTGGTTCTTCACAATAGGGATTGGTGTTGCTTTCCTGCCCTTTCTCGCCTTCTCCTAGACTTCCTTAGATAGTTGGTAATGAGACTTACGTTGGCTTCTTCTGCTCTTCAGTCGTAGTTCATCGTGTGAAGTCCATCACATCGGACACAGCGAGGTCAGCACACCAGTTTGCGAGACCAAGAGTTCCGAGCCCCTGCTTACCTCCACGGCCTGAACCGAAGGGCCGAAGCGGAGAACAAGATAGAGTGCACTTGAGGCTTAAAGGTCAGCCAAACCATTCAAACGAGCTTGGATGAGGTCCTCGTCGGAAGAAATGACTAAGTGGGAAACTGCTGTATGATATCGAGAAGCATCCGAGACGGGGTTGAACAGAGCAATCAATAGAATGGCTAGAGTCCGTATCACGCAAGAACACCGCCATGACGCAAACCCGCTACGCCGAAAACGGGAAATTCCACGGCTATAAGGACTAATATGAGGGCCGACCTAGATCGATCCGGCAAGCGAGCGGGATTAGATGGACGTGACTATGGTACAGGGATGTCACTATTTACATAGGTACTTGATCACTCCCATAACCTCCCACGAAATAGTCACTAAACCCACTGACGCCCTTCCTAGTCCTATTCGCGGGCGGCTGCGGCCACTTATCCAACATGGCCTCGCTACCAGTCAAGGTGAGGTTGACGGACACCAGAGGTCCGTTATCAATCAGTAGGCTATAGTCGCCAGGATGAAGGACTTTGTTTCCCTTTTCGTCGACCCTAGAGAGGGAACCGAGAGTGAGGTTCAGAGTCGCCGTCTTGGACGAACCGCCTTTGATGGCAAAGAGGCGTTGGTAGGACACTAGGGACTTTTTAGGGTATGGCTGTGGTCCGAAGGAGCCGGCGAGGAAGCCAAGGGTAACGTAGTCAGACGTCGTCTTGCCATCGTTCGTTACTTCGACTTGGACGGAAGCAAAAGGGCATCGGTCGAGATACGTCGTGTTGCAGGACTGCATCAGGTCCGAGATGGCATAGCTCTGCTGCAGCTTGGAGGTGATGCTGGCGGAGAAGTTGGTGTAGTGGAGACCGGATCCGAATTCGAAGATCGCAGTTCCATTGTACCACTTGTACGTACGACCCGGGTTGTTGGCACTGGGACGAAGCGACATATCTGTCATTGGTACCTCGTTGATGTATGATGCGGGGTATTGCGTTGTGGGCAGTCGCCCAGCGGGTGCTGCTTTTCCAGTGAGGATATCCATGATGGCAACGCCCCCATCCTGGCCGGGGTAGCCACCCCAGAGGAGGGCAGAAATGTTGGGATTGTTGACAATAGGCGATGAGTCGATTTGACCACCACCCATCTGTACGACCACCATCGGCTTTCCGAGTCCAGCCAACTGGCCAATGACATCGAGCTGTGCGCCGGTCCAGGTAAGGGAGACGCGATCGTTGCCTTCTTCTTCCACGCTGTTGTCAACGCCTCCGACGTAGACAATCACGTCGCTTGCATCTGCTGCCGGCCAGATGGAGAGCCACGAGCCCGTCGTTGGGTCTCCCTGCCCACCCGGGCCTTGGGCATATTGAATCGCGATGTTGAGCTGCTGGGCGGCCCACAAGGGGCTGTGGAGATAGGTTGGAACGCCGTAGTAATTTCCGAGAAGATTCTCCGTCGCATTCGCCCAGTCCCCGAACAAGCCCAAGGACGTTGAAGAATCGAGCGAAAGGGGTAAAACCCCATCGTTCTTGAGAAGCACGATACCCTCTACGGCAGCTTTGTAGGCGAGCGCCTGGGAAGCATTGGTAGCTACGGCGCTGAAATCGAGCTGGCGGTATGGCTGGTTTTCGGGAGGATCGAACCAACCGAGGCGAACGAGAGACGAGTACTGCCGAATAAGCGCTTGGTCGATGATGCTCTCATTGACAAGGCCCTGCGCGAAGGCGGCGGGTAAATGATCCGGCATGTATGTGCCGCAATTGACGTCCGTTCCAGCAATGAGCGAATCCGCGGCGGCTTGCTCACGATTGGGAGACCACTGGTGCGGTAGGAAGACATTTTGGACTGCGTCACAGTCGCTCGTTACCCATTGCTCTTCGTTCGTCCAGCCCCAATGCTCACGAAGGATGGTCTGGAGGAGGTAAGGGTCGGCGCATGTCGGTACACCGTTCACTGCGTCTATGCAATGTCAGTCGTCGCCCTGTAAACAGGGAGGTATGATCGCCCTCAGGGGAAGTTCTCACTGTAAGAGCACATGAAGGCACCGACGTTAGAGTCACGAGCGCAGCTCTGAAAAGGAGGCAGGTAATATTCTACCAGATCCTGCTGAGAGACCTGCGCATCGAACTGGTAGCGGAAGTTGCCATTCCAATTCTCGATGTCGTATCCCGCAAAGTGCTTACAGGTTGCTACCACCCGCTTGTACGGATCAAGTGAATTGCCTTGAAGTCCGTTGATCAAGGCGTGAACGTATGAAGAGAGGTGATACGGATCCTCTCCGGGCGTTTCTGCGAACGCGTCAGTGCTAGCTAAGCAGCAGAAGGAAGCTGGTACGCGCCCTGGCCCCGCCCCCATCTCGGGTCTCTGAAGGGATTGCTGCGAACGTGTCAGTGCTCACCAAGCGGCCGAAGAAGGAAACCGGTACATGTTAGGAGTCCAGAAATCTAAGCCAGTTCTATTCGCATTATTGAATGCACGAGCTTCTGTTGCGATCACAGTCGCAACGTCCGTGATGAGCTGGTCATCAAATGCTGCGCCCATGAGGATGGGCTGCGGGAAGGAAGTCGAATAACTGTAGTCGCCCTCGTCCGAGAAGTTGGTGAAGGGCCCGGCGATGCCGTGCAAACCCTCGGACCACCACTCATATGGCGGAACACCGAGCCGGGGAACGCCAGGGGCCGTGCTTCCGGTGGCATTGATCTTTTCTTCTAAGGTATATAGAGCCACTAAGGATCTGGCTCTATCGAGGGGTGCTTGCAGGAGTTAGCAGTTAGCGCATCTCGCTGGTCGAATGAAGCCTTACATGCTGAAGTGTCACATATCGTTTCGTTCTTCAAGGGCCCATTTACGCAGTCTGGAAACAGGGCAAGTGCCCCGGATGCCCACAGCAGCGCTGGCAAATAGCGATAAGATGCTGACATCGTGATTAACAAGGCCGCTCTGAGATACCAGAGCGCATTATCCCTTTGGCTTTATACCAATCCTTAGCCGTAGTATCGCCGGCATTTCATCCTCTGGATTTATAATGCGGGGAGACGCTCCACAGTGATGACGACTAGATGTGGGCAGCTAGAAGGTATCGGAAGCGCGGCGGCCCTTTCGGTTCCGCTTCGGGAGGTGCAATGCCCGCATCAGGTAGCAAAATGCTTGTTGTCGATGTGACTAGCTGCACGCGAAAACGGGAAGAAACATTTCGATAGCCGGGTTTGCGTTTAGAGCCGCACGAGTAAACGTTGCCGCGGCGGGATCATTGTGAGGGGTTTGCGCTACGTGCGGTACGCCACATGTGATTGGTTAGCATTCAGGCTGAATTCGAAGATCAACGGTGCCTGCCGATTGTGACGGAGTTCAAAGCCAGGGTGTTGGTCCTGATGTGAGCGCGGTAATGTTATTCCCGTTGCTACGGACTAGACTTACAAATGCAGCTGCCCTGTGGGCTGTTACTCGTGCGAAGACCGCGCCCTCCATCCGTCGCAGCTGCCAACGCGATGAAGATGCTCCTCCCTTCTGAGTGTTCGCTTTTGGCAGTGTTCGCTTGCCCTCGATCACGGGCGGCGCCCTTGGTGATGAAACGACCAAGAAGAGGGACCGAAGCCCTTCTCGCCACCTGCCCTCAATCTCAAGCCCCGATGGCCTTCTTCACGGTCATCGGCATGCCGTCTCTGGGCCTGGCTTCTAATATAAACTCTTGAAAGGCGCGATCTCCAAAAGTAAGGTCTAGGTCTGTCCAGGGGACGAGCTGCGTCTTACTTGGCTTGAGGGCCGCGCAAGCGAAGTCAAAGTCCCTAACAGTCAGAAGAAGCGCGACCTTCATGTCGTCCATAGCCAGGGTCTGACCAAGGCAAGCCCTGGGTCCTCGCTCGAAGGGCCGCCATGCGTTTCGCGGAGCGTCATTCCGGGAAAACCGATCAGGGTCAAATGCTGACGCGTTGGGGAAGATGCTTGGATCCATGTGCATTGCGTGCTGAACCGGGCATATCATCTGGCCTCTGGTAGAATACTGCTTGCCATTGTAGGTGATAGATCCTGTAGAATCTTCAGCTCGCGCCGTGTTGCCCACGGGATAGAAACGGAGGACTTCTTTGATGACATTGGTGGTGTAGTGCAGGTCGCTGAGCTTGTGTGGATCTTGTTGGAGCATAGCATAGCTTGCCTCTATTCCAGGGGTGAAGACGGAGTCGTGCTCCTCGCGTAACTTCTGGACGACCTCGGGATGGGCTGAGAGAAGCATATAGGTGAAACAGAGAGTATCCGTGGTGGTTCCAGTGGCTGCAAGGAGCAAAGTCTTAATGTGCGTAGCGGCTACTGCCATGAAGTTCGCATCAAGAGCATCCTTTCCGGTCTTCTGTGCTTCTTCTAGGCGCTCACGAAGAACAAGATCTATGATGCTTAGACCGCGCCGTTTGCTCAGGTCCGCATCGCCACGCTGCAGCTCTTCGAACCTGCCTCGAATGATCTTCTCCAACAGAGGATCGAGCTTCCGGGTTGCTGCTAGCCTATTTCGGCGTGCGGAGAAGGACTTTACCGGATTCCACGTATCTCGCTCGATGAGGGCAGCAGAGCATATGTCGGTGAAGTGTGATAGAAGTGGGCTGCCTCGCTTCTGGGCCTCCAGGGAGTAATTGAACGTCACTCTGCCGATGACGTCGAAGATCATGCTTTTTAGCAGGTCTTCGAGACTAAAGATGGCACCGGAATGGGCGAGATCTTCAAGGATGGAACGGAACACTGCCCGAGATGGAGGAACGATTAGCGAATGTTGAGTCTTGGATCCGCGAAGCCTTACCCATGACCTCCTCTGCCACCCCTCCTATCGTGTTCCTCACGTGTGAGGCGGCGAAGGCGGGAGCTAGCATGTTGTGTGCAGCCTTCCATATATGGCCTTCGGTAGTCGCGATGTTGCCTTTGCCCATGATCGGATCCATTAGTTCGGCCTCTACGTAGTGCTTCGGATGGTTCTTTAGGACGGTAACGTAAAGAGCGAGTTCCGGATCCGTTATGATCAGCTGGGGGTCCGCCATGGGCCAGAGATCAAGGTACCAAAGGCCGGGAAGACGGTACTTCTGAGCCATGGTCGTGATGGCGACCTGGAAATGCACATTGCGGGGGAAAAGAGACATGACCTCGCCCATCAGTTTGAGATGGCCCCAGAGGAAGTGGTGGGGGGGCTTCGGCTAAGCAGAATCAGCGTATTCGGTGAGGTGAGTGTAAAGTAAGTTCTTACCAAGTCCCTGTAAGACCGCCGATGTTGGATCAGCTTGACTGCAAAGTATGCGAGGAGCGCAATGATGGCCGAGGCAGCGATGGTCGGCCATGGCGGCGGCGTACGAGGGGGCGCCATTATGGGTTTGCGCAACGTGTAGACTATCGTGAAGCTGGAAGGGAGGGAGTTGAAGAGGGACTCGGTGCACACCTCGCGCGCTCCTGAACTAGCCTATCTCGAACAATGGGCGCGTCAGCAGCCGTTCTTGCGAGATGTGTCAGCCACGGCACCCGGATAGCGGCAGGGCATTCCGAGAGCCCAGCCGTGTCGTTTGTGATTTGCTTTGGCGCCCAGGGGCGAGGCGAGGCAGTTGGCAGCTACTTTGTACAGTACAGTCGACGCGGAATTAACTAAAGGCCGGGAGGTCACGTGCCCTCGCGTCGTATCTCCCTCACCCGTCAAGGAAAGTCACGAATGCTCAACACCGCGCGGGCAGTCTTTCCATTGATGGCGTCTATGGTATCTCGTCCCTGGGTATCCGCTCCCTCGCCGCCCGCGTCATCTGCTCGTCCAGCAGCGACATCAGCACCGCGTCCGAGCCGTCCTTCAGCCAGGCGGCATCGTGCGCCAGGGCGACGTGGAACCCGCAGTCCCTCTCCAGCCGTCGTATCTTTGCAATCGTGTCCCGGGCTGCCGAAATGTCCGCGTGCAGCGACATGGTCCCGCCCCCAGGCGCGCAAAACTGCGCAATCTCGTACCTCCCGTCGAGCAGCTCTCTGCGCGCCGTTAGCCATCACGCGTCGACGTGCCCTCCGCCACCGCTGCTCTCGGCCTACCTTGAGTGGCAGCAGTCGCTCCCCAGGAGGACCCATTCGCCTCCCCTCAGTCGTGCTGCCGCACACATGTTGCCCGCCATGTGGCCCGGCGCCTGCATGATCCAGAAGCTGCCGTCGCCGAAGTAGTCGAGCGCGCGCTCGAACGGGCCGAACGGCTCCCATGGGCCCTTGAGCTCCTCGCACCGCTCCGTCGCACGCTCGGGATCGAAGAAGCGGCCGTCCCACTGCACGCTCGGATCCGCCATGTGCCCTGGCGAACAGCCTTCCTTGGTGCCCGGTCCGAAATACGCCGTCGCGTTGGGAAACTCGTCCCGGATCGGTCGACAATGATCCCAATGGGCGTGGCTGCTCCCCGGTCATACGACATCTCGACCCAAGGGGCAGTACCAACTTACCTGAAGAAAACGGCGTCTACCGCGTCGGCCGACACGCCTCGCTCGCCCAATTGATTCACGATGGTTCTTCTCGGCCCGACATGGTTGACTCCCTCCAGCATGAACTTGTTCACCCATGGCGTATAACACGAGCGATCCTGGTCCGATTGTGAGCCTCCAGATCAGGCTCCGATTAGCGACTCGGATACGTACTTCGTCCAGCCCGAGGTCCCACAACAGGTGTCTCCCCTGGTGGGAGATGTAGAAAGCCCAGTTGTACATGCGGAACTTGGCATTGCTGACTCCTGCATGCACTTTTCCGATGTCCCCAACAAAACTGCCGCCATCGAGCAGCGCGAGGTCGACGTATCCGCTGGTTTCCGGCACGGGACCGCCGACATCCTCCGTGTCTCCCATTTCCGAGGCAAGGCCAGAATGAGGAAGAGAATGTCAAGTGCCTAGCGCCTGCGCTTTTGTCCTGTACCTCTGCCTCGTTCCGCCGCGGCGCGCCCGACACTGGCACTGGCACTGGCACCCAGGCCCTGTCCCCCACATTAGCTACCCCATCTGTGCGCACAGACAGATTGCGCGTTATTGGCGGTCCTTGACTATCAACAGCTGTGCCAGAAAGATTACCCGCAAGCGTTCGCTTCAGGGCACCGTCTCCGTTTTATTTCTGTCGCCCTGAATGCCGCTGCCATTGGCTGGGGGCGCAACCAAGCGCACGAGAGCGTGGTGATGGTGATGGCGGTGGAACGGCGGCGGCAGGCCCCACCATTCTTCATATACTCCAACGGCGGGGTATCGGGCATCCCGAGCCAACATCAATGAAGCTCCACGGCTCTCTTCCCTTCGCATTCGTAGCCCACCCAGCCGCGTCGATTGCTTCGTTTTTGACTTTTGGCGATATTCGGCTAGCGCGGCTCCTGTTGCTCGAGTAGGGAATCTGGCCGTACGGCAACTGTCGCGCAAATCATCCAGCACCCCTCCAATTTAACAAGATGACGACTACTTTCAAGCATGCGGATCTAGGCGAGCTAAAAGGCAATGTTGTGGATGGGACAGCGCAATTCTTGGGGCTCAAGTACGCCTCCTTGGAGAATCGCTTTGCCGCGCCTCAGCTCGTGACCACTTATGGGTCGGGGGCCGTTGACGCATCCAAATACGGGTACGTATTTCGAACAGCCTGGCGCGACCCAAGCTCACGGATTGAAGTCCTCCGCCCGTCTCCCCGGTCGGCGCAATCAAACGAGAGTTTGGCTTCATTCAGCATGAGCTACCTCTACCGGAAGTTCCCACCCATTCGGATACGGAAGGCCTCAATCTGAACATCACCGTGCCATTGGGGAGAGATGGAGGTATCAATGCAAACTCGAAACTGCCGGTATACGTCTTCATCCACGGCGGAGGTTTCGCCGTCGGTTCGAGCTGGTACCCGCATTACAACCCCGCTGCGTTAGTCAAGCTTTCTGCCGAGAAGGGGAGACCCATGATTGGCATCACCATCAAGTGAGTGCTGCGAATTATACCTAACAATGAGCGGCGCTAACAATCCGAAGCTACCGTCTCGGTGTCACTGGTTTTATGACATCTGAAGAACTCCGCAAGGCAGGCTATAAGGCTAACAATGGTTTCCACGACCAGCGCGCCGCCCTCCAATGGGTTAAGAAGTTCATCGGTGGATTTGGAGGAAATGCGGACGAAATTACAACAGTCGGCGAGAGCGCCGGTGGCAGTACGTTTCACTTTCCAACATTTGATCCCTTTTTAACATCCCCCTAGTGTCCGTTACGATGTTCCTTCTCTCCAGGGAGCCGCTCATGAAGAGATGTCTCAGCACTGGAGGGGCAGTCCTCCTATTCAAGCCAATCCCAGAATTCGTAGCCGAATCGGCATACCAGAAGGTTGTTGAAGCCTTCGGGCTGGCCGATAAAACGCCCGAAGAACGAATCAAAGCACTCGTCAGCATGCCCGTCGATGATCTTTGGCAGAAGGTCCCGTTGGGCACGCCGCTCCTGCCCTCCATAGACGGCGAGACTGTCCCGGGTGAGCCAAGCTTCCTCACCGTCTCGTCAAAGGAAGATCACCCCGATTTTTCGATCCCAGGGCGGAAGTGGTGCGCTGCACTGATGATAGGAGAGTCTAAGCTTGACGTGAGTGCTCATTCTTAGGTCCGCCTTTTTCGAAGTCTAATCCACTCTAGGCAAATATTCTCGCATATATGGGGATCGACGGGAGAAACCCTGGCATTGCCTCCAAGTTCATTGAGTCTATCACTACGACACTGGCAGAACACCCAGAAGCCGCGAAGTATTTGCTTTCGTCGTACGACATCACGCCTTCTACACCCGATGACGAGGCGATCCTGACCATCCTACGATTCGCGACGGAAATTAGCTTCTATGCGCCTGCGCGTGCTTTCGCACAAGGCTGGCCGCAAACGAAAGAGCACAAGTTCTTCCTCTACCACTTCAACGAAGGTATTCCATGGGAGGGCAGATTCAAAGGCGAAGCAGGCCACATTCTCGACGTCGCATACCTTTTCCAGAACTACAACGAGCACTTAAGCGACGACCAGAAAGCGGTCTCCAGGGCATACGCCGAGGACTTCATTGAGTTCGTCAACGGAAATGACCCGTGGCCGCCCGTGGAAGGGGGCAAGATGGGTGCGAGGGTCTACGGCCCAAGTAGCGAAGGTGTTACGGCCAAGTACGTTGCGTCGGGCAATCCGGAAGAAGTAGGGCGGCGAGAGCATGTTCTCAAGCTTGGTGAGATGGCGGGATTCGACAACATATTGCAGGCCTTCCAAAACTTCTTTCAGGGTCGGTGATCCTTCTCCATAGCAAACATTCTGGCGTTGAGCCCTTGAAGTCATTTCACAAATGAACTGCGCTTGAGTATCGACGCGAAGCTTACATTCTACGCAACCGGCAGTAGTTCTCTTCAGAACTATTTGCCAAGAGGGCACTTCCGGACGCTGGACGTACCTGTTGGAGGCCCGCGGAAGGTGGCAGCTACCCCACGACAGCTCGAGTTTGCCATGTGGGGTGCGGGATCGACCCTTCTTGAGAAATGCAGCGTCCCGTATACTTCTACCTAGGTAGTTCTAATCATTGACGGGTAACCCGTTTCACAATTATTTTGGCAAAGGATCTTTCTCGGAACCCGTATCATGGTTCATGTGCAGTTCAACCTAGAGCTGCTAAGCACGCTCAAAGGCAAGGTTGTGGTTCTGACTGGGGGCGCAACGGGGATTGGTCGGTCAGCCGTGATTCAATTCGCTGGTACGCAACAACATGCATGCCTATCCTGTCCACATGCATACTAAGCTGCCCATTAGAGGCTGGATGCAAAGTCGTCTTCGGCGACATCAGCGAGGAACCCGCCCGTGAGCTCGAAGCTAGTCTGGGTGCCGCAGCGCGCTTCTCTCGCTGCGACACGTCCTGTTACTCCGACCAGCTCAAACTGTTCGCACTCGCGGAGTCGGACTTCGGTCGCGTCGATGTCGTGGTCGCTAATGCTGGGATGGCGGTACATAAAGACATCTTCGAGGCGAGATCGAATGTTTTCGAGGAGCCGACCATGAAGGAGGTGGATGTAAATCTGGTTGGTGCTATCTTTACGGCGAGAATCGGAATGCACTATTTGCGGAAGAATGGATCGAGAGGAGGAAAAGGAGGGGGAGATCTTGTTATGGTGAGCTCCATTGCCGGGTTCAAGGAGAGCGGCGGGCTGGCTACATACACGGCGAGCAAACATGGGGTGCTGGGGTTGATGAGGGGGTTGCACACCACTGCGTTCCCCGAGGGCATACATATCAACGTGATATGTCCGTGGATGACTAGTAAGTCCCCGCACCGAATCTGAGGTACAGCCACCAGGCTTACCTTGACCTAGAAACGAGGCTAGTCAAGGGCATAGAAGAGGGCTGGCGCAAACTTGGTCTCCCAGAGAACCAGCCCGAAGATGTTGCACGAAGTATCCTGCTCTGCGCATCCGCAAACAGGGACAAGAAGGAGAAAGTACACCCCGGAGCCAAGATTCCCTTCGCCGGCAAGATACTCTGGATCGCAGGTGGCGAAGCGTACGAGATCGAGGACGCTATCCAGGCCCTAGAGCCTCAGTGGCTCGGTGAGGAAAACAGCAAGGTCCTCACAAAGGGCCAAGAATACCTCGCGAGCCAAGGCACTAGCTGGGATGCCGACAAGCTGGAGGAGAAGACGAACGGTGTTCAGGCCTGAAAGCTGCAGCACCTCCTAATGGTGTACAGGACTGGCTTTGCATATGCTATCCTACAACGTCCTACACAAACTCCCATGTGCCATCCTCCTTCTTCTTCCCCTTATCCTCATACCCCGGCGGCAGCGGCCCGCCAATATGTATATACACGCTACTCCCATCTCTATCAAAACATTGCGGATCCTTGGCCGCGGCTTCCCAAGTCTCCATTGCCGCCTCCGCCATCAAGGGCCTTATTCCCACCTGCTTCCCCGACTCAATCCCCAACCCCAGATCCTTAATCATCATCTGCGTCTTAAACCCTGGTTTATATCCGCTGTTACTCGGCACCCAGTCCTCCCTCACGTTTGGCACGGGCATCACGTGGTCGCACATCCAACTCTGGCCTGTCGACGCTTTGATCACGTTGTACAGCATTTTGGGGTCTAGGCCTTGCTTTATGCCGATGGCGAGGGCTTCGGCGGTGGCGAGTAGGATGGTGCCGGAGAGGTAGTTGTTCGAGATTTTGGCGGTTAGGCCGGCGCCGAGAGTGTTGAGATAGAAGAATTTTGAGGGCGAACCGATCATGCTGAGGATGCGTTCGAGACGTTTGGAGTTTGGGCTGTCGTCTGAGGGTGAGGCGTGGCCGATGAGCATGCTTAGGTCACCGCGTTCGGCGGCGGGCACGCCGCCCTGGAAGGAGGGTGTGTCAGTGAGAGGGAGACTGTGGAGGTGCTTGCAGTGTACGCACAGAGACCGGGGTGTCCACATAAGTCCCGATGCCCTTCTCTCTTAATGCCTCGCCGACTTCCCTCGTACTCCGCACGTCAATCGTACTGCATTCGCACAGTACTCGCTCCCCATCCGGTCTACTTGCAATCACACCATTGACCTCATCCATATACACCTTCTTCACATCTGCAGCGCCAGGCACGATTGATATCACAACTTTCGAGTTCTCAGCTGCTTCTCGCGCCGTGGAAACGATCTCTATCGGGCCGTGGGAGCCGTACTCGGCTTTGAATCGTTCGCACGCTGTGGCGTTGATGTCGTTTATGTAGAGTGTTGACGAGACGCCGATCTTTTTGCGGATGTTGCTAGCCATTGCGTAGCCCATGGCCCCGAGGCCTGAGGATGGTTAGCGTCGGGGTGAGGGGAAGGCGTCCTCTGGAAGCTCACCGATGAACGCGTAGTTCTCCGCCATGCTGAAAGGAGTAATGCAGTTGTGACTACGTGATGCTCTGAAGATGTTCGAAGGCACTTTGACGGCGTGTGGAAAGTTTACCTGGTACTTTGTTGATGGTTTGGTCCCTGCATGTGCGAATATCTGCACTCAATTGCCCCACATTGTTCCCCTCATTCCCCATTTCGTACCCCGAACACCAACTCCTGAAGATTTTGAGCTTCAGGCCTCTTCGCAACGCATTCCCGGAGGGATCTTGGACACGAATGGTGCGGTCCTAGGGCCTGGGCCCATTGGCAGTCCGGTTTGAGGGCCACGAGACAGGAGGCAGTGACGCTGATGGCATGGAAAATGGGACGGAGATAGCCGCAGATTGGGCGCACGCGTTCTTAGTGCGGGGCAATCCATGCCACTAGATTGAACGCTGCAGGGGTATGCCTCGGTATACGTGGGTATAATTGATCACACAGCTGGGGGTGAGAACATTCACTGCGACTTCCCTTTGCGATCCTGCGGCTCCCTGTCTTCTAGGATTCAAATAGCTCGTAACACAGTATCATCCACAATGCTCTCCTCAAAGCCACTGCGAGTTGGCGTCATCGGCCCCGCTGGGTTCGGAGGCTCCTACCTCTGCGTCGAGCTGCTAAACCGCGGCCACACAGTCATTGGGATATCGCGGAATCCGCAGAAGCTGGGAAAGCACGAACGATACATACCACGGCCGGTCGACATCGATGAAGTCTCTATATCAGAGCTCGCAAAGTCCTTCGAGGGCGTGGATGTCCTCGTCTCGGAATATGGTCCACACACAGCCGGCGCGGATGCGTTGCTATACAGTAAGTCTCTCTTAACTGCATGGGAAGACATAGATTGACGTCCAAAGTGCCGTTCCTCGAGACCGTCCGTAAAATTATCCTTGCCGTCAAGCAGTCGCCCGTGAAATACTTCCTCTTCGTTGGAGGCGCCGGCTCGCTCCACGTGCCAGGCACTCAGGAATGCTGTGTCGACCACCCAGATTTCTTTATGGCGTACAGACGAGCAATAGCCACTTCAGAAGCGCACATAGCATATATGGAAGAAAGGCTCGGCATCATGGGCACCGCCCTCCGCGCATACCGCAACGCGCGCATCGCGGAGCGAGAAGGTCGCGCAACCGAAGACGACAAGAAGGCCATCGCCGACTACGAAGCAGGCATCAAGAAGAAGGATCGTGCAACTGACTTTATAAAAGCCGGTCGAACGGCCTTCATGTTCTTTGACGGAAACACGTCGTTCAAATGGTCATTCGTTTCGCCTTCTGCGCTGTACAGGCCAGGAAAGAGGACCGGCAAGTACGAGATCAGCGTGGATGATATGGTGTTGATGAGGGAACAGAAAGGCGGCAGTATTTTCGAGGATAGACTGACAGGCATCACTGTGGCGGATATGGCGATAGCAATTGCGGATGAGGTCGAGACTGAGGAGTTGGTCGGGAAGCACTGGAGTGCGGTGGGCGATATATCGGAGGATAAGTCTGCGCCGGCGTATCTGACGTTAGATGCCGTGGAGGGCGGTAGTAAGTAGAGGTGGAGACGAAGCCTAGTGAGTGGAACGGGACCAAACGCCAACAATAAATTTTCTTGCCAAAACTCCAAGCGCCAAATGCTACGCTCTTGACCAATGCAGCACAATGTAAACAAAGCAAGCGTTTTCCCATGAATGACATCTATACCTGTATCTCTTTAAGATCGTCAGCGACCTTGAACGGCGCCTCAGTCTTCGCCCTGACCTCATCGACCGTAACGCCTTTGGCAACCTCCTTCAATGTTAAGCCATTCACCCTGTCTACATCAAAGACGGCAAGGTCAGTGATGATGGTCGATACGCATTTCTGGCCCGTAAGAGGGAATGTGCACTGCTTAAGGATCTTCGGGTTGCCCTTCTTATCGACGTGTTCCATGGTGATGACAACCTTGGTTTGGGTGGGGTTTGCGACGAGGTCCATGGCGCCGCCGATGCCCTTGACCTTACCTGGAAGCATGAAATTGGCGAGATCTACCGTCGCGTTAGTTGCTGTTCGAAGAAGTCGAAGAGATGGCTACATACCTCCGAATTCGTTGACTTGCATGGCTCCCAGCATGGCCACATCGATCCGGCCAGCTCTAATCATACCGAAGCTCTCGTGGCTGCCAAAAGTGGCGGCGCCCTTAATCAACGTGACCGTCTCCTTTCCAGCATTGATGAGATCTGGATCCTCCTCTCCAGGCTTGGGATAGCCACCCATCCCAAGGATGCCGTTCTCCGATTCCAGGATGATCTCGACACCCTTGGGAAGAAATGCCGGGGCCGCAAGAGGCATGCCAATGCCGAGATTGACGTACATACCATCCTTGAGCTCCTGTGCTGCTCGCTTGATGATGCGTTCGCGCTTCGCCGAGGCTTCAGAGTTTCCTGTTCTCCGATTAGTAGTTCCTTCGAGAGTAGGTTGTAAGGTGGGTCCATACCTCCTTCCAGGAGTGCCTTCTTCTGTTCCTCGGGATCTTTGTAGAATACAAGCCTCTCGATCTTTTTCTCCGCGGTACTCTTAATCACCTTCTTCACGTAGATACCCTGCAGATGAATATCCTCCGGCTTGATATCGCCATACTCCACAATTTCGTCCGCCTCTACAATCGTCGTCTTCGCGTTCTTGCCCATCGCCTCGTTAAAGTTATTCTGTGCCTTGCGGAAGGTGCAGTTTCCCAGCCGGTCGGCCTTTGCGACTTTGACGAAGGCATAGTCGCCGAAGATGGCTTCTTCCATGACGTACGCCTTGCCGTTGAACTCGCGGGTCTCTTTTGGTACTGACATTTTCGCAATTGTGCCGTCGGTGTTGTAGCGGACGGGAAGTTCGCCGGTTTGTACTGTGCATGTATCAGCATCGTTGGTTCTTATGTAGGCCTAACGTGAAAAACTCAAAAACGTACCTATTGTCCCATATGCCGCAGGCGTATAAAAGGCCGGCACACCAGCCGCACCCGCAGCGCACTTCTCCGCGATCGTTCCCTGCGGCGTCAACTCCAGATCCAGCTCGCCCTTCAAATACATGCTTTCAAACGTCTTATTGTCCCCAATGTAACTCGCAATCATCTTCCCGATCTGCTTGGTATCCAACCACTGCCCCAAGCCAACCCCGGGCATACCCGCATTGTTGCTGACTACTGTGAAGTGTGTCAGATCTGGCCGGTCGCGCACCGCATTGATGAGGGTATTCGGGACGCCGGAGAACCCGAAGCCGCCGACGAGGACTGTGGTGTTGGATTTCATGTCTTTGATGGCTTCTTGTGCGGAGGGGTATATCTTGTTGATTTCGGCGCGCACGGCACTGCTGGAGAAGAAGCGGATCGCTGGCCCGCTGCGGCGAGCCGCGAAGAGGAATGTTCGCTGCATCGTGAAGCCTGCGACAATACTGCTGTGGGACAGCTCGCGGATTCTACAATGATGCAATGCAGCCAGAAGCGCTCCGGATGCAAGACGATGCCTTCCGCAACCTGCAGTAAGCGCAGCTCCAGCTTCAAGCGGCTCCGCAGCCCTCAATCCACGATTCGCGATGTGGAGGCGTGAGTGCTGAACTTTTTGGCGGCGGAGCTTGAGGTTCCCCACACGGCGTTTTGATAGCTTGCATGTTGCCACTAAGCGCGATCGAGCATACCGACGCAGTTGCCGTCCCGATGCCGGTGGAGATTCGGGGTCCGCCAAGCGCCACAAATCGCCGCGGATGAGCACTTATCCGCACTCGTCCAGCGGAAAAGCGCATCGGATGAGACTTCAACAGACCGAGTCGCGGATAAATGAGAGCCTGGCACGGATATGTTTCCATTTGGACATTGTCTCAATCTCGAGCTACTTCCGGGCGATCACGTGATGGGAACCTCTCCAAGGTTTACCCGCGCTTGCAGGACTGCCTTCAATATCCGAATCGGGTGTAGTTGAATAGGCTGTCCTGAGTCTATGCAAACATCTGTACAATTACGTTTTTGGGACAAGGATAAGAGTCTGTGGAGAATCGGCTTCTATTGGTACGGATGTATATACATGAAGACGAAGAGGGAGATCAGTATAGATCGTGCACAATCTTCTTGACTGATGCATTGGTCAGATAACATGTATCCGTGAGCGCGCGAGGGATAGCTTACGGTTGCCGAAGTCCTTGTGGTCTTTGCTGTGTAGTGCCCGAGTTGCGATGGCTTCTTCCTCTGCGTCTCCCGTAGGAACATTGTACTTCCAGTGGTTAGAGGAAAAGCATGCAAGAAGTGTGTCAGAACACTTACCGCTGTCAGACTCGTCTTGTGCCCCAGCTGCTCAACCAATTCGGATATTGCGACTCCGACAATATGCGAGTCCTTCTCGTCGCTGCCGGTGCTCTGCTTCCCAATGTATGGAATGATCCTTGCGATCTGCTTCGCCTCTTCAGGATTGCTTGCCTTGAAGTGCACCGTCGGGGCCAAACTCAGACAGCTCGTAATACCGTGAGGAATGGCGTACGTGGCCCCAATCGCGTGGCCGATGCTGTGGCTGAGACCTACGCCGCCGGTGTAAAGGAAGGGGAAGAGCGAAGAGTAGCATGCGAGGAAAAGCCTGGTGCGGACATCGGCGTCGTTAGGGTTGGCTTTTGACTGGGGAAGGTAGGTGAACAGGTCTTTGATGGCTTCTAGGCACATGCGCTTTGTCGGGATTTCGGAAGCTAGGGGGTGGTACATTAGTTCAACGGCGTGGTCCAGAGACCGAATCTGCATCACTTTTAGCTACACTGGTTTTGACACCAGGTGGACCTAAGTTGTGCTTACCCCGGTGCTTGTCCACAGGTTCAAGGGTGTGTGGAGAGCAAGATCACCATCGTATACCACAGCTATGGACGCGTCAGCTTGGAGCGTGGTGCGGTCGATGCTTAGGTCCTACCCTTGGGGACGAGCTCAGGATTGCTCACTGCGATCTTGTGCAGTTCCGCAGTGGTGAAGCCGGCGTTCTGTGTTGTCTCGGCTACGCTTAACGTCGTAGGCACTGCGATGCTTGGTACCCACTTTCCGGTCTCTTGATGAATGTTGTATGCGATGGCCTTTGCAGAGTCAATTGGCGAACCTCCTCCTATTGATATCAAGACGTCGCAGCCTGACTTGGACATCAATCCTGTCGCCTCTCGAATGTCGCCAATTGGACTGTCCAGGATTAGCGCTCTTCCTCCACCATTCCTGGCGCTGTACTCACGCATGTTGCCCAATCTTGCTGAATGTACCCCCATGAACGCTCCCCAAGCTCTTCTCGATGTTCTTGATGACCGGGGTCTTTTCGTAGAGTGAGCGTCCGGTGATGATGAACGCTTTGGTGCCTCCAAGCTCCGTAACTACGTCCGCGAGCTGGTTGCTTGTGCCTAAAGCACTCCGTGAGCTTCCGCGCCCCAGTGACAGCTTCGGAACTCACCCCTCCCATAGATCATAAGCTTAACGGGCGAGGCTCGATAAACCCCCTTCAGAGCGGAGTCGATGCTGCCATTCTGATATTTGCTTGGTAGCGTCATGGTGGAATGCCTTCGTTGGAGGAATTTGAGCGACTGAGGAAACGAAAATGGCACTCCGCATTGCCTCATCCAAATCCTCGATCTCAGTAATCTGTTTGCGCTGGTGCATGATTCGTCATACTCATCATGGAGGGGTAGCTCCGGTCTCGCCCCACATGCCTGTTCCGCCCCGCCACTGTCCCTGCGTCGCAACTCCGAAGCGGCAATTCAGGCCTGCATCGTGCGTAGCGATATTCCCGGAAGTCCATCGTTTCGCGAATATGTCCAAATTCTGTCTTCAACCTTGAGAGTCGAGCATGGCGGCCTTCAACAGAGTTGCCCGCAATGTGCTGCAGAAGAGCCCCAACGACGTGGTTCTGCTATCCGCGGTGAGATCACCCATAAACCGCAGCTTCAAAGGTGGCTACAAAGATGCCCACCCGGAGGATATCTTGATGCCGGTAAGCGGGCCTCATGGGGCTCATGTTCGCGTGTTGCATGTACGGGTGCTGAACATTTACAGGTGATGAAAGCTGCGGTACAGCGAGCCCAGGTCGAGCCAAAGGACGTCAACGATGCCATGATCGGGAACGTTCTGGCCGAGCTGGGTTTCGCGAAGACGGGACGAATGGCTCTCAATCACGCGGGATTTCCGAGCTCAACCACATTCCACACTGTCAACCGCCAGTGCTCGAGCAGTCTCCAGGCCATTACCCACATCTCACACTCGATCATGGTGGGTCAAATAGACGTCGGACTTGCCGGAGGTGTAGAGTGCATGTCAAGAAACTATGGCTCGCGAGGTATCCCTACGGATGTATCACCAGCGCTGCTGGGCTCTACGGTCAAGGACGCCCGGGACTGCCTCATGCCCATGGGCATCACATCGGAGAACGTGGCGGAGAGGTATGATGTGGACAGGAAATCGCAAGACGAATACGCCGTCCGGAGCCATGGGCGGGCAAGCCGGGCGCAGAAGGAGGGAAGATTCGACTGGGAAATCGTCCCGGTCACTGTCCAACGGACGGATGAGGCAACGGGCCAGCCAGCGGGGTTTGAGGTGACAAAGGACGACGGCATCAGGCATGGCCTGACGTACGAGAAGGTGGCCACGCTGAAGCCGGTGTTTGGGGAGAATGGCAAGAGCACCGCGGGGAACTCGTGAGTTGTCCCGAGGTCGATTGCACGTGAGGTGCAGAAAAGCGCTGACGTTGCAGGTCTCAAATCTCCGACGGCGCATCATCCGCCATTTTGGCGCGACGCTCGTGGGCAGAGGAACGCGGCCTGAAGCCGCTGGGACGCTTCGTGGGCACGCAGGTCAGTGGGTGCGCGCCCGACGAGATGGGCATCGGGCCGGTGTTTGCCATTCCGGCGCTACTCAAGTATACGGGGACAGAGCTGAAGGACATTGATATCATTGAGCTGAACGAGGCTTTCGCGAGCCAAACGCTTGCGTGCATGCGGGAACTTGGGCTGGACGAAGAGAAGGTCAATCCCAACGGTGGAGCGATTGCGCTGGGGCACCCCACCGGCGCCACTGGAGCTCGCCAGACGGCGACGCTCTTTGGCGAGCTGCGCAGGCAGGACAAGGAGCTGGGCATCGTCAGTATGTGTGCTAGCACCGGGCACGGGGTTGCCTCGCTGTTCATCAGAGAGTCATGATGCAAAAGTAGGACGTCAAATACCTCGTTCGCAACGTTCGCAACGTGTCCCACATCCAGTCATCAGCGCCCAGCGAGTGCATTTCCACGCTGAAACGCGAGGCTGCTACCTGGGCACGCTCCAGGGCTTCTCCAAAAGGCACGTGCTGTCTAGCCCCTTTGGGCAGGCTAAACCGGCCGTGCATCTTCCCCACACGAACTATTCCTCCCGCCGCATTTACCGTCCCTTGTCCCACGTCGGAGCCGCTTCGTCCTTTTTGCCTGCATTTTCCTTTTTTTGTTGCAATTGTTGCCGTTCATTGTTTCTGTTGCTTTGCAGTTCAGCGTTGGCATCATGTTCCTGCTACGACGTGCCTCAGGGCGCGCAATACAAAAGTTTCCCGCTGTCCAGCACCGGCCTCTTCAACAGCGCCGTGCTCTCGGCAGTGTGAGCGCAATCGATTCCGCAATTTTCAGAACCCTTTTCGGCACCGACGAGATCCGCAGCGTCTTCGATGACAAGGCTTACCTGAGCCGATGCGTGGATGCCGAGACAGCACTTGCCCGAGCCCAATCGCGATGCAATGTCATTCCGTCGCACATCGGGGAAATAGTGACCTCCAGGTCACAGGGGGCTGAACTGGACTTTGACAGGCTGCGCCGCGAAACTGAGATTGTCGGATACCCAATTCTTCCCTTGGTACGGCAGTTGTCAGCGCTGTGTGGGGACGAAGCCGGTCGCTATGTGCATTGGGGCGCTACGACACAAGACATTATGGATCTGGCGAGTATGCTGCAGATGAAGGAAGGCCTGGAGATCGTCGAGAAGACGCTCCGATCAGTCATCACCAACCTCGACTACCTTTCGAGGAAGTACCGAGACACGCCAATGGCCGGCCGCACGCACTTGCAGCACGCATTACCCATCACCTTCGGCCACAAGTGCGCCATATGGCTCTCCGGAATGCAGCGCCACCTTGAGCGCCTCGAGCAGCTCAAGGAGCGCGCGTTGATGGTTCAGTTTGGCGGTGCGGCGGGGTCCTTGGCTTCTTTGGGCTCCGGCGACGACGGCATCAGGGTGCGGAAGGAGATGGCAAAGGATCTCGGGTTGGCCGATCCTCCGATTACATGGCACGTTGCTCGAGACGGCGTCGCTGAGATCACCAATTACCTTGCGCTCGTTGGAGGAAGTCTCGGCAAAATCGCGCTCGACATCATCATCATGTCATCCAACGAGCTATCCGAAGTATCGGAGCCGTTCGTCCCACACCGCGGGGCGTCCTCCACAATGCCGCAGAAGCGGAACCCCATCTCGAGCGAAGTTATTCTAGCTGCGTCGAAGATCCTGCGATCAAATGCGGGATTGGTCCTCGACGGAATGGTGTCGGACTTCGAACGCGCCTCTGGACCGTGGCATTTGGAATGGGTCGCAGTCCCAGAGAGCTTTGTTATTGCGGTTGGTGCGCTGAACCAGGCCGACTTTGCGCTTTCCGGGCTCGTCGTGAACCCGAAGAACATGCTCGACAACCTCTACTCCACGCGGGGTCTGATCGTGGGCGAAGCCGTCATGATGGGGCTGGCTCCACATGTGGGACGGCAAAAAGCTCACGACATCGTGTATGAAGCGTGCAAAGAGAGCATTGAAACGGACACCAGTCTGCTTGAAGCTCTTCAGAAGCGCCCAGAGATTACTGGCAAGATTTCCAACGAGGAGCTCAGCTCGTTGTGCGACGCCAAGAACTACCTGGGTTCTTGCGGGCTGATGGTCGACGAGGTTCTCGCCCGAAATCTGTAGTCAGCCCTCCTATCGGGCTCACGAGAGCACCTTGTCTTGTTGTTATTACATTTATATAGAGACCCAAGCGAGTCTGGATCCTCTACGTACGGCTCAGAACGGTCAGCGTTCGCGCCAGCATTGCCAGGATAGATAAAGGCGCAATCGCATTTCTTTATCAAACGCCCTCCACTATCCCGGTTCGGCTTAATCTGAACCCCTCTCTTCTGGGACGCCTAGTGCTACGCGGAGCGATTCAACGGGGAAGACCCCCCGCCATGGCTGTGACGAGAACCAGGTCGCCCCACATCACGCGCGTTCCACGCCAGTCAGCTACGGCAGATCCAGCGCTAACCCTCCGGGGATGTGGATGGATCAATATAAGGCTTGATGCATTCTGGCATGCTCAGGGTCTCCAGAGCTCACCTTCGCGTCCCTCATCATGCCGGAATTCAAGGAGCGCGCGCTCGTCACCGACCCCCAGAAGACCTTCCACTTCACCGATCTGCAGCGGTTGAAGCCCACCCGCGAGAACGATCCATACGACTACCAGGCAGGATGGGGAAACCGACATCAGTCTGAGGTTATTCCCGGTACACTGCCCGTTGCGCAGAACAACCCGCAAGAGGTTCGCTTTGGGCTGTACACCGAAGGCATCACATACTCCGCATTCGCTGCCCCGCGGCACTCTAACTTCAGCACATACATGTACCGCTGCAGGCCAGCGGCTGCACACAGTACGCACTTATGTAGTCTTCTCCGAGTATGGTGTACTAACGATAACAGAGGGGTACATTCCGTTCGAATCCAAGTCAAATATTGAAAACTGTTTCCTTTCGGCGAATCCAAAGGTGGAGACCCTTGCAGAGCAGGCTGAATGGCATCCGTTCCCTCTCCCCAAGGAAGATGAGAAGATCGATTTCGCAGATGGCCTGCACACGCTGGCAGGCAGCGGCGACCCCAACATTCGTGAGGGACTTGCTCTCTACGTCTACATGATCAACTCCAGCATGGAGCGGCGAGCCTTCTGCAACACGGACGGCGACTTCCTCATCTGCGCTCAGCTTGGGAACCTCGACATCAAGACAGAAATGGGCATGATTTTCCTGCAGCCCGGCGAGATTTGCGTCATTCAACGAGGCATCCGATTCTGCTTGAACCTGGCCCCAGATACTGAGGTTGCACGAGGCTATATAACCGAAGTGTGGGGATCCATGTGGGAGCTCCCCGACCTTGGTCCGCTCGGTGGACATGGTCTGGCCAATCCGCGGGACTTCCTGTACCCGGTAGCCGCCATCGACGATGATCTGCATGTTGACTGGCAGATTGTGAACAAGACCAACGGCCAGCTGGTTGCCATTCGGCAGGATCACAGCCCCTTCGACCTCGTAGCCTGGCACGGCAATGTCGTCCCCTACAAGTACGATTTGACCAAGTTTTCCTCACAGAATAGCACCTCCATCGACCACACTGATCCCTCCATATTCTGCGTCCTCACTGCAAAGTCTCGTGACCCTGTCACTCCTCTTGCAGACTTCCTTTGGTTCGGCCCTAGGTGGGACGTAGCTACGAACACCTTCCGACTCCCATACTTCCACCGCAACTCTGCATCAGAATTCCTCGCTTGCCTCTACGGAAATGGCCTGGGCCGGAGTGACGACTTCCAGCCCGGCGGTGGTAGCTTCGAAGGATGCCACACTCCTCACGGCGGCTTCCACGAGGGATACCAACATGGAATGAGGATTCACGAGAGCCAGCCTGAGAAGATCCTGACGGGTAAGTCTGCCATGTGCAGGTTGAAAAACCCGAATTTAATCCAGCATAGATCAATTGACCATCATGGTGGAATCAAGCCGTCTCTTCCTCTGGACTGACTATGCTCGTAAGGGCTGCGGAACCATTAGCACCCATGGCACCGACTATAAGGTCTGGGATGCTCTGCCAGTGAGTCTCGTCACCCCGGCCTGTGTTCGCTCTTTACTAAGTTTTACAGGATCGATTCTCCGCCAACTCCAAGGCAAAGGAGCTTCTCGCTCGCATCAAGCAAGACAGGATCGCGGAGAAGAAGCGACTGGCCCCCTATTACATCGGCGGCTTCGCGCACGGCGCAAATGCCAGCGACACGGAGGGCGTGCACTCGAAGGAGCTGAAGCAGTATCTGACGGCGGAGACCAATGGCGCGACGAACGGTGTCAATGGTGCATGAGGCATCTACACCAACACTTTCATTTTTTCCGGTTGGAGCATTTCTCATAGCGTCGAAGCAACTTGTACACCCTATCCGAACTAGCCCTATATCCACTGCAAAGGAAGCATCAGATATGCCGCTTTGGATCGTCTCGGTCCCCTGCGCCTGCTGTGTATGTACCGTGAACGTCCGTGCTTTTCCGTCCCTGCATGCTTTAGCGACCCCACATGCCGGATGTGGGGCGGCGTTTTCAGACCTTCGAACGACTTCTTTTGGATATAACACTTCAACGCGGGACAATGAAATCGCGGTAACACAGCCATGAATTCGCCTTTTAAGTCGTGTACGAGGTTAGGCGCCCTACGGTCGGCACCGTGGTGCCCCGCGTGGGCGTCTCCGGCGAGGAGTTGCAGGATATGGGAGGGAAGGAGGGGAATTGCGATGAGCCAGGTGGACAAGAAAACGGTAGAGAAGCTGCCATTGGCTGGCATTAGGGTGTTGGACATGACCAGGGTGCTTGCAGGGGTAGGTGATTTCCGAATAGGGTAATGAGTTTGTGGAGAGATGAATGGATGGTAACACAGAACAGCCGTACTGCACGCAGATACTGGGAGACCTTGGGTATGTTGTCGTCTTCAATAGTGCATGGAGTTGCTGCTAACAGCCTTCCAGAGCAGAGATTATCAAGATCGAGCACCCGACAAGAGGAGACGACACGCGCTCCTGGGGTCCACCAGACGCGCCTTACATTGATGGCGTTGAGCGCCAGTTCCCCGGGGAAAGCGCATACTACCTTTCCGTACGCCCATCTTTCCCCCTATGCTCCTTACCCTCTTCTACTCCTCTAACATACAGCAGGTAAACCGCAACAAGAAGTCCCTCGGCCTCTCCTTCAACAATCCCACCGGAATCTCCATCCTGCACAAACTCGTCCAAAAATGCGACGTCCTGGTAGAAAACTACCTCCCGGGAAGTCTCGCAAAATACAAACTCGACTACGCCACAGTCTCGCAGCTGAACCCTTCGCTTGTATACGCCTCCGTCACTGGATACGGCCAGACGGGGCCTTACAGCGACCGCGCCGGCTACGACGTCATGGTGGAGGCGGAGATGGGACTCATGCACATCACGGGCGAGAGAGATGGGCCACCGGTAAAGGTTGGGGTCGCAGTGACGGATCTCACGACGGGCATGTATACAGCGATTGGGGTGCTTGCGGCGCTGTATGCGAGGAGGGAGACCGGGCTGGGACAGTGGATTGATGCCAGTCTGAGTGATTGTCAGGTGGCTGGATTGGCAAATATTGCGAGTTCGGCGTTGATAAGTGGAAAGAAGGATAGCGGGCGGTGGGGGACTGCTCATGGTATGTCTAGTTCCTCTTTTCGCGATGCGAGCAGGATGGGCTGTGGGTAAGCTGACCTGATGAACAGCGTCCGTGGTCCCGTACCGTGCATACAAAACAAAGGACACGAATATCGCGGTTGGCGGCTGCAACGATAGGCTCTACGGCATTCTCTGCGACAAGATTGGGAAGCCGGAGTGGAAGACAGATTCGCGCTTCGTCACGAACGCACTGCGAGTGAAGAACCGGGATACTCTCGATCGGATCATAGAAGACGAGCTCAAGACGAAGGCAACGCAGGAGTGGCTCGACATCTTCGAAGGGAGCGGCATGCCATACGCTGCTGTCAATGATATTCAGGGCACGATAAATCATGAGCATGGTACGTATCCTCCAAAGCCTGGCCTAGGATTTTGGCTCGGAGGCTGACTGAGCACTACAGTTCTTGCAAGGAATATGATCGAGAAGGTCGATCATCCAGCCTGCGGACCGATGAAGCTCGTCAATCACCCCGTGAAATACTCTCGCGCGGAGCCGAAGATTAGATCGCCGCCTCCGATGCTGGGAGAGCACACCGACGAGGTCCTGAGAGAGCTGCTTGATTTCAGCGAGGACGATATACAGGATCTGAGAGAACAGAAGACAGTTGCATAGAACTATCAGTATACATCGGCGGCTGGTTGCTCAACATCTCGTAGCATATGATGCAGCATTGCATAGCATTTCTTGGAGTAGCTGTGCGAAAATAGACGTCGTCCCGGTTTCCCGAATAACCCTTCTCCAAATCTCAATGCATTGCACATATTCATCTCCCCACAGTCTCGCCCAGACACCTCATCTAAGATGCCTGTCTTCCCTCACCGATCGCGCTAGCCCCACATACGCTACTAAAAGCTTCCCCACACCCCCAACCCAGCCACATCTACCCCTGCCACTCACCACCACAACCACCACCACCATGGCAGTACCGACATCAAGGGTCCACCCAAGCCCACGATGCAAGCCATCCACCCTTGGCAAAGCGCCGTTGGTGTGCTACGGAACAGGCGGGGAAGCTGCCGGCGACCTTCGCATTCCGCCTTTCATGGAACTTTTTCTTTTTTGACGGCATTTGTGGATGTTTGAATTGTGTCTTTGCTGAATCAGTATAGTTTTAACAAATATGACGACGAAGGTAGCCGAGAAGGTTGGAGAAGCGAGGCAGGAGAAGGCGAAGGCGTTGCCATTTCGGTATCAGTTTGCTGCTGGAGCTGTGGCGGGGATTTCGGAGGTAAGTTGATGCCTTTTCCGAATTTCGGAATCGCGTAGTTGTGAGCAGACTGACTGAGATTTAGATCTTGGTGATGTGAGTGCGAAGACGCTTTGAGGGGGGCATTTGGCTAAGAGCGTAGAAAGGTACCCCCTCGATGTCGTCAAAACCCGCATACAATTACAGCACGGCGTCGTAGCCGACGGCCAAGGATACAGCGGAGTGCTAGATTGCTTTCGCAAGATCATACGGAATGAGGAAGTGACGAGGCTGTACCGTGGGATAACAGCGCCCATATTGATGGAGGTACCGAAGAGGTGGGCCAGAAGCAACGTCCAACGTGAGCAACGGAACTAATGGCAACCCAGAGCTATCAAGTTCTCCTCGAACGATACCTTCGGCCCCCTGTATCAACGCTTTTTCAACGCCCCGGTGCTCACACAGCCGCTCGCTGTGCTCACAGGAGCCAGCGCAGGCGCGGTGGAATCGCTCGTTGTGGTCCCGTTCGAACTGCTCAAAATCCGGCTGCAAGACAAGACGTCGGCATCGCGGTACAACGGTCTCCTGGACTGCCTGTTCAAAGTGGTCCGACAAGAGGGCCCTCTCGCGCTCTACAACGGCTTCGAGGCCACGCTCTGGCGGCATATCGTCTGGAATGCGGGCTACTTTGGCTGCATCTTCCAGGTGCGCGCACAGATGCCGAATCCTGGCAGCGCTTCGAACCCGAAGGCGCAGAAGACGGTCAATGATTTGGCAGCCGGGTTTGTGGGCGGGATCGCGGGCACGACGCTGAACACGCCGCTTGACGTGGTCAAGAGCCGGATCCAGAGCGTTGCGAAAGTGCCAGGTGTGAGGGCGAAGTATGAATGGGCGTGGCCGAGCTTGGCGATTGTGGCGAGGGAGGAGGGGTTCCGGGCGCTGTATAAGGGATACCTGGCGAAGATTCTGAGGTTTGGACCGGGTGGCGGGGTGTTGTTGGTGGTGTACTCGGCAGTGGTTGACATGCTGGGGAAGGTGGTGTCGGGAAATGCAGATTAGGAAGGAGGGGTAGGGAGAGATGCATGGTAGGAAGGAACGAACGACGCTGAACGACTAGCGATGACTTCATAAGGCAGGAAGAGCCTACTTACTTGTGTTCGAACTTGTGGACCTGATGAGTGGCGTCGCTGGGAGGGAGTGTAACGATGCTTCGATATCCGGCGGCGTCGCACAAGACACAAGACCGGGTCCACCCCAAGCGCACCCTGATTGGAAGACGATGGGACGTGGGCGGTATACTTGATCCGAGGCTCCGAATTAAATCCTGCAGTCCCGAGTTGGCAGTAGGTGGCGGTTGAATTGGACAGTGGGCACTATGCGGCCTATATTCGGGAAGCTTGATCGGCGGGCGATACGAGCCAGATCTTGAAACCGCAGCCAGCATGAAACATTTAGATGGGACCGTTAATGGCAGCAGATTTTCCATCAATCACGCAAACAAGATGCGCTGTTGTGTCGTTCTCGAAGCCGCAGGAATGGCTGGGCGTGCGTTGGACGGACAGGCAGGGGAAGCGGTCCCCACACGCATCCGGCACCACTGAGCTGCGCGTCAATCGTCGGCTTGGCTGGGCGTGCGTTGCCGGATGCAGACGAGGCCGGGGATGCAGCGGCCAGGCACCCGAGCGACAGCGGCAGCAAGCACGCACAGTAGTCCCGCCCGGTATGGCTGCTGCTGTGGGAGGGCTGCATTCTGATATGGCGGGCGCGCTGGGTAGATGAAGGGTGAATTGCAGCAAAGGGCGCCCGCGCGCATCCCGGGCTTATATTGGCCCTAGCCGAGTCATGGGTCGCAGCTTCCCCGCATTCAGATCGCTGGCCGCGACCTGACGCCAGCCGCGAGCCCTGTCCCCTCCCGGCACTTCATCCGTCCTCTCTTCACGCCGCCCGCGCCGACGACATACCACTGAGCGTCACCGCTAGCTCTCCGCGAAGCCCCCCCCTCCCCATCATACATCGCCGACACCCCCTATGGCCCTGAAGCAATGCAGCCTGTGCGACCGCAAGTTCACCAAGCTCGAGCACGTCAAGCGGCATGAGCGATCGCGTACGCCCAATTGCTCCCCAAAATCCACCTCCCATGCTAATTGCGCCTGCAGACACGCGAGAGCGACCGTACGAGTGCCCGACGTGCAAGAAGCACTTTTCACGCAGGTGAGATCGGATGCCAGTTTTTTGCGTGCTAGCGTCCAACCGTGAACAGCGACGTCTTGTTCCGCCACTGCAAGGGTCACGCGCAGAACGCCCTCAACCGACTGAGCAACAACCAGCAGAACCAGCAAAACCAGAGCCAGCAGCAACAGCAACAGCAGGCTAGTCAGAGCACGAACGAGGAGAAGCAGACCCCGCACCCCAACGCATCGCAGAACGAGGCAGCGCCCGGACCGGACCGGACTCTCCAGCACCAGCACCAGCAAGATCAGAGCCTGTCCCCGCTGTCAAGAAGAACGAGCTCCCAGCAAGTACCGCAGGCCAACGGAGAGGCCACCCAGAACTCGAATCCGTCCCCGACCATCCATGTCCGCCATCCGTCCGTCGCCCAGCAGACATCGCCCAACGACAGCCGCATAGAAGCCCTCATCAACGCCGCCCAGCACCTCGGGACCCCTTCAGACGTGCCGTGGCGGTCGCCATCTCCAATCAACCTGCCGTCCGATAATGACCGCTTCCTCGCCCGAAACCAGGACAGCATGCCTCCGCCAATAGATCCCGCAATTGACATGCTTTCATTCTCCCCGCAGGGCCATGTTTCTAGCCTCGACCAGTGGGCTTTTGAGCTCGTGCAGAGCAGCCATCCGCTGCCGAATCGGACCCCGGCCGATGCTCTCCAAACCTGGCTGTTTCCGCTTGACAACGATATACTGAATTCGACTGGCTCACACCACATGGCAATAGACAGTCACTTCGAGCACGACCCGTTTAGAAATGGTGCAGACAACCAGGCGAGCCCGTCCGGCAGCAGCGTTTCGATAGCGAGCAGAATACCTAGGGAACGATTTGCGAGGGTCGAAAGCTGCTGGCCATCCAGAAATCGCAAGCCGTCCCGGCTGATGCCCGCCCTATGGCAGAATTTAATCGCAGCTGATTGCACAAATATCCTCTCTGAGATCCCGTCCGGTGTTATCGAGACTCCAATCAGCGAACGTGAGAGGAGGAATTCGCGCTGGGGCCTGGACGAGGAATGCAGGGACATGCTCCAGGGCGCACTGAACAACGCGCCTCTAGCTGCCAGTATGCGCTCTGAGTCGGTTATAGACACTGCATCGTCTAGTGGCGAGGCGGGAGCTAGCCCTGGAGCAGAAGGCATCCAGTTCCCGCCCGCCGAGATTCTCGACATCGCGCTCGAGATGTACCTGTACTACTTCCACCCAACTCTCCCCATCATTCACATCCCGACCTTCTCAGCAAAGAATGCTCCGCGGCCGCTGCTGCTCTCCATGTGCCTCATTGGGCTCAGTATACTCGGCACAGCCGGGGCTACCAGGTTCGTAGGGCGAACATTTCCGGTAAGTCATGGTGCAAGTGTCCAGCCCGCTCGCTGTAGATGCTAACGTGCTGGATTCAGACCGTGCTGCAAATGGTGAATGCCGAACTCCAGTCGTTAGCAAACAGCAACCATCCACCGCAAAGGCAGATGCGCATCATTGCTACAGGTCTCTTAGCGCTCAATCTGGCCTCTATCACCGGAGTACGACTAGGCATGCCACGATCCAGAGATGTCGCTGACCCGGAGCAGAGGAAAAGTCGAATAGCGCAGGCCGAGAAGCTTTACAATGACCTCATTTCTGTACGTGGATACGTCTCCCTCGCAGTCGTTGGCTGACAATTCCAGGCGGCAACAAATCATGGCCTGTTTTCGGCCAGCGAGGCTGCGTCGCCTGACTCTCTGCTGGAAGACATTATGGACATCGACGCTCGGTGGAAAGCGTGGTGCAGGATAGAATGTGCTAAACGGTAGGTAACATTCTAAGCGCTCATAGCATTACTTACCCTAATGATTGTCAGTATCATTCTCGGTCTCGTAGAAGCGGACTGCTGGTATGCGGCATACTTGTCAGCATCCCCGATGATACGGCCGGAATCTGTGCAAATTCTGCCCCCTTCGGAGTACAACTTATACCACGCAAACTCGGCGACGAAGTGGTTTCACCTGGTCCAGCGCGGAGCCCGTATACATTCGAACCGCATCACCCCTTCCTATCTGCCAACGCCTGGACTGAAGCTCGACACCAGCACGCTAAGAAGCCTGCTCACCCTCCTTCTCCTCCGGATATATGAATCCAATGACAGACTTGCGAACGTCAATGGGCCACAGAAATATATCGAACCCTGGCGGATATACTCGGAAGATTCTCGAAGCCGGGAGTTGATACCACTTCTAGTCAATCTCTCTTCGTCGTCCATCGACGCACTGAGAACAGCTGACCTGAACTCGGCGGTCCTTTGGCACGCCTCTTGCATGATGCTTGGAGCGAACATCCGGTATTTTGAACTTGCTGCAGGACGTGCTGGACCAGGACCAGCTGTCACTGCTCTAGAGGATATTTCGGCATGGTCGCAGACACCTTCAGCGAGGCGATCAGTGCTGCATGCCGCTCACATCTTCAAGCTCCTCTTTGATCGCAAGGTCTCAGACATTGTCAATCCCCACAGCGTTCTGGCGCTCTTCCAAGCTGCGCTCGTCCTCGGCCTTTACATCTTCACCTTGCCTCCCACCACTACCTGCGGAATCAACGACAATTGCATCGAGCTCTTGGATCTCGTCGACTGGTCGCATGTGGGTCAGGTAGGCCTCATCGATAGCGCGCATTCGCCAGGGGCGCAGCTTGGCTTCGGCGACGGTTCAGTGATCAACTTCATTCGGAACAGTGGGCCCTTCAGTATCACAGGTATCGCTCTCGAGGGCGGATATCTCGCTGCGCGAAGAACGCTCCTACATTGCGCAGACCTCATGGACGGCATGGGCCGCTGGAAGAGCAGGACGTTCTCCCAGATCCTCCATATTATGAGCGACGATTTGACGGATGTGGACGGTCCGGATAGCGATGACGCGTGACGGTTACAATCCTCTTCCTTGCTGTCAATCACGTATTTGCGTAGAATTTGGGGAAGGGGATGATTACGGCGCTCTTTAAACACGTTGTATGAATGGTCTTTACCGTTGTGACATGCATTGCACGGGCGTTTCTTTTTGTCGAAACGATGCTCAACGCATCGCGAGCTCTTGTATGGGAAGCATGGCTCTCAAAACTTGGAATCAACGCCCGGCTACGTTATATAGCTATGCGTGTAGTACGAATTCACTTGCCACCGCAAAGTAGCACTACCTGCCATGTCATGATTATCGCACCGCCACCAGCGCATGGAAGACAACTCCTTTGGAGCATTGCCCGCCACAGTAAGCTGCTCCACACGCGTTTTAACCCGCGTATTCCTACCCCATGCGCCCGAATGTGGGGTATGCCCATTCAACCCTCCGAAACGCAATTGCGACGAGACCTTATTTCAGCCGCCATGGACTGCGACGACAACATCACCGCACACCCAGTCCCTCCCACATCACCATCACCATGTTCCTCAGCCTTATCCCGGTCGCGTTCATAGCTGCCTTTGTATGGTACTACAAGCGTATAGCGTGTGCCCGCCCACCAAATGGCTACATATCCGCGCCAGGCCCGAAAGGCCTCCCCATCATCGGCAATGCGCACCAACTGGGCGCGCAACCGCACCGCCAAATCATGGCTTGGGCCTCCCAATACGGCGAAATCTACAAGATCCGCCTCGGCTGGAACGACTGGTACATGCTATGCTCGCCCGATGCGGTGAAAGAAGTCTTGGACAAGCAGTCCAAGGATAGCAGTTCGCGGGCGCCGAGCCCCGTCGCTAGCGATGCGCTGAGCGGCGGGATGCGATTCTTGTTCATGCCGTATGGGAGCGAGTGGAGGAAGTTGAGGGGTATTAGTCATAGATTGCTGACGCCGGCCGTGAGTGCGACGTTCAAGCCGAGTCAGGAGTGGGAGGCGCGGATGCTGCTGGAGGAGGTGCTAAAGGGAGGGGATGTGGAGAGGGGGAATGAGGTTGGGTATAAGGCGGTGAGGAGGTATACGGTTAGTGTTATTATGACGAGTACGTATGGGAGGAGGATTCCCCAGTGGGTGAGTAGAGGAAATCTTCTGGGAGTGTGGTTGAACAGATGCTGATGAGGACAGGAATGCGATGAAGTTCGCGAAATCTATGGCATCATGACCGACTTCTCCAACGTGGCCGCTCCGGGCGCATATTTGGCGGACTCAGTACCCCCACTTGGCAAACTCCCGCCGCGTCTGCAGTGGTGGCGCAAGGGATTGAAACCGCTCTTCGAGCGCCAGGCCAATCTGTGGATGTCCTTCTGGTCGTCGTTGAAAACGCAGATGGAGACCAAGCAAGCACCCGAATGCTTCGTCAAGCAGGTCATTGAAAGCAACTACGAGAAGCAAGGCATCACCGAGCTTCAAGCCGCCTTTCTCGCGGGCTCGCTCATCGAAGCTGGATCCGAGACGACGTCAGCGGGAACAAACGCCGCGATCCTATATCTCTCAGCTTACCCCGAAGTCCGCGCGAAAGCGTACGAAGAGCTCTCGAGAGTCGTAGGCACCTCCCGCTCCCCAGCCTTCGACGACGAAAAAGACTTGCCCTATATCAGAGCCATTGTCAAAGAAACCATGCGCGTCCGCCCCGTCACCAACATCGGCACGCCCCACTACACCACCGGCCCCATAACCTACAAAAACATCTTCATCCCCGCAAACTCCGTCGTCGCCCTCCAGCAATACCCCATCCACTACGACTCCTCCCTCTTCCCAGACCCCGAGCGCTTCAATCCCGATCGCTTCCTCGCCTACCCCGAGAAATCGGGCTTCTACGCCGGCGGGGCCGCTTCGGAGCGTGATCATTGGAATTTTGGTGCGGGGAGACGGATCTGCTCGGGCCTGCATCTTGCGGAGAATAGCATGTTTATTGTGTTGGCGAAGTTGCTGTGGGCGTTTGATATTTGTCCGCCGCTGGATGAGCAGGCGAGGACGATGAAGGTGGATTTGAGCGATGAGGCGTTTGAGCCGGGGGCGAATACGATTCCGAAGCCGTATCGCGTGCGGTGGGTGTGTAGGGGGGAGGAGACGAGAAGGGCCATTGAGAGGGAGGCGATGGAGGCGCGGAGGGAAGGGTATGTGCTGAGGGGAGTGAAGGTAGGGGAGGAGGGGATTGAGGCGTAAGAGAGAAGAGATGGCAGAATGTCGTTAGATGTGGTATGCGAAGTCGGATGCTTTCACTGGCCGTTTGCTTCGTGCCCAGGTGCTGCCCAGGTGCCATGTTTACCTAGCAACGGTCGCGCCTGCCAGCTTGAGCTCACCATAGCAACAGCGCTGCGTCATGGAACGAGCTTCGTTTGCGCTTTGCTCCAGCCGGCCGCTTAAGAAGCCTCAAAGAACCTCAGCCCTGCCCTCGCGCCTGCTTCTGCACCTCAACACCAACATCGCGCCTTGTCGACGTGGCATAACGTCAACATGTTCCGCGTGCCCTCGTCCAGCTCGCCTGGCACGCCAATCGCCGCTTCATCCTCAACTCTGCAAGCCTCATCACCTCCCGCCAGTGAAGGGGATAGCGACGGCATGTGCTCGTCGCCGCATCCCGCTTCTTCGAGTCCCTCCGTCTCTCGGCTCTCACGCGAGTCGCCTGTGTCGGATTCCTGGTCAGACCCTATCAACTCGGTCGAGATGGGCCGTAGTCCATCGCCGCCTCCGCGCTTGCGCCGTCGTCAATCCTCTGAGCAAGATGAGGTCCGCAATATCATGGAGTTGTCCGAGGAGGAGGATAACGAGGAACTGGGTGACGAACACTCTACTACCGAGGCCGAGGCATACGATTATGATCACGATAACATCGAGGACGTGATGAACGTTCCCGGCAAGGTAGCTCCTCCTCAACGGCCCCTAGATCTTCGCCGCGTCTCGCTGGGCGGACGGAAACCCACTCCAGAGGACATTCATCAGCTCGAGATTCGCCGTGCCGAGTTAGAGCACGAGTTGCAGGAAGAGCGTGCTAAGCATGAGCGTATGATGGCTGGAGTCTCGGACGACAATGGACTGATTGTGGACGGGGTTGACCACGACGGTGCGGTCCCTGCGGAGGAATTGGATTCCATTTTGGACAGCGGGAAGGATGGGTGGGTGAGTGTAATCCTGCGGCATCGCATGGGTTCAGTACTAAATGCATGCGAACAGCTCACCGAGGGACAAGCCGCAGTCTCGTCAGACGATGCCATCACCGAGCCATGCACCTCCCCTCCAACTAATCTCCCTGTTCCCCCATTTAACACCCCTACCAGCTCTAACGTCGTTACCACCCCGGGCGGAAAGCACATACAGTTCGCCCTGCAATCCACCGTCCACGACACGCCCTTCACCAAAACCCTCAACTACTTCAAGCAGTTCAAAGGAAAGGAGAACTCGCCTTCGAAATCGCGCCGAAACGCCTCGCTCCCAGAGGAGATTGCTGAGCTCGCGAAGGAGGCGCAAGAGGAGGAGGAGGGGAGTGAGGATCTCGAGATGTATAGAGAGATGGACCTCGCGCCTATGGACCCGGTCGTTGAGACGAGTTCGGCTGGGGATCTGATTATGCTGGGTACGCCGACGAAGCCTGTCGTTAATGCACATGAGAGCGAGGTACGCAGCTCTCTAGATCGGATGCTGGCGGCAAAATCTCCGGCAGACGAAGAGGAAGAAAACGGAGAAGGGAAAGAGGACGCTGCGGGACACAGATACATCTCAAATATTTCAAGGGAGCATTTCGAGGGCAACAAGTCACCCCCGACAATTGCTTGCGGCCTTGGCTCGCCTGAGGACTTCAAGAACATGATTCCCCAGGTAAGTCAATTGCCCTTACCTAGAAAGGCCAGCCACTGATCTAGATTTGCAGATATTCAACGGGCACCTGAAGTCTGAGCGCAACAACAAGTATGAGCTACCGTCTTCGGCAACAGATACTCAGGAAGGAGAGAGCGCCACTCAGTTCCTCAAAGCCGAGGCAGTGTCTGCATTCACAAATGAGGAGCGCATTAAGATGCAGGAGGAAATTGAACACATCGACGAGAGCTTGCGCAAGGGACATTTACTCGGGAAGGACGACTTTGAGAGAATTGCCGTAAGTTACACGCCTCCGAAAATCCGAGTAAGCCATTGACATGACAGGGACCTTGCGGACCTTCTTTCGGAGCTCCGCCGGCCAAGCCAACGCCCTCAGCAACGGGCGAGGAGGACGCGCGTAAGAAACAGCTCATCTTATACCAGGAGGACCCTGTCTTCATCAAGGTTATCGCGATGCTTCCGGCGGCCATGTTCTGGGCTGTCGCCCAGCCGCTTGCGAAGTACTCCGGCAAGGCTTTCGACAAGGTTGTGGAGAAGCTGACGGGGTTGTCGTTGCAATAGGCTGGCGAGACTGGCCGACACGGTAGGATAGATGGCAGTTGGCGGGATCATGGAGACTGGTGGTTGGACTAGGTCTCCTCGCAGACGAAGAGCTCTCCGGTAAGAGTAGAAAGTCGGCAATTCTGGGGTGCTCATCAATGTATGCCATCGTCTAGGCTTTTGGCATAATATCCAGAAATTTCAGCGTTCGCAGTATGTACAACGAGCTCCCACATTTGGTCTGAGTCTGCAACCAGAGCTGGGAGTAATTCGGCGCATGGCGTGGAGATAGTAGTGTTTTAGAGACGGGATTACCTAAGCTCGGTGTTGCGCGCATCACAGAGCTCCGATCAAGCTTTAGCTTCACGGACGAATGTCAGCCCTGCTGCTCTGCGCCCTATATATCTATGATCTTCACACTCTTGATGCTGCTACTGACGAGTAGATGCTCACTCACCTGGCTCTTCGAGCCGCTCCGCGTTCCGTTCTGCGCCTACCAGCCTTCCACCGACGCGCCATGTCTTCCTTCACGCTCGACAAAGACATCTTCAACCCGACGCTCTACAAGAAGATCCTGGATGTGTGGTTCGAAGGCCATGAGCTCGGCGCGAAAGAGATTAACATGGATGTCGTGAAGAGATGGTTTATGGGGTCGCCGGAAGAGAAGCTGGTGTTTGACGGCGTGTGCCGCGAGCACTTTGGACACGCGTTGGAAGCCATTGGGCCCGAACTGTTCCCCAATCCGAATGCGGAGCCTTTCGTACGAGAGATTCAGGAGACGGCGCAGCGGGACACTAAAGGCGACGGCAGCGACACAGCCTGGGCAGCGCTGAGCATCGTTCTGCTCCTAGACCAGGTTCCGCGCAATCTCTTCCGTACGAACGAGGGCCTCGCAAAGGTGTACACCCATTACGACAAGATCTCGCAGTCGCTCGTGAAGACAATGCTATCCCCAGACGCTCCTATCGGACGCCCTGACCTCCACCCTCAATGGCGATTCTCCTTTCCCTACCGTATGTGGTTCTATCTCCCTCTCTTGCATTCCGAGGACATTGACGCTCACGATATGCTGGACGAGATATACGCGAGGCTTGGAGAGGATATGGGGAGGGAGGAGGGCCACGAGGCGGAAAAGGTCTTTCTGGCTCAAAGCATCAAGGCGGAAAAGGAGCACAGGCATATCCTAGACAAGTTTGGACGGTACCCGCACCGTAATTACGCGCTCGGGAGGGAGCCGACGCTTGAGGAGAAGAAATACCTTGAAGAGGGTGGTAATACCTTCGGTGTAGCGCAAGAGAAGCGGGGCTCGTAATTGGCGTAGAACCGGCAGAGCGTGACGCAATTGTAGTGGAGGCATTCTGCTTCTTCTTGTGGGTAGCCCTCAATTTGAATGTCCTCCAGCCTGATAGCTTTGCTTCCGCTGACGCCAGCGCTTGCTCGTCGTTAGATTACTCATCTCTCATAGCTGCATACTTCCCATAGGCGCCAGCCCTGTCCTCTTGCCTACCCCGACCAAACACTTTCGAAGACTTCCCTAATCCGCTCACGAAAGGGAGATCTGCGCCGTTTGCCGTGTATATGGCACATCTTGTTAGATCTCCTAGTAAACACTACAGCTTTCCACGTCCGACGGAACACTAATGACGAGGTGTTCCATCGGATGCGCAAGAACCGTGTACAAGCCTAGAAATTATAGCTCATCAGATCTCTAACGGCATCCGCGGATTAGGTGTAAATCCCATAGGAAGATCCAACGTCCTCTGGAGCGCCTCAAACTAGGTAGCTGACTCATCCGCTTTTCGTCCGGCGTATCCACGCTGCATCAAAGCTCAGAACACGACAGGCCACAACACCATGGAAACGAGGGGGTTCTCCACTTGCGGTAATTCCTTGAGGACACGTCGGTCATTTACGTTGCTACCGGTGCCCCAATGCCTGTACGGAGGCACTCGGCAATTAGTAATACGCTCAGGCAGCAGCAATTCACAGCCTGGCACGTGACGAGGACTGTGGGGAGGAATATAAAGGTGGAGCTGGAGCGCGTAGGAAGCTTCTACGGCAACTCAGAGTAACAACGCTACAACACTCTTAGTGCATCTATCCTACTATCACTGATCCTTCGACTCTGTAATCCCCTAACCTTTCAACCATTACTATGGCACCCTTCGGCATCCTCTACACAACAAACACCTTCCTCCACGCGCGCGTCACCAAGATCCTCGCCGCCGCACACCTCAACAACCTCAACATCACCATTGCTCCCGAGTTTGAGTACGGCGTCACCAACCAAACCCCCGAATACAAAGCCAAGTTCCCCCACGGCAAGATACCTGCTCTGGAGACACCCTCTGGCTTTTACCTCGCCGAGGCCGCCGCCATCGCATACTATGTGTCCGAGTCCGGCCCCTTCAAAGACCAATTGACCGGACGCACGGCGGAGGACAGAGCCCTGGTGCAGATGTGGATGTCCTTTGCAGACTTGGAAGTCTTTCTTAACGCGACGGGTATTCTTGGCCCCATCATGGGTGTCCAGAAGTACATCCCCGAGACGGTTGAGGAGAAAGAGAAGCAGTTCGTTCGTGCGCTGAAGCGCCTGGAGTATCATCTTGCTCAGGAAGGGAAAGTGTGGCTTGTGCGCGACGATGAGTTCAGTCTGGCAGACCTGAGCGTTGCAGCGAGCTTGTACTGGCCGTTGAGATTCTTCATGGATGACGAGTATAGGAAGGAGTACCCGAAGACGATGGGTTGGTGGGAGAGTTTGATGGGCGTGGAGGCTGTGGGGAAGGCATTTGGGGCGCCGGTGAAGCTGTGCGAGCAGAGGCCGCCGGCAGAAGGGAGTAAGCCACCAGCGATGAAGGATCAGTAAATTCGGGAGTTGATCTGGTTCGTCTATCCTATGAGAGTGCAGCTAAAAAAGGGGTATGGCCCGGTTGGTGCGGTTGGTGCACAGGACTAACCCAATCTCAAACGGAGATATGGACACCTCGGGATTAAGACTAGGTTCAGAGTAGACTAAGCCATTCCAAGAAACAATTTCATCTGCAACTACGCACTGGCGGTTAGGCGTGTATGCCGACGTTTCCCACAGAAGTAGTTGCATGTGCCTAGAATGTAAATTATAGATAAAAAGAATAGAGGTACGCCGCTTACACGGTGCATGCCTTTCTGTATTGCGTAAGCTGAGTGTAGCTCGGATGGTGACAACCAGGGTCCAAAAAGACCGCAAAAAGACGGGTCTTGCCGCGATTCGAACGCGGGGCCTCTCGCAAGTGTGCTCAGGAGCAATCCCTAAGCGAGAATCATACCACTAGACCACAAGACCGTGTTGCTGTGATTGATGAAAGAACTGGCGGCATATAAAATAATTAACTCTAGCAAATGCAGCAGGCGTCACCGACGGCTGATGTGGAAGCTTGAAAGAGAGCTCGGTGTTCTGCGGAGCTCGGGCCGAGCTGCTTACCGCGCGATAAAGAGATTGACTCCTCTGCTCCCATATATCAACTTCATTATCCCTTAGAGTTGGAAAGGACGCGACACGCTTCACATTATGTACGAAAGATGTTTGCTGCTTCTGAAGTGTCCGCGCGGCGGCTCATCGCCATGATTGTGGCGCCGAACCCTGCGATCCCGAGCTGTGCCTCGCGCCCTTGTGCAACCTCGACAAGACGAATGCGCCCGCAAATATTTGCTCTCGCCTGAGTGCCGCCTTCGATGGACCCAGTACCTCATACACTTGCTGAGCACCTCAATTCACCCGATTACATGCGAAGCAACTAAAGCAGTCACAATAGTCCGACTATTCGTGCCCGAAGGTAAGCATCGCATCCGCCCTGGGAGGGCACAGCATTGATAGTTTGCAGGAGAAGGATAGCTCCCTCTCACACCAAAACACCCCATGCCGTACCCCGCGGACTCCGGCTTCTACGTCTTCCCTTATTTTAAGAAGGGGTCTATATGTGCTGGTGCCGTGACCGGTATCCTAGCACTCGCGGGCAAATGTCCACCAGGAACCTTCTTGAAATTGGCGGCATACACCAACTCATTTTCCTTGACAGTGAGCGTGGCACAATGGTACGCGTTCAGAGATGTGCGCAAAGCCAACTTCACAAGAGCTGCTGTCGAGCCAAAACCTGCAAAGCTCTGGGAGAACAGCGACGGTTGGACTGTCGATGACGCGGCGCTCCAAATGTGCGCTATTGGTATTCTTGCTGCATTGCGAAAGAAGACCTTCCCGGGCGTAACGGGGTGGAAGCGATATTTTGGAATTGCGAGTACCATGTCCGCTGTTCGATTTAGCGGAGCGCTCTGGGCTTTTCACACGAGTACCCACCCACGCTTTGCAAATTCCAGACAGCAGGTACTATTGAGAGATCAAGAGCTCCGCAGTCTCGCCCACGATGAGAAGTTTACAGCCTCACTGTCACCATTGGGGAAATGGTATCTGTCACACTTTGCGCACGACGAACAACAGCCATCAGCCCAACAGCCTACTGTTCAACCATGTATGGCTACTTTTCCCCTGCCTTTCAACAACACTCCAGTGGAAGGACCCGATTTAAAGGACGGCATGCGAGTGTACCAACAGAGTCCAGACGTGACTGGCACTGTGGCTCTCCAGGAACACATGGATCATCTCGACAAGCTAAGCACGGAGCTTGCCATCGAGCTAGACTATGTCTGGCAACACCTTGCCAAAAAGGAGCACTCCCTCTATCAGATGTCCGCGACGGATGAGACCGAGGATATTGCGCGTCGGGAGCTTCAGCTGCTGAATTCCATCGCCCAGACACTTTGGCTACAGAGAGCATGGTTCGAGTTCTATCTCGCCGATGCGCGCAAAAGCTACGGTCAGTTGATGCAGCGGCGGTCGGGTCACCACGAGCCCTGGACGCCCGCACAGCGCGACGAGTACGGCGTAGACTAGCCGCGTCGTCACAGTCCGCACCTTGCACTGTCGTCGATACGACGGCATTGGGAAAAGGTCAAGATAATACTCGCCAGCCTAGAGCAAGCTACGCAGGGCCGAAATCCTCCTGTCGAGCTTCCGAATGGGGCCGCAAACCCCTTGGAGCAAGTACGGAAGAATGCTGAGGCAACTGAGCGTCTATTGAAGGAATTTGAGGGTCAAGTGCAAAAGGCTGAGCAGATCGCTAGCAATGTGGAGCTCCGCAGATCGTCGTAGGCCATCCGATCGAGAGGAGCGGGTCTTTCTCTCCTTGTTTGTTTCTTTCCTCATCAATTAGCATAACACCAGGGCTGAACCTTGGGAGCCCCCAAGTCCCCACTCGCCTGCCGACTCAGCAAAGAAACTCAACCATACTGTGGCTGGTGGCATGGTGAGCCTAGTCTGGTTCGTGTGGCAGGGACGGCTCGTCAGGGCGGAAAGAGAGGAAAGGATCCTAGAATGAACTGGAATGCTTTGCTAGTTGTGTATGGTGCATGAATGTGACCTTTGACGTCTGCAGGCGGATGACGTAATGTCGTGAAGCTGGAGACGATGTGCGCGGATTTCTTCGCCTCCGACGTCGCTCCGAAAACACCGAATCTCAACGCCATCGCTTTCTCTCTGCGACACTGCGCCCAGGCCTCTGCGACTTCCGAACCTCACTCGCCGTCGTCCGCGAACGTCTGCAATGCATCGCCTCCTTCTGCCAGCCGTCCCCAGGCTGCGTGCCTTCGTCACCCCCAAATGCGCCTCGCCGCTCCGCACGCGACCAACAGCAGCTCCATGCCTCCTCTGCGCACACCGTATACCACCCAAGCCGTCGCAGCAGCGCCGTCAGCAGCATACATCCACTTCAACAGCTTTCGATTCGCGGCCTCTCGAACAAAGGCAAACGCACTACACCTTCTTCCCCGCCACGCTGCCTTCCGGGCCACCGCCACACGGTCCCTTTGACATCGATACAACGGCCCTGAAGCGCGAATTTCTGCGGCTACAGGCGCGTGCGCATCCTGATGTACACCCACCGGAGAACAAGCATAAAGCGCAAGCGCTGAGCGCAAGGATAAACGAGGCGTACAAGACATTGCAGAATCCGCTGCTAAGGGCACAGTATCTGCTCAGCTTGAGAGGGATAGAGGTTGCGGAAGATGAGACAGCCAAGGTAGAAGATCCAGAGCTGTTAATGGAGGTGTTGGAGACGAGGGAGCGGATTGAAGAGGCGGCGGGCGAGGCGGATCTTGCCGAGATGAAGACAGCAAATGATGCGAGGATCGAGGAGAGCGTGAAGATCCTGGAGGACGCCTTTAATAACGATGATGTGGAGTCGGCGAAACACGAGGCTGTGAAGCTGCGGTATTGGATCAACATCAAGGACAGCCTGGATCACTGGGAGAAGGGGAAGCCCGTTGTGCTGGACCACTAGGCGGCATGGCGTTTGACGAGGGGAAACGAGTGTAAGAGTACCATGTGTATGATGCATATACTATGTTCGACAATCAATGAGCATATATCCTGACAGGCGATCCTAACGTCCACCCACTAATGCATAACATCTTAGAGGTTTATCATTTGCGTCTCATACCGTGCAAGCACTACCTCGCATTCACGGCATCCTCTCCGACGCCCCACCCGGCCTCACACGGGCACCGTCAACGGATTCATCACACTCGCACCCCCATCAACCCTCAACTCTGCGCCCGTAATATAGCTCGAAAACCCGCTCGCCAAAAACCCAGCGACCCTGCCCACCTCCTCGGGTCTCCCCGCCCTCTCCAATCCAATAACCCTCTTCTGCGCTTCCTGACTCTGCAGCGTGCTTGGCGGAAACTGCCCCTGTTCCATCTCCTTCATCTTTGCGCCCTTCAAATCCACACCCACATCAATCTGCCCCGCCGTAATCGCATTGATACGCACACCCGTGCCCTTTAGGACGGCTACTCCTGAGCGCACGACACCCAGCGCTGCGTGCGACGACATAGTAAACGCGGGACCCCAGCACCCACCATACGTCCCCGCCACACTGCTCACAATGATAATACTCCCATACGGTACATCCTTGGGCGCGGCGTTCGCATAGCTCCCCTTCTTCGTCGTCTTCTCCATCGCAGCTGGCGCATACTTCAACGCAAAGAAGGCCGGCATGCTATTCGCCTCAAACGCCGCGTACAGATCCTTAGGGCCCGTGCTCGTTATGGAGGGTGGACCCAGAAGACCCGTGGAGGAAGTCCAGACGTCGAGACGCCCCCAGGAGTTGAGCACGTCGTCGATGAGTGCGAGCGTGTCTTCTTCCGAGGTGGTTTTGTAGGGGTAGCCGATCACTTTTGTGTTTGGATAGGCGACGTTGACGGTGCTGGCGAGGTCGGCGTAGGGTTCGTCGGGGTGCGTGGAGCAGGCGTATATGCAGGCTGCGCCGTGGGCTGGAGGGAGTTAGTGAATGCTCTTGTAGCAGTCTGGAGGGCTTCAATGGATAACGAAGAAGCTAGTTGGTCAGGCGTGAGCCTGTATGATGGCTTCATGGCCCTGAACCAAGCTCATCCCGCAAGTGGATCTGACGCTGAAGCCCTTCAATCGTAAGATGCAAGAATCTCCTCACCAGCAAGCTCAGTCACGATAGCCTTCCCCACAGGTTGCGTAGCGCCTGTCACTACACAGACAAAGCCATACTACAACAAAATGGTGGTCAGTTAACCGTCTCTCTCTCCTCTGACCCCAATTCTGGAGGAGCCGCTGCACACTACACTTTTCATCGTTCAAAGCCCATCCTCCACAAAGAAAATACTCACAAGCTTCCCATCCGGCCGATACGGCGAAAAATGTTCCGAATCCATAGCATCACTGACATCCGCCATGCCTAGAACTGAACCGAACAAGGGCCTCTTTCAAGTAACAGCTGGCGACAGAGGGAACAAGACAGCGCGCCCGGGCGCGATTGGGGCATTCATTGTTTTTGCGTGTTCGCAGAAGCAAGATGAGCTGGAAGTGCAATTATGTCACGGACTAAATCCACGGGGCGCGGAGATGCGTAAGAGGCCTGCGATTGTTGGTTGAGGGGCGTCGTGCCTTATCGGGAGCTTATCGCGTTGCGTGGCGGGCTGCAGCTCGGAGTTGGAGGCTCCGCGGCGCGATCCGCGAGCTCTCCTTTTCGCGCCAGTGGACGCTGGATACCAGGGAAAGGAGGAATTGAAATACATCTTTTCGAGTCTATGAGCTTGTTCGGCTCTCTAGGAGGCTATGAAGCCTTCGTCTACCCCCTCCTCGGCTCGTCCCTCTTGAGCACCGAATGCGGGTATCCGCGTCCACACAGTACGAGACGTGTCACATCATCCCAATGGCCTGGACCTGCAGTCGGACACCGCACTGCTAGATTCTCCCCCCTCACGCAATCTTCGCCTTCTCCTCCTCCTGCACCTTCTTCAACTCCTCCCTTGGCGGCAGTTTGTTCGGCCCAAAACTGAGCGGCAACAGCTCCTCCATTGTCCTCACAATAAACTTGCCCTCCCGATTAAACATGAAAATGGGCACATGGAGTTCCAGGAACTCCCTCAGAAATTGGCGACACATGCCGCACGGAGAGCAGAAGTCGTCCATGTCTGTTGATACGCCGATTGCTTTGAAGCTTCCCAGCTTGTGGCCGGACACGATGGCGGTGCCCATTGCGACGCGCTCGGCGCACGTACCGACGGGATAGGAAGCGTTTTCGACGTTCGCGCCGGTTATGATGGGCGGGGAGGAGCTGGAGGTGGAAGAGGTGTGCAGGAGGAGCGATGCGCCCACGCGGAAGAGGGAGTATGGGCCTGTTTGGACATTCTGTTAGCTCCAGCTTCGCTCCAAAATTCTTCTACCACAGACTTCCGTCAATCATTCCTATAACCCCGGGTCTCCGTCAGAAAGCGGGGAGCTTACAATAAGCCACCACCTTCGCCTCAATGCATTTCTCACACAGAACCTGCAATTCCGCGGCCGAGACACCGTGTATCAGCCCATTTTGCTCTGCGACGGGTTCAGCCGCGACAGGCTGGATTGGCGACGGGGTCATGGTGGAAGGGAAGGAGAGAAGAGGCGGGGCGATGATGCGGGAGCTTCAAGATAGCTCGATGACGGATGAGCCGAGGCTTGCCGGAGGCGCTAGACTGGGTTGTTGGGATAGCTATTGATGCCGCTCGAGATGGCTGCGTAGAGGAATGAAAGACAACGGTTTGGGGCGCGGGCTTGGACGTTTTAGTGCTATTTGAATTGTCTGCTTGACGCATTTGGCTTGCTTGCGGATGCGACGAATGCGACGAATGCGATGTGCATATCAAACCGCCCTTTGAGCGCCCTTGCACGTCGAACCTTGGAAGATGGAGATACGTAAGGAATCGCAGGCTAGGTAATGGTACGGGCCAAAGCTGGGATGTCAAACAAACTGATGTCCATAGCAAGGGCTTCAACGTTATAACCGTACGTCAGCAAGTCGAGAAGAGCACTCCAGGCTTCATAGTTCATCCTTATACACCTCCTCACTCCCGTCCGCGCTCTCTCCAGCCTCTTGCTCCCCATCCTTTTCCTCACCCTCCTTCCCGGTTCCCATCCCCCTCCCCTTCTCATCACCGCCCTTCCCGTCCCCATTTCCCTGCTCCTCAATCTCCTCATCCGCCTCGATAATCATCCTAAACTCCCTGCCCCTCGGCGTCTCAATCAAATCCAACTTCCAGCCCTTCCTCCCCGCAATCTTCTGCGAGTTCCTCTTCAGCTTCTCCAAATTGCTCGGATCCATATTCAGCTTCTTAAGCTCCGCGGCTGACATCTGTTTCCCGTCGCTGGTCAGCAGAGTACCCAAGAATGTCTCTTTGCCGCCGCCGACCACGACGCTCTTCTCAATGACTTTGCCCTCGCTGCCGACCAGGATCTGAGCGCCGACTTCGATGCCACCGATGATGGGGCCGCGCTTTGTGTGGCCTTCGGCGCCGGCGTCCATGTTGCGCAGCGGGTTGTCTTCGAATTCTGCGACCAGCCGTTCCGTTTCGCGAATCTTCTCTTCAATTCTATTGACGGCCCAATCGTCCACCTCAGATTCTGCGATGACAGGTTGGCAGGATATAGGGTGGGCGAGGTTCTCTTGTGGAGGGAGGAACGCGATGTCGTTGCAGAGGCGCGGGGTGTAGATGATCATTAGATAGGAGCAGGTGCTGATTTCTTTGATCATGGCGATTTTGTCGGCGGATTGAGGGTTGCAGTGGAACTACATGTAGTGTTAGCACAACACTAAGAATAGGGCTGTCAGGAAAGCTTACCTGCACCTCAATTTTCCGTTCCTTGCCCGTCAGATCGCATTCTGTGCCTCCTGACAGCCGCTGCACCATATACCTACTCGAACCCTTCGTCTCTAGCCGCGGAAGATCTAGGCCCTTCTCTTCATCTTCCCTTTTATTTCCCTCATCGTCTAGCGGGCTCTCCTTGCTACCCTGTTCACCCCCCAATGTCTTCCTCTCCTCCGCCTTCTTCCTCTGCTTATCCGGAAACGTCCCCAAGACGAAGCTCTTCACCGTCGTATCCTCCACCGGAGGGTATATTGGCACCCCGCGACTCGGCGGCAGCTGGTGAAACTGCTTAACCTCATCCTTATAGCAGAAGCTATAGCTCCACCACCCGCTAAGATAGTATATGCAATTCCCGTTCATGCCCTCTAGCAGCTCCCACCCACGATCTGTAGCGCGCATCAATTCTTTCTCCTCCTCGGCTTTTGCTTCTGCGGCGGACGCGGTGCTGTTCTGCGGCGTTTCGTCGGGCAGGATCGGTATGCTGCAGAGGTAGCGCTGTCCTTCTAGTACCACCGGCTCATACGTTTGTTCAAGCACGGCATCTTTGGGCGGCCTGGGCGAGTGCTTGCCCGGCTTGGAGAGGTCTTGTGTTTCTTGCGAATCCGGCGACGCGGAGCTCGTGCTGCGGGATGTGGAGTGCGAGAGGAGCGATGTAGCGGCGTCTTCGGTTATGTATGTGTTCGGAAAAACTACCTCGTACTGTCCGCAATTGTTAGCATGGATCGGGTCCGCTGACCGTGTAGAAGCGCACCTGGGGGAAAGCAAGCAAGTCGTCAAAGACGCTGAACGCATGCTGGCTGGCGAGCGCGATGCGCAGGAACGCGGGGAGAGCCCAAAAGTTCTTCATCGGGAGACGGGGAATGGAGCGAAAGGTGAGAGCAACTCGTGGAGCAATGCGACGTGGAAGGTGAGGTGTAGATATTCCAAGGTTGGAGCCAGGCCACATATCACTAACCTAACCCTCCAGCCAAAAACGGTTAGCCCCATTTCCGCTTCGGCAGTGATGTCTACACCACCACCTGGGCAGGATAGAGCGCTGTTGCGCCAGCCTACAGACAATGGCAATGTTAATTGATAGCGCATTCGCTGGTGTTTGATTGATTTTTGGGCTCTCATTGTATAAACATCTATCCTAGGATCCCGCCGTTGCTCCATACAACAAGACGGTGATGAACATGGAAGCGTCCCTAAAACGTTCCTCTTGCTGCCCCTAGTCCCTAGCCTACTAACATAAAGTCTGTGGCAGAGGCTCATGCCGCCCACTTCTTAGAAAACATAGACGAGCTCCCACCCAGAACTCCGATGAGCCGCCGCCATGCTAAACAAAGGAAATATGTGTAGTGTTGGAAGGAAATTTGTCCGCCAGCGCCCGCTAAAAACAGGGAAATGTTCCACGTACCGTAGGGAGATGTCAAATTTTGGACGAGGACGCGCTGATGTGAAAAGCATATCAGGGATGGTCTTACTCTGGAAGCTTGGCGCCGTAGAGGACGAGGAAGCTCTCACCCGCCGAACGAGGCTCCTTGCCATATCCGAGGTAGAACTCGCACTTGAACTTGAGGCACTCGCCGCTTCGGGAATCGTGGTAGACCTGGATGATATCCCCGTTGTGGAGGTGGCCATAGACCGCGCGACCCTTGTCATCCTTCCTCCGGATATGCTTGCCATTGATTGTGATGCCGGAGGTCGCGCATGTGAAGATGCCGACATGAATATGGTCGAGGCCGGTCCAGTCCTTTCCTTGCTGCGAGAGCTCCTGAACGTTCTCTCCTAGACCGGGCTGCGAGGACCAGAAAAAGATAACGAACGCCGTCTTAGGGACCCGGGTGTCACTCCTGTCCTCGTACACAATCGTATTCGTTGGAAGCCTACCCCATGAAGTCCTACTCTGATCGATGTTCAGAACGAGACTGGGAGCAAAGGAGTCCGCAGTGGCAGAAAGCTTGCCAAGTCGCCGCGGGGGTGGCTTGATGTCCAGCTCAGCAGGAACAAAGGGAACCGCCGCGGTCAGTTCGGCCTCACCCACTTCATCGGGAGGAGTATCAGTCCCATCAGCACCAGACTGCCTAATGGTATCCTCAATGGCGGACGCGCCCACCGTAGCCGCTTGCTGCGCACCCACAAAATCGAAGCCACTGACTTTTGAAGCATACTCAAGCGTGTGCGTGCTTGGGTCGTAAGGATCATAAAAGAACGACGCAGTTTTTGGTAGAGAGATCTGGCGATTCATGCCCGGCCTAGCCTTCGGAGTAGGCTCGCTGATCTGGCTCGCGTCCTTGTCCGAAGTCTCCAGCGAGTTGTGCTGAGGAACATCAGGCGTCTTTGGGGTAGCCGGCTCGTTTGGACTGTGCGGACCGGACCCAGGTGACGCCATGTTCAGGTCCCGTACCATCCACTCTGCCCCAAGCAGGCTTGAAGAAGAGATGCCCCCATCAAGCTGGGGCACAGCGGCGAACGCCTCCTGCCGCTCGCGCTGAGCCCTACTAACTGCTCCACTGGCATTTCGAACGGGTTCCTGAGACCAATCACCGGCAGAACCCTCGTCACAGAGCGCCTCGTTCGCGACCGCGTTCAGCAGGCCGGAGCTGTGCAGCGCGGACTGGCCGATCTCGCCAAAGAGCCGTGGCCGAGAAGGCTTTGGCACAACTTGGAAGCTCTCTTCGCCGCCATCATCCCGCTCCATGTCGTGCTCGGAGTGGAAAGAAGGATCCCTGCTAGAATCATCCCCCTCATCATAGTCCCGCAGCTGATTTCGAGGAAATAGCGGGTCGGTGCGGACGCGCTTCGACTGTCTGCTGTCTATGAGCATTTCGAATTCATGATCGGACAGGATATCGGCTTCTTCGTCGGATTCCGGGATCTCTTCGCCGAGACTCAACTGCGAAAGCTTTTGCTCGGCTCCTTCGGGCTCATCTTCTTCAACGATTGACTGAAGAGTCGGATCGGCGGGGAGGGTAGCGCCATCCCTCAGCCATGGGTGTTTCAAGCATTCCAGCTCCGTTGGGCGAGCAGCGGGATCTGTTTGAAGCATCCGGCAAAGCAGATCAATGCAGTCTTCCGAGACATTGCGTTTCCTGAGTGCAGCCGGATCGAGAGGCGTAGACATGATGTTGTTGTACATCGCCTCACCTGTGGCGTCGGCTATTCCTTTGAAGGGCGGCTCTCCGCAGAGGGCGGTCCACAGCACACCGCCGAATGACCAAATATCCACGGATGAGCTGTACGAATTATATAGTGTTGTCTCGCGTCGACGCTTCTTTCCCTGCCCTTGAAAGTCGGGGAAGACTTCGGGTGCACAATAGAGTAGAGTGCCGCAGAACGTCTTGAGGAAAGTTTCCGCGTGCGTTACGACTTTCGAGAGACCAAAGTCCGAGAGCTTGACCTGCAGGGGATCCAGCTCAGCAATGAGGATGTTGTCCGGCTTGATGTCTCGGTGGGTGATCTTGGAGTGATGTAGGTAGTTCAAAGCGCTCAAGATTTGCTGCGCCATCCGTCGAGCCATGTCTTCACGCATGGGACCCTCGTCGATCAGAAACTTCTGCAGATCCCCATGGCGGACGTACTCCATGATGATGTATAGGTGGTCGCCCTGATCGTGGTACTCGATGAATTCGACAATGTGCGGGTGCCGCAGTGACTCCATGATCTTCATCTCGTTGTCGATTTTCTTATCGAGATGACCGTTCTTCATAAAACGCCGCTTCTCGAGCTCTTTGGCTGCCAGAAGCCTCCCATCCATCTTGGTTGCGAGCTGGTAGACAGTCGCGAAGGCGCCCTTTCCGATTTGACCTGTTCATGCTTAGAAGTCGGGTCTGTACTATCAGTATCATACATACCGATGATGTTATACCGCTCGCCGCCATCCCACTTCATCGAAGGGCCAAGAGCTCGTTTTTGTAGGCGCTGCAAAGCTGTATCTCTCTCTGCACCCGTCTTACAGTCTGATACGAAAACCTCCAAATTCTGGTTGTAACGTAACAAGTGCGAGTTGTGCGGCGGAATGCGAACGAGAAACCTGACGACCTCGGCCTCGTTCGGGTGTGGGATGGTTATCATCGAATTAGGCGTGAGCATGCGTTCCTTATTGAAGCGCTTGTCGCGACCTTTCAGCCAGACATCGTCAACCAATGTACCGTTGGTGGACATATCCTCGATCATGAGGATGTTCTCCAAGTTGGTGTAAATGCGGAAGTGCTGATTGCTGATGCGCTTGCCGGAGTCTTGGCCAAAGACGATGTCTGAGAGGAGTTGATTACGGCCAAAGATGAAGCCAAGATGTTTGTACTTCAACCGACGTGCACTCGACATGCGCAGGGCGAGGTCTGCGGCAGCCCGCGGCGCCTGACCCACGCGCTCTCCGGACTTGCTGATGATGATCGTCTCTTGTTCCTCGATGTCGACGGGTTCTGAATCGAAAGAGTCCAAGGAGTGGTAGAACAGAACATGCTCTTGCGTCGTCTGCGCGGCCATCTCGACTATCTTGATGGCAGCCGGAGTGGCAGGGTGCAAGATCACCAACACATCGGCGATGTCGTTGTCGTCCAGTCCAGAGTGGTTGCGCCCTAGCCGGCGAGGATCGAGCACTTGCTGCGTCGAGGGCTGGGTCGCCTCTTGCGAATCCATGGTGGTGGAAGCTGCAGGGTTAGGTAGGTAGTTTCGAGGGTGCCCTCAGACCGCGTGGTGGCAAGCCAGCGCGATCAGAAAGGCAAGAAGAACGGCTGGGGTAGCACCAACCTTTGGCAACGAGGCAGGCCTTGCGCTGGCAGCTGGCAGCTAGCAGCTGGTTGACTGGTCACCGACGAGTCGTGGGTGAAGGCGTAGGTGAAGGCGTGGGTGGTGGACGCTGCAGGTGGGCGGGCGGTGGGGTTTATATAGTCTAATGCTCAGGCACCGAGTCGCGAAAGTTGCGCGTTCAGAAGGCAGCTAGTCCCGGCCGCGTCCCGTTCCTTCCTATTGCGCCAGCGACTGGAACATCAAATCTTGTTGTTGGGCCAGCACGCCGACGTCGGAGCCCTGGAGTGAAAGTCGGCCAACGGCGCAGAGCTGCCTGCCAGGGCCTGGAAATCGATTTCAGGACCACGGCGGGCACAGGGGTCAGGCACAAGAGTCTTTAATGTCGTCCAAGTTAATGGGACACGCCCACCCGGAGGGGGTTTAGCCAAGCAAGCAATGAGACGTCGGAGTGAAAGCACAATTCGAGGCTCGCACTCACCCGCTCAGCGCAGTCTATCTTTGCCACCCGCCTGGCCGAGACACGGCGTAGTCCAGGCTTCACCCTCTTCTCAACCCTTTACTTCTCCTTCACTCGCCGTATCTAGTATGTTGAGCGTGGGTTTGCGAAGTATCGCGCAGCGGGGGATCCAACCCTGCCCTCGGGCCTGGAAGGTTGCAGTCGCTTTGTAGACGGTTCGAAAGGGTTTCCTAGCGACGGGAAACGCGTACAGCGGCGCTATATAGAAGCGACGCGTGAATAGGGCGTATACGCAAATGCTTCGTTGGAGCGACGAGGGTTGGGATGCTTGAGGCCGGTTGCCCCAGGAACGGTGCCTACAGGCAATTTGTCAGCCCACCGAAAGTCGCAAACAACTACACAAGGCAATTGAGAGAATGCACTGTTCGTACCTTCGCGCAGAGCCAGTATCAGCAGCAAGACAGCCGTTCTGGGGTCGAGAAGCGGTTCTCGAAAATGTTCCGCGAGGTGAGACGCTTCGGACGGGGTCTGCGCGCGTGTGCGCCAGCGCCTCCTATTGGCCAATCCTCGAAGTGGGTCCGCAGGAAACGCAACGCCAGAAAGCTGTCGCAGCTCGCCCAGGCAACCACTTTCGCCACCCGGTCACGTTCCTTGCGCTGACTCGCGACGCGTCTCGAATTTCTGGCTCTTAGTCTAGTCTGCTTTGGTGGCGGGCTCGGTGAGCTGAGATGCCTCGGTATGTTTCCCGTTTCCCATCGCTCACCCCGAACCCCACACCTTCAGGCCTGCTCGAAGCTGTACTGCGACGAGTCGTGCCAAGCTCCTTGCCCGAGACTCCGAGAGATACCTAGGTATTGACTAGTCTTTATATGTTATTCTTCGTTCGCCCGTTACTTCGTGCGCGACAATGCCTTCCTACACCTCCGTCCAGCTCGCCGAGCGGCCCTCGGATCGCATCATCCCCGGCAAAACCTTCACAACGAAGCAGCAACCTGTTCCAGACCCATCCAGCCTAAAACATGGCCAAGTACTCCTCCAGACTCTGTACTTATCCCTCGACCCAGCAATGCGCGGCTGGCTGAATCCCACCCGGTCCTATGTTCCACCCGTACAAATCGGCGAAGTGATGCGCGGTTACGGCATCGGCATCGTCAAAGCATCAAAGTCGCAAAGCTTTCCTGTGGGGTCGTACGCGAGTGGCATGTGCGGATGGTCCGAATACGCAGTCCTCAACGACAAACAGCTTGAATCTCTCCACCTACCACCGGGCGCCGTTCCCACTGACGTCCTCGGCGTACTAGGAATGACGGGACTAACAGCGTACTTCGGCATCCTTGATGTCGGGCAGGTGAAGAAGGGAGATTTTGTCGTGGTCTCGGGCGCTGCCGGCGCGACGGGTAGTGTAGTGGGGCAGATTGCGAAGATTAAGGGAGCGAAAGTCCTGGGACTAGCAGGTGGGGATGATAAGGTTCGGTGGTTGAAGCAGGAGTTGGGTTTTGATGAGGCGTTGAATTACAAGGACCCGGACTTCGCAAAGAAGTTCCGGGCGGCGACCAAGGTAAGGCCTTGCTCTTCACTCACCGGACGCCGCGATTGCTAATATGCGAGAAGGGCTTGATCGATGTATACTTTGATAATGGTATGTCCTCATCCACGCCATGTAAACAACCAGAGGCTAACCATCCCAGTGGGAGGAGAAATCCTAGACATGGCACTCTCAAGAGCAAAGCCTCACGCCCGGTTCGTCATGTGTGGCGCCATTAGCGAATATAACAAGGGAAAACCGCAAGGTCCGAAGGTCAGGAGCGCCTTTTTTTCCCTGTGGCACTTGGACTGACCGCCCGTAGAACTACCTCATGATCATCTCAATGCGCATCCGCATGCAAGGCTTCATCGTAATGGACTACACCGCGCAGTACCCTGAGGCGAAGAAGCAGCTCGCACAGTGGCTGTCTGAAGGGAAGCTCAAGCGGAAAGAAACTATAGTGAACGGCGGTCTAGCGAAGGCGGAACAGGCGCTTGTGGATCTATTCAACGGCGCTAATACAGGTGGGTTCTGTGTGCACTCGACGCGGCACGTTGCTGACTTTCGTAGGGAAACTGCTCGTTGAAGTTGCGAAGCCGGATGAAGTGAAGGCGAAGCTGTGAAACCTGCACTTCGGTGGGTGCTGTACGATTATGAAAGCGAATAATGACAAATTCCGCGACCCTTGCTGCGTATCCAGTCTATCTCTCGTGCTGCTCATGTGGTTCTGCTTGAAGGATAAGTTAGACGCCCCGCACGCAAGCCATAAAGCTTATATGAAGAAGTAGAGGAACTTAATACCGAGTTGTGTGGAGACGGCATGCATGGAAGTATATTCGAGTAGTCTACTAAGCTTCTACGGTCGAACAGGGGCTCTCGGCAGTTCTTTCTGCCACCTGATACTCATACATGTGCACCAAAAGGGTGAACATGATATCCGCCTAATTATCCAGGTGGCCTTACAGGGATCGGGCTTAAGGCCCTGGCTAATCTCACTCCCTTAGACGAGCAGATCATACGGCGATCCTATAATATATTCACAGCATTTGGGGACCATAGGCTCGGGTCGACCCCACTAGACCCGCCGGTAGGAATCTGGGGTGCAGCAAGCTTATATTCTAGACTCGCTGATTTTCCGAACGTGAGTATCCGTTGAAGAAACTGCCAGACTTCTTCACGGCATTGCGTCTTTTTCCTGCAAATCCTGCTTCCGTCGCTCACAATGGCTCGAGCTTTTGCTTTGGCTGCAGTAGCGGCTTCCTTCTATCAGCTCGCACTGAGCCAAAACACCACGAACCCAAACTGTACCGCACTGGACTCGAGCAAGACGTATGACTACATCGTGATTGGCTCTGGTGCCGGAGGCATTCCCATTGCGGACCGATTGAGCGAAGCAGGGCACTCGGTGCTTCTCATCGAGAAAGGCCCACCATCGAGCGGAAGATGGAATGGAACAATGAAGCCAGAATGGCTACTGGGGACCAATTTGACTCGTTTCGATGTTCCTGGCCTCTTCAACGAGATTTGGCATGACCCTGTTGGCGTCGCCTGTGAGGACACTGGTGTGATGGGTGGCTGGTAAGCGTTTTCTAGCAATCTATGTCATGAGTGGTGAAGCACAAGAGCTTTGTATGGACTGACTCTTACGACGCCAGTGTCTTAGGCGGTGGCGTCGCAGTAAACTCTGCGCTATGGTGGAAACCTCACCCCAGAGACTGGGACTACAACTTCCCAACCGGCTGGAAGAACAGCGACATGCAAACGTCCACCGACAAAGTTTTCAAGAGAATTCCTGGCGTAAGTGGTGACCAGTCTTGTTTACAACGACACCCTCCAGTCACGCTAAATCCTTCTGCTGCAGACCTACACTCCTTCCATGGATGGAAAGCTCTACTTGCAACAGGGCTTTGATAGGATATCGAAGGGTCTGGACGCAGCTGGCTTCAAATATGTCGTGGCGAACGAACACTCAGACGAGAAAAACCACACGTACGCTCACAGCACGTTTTTCCTCGAACACGCCGAGAGACAAGGCCCACTGGCGACCTACCTCGTTACGGCGGCGCAGCGTGAGCAGTTCAGTTTGTGGACCAATACGGTGGCCAGAAGGGTAGTCAGGACCGGTGGCCATGTCACTGGTGTCGAATTGGAATGCAATAAGGAAGGGTCCGTTGGTCCTGGGTACTTTGGGACCGTCAAGGTTACTCCCGGAACCGGACGAGTTATTCTTTCTGCGGGGACATTTGGGTCCGCGAAGCTGCTGATGCGAAGTGGGTCGCCAGCTATTGGTATTTGGAGCGCTACTCATGCTGTACAGGTGGCATCGGCCCGACCGACCAACTGCAGATCGTGAATAGCTCTACTATTGATGGCCCTACCATGATCTCGTCGGACCAGTGGATCGATCTTCCGGTCGGCTACAACTTGAATGACCACGTTGGCGTAAGTGTACCAGCCGAGTCTAGACTGCATCGCTGCTCAGGTCACTTACAAATTTATAGACCGACATTCAGATCGCGCATCCGGACATCGTCTTCTACGATTTCTACGCTGCATACCCCAACCCAATTCCGAGTGACGCCGACGCATATCTCAGTAAGACTTTCCTGCAAACCGGATATGAAATCACTACTGACATATTGGACAGAGAACAGGACTGGCATTTTGACCCAAGTAGCCCCTAACCTAGGACCCATAGTAAGGAGCCCCTGATGCGCACACCTATCGGATCCTTGCTCACAAGTCTCCAGTTCTGGCAGCAAATCAACGGATCAGATGGCATTGTCCGGCATATACAGTGGCAAGCTCGCATTGAAGGCAGGACGAACAGTAAGTGCTAGTCCGCACGGGAACCCGGAACAGCGGCACTGACAATGACTAGCCTCCATGACAATCACTCAGTACCTCGGAACGGGAACAGTCTCGCGTGGCCGAGTGGAAATTATGGGGAATATGAACACGCACGTAGCCACTCCGCCGTACCTACGCAACCAGTACGACAAGGAAGCCGTAATCCAGGGCATCGAATACATCAGGGGCGTATTGAGCCAGGTCCAGAACCTGACTTGGGTCGCACCGAGCGTGAACCAAACGACCACTGCATTCGTGAATTCTGTAAGTCTAAGCCATGACCGAGTCGAAAGTGCAGCCCAGATGATGTGCAATACTGACCGATTCTAGATCCCTGCCACGCCCGGATCTCGAAACTCCAACCATTGGGTTGGTTCCTGCACCATCGGTGCCGACGACGGACGCACGGGGGGTAAAGCCGTGGTGGATCTCGACACAAAGGTTTATGGCACGGATAATTTGTTCGTAGTCGATGCGTCCATTTTCCCAGGCATCACGACTGGCAATCCGTCTGCGGCCATTATCATTGCGGCGGAGCGTGCGGCGGAAAAAATCCTGGCTCTCAAAGCACCGACGCATGCCTAGATAGTTTCGAAGGAGAGAAAGAAGGTATGGAAACGGGAAACAAAACTTGCTAGGATAGTACCGTGGAGTAAAATATCGCCAGGATTTCAGGTTCCCCCGGACCCAGTGCTCGGCTGGCCGGCTCCGACTAATGCGGCAGTGCTGGCCTATGCTAACCCCTCTCGTGCATGATTCGTATCATAGGTCGCTCGAGGAAGCCCTGAATAATATATTAGCCTCTTCGAGCTAACCGGCAGATGTATAGCAATGAAATCAGCAGAAAGTCTCACTTCGATAGCAATACTAATACAATCTTTGCGCCAGCCCTTCCTTTTGAGCGTCTCTTGTAGCACAAATGCAAGATCATGCATCTCGATCGGGAACTCAAGAAGCTCGCCGCTGGCCCCGGGGATGACGAGGGCCAGACAAAGTGCCGCTGCTCGTGCGGCTGCGCTATTCCAATCAGTCGATCGCTCGGGTGGGGAAGGCCCAGCATGATGGGCACCTGGTAGCATTCCCTGTGCCTGAGGACGGTGATATGACTGGGGCGTGCGAAGATCGATATCCTCGAAGACGCCTTCGCCTCCATCATGATATTCTTCCCTAAGGCTTGCTTCGGCGTCTTGGTGATCCAAGCTGGAGATCTGGATACCCTCTTGATCCCGTAAGAGGGCGATGAACTGTTCTGTTTCTTGGTTGTAAACTCTTAACTCGGTGTTCAGACCTTGTATTCTCTCCGCATTTTCCTTGATCTGGGCTTCTAATTCGGCGAGCTTCTCATCTGCAGACATGTTGACGTCCGACCGGGTTATACTGATTTGCTCTGTCAATCAGGACGCGCATAAATAGCTTCGTGGATTCGTGGAGGGGCTCCATGTGGTGATGTGGAGGAAACGTCAATAGACATTGCGACGGCTTCGCATTCACAGATGATCAACACAAGCTAACAGCGCGCTTCAATGCGTGGCCTCTTCAAGCAGAGCGATGGAGTGTGACAGGGGAATGCAGCTCAGGAGGATGTCACCGGGGTGAGCTAATTCATTGCCGATGCCATATAGATACTGTGCAACCACAGTTTGCTATATAGATCTAAATGTAAACAGCTAAAATATAAATCTATACATGCTATATCTTGAAGCACTTAGATATACGCTATTTAAAATAATTAGTAGCTTTTCATGTACGTTGGCGATGAAGGTGTTTTTGGTGGGCATCGGCAATGAATTAGCTCATGGGGGTGATGTTGGGGTGAAGCGGCCTGGCCCGTGCACGCTATCCCAATATGGATTAGACTTATCGGTCTGTGCCCTGAGACTCCAGCGCTGCTCGCGGGCCGCCGTTCAACAACCATACCTTCTCATCTGATTGTCATCTCGTTTCCAGCCCCTCAAAGATGAGTCCTGAACTCGAAACCGCCTGGGTCGTGTGAAACCATAAAGCGGTCCCATGCCTCCAGACCGTGGCCGCGCTTCGAAAGCCTGCACAGCATGCCGGAAGCAGAAGACGAGATGTTATGAGACGGCCAGCGGTCGAGCGTGTCTTCGATGTGACCGTCTAGGACAGGCCTGTTCCCTCAGTGATGAACCCCGGCATCACAATGCCGGCGCAGCGACATGGGGCAGCAATGGTGGTCCTAGCAGGCATCCCGACGATGACAGAAGGTATTACTGGACTATCCGATTTCCACCTGCTCTCCTGCTGACCTTCCTAGGATTGAACGCCTCGAGAGGGTAGTAGAGGCCTTGATAAAACGCTTGGATGATGTAGAGTCTGGTAACCCCCCACGAGCACATGCGCCACACCCCCGGGATTCGCCGGTACAGGAAGGAAGCCCGTCCCAGCCACACGTTGAACCAGAGGGAACTGAGCAAAATCCCGCACCGCTTTTTGTGCTTCGCGATGTAACTACCCAGTCAGGCTTTCGAGCTGCGGACCGGACTGCGACGAATACGCCGTCCCGGAGTCTCTCTGACGACATTGTTTTGAAGGGCTTGCTGAGTGAGCAAGATGCGGTCTCGTTACTGGCGGGTTTCCAGGAGAACTATGGTAGGTGGGTGTCTTTCAATCCGGTCACACCAGCAACGCGGCTCCTCGAAGATGTTCGCAAGTCTCCCCTGCTGCTCGCCGCCTGTTGTCTCATAGCCGTTCGCCATACTTCCCAGGACCTTGCGGCGCGCCTCGCACCAAAGCTGTTCAAAGAAGCTAAGACTCTGCTATCTCTCGCACTGCTCACAGTGCCGCAACCAATCGAATTCTTCCAGGCATCTTTGGTATTGAGCTTGTGGTCGACGACTATCGGACAGATTCCATTAGGAATTGACAGCTGGCTGCTAAGTGGATTTGCGCTGCAGCATAGCGTAGCTAGCGGCCTTTTCCCGTCTGAGATGGATGCCAGTAGAACGAGCTTGGGGAAGCAAGAGCTCGACCATCTGTGCATTTGGAATCACCTCTGCCTTGTACATCTTCAGTGCGTCCTCCAGGTCCCATAATGCGTACGCTAATGTCGGCAGCTACTGTGTGGGAACGCGTCGAAAAGCTGTCCTGGACCAAAAAGATGTGGAAAGGTGTCGGTTGATTCTTGGATCCAATCATGCTACCAATTTCGAATCCCGGATGGTAGCAGAGGTGCACCTGTACTGGATTATGTATCAAAGCTGCGGTACAGCTATTGATCTTCCGAAGACGCAGGCGATGCTACATGGTTGGAAGGAAGAGTGGGGATTCCTCTTGGGTAAGCCTCCCTAATCTATCCTACGGCGCCTGTTGCTGAGGTCCCAAGCAGAACAACCCCGATCTCAATTTGTCCACATGGGCTTCTACTTTGCTCAATTGCTAGCTTATGACCAGTCTCTGAAGACTCGCTCCGCCGCGGTTAGAGAATCACTTCTACTGGAAATGGTTCGCTTATCTACCGCCACCATCAATGTGGCAATGGAGTCGACCGACGAGCGGACGCGCCATCTCACGGATCATATATACCACATGATCAGCTTCGCCGCTGTTACACTCTGCCGGCTGCTTCACAATTATGAAGAGCAACTCTCATCATCGCATGATCTCCACGGTCTCGATGGGCTGATCTTGTCGCTGGTATCGTGGCTACACGCCATCGGCCTTCCATGCCATGTGGCGCACACGATGGGCGATGTTGTCGCTGCTTTCCACAAAAAGTTGCGTCCTGATTCTAGTCCCAGCCCTAGCACATCGTATGCTGGAGTTGATCCGGCTATCCAAGACGACTTCGCTCAGCTCTTTCCGGAGTTCTATGGAGCATCTACTTTCGACATGATCAACGGTTCCATGCTTCCGGACTTCCAACCACTCCTCTAAGATGAACGTAATAAAGAACGTCATACGAGCTGTTGAGACGAGGGACATCTATTGAGGGATTCGAAAAGAGCTATACCAAACGCCATCCCGACCCAGCCCAACACTCCGGCTATAGAAACTCAAACTTCGGCGGCAACATACCCTCCTCTTTTCCTCCTCTACACTCAGTTGGGGTGAAGCCAAGGGATCTGTTCTGGTGCGTACTTATACGCTCTGAACAGAGCATTTGCAGGGTATCTAAAGTACCCCTCAATCTCCTTCGCATCCAACCCGGTGTAGTCGGCAAAGTCCGGATTCACATACTCCCACACGATCTCACCTTTCTCTGTCACCTCAAAGATCCTGCCAAAGGCAGCCTCTGTTATCAGAGTGTTGCCGCCGCGAAGCCGCTGCGCTCCCCCCATGAAAGGTGTAAAGAATGTCATTGGATGCGGGTCGCGATACTCCCAGACGATCGACTTGTCCTCGCGAGCGACCTGGATGACTCGAGAGTACGTTGCGCTTTCGTGGCGGCGGAATGTCCCATTGTCGAAGATCAGAATGCTTCCATCCTCCAACTCGCTCGCGCAGTGCTGCTGAGCCAAGACCGTCGAATCAAGGTGCCAAATGACTTCGCCAGTCTCTCTAGAGATGATGATGACCGCGGACACGCTGCGCAGAGAGGCAAGAATGTTGCCGTCTTTTAGTGGGTACACGGAGTTGATGAGCGGCCAGTGTTCGCGAGGATAGTGTGGCTGCAGAGGGAACTTCTTCGGATCAAGATGATCGATCGCTTTCCAGAACCACAGCAGCTCCCCCGACAGGGATACATGCTTGATGCAGTCGGCGTACACCTTGCCGTCCGGCGCCTCGCTGTCCGGGATGCCTCCCAGCACAGCCGTGCCCTTTTCTGGTCCGAGTCCTTCAACAGTGGTATAGAGCAGCTCGCCATTGTCCAAATGATGTTGGTCGTGATGGGCAAGCGGGTCGCGGTGTTCCGATACAACATTGCCGTGTGGGTCAACCTCCATCATTACTCCGCCGCGGTACTTCTGCCAGAGGGGGAACAGTCGAGGTGCATCCGGATGGACACCATTGTAGGCCAGGTTCCCGTTATTCAAGATCTGCGCATGTCGGCCGGGGCGGTAAGGAAGGTCCCATCGATGGACCTCCTGCCCATGATTGTCGATGAGCTTTACGGTGCCGGGGCTCGTGAGGTGCGCGAAGAGCGTGTAGCCTGGGGAGACTTTGCGTGGGTCCACTCCACGAAGTCCGACTCCACGGCGAATCAATGTGCTCTGCTCCATTTGTATCACAGAAAAGCGAAATATGTGTGGAGAAAGAGGCAGAGAAAAGTTCGACGTATCGAATCCTCCGGTGCTGGAAGAGATGTAAAGTGTAAGGCGATGACTTGATGGACCTTCTGGATGTCCTTGCGAGCTCTCGAGGCAATTATACTTATATTTATCGGCAGAGCAGTCTTTTCATGGAGCTTTAGCCCCGCGGCAGCCCGGCTAGTTAGTAGAGTTGATAGATGCAGATCACCAGCCTACCGCGGGATGCCGCGGTGATACGGACCAGCTCGAATCTAGCCTACGGCATACCGCGGCGATAACCTTATCGCGACACTCCATCATGAAATCGCGATATTCCATCAATACCACGAGAAGTTCCATTGGAAACATATAATGGCCGGGGAACTCTACGATGCAGCATCAATCTACCAGTCCACCAAGCAATGGCCTCCAAAGCGGAATACCCCATCGACTCGGAAATGAACTCCAAACAATCTTTCGAAGCACCCTCGAACGATGAGCTTCAGGTCGGCTCGATTGAGAAGACCTCTGGCTTCAAGGCATGGCTGAAGAAGCTGTCTGTTGAGACTGGTGGCATTGAGCGAGTTACGGATGAGGATCGGGCGAAAAATACCTCCAAAGTCTGGAATGCGTGCACATTTTGGTAAGCTACCACCTCTCTTCGTTTATCTCCACACTGCAACACTCAAACCTTTTTTTCGCTTTGGGATGGCTCAGTGACACTTAGCGCAGGGACGGTTTTGGTAGGCGCTAACGATATCCCAGGTTGAGCGCCAACATGGCTGTCGCAACACTCAATACTGGTATGGTTGGAGGAAGCATGGGCCTCTCGTTCTGGGACTGCTTCGCTATCATCATGGCCGTCAACGTAATGGCCTGCCTCTTGCCTGCATGGACCGCAACCTTTGGTCTTACCGGTCTGCGAATGACGACCTTCTCTCGGTACTCTTTCGGCTATTGGGGCAACCTTCTCGTGGTCATTTTCTCCATGATCAGCACGACAGGATGGAATGCCATCAACTCGATCTCCGGTGCTTCGGTGCTCTACGCTCTCTCTGACGGGAAGTGTCCTCAATGGGCCGGCGTCATTATCATCTGCACATCTGTCTTCATCATCTGTGCGTTGGGCATCACCTGGATCCATCGACTCGACGCTTTCCTCTGGATTCCACCGTTCATCGTCTGGTGCGTCGCAGCTGGTACCGGAGCTAAGCACTTCGACGGCAACGCAATCAAGTCGCCTACTGGTGCCGATGGAGCCGCATCGGCATTCTCCTTCATCGCCGTCATTTTCTCGTTCGCCGTCTCTTGGATCAATTGCGCCGCGGATTATAACGTCAAGATGCCCGTCAACACGCCTCGATGGAAGATCTTCGCCGCGACTTACGTCGGAATCTGCGTTCCGACTATCCTGGTCCAAACCCTCGGCGCGGCGCTGTTCACTGGGACGGAGACCAACTATGAGTGGAAGGCTGCCTATCTAGATGCGGGCGTCGGTGGCCCACTGAAAATGGCTCTGCTACCCGCTGGCGGATTCGGGAAATTTCTGCTTGTTCTTGCAGGCTTAAGTTCTATTCCGGTAGGTTTGTCCGTTCGACCATCTTGATGTGGTACTAACGTTCGCAGAACAATATCCCGAACAATTACTCCTTCGCCATGCACACCCAGAACTTTGGCCCCTGGGCACTTCGCATCCCTCGCGTCGCCTTCGTAACCTTCGGCTTCGTCGCTGCCATAACCGTCGGGTGTTGCGCCGCTGCATTCTTCGAAGATACCCTCCAGACTTTCCTGTCAATTATTGGATACTGGACCATCGTCCATCTCGTCGTCATCATTGAAGAGCACATCATCTTCCGCCGCTCAAGATGGTCCAACTACGACTGGGATGCTTGGGCGAGCTGGGAGTTGCTACCATTTGGTTGGGGCGCTATCGGCGCTTTCGCTTTCGGGTTCCTAGGCGCTGCTGTGGGTATGAAAGTCAGTTGGTATACTGGTCCTATTGCTGGCTTGATCGGGAAGAAGGGTGGGAATGTGGGGCATGAGTTGACGGCTCTGTTCTGTGGTGTTTCCTTTCCGGTTTTTAGGTGGATGGAGAAGCGGTGGACGGGAAAATAAGGGAGGCTATACAGGTCACTGCACAAGCTAGAGGTGTGCCTAAGTTCGGATATCAAAGAGGCGGCCAAGGTGAAAGCTATGGACAGTTTTCGCTGGGGTAAATCTTCCCCCAAAGTGTTTTAAGCCCCACTACAAACCGCCCATTTCCAAATCTCTACTCGACCTCAATTTGTTTATTGTGCTCTCACCGAACGCGAGTCTTGGCGCATCTTGCCGAGTCCTTCAACGATCATCACCTCAGCTCTACTGCTCACGACATCAATCCGCTACCCACGACATTAGATACCTAATACTGGCCACCTTCATATCTATCTCTCCTCCAACCAGCCATGGCTGAAATCACCCTTAAGCCGGACCCCGAACCCCGCGACCTCGAAACTGGCCAAGGCTGGACCTGGAAAGTCAAGACATCGGATGAGAAGGCGGGTTATCTGATGCAGAGGCTGGTGAGTCTAGGCTATTGCTGTAGTGCCCGCTGAGGAAGGGGTGCGGAGTGCCTTGGCCCGGGCAATGGCTGACACGGAATAGGAGCGACTGCAAGCCCAGTATGAAGGCCTCGAAAAGGAGCTTCGAGAGACGAAAGAGAGCGCGGAGATGCAATTGAGACAGAAGGAAGATCTAATCGACGTGCTCTCGGGAGAGATTGAAGAGCTAAAAGAGCGACTGTCGACATCAGAGGAGCAGCAGGCCCCGAAGATGCAAGCCCTAGAGGCGAAGTCTCATGAGCAGGCCCAGGAAATTCAAAAGCTCGAGACCCAATCGCAAGAGCAGGCATGCAAAATTCAAAACCTCGAACGAATTATTGAAGATATCAAGGCGCAGACGCGAGCGTCCGGATCCGAGCTCGAGCCATTGAAGAACAGGCTGGTCAAGCTGGAGAGGCACGTTATAAGCGCATTGCATGGGAAGGAGGAAGAAATAGCAGCACTGCAATTCGACTTGAAGGCTGCTAATCAGAGGGTCGAGGAACTGGTCAAGCAAGATGAGGCTCGTGGGCCGGAATTGGAGGAGCTGAAGTCGAGGATCGCTCTGCTGGAGAGGACGCAGCAAGATGCCACTGATACACAAAAGAGGAAGACGCACTACAAGATTGGCCAATATGTCAATATCCGCAGCTTTCCGATCTACATCCGCACGTGCTCCGGTATCCGAACTGTCCTCATACCCCTGAAGGACGCCCAGCTCCCAGCTTCCATCCTCAATCTCGTCGAACAAACGCTTACCCACGCTGAGTCCGGACGCCGTTTTATATTCGGAGATCGAAATATAGGCCGTTGCGTGCACACCACATTCCAGAACTCGCCGCCGGTGTGGGCGAAGGGAGAAGCCGAGGAGGCGGCGTGTTCAATCTGCACGAATGGGAGGAAGGCGTGTTTACTGGTCACAGAGGACAAGACGCTCATACTGCTGCCGCTTGCTAGGGAGCTCAGTGAGGGGCGGGCCTTGACGGAGGAGACGTACTTGTGTCTTGAGGGGAAGGAGGGGGGGCATCAAGGCGCTAAGAGATATGTGGGATAAGTGAGGTAGATGACGTCGATGAGGGTACTGAAGACATCAAGGTTTGCACAGAAATATGCGGAGTGGCCTGGGGTCGGGCTGTTGAACTTGGAAGCTAGGTGAATCAGTGTTGGGTTTTGCGGCTGGAAGTGAAAGCGATTGTATACTCTCGCCTTCACTGCTGCGGGCTGAGTCCCACGCGAAGACGTCACCTAGATTAAATTCTCTCTATGCGTACTCTTCGCGCCGTGACACTCAAATCCCACTCGTGGGCCACCGCAGCAATGGCCGTCTTCGACGAGCTTCCAGAGGAGCTTGTTGAGGATATCGTTGTCCGTCACGCTGGCAATACGAAGACGCTCTCCAGCCTGTCGCTCGTTTCGAAGAAATTCCGTCGCATCACCGAGCCGCACCTTTACGCCAGTGTCAGCGTGCGAACGCGAAGCGTCCCGAAACATGTCTACGTCGCATCACTTGGAGCACTCCGTCGAACCCTTCGTAGCCGGCGCGACCTCTGCCACTACGTGAAGAGCCTGACCGCGACGCACGAGGACCCCGGTGACCTCGAGGAGTGTTCGCGCATTATCGAGGAGCGACTGAAGCGCGAGGGTATGAACGCGTTGTCCTCTTGGGTGCGCTTCAGCAACGTGACCTTGGACTTGCTGGTCAAGCTTCTGCCGAATCTGGAAATGCTGGATTTGTCAGCGTACGCCTTCAACTCGGTCGATCAGATGTTGTTCTGGAAAAACATGCCGTTGCGCCTTCCGGCGTTGAGGTATGTCGACATGGACGTCACGCCAGGGCTGCCGCTTCTGGCTCTCTTTCCCGTGTTTTCGCTCCCGAGCATCGAATCGATCGGCCTGCGACGCGCGACGACTACCCCCCTCCGACTTCAATACATAGTGACGTGGGCGCCGCGTTGGGCGGGCGTTAGCTCCCAGGTGAAACACCTCCTCTTGGACCAGGTCGATATAAATCGCTTCGAGTGGCACATCATCGCGCATGCCTGCAGGGCGCTCATATCAATCCACGATTATGGCCCCTGGGTGGAAGGGCTTGGTATCCAACATGGTCTACACATTCGGCATAGCCGGCCTTACAGATGCGAGATCCGAACACTTCACCCGCCGTGTCTCTTCTACATCGAAGCGCCCGACGCCAAAGAGGAGATGGACACTCCGTGGCCGCTGGAGGACAGAGGCGACAGAGGCTATTTCCGGATTGTGGGCGTGGGAGCCAGGGAAGCGTGGCGACTTGCGATTGCGGTTGGGGTGGTTGGGTCGACGCCTTCAGTGCAACAACCGGATCCGCTGGCGTCTTTCAAGCTTGCGCTCTATGCCTGTGCTTGGGACGTTGCTGACGAGTTTCCACACGCTGCAGTGCTTACGATTTGCTTCGAGGAAATGGATCTTGACATGGCTAACGTAATCACGAATATTGTAGGTCTGTGCCTGAAGCTGAGATTGCACTACTCGCTGCATCTTTCGCGGCCCCCGCATTGCAGAGCGGCGTGCTTGGAACAGACGGGTGGAGCTGAGCAGGAAGTCCCCGTTCACCGGATAGTGGACATGGCTCGATTCAGGAAGGAGAAGAGGTGGCTACCGGCATTCGCGAAGCGCATGAAGGGGTGGCTCCGCGCTTCTACGATGCTCCGAAGTAAGTCCTTGGAAACCGGCTGTCTTTTCTTCGGGGCAACCACTGACCACGCCTGCAGGGTTCCGGCCGAAGCAGTAATTTCCTCCTAACCATTAGTCTTCTAGACTCTCTACCCTAGTGTGCCGTAGTGGCAGTGGGGGGTTATGGGCAGTAGAGCGGTTGGCGGGTTGGTGTTAGTCTTCCAGTGCCGAGTCAAAGGTTTGGACCCGGTTTGCGAGTGATGGTATCGAGAGGTTAGCAAGAGAGGCCTTAAGTAATGGGTCTCTCGAAATGCGAAGCAATGAGATTGATATACGGGCACGAGCATGAGCAAGAGTGACTGGAGGTGGTCGATGTGAATGTCTATTGATTGGCTGGCTAAGCGCCGATTTAGTCTTGACAAACCCCGTGATGATGACAGAGCTAATAGGGCTCGACCTCCGTTATTGCTTCTTCTTTCTTCGAACTTTGAGCCACAGTTAGACCCTTGATACCGCCGCCATGGCACGCAACGGCGAACATACGACTTTGCTGCAAGAACGCTGGAGCGACAAAGAGGATAGTAGACCAGTGATTGTAATTTTTGGCATGGCAAAGAAAGGTAACTGACGCTCAACACCTTCTCAAGCTCGAAGATTATCCAGAAGAGGATCCGCGAGCATAGCCGAGATACAGAAAGCTCGCCAACGTAGCTGTGATAACATGCAGGACATCTACTCTGGCTCCTACGGCTTCAGCATCGAGCAAGTCGGCTTCCTCTACCTCGGTCCCGGATCCGGCTTCCTGTTCGCGGTTTGGTTTCTCGTTCCGCGAATCGACGACGTATACAAGAAGCTTACAGCTAAGCACAGCGAGAAGCCGATGCCCGAATATCGTCTCCCGCTCGCAAATATTGGCGCTGTCTTCATCCCCATGTCGCTCTTCTGGTTTGCATGGACGGTGGAGAAGCACGCTCATTGGTTTGCGTCTATTGCTGGCACCTTCTTCTACGGCATTGGGCAGGTTATGATTCTGAACTGCACGCAAAACTACTACATTGATTCGTTCAAGACGTATGCTGCGAGCGCTATTGCTGCCGGGACGGTGTTCAGATCGCTGGTGGGTGGCGTGGTTCCTCTGCTCGCGCCGAGCTTATTCGATGGGCTGGGGTATGGATGGGGGATTAGCGTCTTCGGCTTCGTCAGTCTGGTGCTGGCTCCTGCTCCCGTGCTCTTCTTCGCATTCGGGGAAAGGATACGGGAGAGGTTTACGGTTAAGTTATAGATCTATTATGTTTAGAGCTCTGAGGGATCGCTAGTGCTCCTCACTTTGGAATCATCAACTGTAGGAATGTGAGCTTATCGATGCATCTACTACCAAAGCCGACACATCATGTCTGTAGGTACGGTCGTTTTCAACCCAGTCTTAGTTCCCGATACCGGATTGGGAATAGCTTTGTGCTCTCTCGGCTGTGGCATGGAATCAGCACATCCCTCTCAAGCTCTGATAAATTCCGCCACGACCCTTTATTCCTGGAAAACGATTGTCACAGAGCAAGGCGAGCTGGGAAGCAGAACAAGTTCGGGCTGACGGGGTAGGTTTTGTTGTCAACTCTGGCGGTCTTCCTCGGCTGGCCGGGACGCTATGTGTAGGAGCTTGCGGTCGAAGTCGACACGGCGAATCCAGTAAACATACTCATCGTTGAGATCCTGCTCGAGCTGGAGGAGTCGAATTTACGGACGCTGGAGGCTTAGGACAGGTATTTGAAGGCTCTAGGCATGTTGGCAGGCGATGTCTTGCAGAGCGCGAAGTGTACCCAATGGCGAGCGTGCTGGTGCTTGTAGTCTGGAAGTTATGGGATCTAAGTTATAAACGCCGGAAGTGCCATGGACATGTACTCAATCCGTTGAGGCACTCAGGCATGGGAGCATTTTCTGCCAGCCCGGCGTTGACCGTATTCCTGCCATGCCAGCAGTCGGAACAGTCTGGGCTCTTACAAGTTCTCATCTAGTCCACTCCACTTTATGTGTATGCTTATCTGATCTAGCTAGTCTACTTGACGCCAAAAGGGAAGGGATATCATGTGTACTGTACCGAAACTGATCAGGCAATGCAACGCTAGAAGTAAATGCCCATGTATACCACCAAAACCACGTGGACCACCCACTGCGAAGACCAAAAGCATGCCCACTCTCTTCACAAAACCCTCTCCTCCACCTCGCGAATCTCTCCCTCCAAGTCCCTGTTGCCCTCCCCGGCTCCCCCACCAACCTGCTCCTTCCCCTTCTCACTCCATTCCCCCGCCGTAACATCTACCTCCCTCGTTGCACACTCTCTCTCATCCGCCATCCTCTTGTAAAACTCATGCTCTTTAATCTCCCCACAGCCCCTCGGCGTCCGACACACGCGTCTCGCCTCCTTAGGCGCCGTCTTCCAAATCACTTCCCTGACCTCTTTACCCACTTTCTCGATAGCGTCCATAGCCCAGATGACATCGAGGTGCTCGTAACCCTCGATGATCTTGGAGTGCACGACGTCGACAAAGGGCTCGCGGTTACGCTCGAAGCGGCGCAGGAGGCGCCGTCCGTCGACGAGATCGTCTGCGCCGCAGACCCAGAGGGCGAAGGGAGGAGTTCGCGGGCCGTACCAGGCGAAGCGGGCGCGGTTGCTGTCGCGGCGTTGGAGGCCGCCGCTTGCGTTGTTGGAGAGGGCGTTGGGGCCTGGTTGCGAGTCGCCCAGTTCGTTGTCTTCGTCGCTGTCGGAGGATTCGGAGGAGCGGGCGAGTTGTTGGTCTTCTTGCTCGTCTTCCCTGTCTTCGATGCTCTTCTCTTCGCGCGTAGCGAGGATGCATTTTTGCTTTGCGAAGCACTCGCGGCCGAGCCACCAGCGCATACTTTCTGCACTGACGTAGACGGGTGCGAACTGGAACATGCGGTCGCGTAGATCCCGCTCCCAGCGGTCGTCGGTCCAGTTGAAGAGAAAGGAGAAGACGCGGTAGCCCATCGCCCCATAGAAGCGTGGGGGTAACATAGAGTGCATAGTCATCATGAAGGGGATGAAAGCGTGGATGCCAAAGATGGCGCGGAACATGCCCGGACTAATGACGCGCATGAACTTGAAATACATCTTTCCGATTAGAGGACCGGCGTAGGCAGCCGGTGCCAAAGCGCAGAATACACTTATCTTTTCACCGATCTCAGGGCGTTGCTCCTTTGCGAGGGCCACGAGACTCTGCGTTGTACCCTGACTATGCGCAATTAGGCCAAGTTTTGGGAAGCCAGTTTCAGTCAGAACGCGCGAGATCAGAGCTGGGAGATCCATGACTCCCATCTGCCTGATGTTCCAGGCCCACATGCGTGGATCCGAATATTTGAGCATCGTGTGGCGCGGGTTGAAGCCACATCGGTTGTTGCCGAGCCAGACGTCATAGCCGGATTTGGCGAGGAAGAAAGCAAGGCTATCGTCATCGTTCGTACAGTAAGCGCCTGCGGACTGGAGAAGGCCGTGGATCATGAGGACCGGGTACTTCTTTTCGCCCGGCGTGTACTGTGAGCCCGCTACGCCATCCGTAGACCCATTGTCGGGAAAAACGTCGGGAGCGTGCGGTGTACGCTCAGACGGCTTCGCTCGTCGGTATTCGCGCGGGGTGTATAAATGCCAAAGCTCGATGATGAAACCATCTTCGGTCTGGACCTCGAATACTTCGCAGTCGAGCCCAACGCGGCGAGCGTAGTATCGGATATCGCAGGGGATCGTGTCCGGACCACCTTCAAGCGGAATGAAGTCGTTTGCAGGGTTGCCTTCCTCGCCGTCCATGACACTCGCGATGAATTCGCCCTTCTTCCCCTGTTTCCAAGCTCTCTCAGCCACCCGTCTGGCTCTTCGCCGTCTATCCTCCTCTTGGTAGAAGGGCCGCCTCTTGTTTGGATTCCTCAGCGTGAGCCGTAGCCACCACCGCTCGGTCACAGTAGGGATGCTGGTGAAGACGGCACCAAGGATGATAACTAGCAGAAAGCAAAGAGATAGTATGGATGAAGAAAACCTAAAAAGCCAGCATTGAAGTCGCCCAAGAAGCGTGGGCGGCCCATACATGGGCATTGGAGGAAACAGCGGATTCGTTCTCGAGGGCGGGTGTTGAGCTCCAAGCGGAGCATCGGCCTTTCCTGATTCCCTTGAATGAGGCTTTTCTGGACGGACGCCATGTATCGTGCCATCCTTGGACTCGCGTGCCTCTGCTTTTACGGGTTCATTTTGCGAAGGATCGCGGTGGTCAACTATGTCTCTCAGCTTGTTAAGCTTCGTGGCCTCGTCGATGGGTACTGCGGGTAATCGTCCTCCATCTGCGGTTTGGATTACGGGATCCTGCGCAGTGACGAATCGAGCCTCGACAGCCTGGGTTGAGCCGGTAGCCTCGTTCTCTTGACCGGGGGCATATTGACCAAGTCTTTCGGCCTGCTGAGCGAACTCAATGGCGGCTTTGGTTTTCGATTTTGTCTTGTCCTCGGCTCTGTGGACCTTTTGCTTGACGAGAGTGGCGCTGGCCATCTTCTCTTGGTAATACGATGCTTAGGGTAACGACGGTGCTGTGGAGAAATGCCATGTGCAAGCGGAGCGGCTGGAGAAGGCGGCAGGCCAACAGGATAGATGAGGAGAGGAAGCAAAAGACTGCAAGATGAGAGAAAAGCGGCGATAATGCGTTGTGTGGCTGCCGATTGACTGCAGACCGGCAGGACTGGTTTGGGGCGGCGGCGCCATGATGTCAGGGGTGTATTCACCCAGTTCCAAGGCGCGGTTCCTGCGCCCAGTTCGTGGTTCTGGCGATAGGCGAGGACGTCCGCGGGCGCCAGGGCGATGACCGCGGCGATTGACCAAAGACCAGGAAATACGGCGGGCTGCAGTGCATCGTAATCCGCAAGGCTGGAGTAGTGGACAGAGGGAGCGCGGATCCGGAGCTGCGCGAAGAGTCCGGCGCGGGGAGCTTGGCGCGTCTGCTAAATGCGAGATGGGGCCTTCATGTGAAGAGGGAGGCTGCGATTCCGCGCATCCTGCTTCTGGATAATCCATTTTCTCCGGTTTGCAGTCCTGCACCGGACGATCCGGCCTGACAGTCGTAGACAGGGCCTCACGCATCGGCTTGCCGAGCAGACGTCGCTGCCGAGGTTCACCTCCTCTTGGCATCTCCGAGCACCTCGACACCTCGATGCGACACTCCAGGAGCCTCCCTCGTCCGCGCTCCGCCCACTGAGCCTTTGCTCCCCTTGACAGAAGATGGCGGTGCCGAATGGCATTATCCATCCCCGCAAGCGGCGGCGGAGAAGGCGCCTCGACCGGCCTGCCATTTCCGCGCGCCTGCTGCTCGACGACCGCATGAAGGGTGAGGTGGGCGTGCTGTCCGAGGACCTCTTCACTGACCTGTTTCCCTGGGCCAAAAGCACCGGTATAATAGCCTCAAGACGGCCATGCGTATGGGCAGACATGGCTGACCACCAGCAGAACCAAACGGGGAGACGCCGGAGTCGCATCGCATCCAGTACGTCGCAATCACGCCGTGGCTACCGAGCTCCATCGTCGCTACCCAAGTCGTGCCGTGGACGATCCTGCCCATCCGGCCGCCCGAGAAAGACGACACGCCAGCGACGCGACCGCATTCGTCCCTGCAAGTCCCCGCCTCGTCGCTTGCGCTGCAGTCCTTCTCGCACACGCTCCACACCCTCTCGCCGAACAAGACCCCGCGACGGGACACGCCGATCGAGATCCGCATATACGACGTGGTGCCGCTCGGCCTGGAGACCGTGTACGTCAATCTTGATACCGACGCTCTGAGGAAGCTGGACCAGGTGCACGCAAAATTCGGTGGCGGCTTTGGGGTCGCGCGACCTAACGGGACACCCAAGGGGCCCAAAGACAGATTTCTGAAGGCCAATGGCTTAGCTGGCAAGCATACCGCTCCAGTGGATTATGTGGCACAGGAGCACGTCTGGAGGAATGCGGTGCGGGATGCGCTCCACTCACCCGCCCTCGTCCATACCGGTGATTTGCTGCCACTGCCTCTTCCGGCGCATCCTATCACACACGTCCCTCCTCCGCCGGCAAAGATCACGGCATGCGAACCTGTGTCCCAAGGGCTCCTCTTGCCCAGCACAAGAATTGTTGTGCTGCAGTCGCACCGCCCCTCGAAACCTGTGCCAGTCCTCCCGCCGGCGAGACCCGCACCCATAGCTAATGGCTTCGGAGACGACGAGTCGGAAGACACATCGAATGAGCAGTTTTACTCGGCCGCCGAGGACCGAGGACCATCACAGAATAACTCCCCTCCAGATGAGGAATCCACAGATAATCTTGAATCTGAGCTTTCCGATGCCGGAGACCTTTCGGATGATTCGGAAGATATCATTTCCCTAAACGCTCCGGTGCTACCACCTCAGTCGTCTGGTGTTCTCTCTTCGTTTGCATCCGCTACCCCGCGACCTGGTCATCTCCATACAAATGGAATTGCTACCCCTGGATCAGTCTTCTCCAGTTTCACTGCCACAACCGCGCGTGGGCCATCCTCAAGAAGCAAGGTCTTCAAGGCCCATGGACTGCTTCAAACCATTCCCGATGAGCTCGTCCACCCCAAGCCGGGCAGCGAAGATGACGAAGAAGCTCGGGTTTTCGTAGACACCAACACGCTTGTCAAAGTCGGATGCTTTTCGGGGGACTGGGTCAAGGTTGAGGTCACTCCGGAGCCGTCACAGCATCCGTTGTTTGGCTTGGGAGCATTTGGAGCAGACCACGAAGACAACACCGAGTGGCGCCCGGTACGGATCTACGGGCTTCCAGAAGGCATGACGAAGAAGGTTGCGCGATACGCCGTCAACAAAACCGAGGATTTTGACCGGAGATCCAGCTTCTCAGGCTTCCAGCCAGCGAGCACTTCTCTCCAAGCTTATCTTTCCCCCATCCTCTTGGCGAACATGGGCAGTCCCTCCCATCTTCGAATCACGACATTATCTCCTCATCAATCTTCCCACCTTCCCAGAAGCGCCATTCAGAAACCGCGGTTGACAAGCTCCTCACTACCGCCCTCAGCCAAGGAAGTCACGCTATTGAAGCTTTCCACACCTCTCTCGTCTGAGCGTCTCCTCCAGCCTAGTCTGTTCGCTGCTCTAAAAGAACATTTCGAACAGAAGCGACGAATAGTCAAGACAGGCGACCTGGTTGGAGTGGCCATCGATGAATCTCTTGGCCGCGCCGTGTTTCAAGCTAGTACTACAGACGACGAACCAGGCAGCGATGATCTGTTATTGAAATCAAAGAAATCCCCCAGCGAAGACTACGCAAGTAGTCAGACTGGTAAACCGAAGGTCGTGGCCTGGTTCAAGATTGGAAACGTCACAACATCGTCCACCGAGCCTCGCGATGATGGAGAACCGGACATATGGGGCGGTGTTGTATCCGTGTGTGCTGCCAGCACCAAGATGGAGATGAACGGAAGTGAGCAGGGGAAGACACCAGCCCCGATCAGCAGTGCGTGGCAATACTACCTCGGTGCAAAGCGATCACCAGCCGGCATGAATCAGAGGACCTTGGCTATCGAGGAACTGCCTAAGCCCTACGTGACCGCACTCCGACGGCGGCTACGGGAGCTTATATCAGCATCCACGAGTCCGAGAGCAATTCATCTGGGGCTCCCGCCTATCGCCATTTTGCTCACGTCTACCCAACGCGGCATTGGAAAATCCACGGTAGCTACGAAGGCCTGCGAAGATCTGGGGCTGCATACGTTTTCCATCGATGCCTTCGATATTCTGAGCGAAGGAGGTGCGGGCGGTAGCGATGTCAAGACGGAAGGCTTCCTGAAAGCGAGAGCGGAGCGCGGATTGAGCTGTGGCGCGGAGTTTACGGCGCTCTTGCTCAAGCACGTCGATTCCCTCAACGCTGATCGGATGAACACTGCTCTTAAGGAAATTCTGGCTGACTCCCGCGTTCTTATCGCAACAACGACCGAGGTTGACAAAGTTCCGGAAGGCATTCGTGGGCTGTTCACGCACGAAATCGAGATGACGGCTCCCGATGAAGGCGAGAGAGAGGGGATCCTGCGCAGCATTATTGAAGATGCTGGTATTCGACTGTCGCCCGATGTCGATCTCGCCAATGTTGCTGTCAAGACTGCGGCTCTTGTAGCTGGCGACTTGGTAGACGTGGTCGATCGCGCGTTGGTGGCGAAGCAAAATCGTATAGAAGCGCTCGCGCTATCAGCGTCCAAGGGATTACCATCCTCCTATACCATCTCGACTAGAGACATCGAGCTCGCGGGAGGCCACTTTAGCAACAGCCTGACGAAAGCGGATTTGGACAGCGCTGTTGAAGCGGCTCGCAAGAACTTTGCTGATGCAATTGGCGCACCGAAGATTCCGAATGTCACTTGGAACGATGTTGGTGGTCTTACCCATGTCAAGGACGCCGTCATGGAGACTATTCAGCTGCCCCTCGCTCGTCCGGAGCTGTTCGCTAAAGGCATGAAGAAGCGTAGTGGCATTCTGTTCTACGGTCCTCCTGGTACTGGAAAGACGCTGCTTGCGAAAGCGATTGCGACCGAATTCTCGCTCAATTTCTTCAGCGTCAAAGGACCGGAGCTGCTCAACATGTACATTGGTGAATCAGAAGCCAACGTGCGGCGCGTGTTCCAGCGCGCGCGCGACGCTCGTCCCTGTGTCGTCTTCTTCGATGAACTAGATTCAGTCGCGCCGAAGCGCGGCAATCAAGGCGACAGCGGCGGTGTCATGGATCGCATTGTCAGCCAGCTGCTTGCTGAGCTCGATGGAATGAGTGATGGCGGCGAGGGCGTCTTCGTCATCGGCGCTACCAATAGGCCAGATTTGCTCGACCAAGCCTTGTTGCGACCTGGCCGATTCGACAAGATGCTGTACTTGGGTGTTTCGGATACGCACGAGAAGCAGCAAACCATTTTGGAGGCACTGACAAGAAAGTATGTAACGCGTCGATCCGGCCTAAGCCATGCGCTAACACTTGTCTCAGATTCACCCTGCATCCCCATCTATCACTCCACCGGGTCGCGTCGGGATTGCCCTTCACGTACACGGGTGCCGACATGTACGCTTTATGCTCCGATGCCATGCTCAAGGCCATCACGCGGCAAGCACGCGCCGTCGACGAGAAAGTTAAGGTGTACAACGCGACGCACACACCACCAATTTCGATTGCTTATTTCTTTGACCACTTGGCAGCCGAGGAGGACACGGCGGTTATGGTCACCGAGGAAGACTTCATGGAGGCGCACAGGGAGCTCGTGCCAAGTGTTAGCGCTGACGAGCTTAAGCACTACGAACGCGTGAGAAAGGCGTTCGAGGGCGTAGGGAAGAAAGAGGAACCGACGGGGAAACCGGCACCGCTCTCGATATCCAACAATGTAAATGGGCCGGCACACGGCTCGTCGTGGAAGGGCAAGGGTAAGGCGAGGGCGCCGCCCGAGGAGGAAGACATGGTTATTCGCACCGAAAACATCGATGCGAACGGATCGGCAGCTGGTGGGAGTGGAAGCGGCGGCAGCAGCGGGAAAGGGAAAGGTAAAGCACCGGTTGCAAATCACGCCAGCAAAAGCAGTGTCGATATCGCAGAGGGAGGATTCGGCGATGCGGCACAGGATGAGGATCTCTATTCTTGAGCATTGCATTTGCGGCACCATCACTTTTTCGCATCTACTACCGGTTCGATGAAATGGCTGTGGATGAAGCTGTAAATACTGGTAATTGTAACGGTAGCGTTTCCCAATATTTGCATAGCCAGCCTGGGTCATGGGAACGGAAGGGTTGCAACAAGCATTCTGAGCAAAGTTCATAGGAGTGAGTGCTCGGGCGAAGCTTGCGTGCGGCGTAGTAGTTGGTTCGGCCGGCGATGCGTCGTGCGCACCTAAACAGGGCTGTGTGAACGATGCAAGCATTCGCGGCTCTCGCTCACTGCAGCCCTACATGCATCGCCATGGGGCGCCTGTCCCCCTGGTCCAATTGCTTATCCCCGACCGTAATCCCGCATTGTGGCTGGGCGGCGAAGGCTGGGCTGTGTGACGTCTGACCTGCCACCCATGTTTCGCACGCGTCGCTTTGTTGCTTTGTCGCTTTGTGTCCAACGACGTTCGCGCTCCCGATTCGAGGATTCGGCTATGCAAAGTGGGACCCTGATCGGCAAGTGATGCTATTCCTGGCCTGGGGCCGTTTGTGGTTGGTTTGTGGAGCGAGCGGGATCGAGGATCCAGAAGGCTGGATGGAGCTGAGGGTTTGCTTAAAAGCCTAGTTTCTCCAGCCTGCTTGGAAGACCATCACTTCATACAGCTCATTACACCCACCGTACACCCGTTTGCAACATACATTCGAGACGCTTGCGTGTTCAGCAAAAGACACCACTCGCTTAGTTGACTGATCGATTCCGACTCACGCCTTCCTTCACTTACCACACATCCACATCCACATCCACAATGAAGTCCTTCGCCCTCGCCGCGGCCGCTGCTGCCCTCTTCTCCACCGCCTACTCCGCAACCGTCACACTCCAGGAGACGCCATGCATACAGAACAACACCAACCTCGAGACCTTCGAGATCGAGCTCGGCAAGCTGGTCGTTAAGGGTACGTTCCTCCTCTCCACCTCACTCTCCCCCTCCAGCGAAGAATCCAAGCTAACTAGAACGCAGACCTCCCCTCCGTCTGCGGCCTCAAGCTCCTCTCCGCCACCGACGCCGACATCAACGCCATCAAATGCCAAGCCTACAAAGACGCCGCCGGCACGCAAAAAGGCAGCGCCGAATTCACATTCGCCTCGCCGGCGCTCATTTCCACGAACCCCGTGCAGGAGGGCAGCATCCTGTGCACGACGGGCGATATTGGGGAGGCTTCGACGCTGGCGGTCGTCACGGCGACAGCGACGGGCACCGGAGGTGGCAGCAGCCCGACGGGTGCGAATGCGACAGTGAGCACGGGCGCGCCGGGTAGCCAGCCTACAGGTAGTGCGACCGGGCCGGGGGCGCCGGATGAGACGGGCGCTGCGGGTGCTATTGGGGTTAGTATTGGAGCGGTGGTCGGGGCTTTTGCGATGTTGATGCTATGAGCCCTGTAAGGCATTGGTAATTGATGGCGGCATATGACGGCGTTTCTTCTGGGCTTTGGATATAATACCATAATTGATCGGCGGGCTGGACTGGACTGGACTGGATTGGAACATCATGATTAGAGAATTGGGTTGGATTGGGTTGGGCCTACATTTGCATGGCAAAGGCGTCTTGCATGTCTCTCCTTAGGGGCTTTCTCTTTTTGAGCTGGGGTGCCACGAGGCACTCTGAGCTAGATTAGCTTAATGAATACTTATTTTACCATCGAATACTCCCCCCACTCTCTCTCTCTCTCCAAGCAAAAAGGATGAACCATTTGCCTATTCGAAAAGCACTGCACCTCACAAGACGAATACCAGGTAGTTAGCTCTTGGAAAGCCCTTCCTGAAACGCTTCACGGGATAAAGCAAGCTCAGCTCCTAATGCATATCGCCACCCCCCTCTGCATACAAAAAAAAGGGCACGGCCGACCCCACCACTTCTGATGTTCTGTGTCAGAAAGTCTCCGACTATGCTTTGCGGCTGCAGAATTAGTAGCATGCGATGATGCGTATGTGTTACATTCCCGAAATCCACCGACTGAAGGAGCAGGCGCGGGGATGACATTTCGGGACAGAGAAGTGCGCCGGGGATTATATGCAGGTCCATGAAACACGATGAAACACCAAGCATGCATGTAGAGAGAAAGGATACGAACAGTTCTCGTCGTGCCAGCCAGGCGGGGAAATGAGTCAGTACGGTACCTTTGTAGGGCATGGGGAAGAACAAGTGCAGGGATAGAAGCATGAGGAAAGGATAAACAGCAAAAGCAATTGCCACTCTCATGGACGGTGCATTATTGCAAAAATTCCGGAGTACCTTTCAACAAGATTCTATTTGCCGCTCTATTCTCTATCTTGTTCGTTTTACATCCTAGAAAAGCCTAACTTATCGACTGCGACTCTTCAACCTCGGCTAGAAGCTGATCTCCTCACCTTCACCGCAATCGCATCTCCATGGGAAGATGTCGCGTTCATCGCAACCTTTTGCCTTAGGGCAAAAATAACACAAACGATGACTACCGAACCGTATATAACAGGCGCCCATATCATCGCCCGTACTCTGAAAGACCTCGGAGTTACTGTCGTCTTCGGTCTGGTCGGCGTGCCAATCTCAGGCGTCGCGGAACAAGCGATCAACTTAGGCATCCGTTTCGTTGGCTTTCGCAACGAACAGGCTGCAAGCTATGCCGCTACCGCTTATGGATATCTGACTGGGAAACCGGGGGTTTGTCTGGTTGTCGGCGGGCCAGGGGTGTTGCATGCGATTGCTGGGGTAAGCGGCATCCCCCAACTCAGGAGAAGTTGGATCCCACACATTCTCCCTTCTCAGTCATACCCAGCAGTTCTCCATGCATTGATATATGTTCACTAATCTTCGAAAAGGTGGGCAATGCATCCGAGAACAACTTCCCACTACTCCTCTTGGGAGGCTCCACAGAAACTCACCTCGTCACCAAAGGGGCCTTTCAAGAGCTCGACTCGATCTCTCTTCTTAAGCCACATACCAAGATCGCCATTCGGCCTTCTAATGCGTCTTCTCTTTCACCTATTGTTGCTAATGCCTACCGAACCTCTTTCTATGGCCGCCCGGGTACGGGATTTGTCGACCTACCAGCCGACATCATCAATGAGCCTCTCGATCCCCAGGCTGCCTCGAATGTCGAAGAAACCCCTGCGGTAGCTGCTCCGCCAAAAGGAGGTGCCGACGAAGCCCGGTTACTGAAAGTCGCCGAGCTCATCAAGCGCGCCAAAGCGCCGCTCGTCCTCATCGGTAAAGGGGCAGCTTACGCGCGGGCCGAAGTACCAATCCGCCATTTCATCGATTCAACACTCCTCGCTTTCCTACCTTCGCCCATGGGAAAGGGAGTGATGCCGGATTCTCACCCACGGAACGTGTCTTCAGCGCGAAGTGCAGCATTAAAAATGGCGGATGTGGTTCTAGTTCTCGGGGCGCGACTGAACTGGATATTCCACTATGGAGAACCGCCGAAGTGGAATCCTGAAGCCAAGTTTATCCAGGTCGATATATCCTCCGAGGAAATGGGTCGCAATGCTGCGGATGCAGAACTTTCTCTTCTGGGAGACGTGTGCATCGTTGTCCAACAGCTCACTCAACACCTTGCGAATTGGACGTACAACCCCTCACTCTCAGATTATTTCTCAGTACTTAAAACCGCGAGGCAAGGGAACGAAGCCATGGCCGCGCGCGCTGCATCTGATCCTTCCCTCCCATTGACCTACGCTAGAGCATTCGACGTCATCAAGACCGCACTGCACTCTTTATCACCGCCTGCTGGAGGTGGGATATGCTACATATCCGAAGGCGCCAACACCATGGACATCTCGCGCTCCATATTTCCTCTCGAACACCCACGTCTCCGCCTCGACGCAGGAACTTACGCGACAATGGGTGTCGGACTACCCTACGCAATCGCAGCCTGGGAATCATACAACGGCCCCGGGGCGCAAGCCTGTTCAGGCCCTGCTAAGCGCAAAAAGGTCGTTGCCATTGAGGGTGATTCGGCCTTCGGCTTCAGCGGTATGGAAGTCGAGACTATGGCGCGCATGGGTATGGATGTCCTGATCTTTGTGATTAACAATGGTGGTATTTACTTCGGCGATTCAAAATCAACGGAAGATTGGGCGGAGCGACAGCAGCGCACTATGAGGGGTGATCCTGGGCTTAGAAGTTGGGCATTGGGCTGGGAGGTCAAGTATGAGAAGCTGGCGGTGGCCTGTGGTGGGATGGGGTTCTTTGTAAGGACTCCGGAGGAGCTAGAGATGGCTACCGTAGCAGGGTTTAACGCGAAGGTGCCAGTTATCGTGAATGTCATTATTCAGAGTGGGAAGGTAGAGAAGCCGGTACGTTTTCCATGCTCCTTGTTCTGTACCAATTGGTATACCATTATGCTGACGCGAAACAGAGTTTTGGATGGCAGACGACTCCCAAAAGGAAGGCAAATAGGACTAAACTGTGAGACCCAATATGATATTCCATGCGTTTAGTTGTCGGGAGCGCCACTCAGCGGGTCGCATCGCGCACCTGCGCATGCCGTGCAACTGCCATGCCCAATCACTGCCTCTTACATCTGCATCTCTGGTTCGATGAATGCAAGGCCGAAAGGTGGAACCTGTATTGCCTAGATCCCAGCCTCGCCTTTACCCCCGCACTTCCACACTCGTCTTTATCGGTTTCATTATGAGATGGCGGAGGCGCCCTTACGGCTTGCGGAAAACATCATCTTGCTCCAGAAACTATGCGACAAACCGGCGGCACCGGCCCGCAACGCCACGGCGACTGACCAAGGCAGCGATGATGGGAGGCAACTGGACGCAAAGCATGAGATTGAAATCGTAGAGTGTCTTGCTTATCTCTCAACTTATAGCAACGAGCCGGAGGACGTCATGGCGCTTTGCCTTGAAGAGCATTCAGATGGGCGGAGTTGCACGATTTCGATTGCAACGAATACGGGCTCTACGGGGTATCTAGAGAAAGGATTACGAAACATGGCAAAGGTTCTGGAGCAGGCGGCGGAGAGTGGGTCATTCATTAAGCGCTAGCTATCGAGTTCTAACTTCATCAGGTCCAGAGACGAACCGCCTCGAGACTTTACTTGAATGTGTCGTGGCTCATGGAAGAAACCGCTTGCTTCGACGATTAGGTCTCGACACTCCAAGCCAGATATTTCAGATGACCACCGCAGGTCACCTTGCTGAAGCTCTTGCTCACTTCGCAAACAACTACAAGAGAGCTGCTCAGACGTACGAGAACGTTTACGCTCTCTCCCGGAAACTCTCAAACCTGGCTCGGCCACTCCTGCATCAGGATCTCTGCTCGACTGCTTCGCTCCTTTCTATCCTCATGACCTTCTCCGACCTCTGGGGTAACCATCACCTTGACATCCGCAGTATCTTCTCCCAAGTAACAAACCGGCAAATGGACCCAAGCAGGAAAGAGCACCTCGAACTGCGCCTCGCACACCTGGGACGCTACGTACCAGCAGCCAAACGTTTGCTCAAATACGCCCGTCAGTTTCCAATTTTTCTGTCTGTTCGAGTGCGCCCAGTCTACGTGGCACCACTCAATCTTTCTCCATATACAAAGGGCATCCCAGCTGTTTCAGCTACCGGTATCCTGAACCGTCACATCCACCGCTCGAAAGATGTGAAAAACCAAGAGGTAACATCCGCTCTGCAACAAGTTCTCCACCGTCGCCCAAAGAAGAGTCTGGCTGCGTGGCAGAAAGATATCCGAGATCAGGTTGTCCACTATCAGTCACTGGGGGGTTATAGGGTCCATGCCGAGATCCAGCTAGTTATGGAGTACGCAAGGCAAGACGACGTGAAGCACCCTCCGCGGGTGCTTAAGTCCAGCAAAAGCGCGTGTTTCTTGTGCAATATGTTCATCAAGATACATGGTAAGTGGTACACGCCGAAGACGCACGGAAAATTGTATAGTCGGTGGATGTTTCCAGCTCTGGATGGTCTTGGACTTGCGAAGAAAAGAAGAAGAGAAATGGCAGATGTCGTCGCTAGGTTTGAAAAGGCAATAGAACAGGAAATCCTCCGGGTTGCGGTGGAGGGAGCTAATCGCCTGAACAATCCAAGGGAGAGCGATATTTTCTCGCTGGCGGCTTCCACTGCGCACTCCGCTTCGGCATCGGGTAGCACCACTACCGAAATTGCAGATGAACCCCATGATGGGCTCTTCAAATCCGAAATCGCAGGCGTCGATGCAAAGGAAGGCATGGCAAAAGGCAGATTGTCCATGGCATCATCCACCACTTCTCTAGAGGAAACGAGTTCCCTCTCAACGCCGTCAGAGGCGGGAAATGGGCCGCGAAGCCGTGAAGACCTACACAATGCTGACCCCTTAGCCTCACCGATTACACCCCAAACGCCGACTCTACCTACACGGCAGACGAGCAAATTCGATACATTGCCAAAAGAGCATCCCCATGAGATCGCTCAGTCTGTGAGCAGGGATGACTTTGCCGCTACACCAACCGTCAACCTCGAACCTGGACTTTCTTACCCCTGGTTATTCACTCAGGGACGTTCTGCCATTCGATTCCATACCACAAGCATCCATCTCGAAGTATCCCAGGCAGAGGCTGCGTCTATAGCGGCGCGAAGCTCTCTCAATTCACCAGACCAAAAGGGGTGCCATATCGGACTGACCGCCACATGGCTTGATTCCGACAAGGGAAAGGAAATCTTAATGCAGTACCGGGATTCTATCGTCGAATTGCAAGGAGAATGGTGGAAGCTGGAACCAGAGGAAGGCATCTTGTTCGGTGTATCGGGTCTGTTGTTCCGGAACGGGGAGCACGTCGTGCAGCTTAAAGCGTCGTATATTCAGACTGAGGAAGGATAGACACAGAGCGAGACTGAGCGGGGATCAATTCGCTGTACGCTTGTCGCTAATGGCGGAACAAAGGAATGCCATGCTCTCTCCTGAAATAATAGTGCCGCAGCGCCATCCCAATGCATGTAGTGTTTGTACATCAATATACAGCTGCTGGCGACCGCTCCTCCTCAACGGCCGGCTCTTGCGTTGCCTACTGCTTCCTTGCGGCCATTGCTTGCTGTACGCTTTCGGTCGTGCTCGGCTGTTGCGCGGGGCGCTTTATGGGCTCGTCCGGCACGATAACGTCGTCGAATTCGTCTTGAGAGATGACGTTGATGGTGTATGTGTCTAAGCAGCGTCAGCACTGGCCATAGCCCACGGGCATTGTAGAGCATACAGATGCCAATTACCAGCGAGCAGATGACGAAGCCGGTTATGGTGTTTTTGATCAGATATGGTGCTCGAGCGCGCAGCAGAGCCGGTTGCGCCCGCATGCGCTCATCGTAGTACGTCGAGCGAAACGGTCGGCTGGCATTGTGAGAAGGGACATTGCGCAGAGGCGACAGGGCACTCACTAGGGCATGGCGACGGCTGGCAGTGTGCACTCCTCTTTGCGGGGACGGAGCAGTGCGTGGTTCGAGGCTCGACTGGACCATGAGGCTCTTCGGGCGCACGGACCGGCTTGGCAGCAGGTGCGTCTGGCAGCCGCTCGCCCTGCAGCGCCCACCGTTCACTCACCACCTGCATCGCCGTAGACTCACCACATTGATTGCGCGCTTCCCTTCTCACACTCCTTCCTCTTCTTACTCGCTTCGGAAATTTGCTGGGGATGCGGTTGGCCTCGGCGGGCGGTGTTTGGGCTTTGTCGCGCTCTCCAGTTTGACATCACAGCGCGTGTGCACAAGCAACCTCTCAGCGTCAAAGGAACAAAGCTCCCCTCTACTTGCACTGCACTCTCTCGCGCAACCATGACTTCTGCCGCGCAGCTGAGCCAGCTGGAGTCGGCGCGCTCGCTGGCGCTGGGCGACGGTAGATACTATCCAACAATCATCCCCGGCGTCCTTCCCATCATCAATCCACATGCGAGCCTCGAGGTACGCCGGTGGGGGGCAGATTTCCTCGCCGAAACGTTTGCCGCGCCTACATGGCCGCCAGACACAAAGGAAACGGTCGCCTTGACGGTCCTGGAGACGCTGAAGGAGTATCTCGAGGTGGTGCAGGACAGCGGCGTCGTCAGGAGCGCCATCCAGGCGGCAGCAAGCATCTACCCGTTAGTTTACAGACACATGTGAGTGAACCCTCCCCCGATCATATAGAACCCGAATAAGCGCCTGAGCGTGCGGCGGCGATTGCCATGTTCCCTCATCCCTACTCTGCTTGCTGCATCCTGCTTCCTTGAAGGACAGTCTCTCATACCTGAATGTGCTTTCAGTATCGCGGACCCCAACGATAGCGGCCACTGGGAGCTCATGGTCGCCATCAAATCGAACATACTGCGGCGGATGGACTCGGCCCTTCCAGGCGTGCGAATATGCTGCATCAAGTTCGTTCAGCAGGTGGTGCTGGTACAGACGCCCGGCACCGTGGATCCCAGGGTAAACTCTGCCCCATCTCAACTATCTGCACAGCAGTCTCACGCCCCACAGCGGCCTGACCACAGCGATATCTCCCTCGCCCTCGTGCCGCGCGAACACCCGCTTATACCGTATGCGAATCTCGAGGCGGAAGGCCACGGCCTACTCGACCGGCTGTTGGACATCATACATGGGGATCACAGGTTAGATAGACTAGCAGACGACGTTAGGATAGCTCTGACTTGGGACAGTGATGCATTGCTGGTCACGGCTGTGCTCAACAGCTTGGGCATGCTGATACAGCGCCGGCCGATTGTCGCGAACAAGATACTGTCGAGCGTCCTCAACTTCAATCCGCTCAAGCTCGCAAACTCGCCCATGACACCGAAGAACAGGGTTATCATGAAGTCGATCGAGCGAACCACCCGAGCTTTGCTTATTAACGTTTTGAAGAGGTACGATCCGCAGTTTCACAGCGTCTTGCCTAGTACTAAATATTATGTCTTCAGGAACCCCGAAAATCCGATTAATGGGCGCATACAGCAATATCTAGAGCGCATACATCGCATGCGCCTTGATGTGTTCGACGAGTCGAACCGCAAGAGACCGGCTCCTGCCGAGCCAACTGACGGGCTGGACTCTGCGAAACGGCAGCGCTTGGGGGCTACCGTGCCTAATAATGCCACCGCTTCTGTCCCCGCCCTGCCACCCGGTCCAGTGAGCTATCGGCAACTTTTTACTCTGGATCCGAACGGCGACACAGCAGGTTTGGACGTGCAAATATTCAGGGATCCAGAGCAGCTTCAAAGGATACTTGTGCCTGTCCTGCAGTCTATTGACGAGACGAAGCTGGCCAATGCTATCAATGTATGTGATGCCCCCTCTTCGCCGTGGGGCGTCCTATGCGCCATCCCTCAGGCTCTGACCCCTCGCATTGTCGCGTCTGTTACACACTGTCACGTGACGCGCCAATGCGGGCGCCGGTGCCCACAGCGACGCATACTTCCAACTCCTGTATTTCTCGTCTTGCATGCGCTGATCTCGTCCTCATAGATTGTTCGCTCTCGCTACTTGGGTCTCGTCCAAGCTACTAGAACCGCCCCTACGCCGGTAGCCCCCGCTATCGATGAAGAAGAGGAATACGAGCCGGACTTTGAGCCCGAAGATGCCGAACAAGCTGTGAACAGGCTCGATAGCCTTCCGCCGACTGACCTCCCTCCCACCCCATCGGCGCCTCTAGTGCCATATAAGCTTCCCGAAGCACCCCCGCTCACAGAACAGGAGGTTCACAAATATGGCGATATGACGGTCCGCCGCGCAATCGGCATGCTCAGCGGAATCGACGAGAAAGAGAAGAGCAAAGGTGCTAAGGGCGGTTTCAACAGGCTTGCTGCAAGCGACTACGGAAGAGACGCTTGGGTTACTATCCTGTCGCGGCTGGCTACGCGTGCCAGTGCCGGCCTTGAGGACCCCAATGAGGGAATCAAAGATGAGTATGCCGTAAAACATGGTAAGGGCAGTCCGTCCATCAGCGACGCGGTGAGAGACGGACTGTATCAGTACATCTTGTACGACTGGAAGAAGCGCATCGACGTCGCAATATCCTGGTTGAACGAGGAATGGTACAACGACACAATCCTTGCACAAGAGGCGAAGAAAGCCGCCAAGGCCAACAGCATCAACGGAAATGTGGGATCTGCGGTGTCCGAAGCACCAAAGGGGCATTACCATCGCTGCACGCTCCGCCTACTGGATGGCATCCTTCCCTACGTCGAACATACAGACAAAGTTCTGCTCCGCCTCCTTTCCGAGATACCGGCTCTCGACCACGAGATCCTGCGCCGCGTCAGGAAGATGGCGGAGGATCCAGAGCGTATTGAGCTGGCCTGCATGGTGCTCCACTACCTGTACCTATTCCGCCCACCAGCAAGAGACGTTGTAGTAGACGTCTTGACGGAGATCTGGAGGACCAACGACCGGGCGAAACCGAGCGCAAGGAAGCATTTGATGCGGTGGAAGCCGGAAGTCCTCCGGGAAGAAGAAGCGAACGGGATGGTGGGAGACGGTGGCGCGGTCAAGAAAGAAGGAGAGACTCAGTTGGAAAAAGAAAGCGCGAACGGTGCGCTTGAAGTGAAGGCTGCTTAGTGAGCGTCTTACGTTCTGGCGGCCAGTGCTCGGTTCCAAGGTTCTATTCAAGATGTGTACAGTTTCTGGAAGGCTTCCGTGGTTATGCATTCATGGGTAAGGTAGGGGCGATTGCGCAAGCGGATACGTCTTCAGTGTTTCTCTGGTGTCTTGACATACCGCCGAGCGAAGACGACTCTGTTTATAGCACAGTACAGTCTGCGGAGCGGGGAGCCAGCTTCCACCATCAGAAAATCAAGCAGAGAAATTCGCGATCACAAATATTCCTGACCTCTCGCAGTTTGTGCGAATTTTTGTTCCATTGCTCAGTTTCGCTCCCAGCGGTGCGGATTCCCGCCGTCTCTTCGCTTCGATGCTCAACCGCGGTACAAGAACGCCTTCTGTGGTTCCATCGCCTAACGACCAGCTTGAATACTACAAATACATTAGCTGGCGACCCAACATCGTTCGTTCCTCGCGGAAACTGCTACGGTAACCAGGGCAGAGACGAATTCGACAACACTTAACGAGGAGGGCTTCCACGCACCGTACGCAACCTGAACCGTTCTTGTTCAAATTTCTTCTTACCCTCTCGTCCTTCGTGCCCCACGCTTTATCCTCCGTTCCGCCTTCCGCTACTGCGGCTTCTCCGTTTATCTCAGCTGTCTCCTCGTTGAGTATATCCCTAGAGTCCGGAGTTAAGCGCAGGTAAATGCGGTCTTTGGCCTTCGAATATAGCACCGTGATAAGCTCTTTCAGAGCGAACTATCTGGGTAGCATCCGTTCCCGCAAGACGTCGTCTCTCCTCCACTTCCCATCCCCTCGTCATTCGGTCCCCTCCATTCAATATTAGGCAAGTATGGCCCTTTACGCCATTGCTCGTCGATTGGAGCTCTTACTTTTGCCTAGATACCCAACTTGTGCACTTGCAAAGGCTCATTCGCTGTCACGATTAAAAACTCCTCACGATTCTTGAAGAACCGCTCCGCTTCTAGTATAGCTGCCTCTTATCGACTAGAGCACTATTCCTACTTGAACCTTCCATTTGTCCTTGATGACCGCTAGGTATGTATGGTGTTCCGCTTAGAGTTCAATTCGCTGACAGTCCGCAGTGACAAACACTAGCTCACAGACTACCGGATTCCTCCCTTTAACTTTCGGTCAGCCTTTTCAAACACATCCACCATCATTTTCCACTTGCATCATAATGGCAGAGGAATTCCCTACTCCACCGTCGAGTGACCAGGCCGAGTCCATCGAGAGCTTTGATCGGTCTTCTAGGTTGTTCATCAGATCGTTCATTTTGTCAATCTTCTCAAGGAAGCCATCGATTAAGACTAATAAGAGCGCTACGTCCACCTCGCCTACCTCCGAAGACCCAGCGCCTGCAGACTCTGTCAGGGCGTCAGAGGAATCAGACAGGATCCACAGTGTTATAGAGGTTGACCCTATCGTTTCAGACGCCCATTTCGACTACGACTACACCCGGCCTTTTAAGACTGAGCGGTCTCCAACCCCTGTCACTCCGACCGATGATGCGGCCAACATAGAGCGGCGTCTAGAATTGGCACTGCCTCCTAAGGACGATTTCCCACCGCCACCAGATGCCATTGAACTACGCGATACGGCTAGAACCGACACCTCGGCGGGAGCTAGGCTAGGAAAGCACGGTAGTGGTCCCGGTTTGGCTTCTATACCTTCAAAAGCAGATCATGTCGCATTCCCCCATAGCCAATGTGTGCCAACAGATACATCGACCGAAGGCCCCATATCTCGAAGACGGCCACTTTCCGCCACGGCAAGGCCTCAACCCAGCCCAGTGACTCCGTATATGCCTCTAAAATCGAAGAAGAGTCTTGGCAGGATTCTGGGCGAGTTCCTCTGCGTGTCCGCAAATCCAGATGACGAATCGTCCACGGACGAACCCACGCCCAGACCTGCTGTGCAATATAGCGTTGCATTAACCCGAAAGCGCACTCAAAAGCGGAGTGGTGGCATGCAGCCTTATTCCAGCGGCGATGGAACCATCTACGTCCCGATGTATGCCAACAAGTCGCACTTAGGGAGCACAATGGGGGAGTCACATAAGGGAAGAGGCGCTAATAGCATGACGTCCAGCCCCAAGAAGAAGAGACCAAGCATGCAGAGAGTAGACAGTGCTATGAGTGTCCGTGTCCCTGATTCACAGCCAAAAATTATGCTCGCGCCAAACAGGTCTGGGACGCGCTCACGCTCGGGGTCGGTTTACAGTCTCAATCCTCTTGCACTGGAGACTCCGTCGAGCCGACGACCCAACCCGAAGCTTCATAGGACAGGAAGCGCAACAGGCAATGACTGGGTCAAGGCATACATTCCCCAGGATAAGCGTTCCTCTGGCGGGAAGCGCCACTCCAACCACCATTCGTCCACGCCGTTTTCTTCCTCCCGCCCTTCCTCACGAAAATCAGCCTCCGATGTACTAGACCACTCATCATCGCCCTCCACCGAGCAGAAATCCTCCGCATCCTTGTCGACAAATACAGATGACCCCGACTCCTCCTCGTCGCAGACGTACGTCACACTGTTACCCAACCCGCTCTTCCAAACCCCCCGTCTTCCCCTCGCCAAGCAGGTCATCGAGAAAGAGCAATCTACCGCCCAAATGGAAGAGGCTAAAAGCTCATCCGCGAGTCGAAACGCCGAGCTGCGCACGACAAGAAGCAGCACAGTGTCGTGCGGCAGGCCAAGCAGGAGCGGATCCAGACGATGCTTTAAGAGGCCGTCAAGAGAGAGACCAAGGCACAGGCTTCACTGGAGTTGGTGACGAGAGGGTTGTATCAGAGCGAAGTTAGAAAGACGGTGAGGTAGTTTGAGGAGGCGGGTTGGTGAAAAGTGTCGCTAGCAGTGAGGGACGCCAGGCGGAGAGTCAAGGACGGAAAGACATGGAAAGGGCAAGGGTAGCCGCAGCATCGACGGGAGGAAACGCTGGTGCTGTGCCCAAGGTTGCTTTTACGATGGGCGGGAAGAAGGTCGATGGGACTTAACCGGCGACCTTTTCAAGCTACATCTAAGCTTAGCCTGGGTCAAAGCTGTGGGAGGTTCGGCTTCGCATACGCAGCTCCTTCTGTCTCATCAAACCGTCTGGGCTTTCCTAATGACATACAATACTCCTTAGTTTCCGCTGGAGTACAAGGTGATGCCTTTGAAGTGGGAGCTGTGCTCCGACTGGCTAAGGATATCCAGGTTAATATCGAGCTTACGCCAGTCGAACTTCTCAATCTTGAAGGGCTTGATGGTAGCCGCTTCGACGAGTTCCTCGCTCAGCGGACTCTTCGTACTGTCGGGGATATTCAGGCTCCTTATCCTTTGACGTCTTTGTCTCTGCGCAACTAGTTGAAGAGGTTTCGCCCCTACCCATATAGACAAGGGCTCTAGAACGTATTAAGATCTAGTAAATAGACAAAGAACAGTATCTTAATAAATAGGAAGTTAGATTTAGAGTAATTTTTAGTAAGCTCTAAGACAAAGCTAGTAAATATTAATGCACAAACACTGCTTACATTAGGATAACGCTGCCGTACTATTATTTCAGGAGAGAGCATATTATCAACTTTTTTTTGTCTCGCCGTTGGCGACTAGTGTACAGCGAGTGATCTTTCAAAGATCGTATTCCCTCAGAGCGTTGTGGCTCTGTCCTGCCACATGGCTCCGTGAACGCCCGAGGCCCTGTGAATGCCCAAGGCTCCGTTCAACGACGACGCCTCTCTTGACGACGAAGAGTCTCTCTCTTCAATGCCCAGTACTCGCTCTCGTCTATACCTTCATCGTATGGCGTAGTATACACAAATACCTTCCAGCCGTCATCCGCGTACGTCCTCATCTGGCCATTGTCGTATAATCCCTTGTACTGTTCGTAAATCTCTTGGGAGCGTCGCCACTGCGCTGGCGAGAAGTACGCAAAGTATTGGCGGGGCCTCGGCAAGTTCCTGGCCGTGTCGGTGTTTGCGATCGTGACGACTGGCTCTGGCTTCGGGAATGTCCCGACCAATTCCTCGTAAAGACTAGGAAAGTCAATCTTTGGGTCGACTTGAAGCGGCGCATAACACGCGGGTATACGCATCGAAGAACTCTTCGGCTCCAAGGAAGATAAGCTATCGTAGCTCATCCAGCTCCAACGGGCTGTATCGGCACCCGCAGCCTCCCTCGCACAAGGTCATCCGGAAAAAAGTCGTATGGCATAGACCGAGCAACCAATATATAGTAGATCGATATCTCGCTGGATTCGTCTCGTTCTCGGCTTTGACCCGGCTCTGTACCAAGGTGGGGGGGTATAGATAAACGGTGAGAGGGCTGTGTAGAGGAGGTGTGATCCGTGGATAGGGTCCGCGGCGGTATTGTGGACCCTCGACGAACCTGACGGGTCCCCCGATCGCCTCCGTGAGGCCCGCGTCGGCCGCACTCCATGCCGTTATCGAGTACACGTCCGTGAGTTCTACGTGAGGTCAGGAAGGCGCTAGAAGCGAAATTTGCTCAGGTATTCTAACGGCTGAGCTGTTACGTCACACCGCTGAACTGTTATTGGCGCCGCTCAGGGTTTGGCATATCAACACTGGCTAATGTCTAAACCACTGTTTCTAAGCCCTCGATATCACCTACATAAAGGTCCTCCTGGAGGCCTTCACTCCCATATCCTGAAGCTAAATGCATCTGCATCGTACCCTGCGCGCGCGCAGGCTCCCATACGTAAAGCCTATTTGTCGAGTTCGGCCACCACGATGACCAATACCACGGAGCCAGTAACGTCACCGCGCAATGTGTACGAGTTCCCAATTCCGAACTCAGCGCGAGACCTGCGTAAACGGAGCCAAGAGCGCAAGGTCGCTCCAGCGCAGAAGCGAATATTGATGCTGGAATTGGTCAATTGCTAAGTCCTCGGGAATACTCTAACCTACACTTTGATATTATCTATGCAAAGGTCCTCCTAAAGGCCTTTACCTCTACATCCTAAGGCTAAACGCATTTACATTGCACTCTAAAGGTTCCCAGGCTTCCGTATGTAACGCCTAAGATTTTAATATGATTCGGGATCGCAAAATCTCGCAAGGTCGCCACTGGAGGTCGCCTGATGCTTTGAGGGTCGGGAACCTCCATCTCAGGGCCTGGGGTTCTTATCTCAATGGACAGCGACCTTGCGAGCTTCTGCGATCCCCAAACCTAAACAACTAAGAGAAACGAGACGTACAGGTAATATGGTGCACACAGTATGTACGACAGATATATAAATGAATAATATGGAACTAGCTACAATACAAACAGGTCAAGGCTGGATAATCCAGAACCCCATATCCTGCCAATCTACTTCGCGGCCCCGTTGCTGGTCGGGCAGGGGAAAGAAGCAGAGCACGTAGCAGTCGTTGTGGGCCACCACCCGAGCGCAAGGGTGGAAAGCTGATACACACCTTGCGCAAGCATGCCCGTCCGGTGCCCTCTGTGTGCGCCCTGCGTGAAAGACCTTTTCGTTCACACACCACCCTCCCCTCGCCTGCTCGCTCCTGCTGGCGATCCTGACCATGTGAACGTATGCACTGTGCTGCCTAGCCTGTTTGTCTGTATACTTCGAATTTGGCTTGACTTGGAACGCCTGCTCGAAAAGGTTTCTCAGGGGCACTTCGGTGGCCATCGGGAGGTCGGTGAAGGGTACGAAATCGGCTCCGTATTGGTTAGGGACGTGCAAAATCCACTCGATATCGTCAGCGGGGATTTCCCCCTTGCGCGGGGTCCCTTTGGGCGGGCGGCTACCCCTTCTCACCGTTGCCACGCGGCTCGGCGTGGGGGCCATTGGCTCCGTATCCCCAAGCTGAAGGGGAGCTGGGGTCACGAGGTGCGGGAGCAATTGCACACCTTCAGGACGGATAGGAGAGAGGACAGGGCTCCGTATGCCGCCTCTGACGCGCGCGGTATTGCTGGGCGCGGTGCGTGGTACGCCTTGTCTCGTCTCGAACGGGTCAACGCTTGCGGGCCCCAGAGTGTTCCGGAGCGGTGTTGCGATTGGCTTTATTGACGCTCGTGGAAGTGGGCGAGAATTAGGCTCCGTATCCAACAGCCGGAGGGGAGCCGGAGTACTATCAAAGTGTGTGGCTAGAGGAAAGCGGTGAGCATCCCCTATGATCTCTCTGATAGAGTCGAGATCATGCTGGCGGCTCCGTGCGATGGCCTTGTAGTGATTCGTGGCAGCCTCGGACCTCTCCAGGGCTTGCTCTAGCATAGTCTTATCCAGGGCCAGGCGTTCATTGTCCTCGAGGACTCGGTCCAGGCGGCTCTGTAGGTCATTGGAATTGGCGATATCCAAACCGACCTCTGGGTCGGCAGCAGTGACTTTCGCCTGGAGGTCGACGACTTCAGATCGGAGGCTCCGTTCGCTGCCCTCGGCGCTGTCGAGCTTGAGCTGCAGCTCGTCGATTTCCTCCTCCTTAGCCAGGACCTTCTCGTGCGCTGCCTTAAAGGCTGCTGTTCTTGGTCAGCTACAGGCGGCCGTCACCGGCGTCCTGACTCACCTTGAAGCACTTTGATTATCTCTCTTGCAGCCCCGAGCTTCTTGTACGCGAGGAGAGCCTCGTCGGCGAATTTGACGCACCGTTTGGCGAGGTCGTGCTTCACCATAAAGTCCTTCGGCTCCAGCGGAAGCTGGGCCATCCGCATCTTGACGGCTAGGATATGGAGCGGCTCGGTATTCATTGCAACAAAGGGAATGCAGGTGACAGAAGGATTTCAGGGTGGAGGACGAAGAGGAGGAGGAAAGATTTCGCCCAGGTGTGGTGGGACGACGTTTGCCACCTTGCCACCGTCGAGAGGGAAGGGGCACCCAGAAGCGCGCTAACCCAGAACAGAAATCCGTCAACAACGGATACGCTCAGAGTACGCAAATGGGACGACCCAATGAGGTAGATTCAGCGGATCTTCTCTTAATATCGGCGTCTTTTGAGCCCTTTCGTGCGTAGGCGTAGTCAGCATAACCTCTATAGGTTGGTGACTCGAAACGAGAAAAATCGACCCACCAATCGGCGAGGAGACAGATGTATTTGCATGAAGGGTATTCTAGCTCAGAGTGCGCTACCAGGGAGGCTCCGTGAGCTGCCCTCACCACCCTCACCCATGATCCCTCCCATAACATCCCCAATGACCGCCTCCAGCTGTGACTTTGCCACCTGTTCCCGAACTGTCGCTGCCTCAGCCCACAGTTGGAGCACTTCAGTGCGGGGGGATGCTTCAGCATCTAGTCGTGCGGCTCGTGCCTCCAAGGAGGCGACCCGGTAAGAAGCTCGGCGGAGTTCGAGGGGGTCTTTCAGAGGCTCCGTGACGTCTTCTGTCGGGTTGGCCCGGATGGTCAGCCTAGATGAGCAAGGAAGGGACGAAGAAAATGTACCAGACGTATATCCTTGAGAGAGACTTAGGCTCAGACTCTCCTGTGAAGCACCTCCAAAGCCCCCGGTGGCTCTGCGGAGGCTCTCAGCCTGCTGTCCAGGGCAGGGCGTGGTGCAGCCGCTTCTCTGTGGGGGTGTGAAAGCCTTCAAGCTCTTGAATCTGATCTGGTCGGCGGAAACGACGACGAAAAAGCGGTTTGTTGGTGAGGCTTGCGACGGATGGGCTGTATGCATTGTGCAGCTAATTTTGCCACCTGCCCGTTAAAGGGAGCCGCGCCTGTTGCGCAGTTGCCTGTGGATCTTGACTCATGTGACCGGTGCTGGCGAGCAGGTCATTTGAACTTTCCCACAACACCACAGAGTCAAAACGTCCTTTCCACCTACACACCACGCATTCGCCCGCAATGCGGTACCAAAATCCTTCTCGCAATGCAGCGGTGGCAGCCTCCGACGTGCCCAACGCCGCATACGACCTAACTCACTGTAAGTTAACCCACCCTCAGTGGAGTACTACGCCAGATCCTGGGTACGAAGCCTCGGCATGCACCACATGGCCAAACGCATGGCTACCCACTGGTCGTAGGCAGAGCCACCGCCCCAGTTACCATCTTGCTGAGCGTCTTCTGCAACGTCAGGAAAGCAACCCTTGATCTGCATTGAGACGACTCAATACAAAAGATCACTCGGGGGCAGGGGGGGGGGGTTAAGTCAAGAATTTGGTGAAGGAAGATGAGTTCGTGGTATTCAAGCATGTCCAGCTTTATGACTACCAATCACGTCATACTAATTCCACACATTCAGGAAAACGACCGATTTTCAACAAAACTTGTATGCTTTTGGTTGGAAATGTCTATCCACACTAAAAATACGAAAGGGACAAAGAATGCGCATCTGGATATCTCTTGCTATGTACGATAAAAGAAGAAAAGAAACAGTGCCAGCACTCATTGCATCACGTGCGAGCTTTATTACACCCTAGCCTGCACCTGCTGGAAGCGCATCTCATCTCCATTCACACTGGCGGCAAGCTTCAATGCCCTCAGCCCAGGAGGCACAACGGGCATCCCCGGCACCGGCGGCGGAGGCTCATCTCCACTCATCTTCCTGCGCGAGCTAGCCGATATGGAGCTTAGGGCTAGCGAGGCGCGTGGTGAAGCGGGAAGAGGCGTGCTGCTGCGTGGCGGCTGACGGCGGTTGAGATGTGCCATCGCTGCGTTCATGGCATTGGAGGCACTCACGGGCGGGGATGTGGACGAGGGAGCAGGCGGCATCTGTGGAAGCTGCGGGAGGTCTTTCGTGGGCGGAGCCGAGGGCTGACGGTGATTGAGTTGGAAGCTCTTCTCGAGTGAGGGAGTGCGGGTCCGGACGCGCAAGGGTGCAGGAGCAGGGAGAGGAGACGTGGAGCCAGTGCCCGTGTTGCCTCGGACGCGAAGGCTCTGGGTAGCGCGGTTCGAGACGACACTGGGTGTTTGTGTGTGACTGCGCGAGACAGCAGACGGTGCTTGTTGTGGGTGCTTCCCGTACGTTGCCATCAAGCTCGCGAAGTCGTACTCGGCGGGTAAGCGGCTCAGGCGACGGATGGTCGACATGTTGTCGTTGATAAAGGTTGACATGCGTCTCAGCGCAGTGCCCTGCTGTTGCATGTCGAAGGTACTTGGAGCTTGAGTGTTGTTAGCTGCGCGAGCTGTATGCATATCGGCGAGGCGCCGAGGCTGTTGAGGCACAGGATCTTGGTACACCGACATGCTCTGCGGGCTGAGCTGAAGCGTCTGCTGTGCACTGGCGAAGATCTGGGCAAAATCGACTTCGACGCCGTTAGGGCCGGGCCTAGATCGGAGACCTGGTGACAGGCCGTCACTGGCAGACATGGAAGGAGGTTTCGCGAGCACGAAGAATGAACCATCGGCGATCTTGCGGCGAACGTTGTTCCAGCGCGTGCGCGCGGGGTTGTTCTCGATTTCCGGACGGTAGATCGACTCTTGAGAGAGGGCGGCGTAGTAGGCTTCAAGACGAGCCCCGATCCTCTCAAGAACGGTCAGAAGGTAGGAAGCGAGCTTGACCTGACAAGATGCATCAGCCCAGATTCTGTTAGATCGGACAGGCCCTATGCTCACCTGCTTTGAAGACGCGGGCTCGTCCATGGATGCGATCATGTCAAAAGCGTCCATGCCTTGACCGGCCTCATCCCGGATCTGCTCGAGGAAGGACACATCCAGCTCGGTGACCGTCTGAGCGTACCGTAGGATGCCATTCTCGTGGAAACGGGCCGATTTGCTGTTGTTGGAAACAAACTGGCCGATGTGGGAGACCTCCTGCATCGCTCTCGTGGCATCAGGAGACGAGTGTGCGCGGGTGATAGTGCCGATAATATCTGGTAAGCGGACATTCGGCGCTACGGCGTTGGCCATGGTGAACGACAGCTTGAGATAGATCTCCTGGAGCTTGGCCTGCGAAAGAGTTAGTGATGAGAGTAGGGTAGTCTAAGACGGACCACTGACCCCAAATAAAGTGGAGAAGCCACCCTGCATCAGCCTGCTCTGAAACTGATAGAACTTCCGCACTCCGCCAATGTTGAACAGACCACCAGAAAACCAGATCTTTGAATCTTCTAGGATGTTATTCGCTTCGAAGTAGAGAGTGGTGAGGCTCTCGACACTGGTTCGGAGATATTGGTACCACATGTCGTAAAGACGGCTGATCTCGGAGGAGCGGAAGTCGGGCTTCATGGAGAGATGACCGATGAAGTACTTTGAGAGAAGCGATGAAACTTCGGGGTTCGTCTGCGATGGTTAATAAGACGTTGAGCGTGAAGCGGGGCATACTGACGTCGTGAGCGAGTTCATGGAAGGTCTTTGTCGCATCGAAACCGGCACTGGCCGCAACGATGAGCGTTCCACCTGGATGCATTGGGAGGAAGTCGGTAACATCGTAAACGCCGCCGTGAACCCCAATCCACATCCTTGAGCCCTTCCGGTGGCCGGTATGAGCAGCAAGCTTAGACATAGGGATCGTAGGCGTAGAGCTGGAGATGGCCCGAGGCGTCATAAAGATGTCTAAACAAATCATTAGAACTAAGTCTGCTGGATCAAGGAAGTACTTACCTAGCATGAAGCGCCGTTCCGCAAAAGCCGTAGCGAGAAGGGAGTCGGCTGTCGATTGCGTAGATGCCTGATACTTATAGATCGCCTGTTTGATGCCGGACATGACAGTTTCATACACAGATACCGAACCGCAGATGTAGAGATACCCGCCGAGCCCGCCTTGGGTCTTCGACATGACAAGCTCGGACACGAGACGGCCCTGGTCGACGATCGTCGCATCGATGTACCGGGGTTCCATGTCCTGCTCGACCAGCTCCCTCATCGCATGATCGTAGACCAAGCCTCTGCGGTCCCGCGAAAACGCGGTGTGAAGCTCCAAGGATCCTTCCTGTACAAGACCTCGAAGTTCTGCCTCGTGAACGAACTTCTCGCGGGACTGAACGCCAAGGAAGAGAATGTTCCTGCCGATTCCACTCTGGACGCGCTTCTGCCAGAACCCGCGGAAGGGCGCGATACCAGAGCCACCTGCAAACATTGCGACGGGTACGGTTGTCGAAGGAGGCAGCTGGAATTGGATCGGTCTGGACACACCAATCAACACGGCCTGATCATCTGCAGCGTCGCAAGGGTACTCCATCAGCCCAGGCGATGGGTTGAGAAAACCGCTGGACACGCCGTACAATGGCAAGGCCGGTTGCACGCCGTGGAAGATTGGATCGCGTGGGGTTTCGGTCCGAGATACAGTGAGATCGATCATGCTCGGGAGGAGTTCGCTCGAAGAGTTGGAGATGGAGTACGTCCGAGGTACCTCAAGCGAGATGAGTTTCGGCAGCCAGGCGAGGTTATAGAGATCGAAAGCGCGGTCCCAAATGTCTTGCGGTACCTCCGCAATGGCGGTCTGGAGAAGATCACCTACGCTTCCCTTCACTGGCCATTCGTTCGAAGCGAGGATTTTGAGCGTGGTTTGACAGGAGGCCCGGAGCATTTGATGGATCTGTGACGATTTAGCACGAAGTGGACAAGCGGGTAGAGGATTCCTACTTGGAGTACGAGCTCCTTCGTCAGAGGCGCCAGGTGACCTCTCTTCAGGATGTCTCTCACTGTTAAGCCGCCGCTATGGACTTTGGATACAATCTCAATGTGCTTGGAAAAGCGGGCCCATTCAGAGCCTTGCTCGACCGGGACAATGACATCCCACATCTCCTCAAGTCCCAAAGCCGCTGCGACCTTGGCCGTCTCGTAAGACGGGTTGACTGGCATTACAGCCAAGCGATCGCCTAGTTAGACGTTAGCTTTCATTCCACGGACTTTGCACGTATTGATGAGAGAAACATGGAGTAGGCGTACCTGGCTGAAAGGTGATCCCTGTGTTATGCAGGTCGAAGGACACCATTCCGGTAGACCTATTGGGGTCGTGATCAATGATCTGCCGGTCGAGGATGCGGGCCTGGAAACGGCATTCTTCAAAACTTCCGCGCATCTGATGAGGTTGGACCTTCACTTCGCCGCGATAAGGATCCAGTCGCTCTTTCATCGAGTCGGATAGCGTCCGATGCACTTCCTCCCAAGCCCTCCCGTCAGAGTCCCCTGCACCTGCGTTCCCGTTCGTCTCCGTCCGACCGGTCTTTCCGACTATTTCTAAAAAGCCGAAGACTTTATAACGGTGAGTGCCCATGAACCCTCGCTCGCCGGCATACGACTCGATAATGCCCTCTAGTACTCCTTCAAGCCTCGGGTCGCCGCTAGCCTTTACGAACTCTGGCACTCGGTAATGGTTCTCGATCGCAGCTATAAATGCTCGGATGTTCAGCGGCAGCCATCGGCGGAGGTGGATTGCCTCGACACCAAGAAAGGACGTATACTTGGTGCGACCGATGAACGCGTCCATGAGTAGGAACAGCGGAAGGGCGAGGCCAGAAAGCGCCGGTACGCGTTTCGAGAGAGGTGCGCTGAACTTTGCGTATCGTTGTCCCCATTCGACGGGGTTGGCGAATTGCTCACCAGCGTTCGGATTGACGCTGATTTTATGAAAAACGTAGGCCAGCTGGTCAACAAGTTCCTTGAGCTTGACCATCTCTCGGAGAAGCGTTTCTGTGTCGCGGTTCATGACTGCCTCCTGGCAGCGAGTAACAGTCTCGATGCCCGTCTGAAAGCAGCCGTGAACTTCTGCCATACATAGTAAGAACATGGCTTCCCCACGGTCATTGAACACCTGAGTATGTTAGTAGTCCTCAGTAGAATTAGACCGGGTCACTTGCCGGCCACCGTAGATCCATGTTCTCGGTGCGAGCAACGTAGGGTTGAACGCTCGTTGGATCTCGCAGCTTGTAGTTGTAGATCGATACATCGAATTGTGTCAGGTGTGGTAAAGCCCGACCCATCCTTGTGCACACTTGCCTCAGCGGGATGGCGATGTTCCTTGGTATACCTTTTGTCTCCTCCTCCTCATCGTCGTCACCGTGGATATTCTTGAACGCGCCCTGTGGTGCAACAACGTTGACACCTTCGTTACCATCGTTCATCTCCTCGTACCGGTAGACGCTGGCCAGAATGCCCAGGCATACTGTAGCCGCCCACAAAGCTCGGTCGGGGATGACGTCTGGTGTCCCGTATACTAGTGGGAGGGCGAGGATCGAGTTTCGCATGTTACCTCGTGCCACAACACCAGGCATACGTTCGCATAGGTCGGACCACACTCGGCCGGGAGATGCTCGAAGTGCGACAGGCGCATCGGATGGGTCCGGTGGGAGGAAGCCGAATCCTGAGGAGAGGTAGCCGTCCTTCCAACCAGTCTGCGGGCCAATCTCTTCTGCTCGCATCAAGACCCGCCGTGCTGGTGCCCCAAGGGCAAAGGCGAGCAAGTCATCGTCCTCTGGTTGAAGGTTGTCTGCGTTCTTTAGACCTTTCGTGACTTCGCGCGCTGGTGCTTCGGGCATCAGCATTTCGTTCAGGGCTTTGCGCTCTTTCTCATGGAGGACGGTAGTGTCATCGGAACCCTTGAGCATGTTAGAGAGCGGAAGTAAATGGCACATGTCAACTCACATCTGAGTAAACTGATGGCGCTCTCAGATTCGGCTGAAAAGCAGCAAAGGCACAACCACGCGGTCCAACACGACCTGCTGGACAGGCTCCTCCAGAGGCCGAGCCACTACGTCCGCTCACAGGACAAGCTCGTACCGACATGGCGATTATTGCTGGTCTGTTATCAATAAAAGAATGGAAGGGTTCGCGACCGGCGCCGGATTAGAACTTATGAGTACGGCACCGGGCCTTAAAGAATGAACGTTCAACGAGAGAAGGTATTAGAGAATGTAGACAACCTGCATGTACCGGAGGAGATTGAGGCTAGAGGAGGCTCTTATTTTACTCTCCACGGTCCGCTCACCTGAGCTCTGGCCTATTCGTTCCACTTGGCCCGACTAGTCGTCCGACGTCTTGCCCAGTGGCTAGAATCAGCCATTGCAGGGCCTACCACGACGGTGATCGAGTTCTTCGTCCTTGTGACAGCCTTTCCGAAGACGGGCATGTCCACGTACGCCTAAGGCTGCCGAGCGCTAGGCGGCGGGCTCATAGTGGCCAGAGCCACGTGCGGTGGAGCCATAGGCGAAGACCTCATGTCAAGAATGTCAGAGAGAAAGCCAACAGCGCCTGGAAAGCTTGGAAACGACGTTCATGATGGCCGCGGCACGGCTGGCGCTAGTGTTTTGCGGCGCCCGTCCAGACAGCCAAGACCCGGGCGCACATCGTGGACGGCTGTAACCGACGGACAAGGGGTAGCATCCAAGCTCAAAATCTTTCCGCAGCGAACAGGAATTCGAGGCGGCCTCGGCCACATCCATTCTCAGCCTCAGGTGCAAGGTCTAAAAGGCTGGGATCGGCAACCGAACCCGGGGATTCCTGAAACAAGGAGGCCTAATGTTCCTCATCCAGGCCCCCGCCAAGTGCTAAGAAGCCTCAGAGCTGTACGAGGCGCACTTCGACGGCACTCCTTCATAGAAATGCGCGATCCATGTCATTCGCCGGAGGACTTTTGTTTGCACGACGCTGCTGGCGACTGGCTGCTCCTGAGGCAGGCGAGGGGAGGGCTTTGACGACGTGCAGGAAGGCAATTGGCATTACGGAATGTAAACATTCAGGAATGAGAGAGACGCGCGTCAACCGAGGTGCATAGGGTGACTCTGAATGCAAATGACACAGACAAGAGAAGCGAAGAATAGGAGGTAGTATGCTCAGGAGCTTGTGTGACGAAGTGGAGTCGAGCACGGGCCAGGGAAAAGTGCCCAGCAGTCCGCTCCCGTTAGACCAATCATCATGAGGAACTGATTGTATTTCCGCTCACAGCCAATCACATCTCGCGGACTTTCGAAAAGTATCTGTATTTGATAGCACGAGCATGAGTTCTCAAGACATGTCCCGTGCCCGCTGAGTAATTACACATCGATACCCTAATGACTGATCCAGCAAGCTATCCTTCGCTATCTACGGAGTAGTCGTTCTACTGAAGAGGATTCTGGATCTTCACTACCCAAGCACCGCGCTCGATGGTATTGATTAGAATATAGCCACTTGGATAATTCGCATAGGAACTCCAAGTCCCCACATACTCCAATGTCCCTCCACCTCTCTGATTATCGTCTTCAGGATACACATCAAACCACGCGACTTCGTGCACGCCTCGACCCGTCGGATCAGACGGGATGGAGGAGATGTCAAGCACGCTAATACCAGCGCCATAGTTGCTTTGGTATGAGTAGTTGCCAATGATGTACTGGTTGTGGTCGATAGTAACGCGGGGCCCTTGATAGTAGCCTGTTTGCTTTGGGTGCTCTAGGTTTCGGATATCCCAGATGAAGGTGACGGGGCGTCCGTTGGCGGCCGGTCCTCGGCCTTCGCGCTCGTCGAGCTCGTCGTCCATTATGAGGAACTCCTGGTTGCTGGGATCTAGGACCCAGCCTTGGTGCGTATAAGTGGCGCCTTCGTACGAAGTGACGGAGATCAGCTCGGGCCACTTCTTGTCGGTCACATCGTCTAGTGGTGATCAGTGGTTGCTGCTCTGAAAGGGTAATAAGGACTTACAAATGGTCAGCGAGTCCTCGTTGTAGCCGTAGCAGATCTCACGGTCGAGATACTCTGTATCTGGACCCTGAAAAACGTCAGCTTTGAGTACGCGGATGCAAACGGGACACTAACTCGGTAAATGAGGCACTGAGCATCGTGGACGTATCCGTCTTGCGAAGCACTACAGCCGAGTTAGCCATTGTATAGTCCATACTTCCAGAACCAGGGAGCTCACCACCCAGGGTTCTTAGGGTTTGAAGGATCACTTAGGTCCAGGAAGATGAGACCGCTTCTGCAAGTATCATTGCGGGGTTGAGCGCCAACGACGTAGGCAAAGTCCGTTTCATCGTTAGCGAGGACGTTGTGAGAACGACCGAGCGGCAGCTTGTTCCAGTGAGCCGTGAGGTCTGTGGCGGGGTCGAAAGTAACGGGTCCGTTGCGGTAGTCGATATCCAAAAGCTGATCGCAAAATGGTCAGCCAAAGCGTCTGGTGGGTACGTAGGTCCAATTCCAGCATGCTAAGCTTTTACCTACGGAAAGCTCCTCCTGGGAACCTTCAAGTCCTAAGACATGCTATAGTTAACTTCCCCAACCTTTGTTGCGGGACATCTGCTGAGTGTATCGCCACTTTTGCAGGTGAGAATGGAGAGAGGCTACCTTTTTCAGATCAAAGATTTGGATACCGTGGCCCGGCTCTTCGCTTCCTACAATGATGTAGTGTTTGAAAGTCCGGATTTCTCTCCATCGGCTTGGCGCAACACCCAGCGTTTGGGGTAGACGTCCAAGATACCGGAGCTTCCCGGCGTTGGTGATCTGGCGAGTTAATTAGTACGATATACAGGTTTATTAACGTGGGCAGTTTACCTCCGCGAAAGCTGCACCATCTCCTTGCGCTATGACGGCGAACTCACGCCCATCATCGCTTACCCACCCCCAGGAGCTGGATCCGAGACCGACAGAGCTTCCGAGATCGGTATGCGAGAGGAAGTGATGCAAATTTACCTATACGACCTAATGAGTATAGTTACTATGAGCGGACGATAAGCACGGGAAATACTTGCATTGTTGCATCGGTAGAAGTGGTCATTTTGACCCCGGAATGGGATCACCTTGCCATCCTTGCACTGGGCAAAGTGTAGCTCTTGGTAGTATGGACCTTCGGCCGAGTTTAATACACCCATCTCCTGCTCCTGCTGCAGCTGCACCGCTTTAGCATCCATGATCCTTTGGTGGATCACGCCAGAGTCATAGAGTTCGGCAGCGCGAACCGGGTCCTTGGGCATCTCCTTTGCGTAAACTATGGCCATAAGGCCAACAAGTGCCGTAGAATACCTCATCTTGACAGGGATTGATAATGCAATCTGCTCGCGCACGAGAAAGCCAGTTCATGGGGGCAGCCTGGCTTTTGAATCTGAGCCCAAGCCCGTGGAACATCCATATTGCGTCTTACCAATAGACCCGGCAATCGCCATCTAGACATCCGACGACCAGGGAAAGGGGGGCATTGTAAATCAAGATAACTTCATCGGGCAGGTGGACTGTTTCCTAAGGCGGCTCCAAGAGCACCGATCTAGGAGAAGGCTCGGGCTGAGGCTCGTGATCCTGGCACAGTATTTTCCACCTTCTTCAAATACTTCGGCTGATCAAGTGGGACTACTTGGCGGAGCAATCCAAGCCTTCGATTAAGCGGGGAAGGGGCATTTTGCGATTGCACCGCATGCTCGTTGAGGCGCAGTTGTCCGTATCGTTTGCCAAGACGATAATTTTCGAGTGACAAGCCGGTGCAGTGCCGTGCAAGGTCGAACTGATTGTTGAAGAAAGAAGATGGAAGAGGGTTTAGCTGATTTGGGAAGGTAGAATTGGAAATGACTGTAGGTCGATATTAACGTAAGAGGTTCAAGAATCTTGGCGCCTTCGAAAGTCTTAGGTATTCGCCTGCAGTCAGCATTGCAATGCTTGGCCAATATAGGAGTTCAGAAGTAGGACAGAGGGAACACGTGGAAGGATACCACATTCCCATCCCTACACAGGTATACTGCATGTCGGATCTGGGCCCGTTTCTAGACCTCGATTAACGATGCGCTCGATCTTCTCCTAGGACGGGTTCGACATCTAGAAGCACCCGACGTATTCGGGCACTGCAGACGGGCGCTAACCTCATTCAGTACGGAGATCCCAGAGGTCCAACGCAAGGAGCTGAGTGTTAGGGCACAGTACCTGAGACCGGCCGCAATTCCGCGGTGTGCTTCTAATGTCTGTTCCACGCCAGTCGTAGGGAAGTCAATCCGGTCCAGACCGGCGAGCTTCGACCTCCCCTTGCTATTCTTGTTAAGAAACTTGCAAATCATCCAGATCAAGCATTGTTCTGAAAGTGGAACATGAATTGAGTCGCTTCCTTGAGCACAGAAACCCAACGAATGAATAGCGCATAGCTGCTATTCACCAAACTTTCTTTCTTACTCCAAAATGGCCAGAGTCACTTTAGATTCCCAGATATTTCCTTCCTCGACGTGAGCTCACTGCTTCTTGTTCTGCGAATAAATGAAGTTCGCCGCCACAGGCACCAGCTCGTTTTCCTTCGCCCAGTCCCGCACACCACCTCCCTCCTCACCAGTACCCCAATGTTGCCTATCCTTCGGCTTGCTCAAATACAAGGGCTCCGTTGTCCCATTTTTCGGCGCAAATACTAAGAAGACATACCGGTGCTTCCCCGTCTTTGGCGGCGGTCCCGGTGGCTTGTATTCAACAACATCATCTGGGCTGCTGCTCCTCTCGTATTCTGCGGTTTCGAAAAAGGGGACAGGAAGGATGGAGACGGTCTTCTGGGAGACCGACACGTTTGCGGCGATCCAATGGCACATTTCTGACCATTCGGGGTTGTCGCGGGAGGGCGCGTCGGGGTCGGTGAGAGTGATAACGTAGGTCATGTTTGTGGATGCCAAGGTTTCGGGGCTGGTATCGTCATGGAGGGTGATGGAGGGTTGGTTTTGGACGTGCTTCGGTTTGACGGTGTTTCCAAGGTCGGCGCTCTTTTTGGACCAGTCCACGGATAGAGTCAGGGAGGGAAGGAAGTCATCGACGACTGCCGTCATGTTAGCCCTGGAGATTGGAGTCTGATGTGAGAGGAGAAGTGATGTACCTGTGGGAATGATTTCTGCTTTCTTGAGTCTGTTGTAGTTAGCGTGAACTGAATGTATTTGAGGGATTGCTTGCTCACTCAGCCCGAACAGCCTGCACATTCTTCGATAAGGTGGGCTTTAGAGGCTGCTGCTCTGTTGGGAGAGCAATCGCTGTGCTGAAGAGCTGGAGTAGCTGCAGGCTAGCCACGGCGGCGGAGATTTGAAGAAGCATTGCTGCTGTAGGTTTGCGGATTTTACTCCCCAACTTAATAAAAAGTCAAGAGTTGAACCAAGTAAAGCTACTGCTCAATTTAAGGGCTCAATTGAGCATGCCCCGGAGTAGAATGTAGAGAAGAGATGATGTCGCGTGAGGAGGCTCGTTTCGTGATGGAGCTCTCCCCGCGCGTTGTCGTCATTCGTGCCTCACTTCGCAGATCAACCAACCGGTTTGGGAAATAAGATCTTATTGGACAGCAACGGCTACGAAAGGAACAACACTCCATCGTTACAAAGGAGTGAGATACAACATGATGATGACGGTCTAGAAGGGTATTCGCAAGAGTGATAGCAGAAAACAACCATAAAGAAGACTCCAAGCGAATGATGATGAACACCAGCTTGGAACGTTTCGGCCCCCAAAGGATGATGCCTAGCACGATAAGGTGAAGTAGGGCCGTATTGTTCCAGATGCGGTAGCTTGAGTATTATCCTGCTGGGGTTCTGGTGTCGGGACTGCGCGCTCACGCCAGCGCAGCGCTAGAAAAGTCGTTGCTAGTCGCGACAAAGCCCATGTTTGTCGCTACGTTGTATTCGGAGAGCGCCTGGGCGTTCAGGTCTGTCATCGTCCCAGTGCAGTCGCTGAGCATGACGCAATCCCATCCCCAGGAGTATGCGTCCGATATAGTCCCAAAAACACATTGGTCAGTGTTGACTCCGGCAAATAGTAAGGTCTTCTTGAGTGTCGTCCGCAGGTATTCGTGGAGCGGCTCGGCAGTAGACCACAGTCCACTCATGCGGGTCTTGTCGAAGAAGAGGTCACCTAGTTGAGCGGCAGCCTTCAGCGGTTCGTACAGCTCCGCGTTCCAGGTGCGCTTGAAGAGGCATCCCCCTTGGCTCTCGGGAAGCCGGGCGCCCAATCCGACGTGCCATCCCAAGCAGCTTGTTGAATCCTCTTTGCACGGCTGGAGCCATGACTTTGCAAGTGGTGATCCGTGATTCCCCAGCTGAGCCATGCGATCTGGATACTCTCTTTTCGGCACCGGCAAACAACCTTCAAGATGGGATCAACTGCTGCCAGGCCTGCCGCATGGTCACGGTAGATTGGATGGAGGAAGTAGTTCTGCATGTCGACAATGACCAACACGGAAGTTTCGGGATTGATTATGAATCCAGTGTGGTTGCGGATTTGCTCGTCGCACTCGATGACCATCCTCCGTGCGGATCCTCTGGAGAGATCGAACTTTTTGGTGGCTGGGAGATAAAGCCATTGGTCGTCTCCACCACCAAACGGTATCTGCGCTCTGTACAGGATGTTCCCGATGGTGGTTTTGTCCTATTCTTCTTCGGTGTAGACTTCGGCAGCTTCAATAGCCATCTATTCCTGTCGTGGTGATTTCGCGCAGACAAAGAAGACTAGCCTATAGTGTAGGGCTCTCGACAGCGAGGTTGTAGACGAGAAATGAGAACCTACCTGTCCTTCGTATTGCTCTGCAACCGCGCTGTATCTGTTTGTTGGCAGGCCGGCCTAATAACGGCCTTATCACCCGGATAGGCTTGCGTCGGAGACTGTAGAAGCTTGATCATGGGACCCTCTGGGACGGATGCCATGCCATGATAGTTGCCTTCGCCTGCGCTACGCCGAGAGGCAAGATAAAGCAGTTTCCTAACTGCGCAAGCTAGTCGATGCCCGACGTGAACGCATCGGACGGCTCAATGTCCCCATTTGGGGCAGCTGAATCGGCTTTGGGATACTGAAGCGGGAGGGGAGTCAAGCCCGTGGACACCGCGCGGTCAGGTGCACCCGCAAGGCTGTCAACAGCGTTCCGATGACGAAACAAGGATGAGCTGCCGTCACTCTGCGCTGTCGCAAAAACAGCGGTCCACATAGACGACGCGACCACGAGCGTGTTCGCGGCTAGGGGAGGATGCACTGCTTCAGGAAAGTAGCTGGCGACTCCTTTATGCGTGAGGCATGCGGTGTTGAAACGAGAGATTAAAAGGAGTTTGGCGAGTGTGTCCCAGGTCGGGAGGGCTGCTTGCACGTGACGACTCTACTAGCGCGGAAACCTGCTCAGTTCGCCATGACGACGAAGCATCAACTTCGCGACCTTGTTCCAACGAAACAAAGTCAGGGGCCCCTATTCCTCCCGGGCCATCTATTCATCCTCGAAACCACCGCGCCATCGTCATCTCCCGCTAGAGACTCGAACGTCGCCAAAACAACCCTTGTTTATCTGTTTGAGGACAAGCCAGGCAGGGCAGGCGCACCGCACCACACACATCGGCCAGCGTCATGGCTTCGCTGGGTGAAGAGCTGCTCAGCATCGTCAACCGGCTGCAGGATCTGGTATTCAACACCATCGGAAATGACTCCTTGGATTTGCCCCAGATTGTACGTCTGCCCCGCCCCTTCTGGCGCACACCGCGCAGTAGAGCAGACTTCCGCGCGACGCCCACATCTGTTGAAATTTGATACTAATTCTAGTAGGTGGTCGTAGGATCACAATCGTCTGGCAAGTCGTCCGTCCTCGAGAACATCGTCGGCAGAGATTTCCTCCCCCGAGGAAGCGGCATCGTCACCCGGCGGCCACTGATTCTGCAGCTCATCAACCTTCCGAGCGACCGTGAAGACAGGCCCGATTTCGACGAGATACACGTCCCACACACGCCGGCAAGCGTAGCAGGACAGCACGAATGGGCTGAATTCCTCCACATTCCGGGACGGAGGATCTATGACTTCGCCGAGGTTAAGCGTGAAATCGAATCAGAGACAGCGCGGATCGCAGGAAACAACAAGGGCATCAACAGGCAGCCCATCAACCTCAAGATCTACTCTCCGCACGTCCTCAGCTTGACGCTGGTTGACTTGCCCGGGCTGACAAAGGTTGGTGAGGGGAAGCTCAAAAGCCAGATAGAAGCTAACAGCTGCAGGTACCCATCGGCGACCAGCCCACGGATATCGAGAAACAGACCCGGAACCTGATCACCGAATACATTGCGAAGCCGAACAGTGTCATCCTCGCCGTCTCCCCCGCGAACGTCGACCTCGTCAACTCGGAAGCGCTCAAGCTCGCTAGACATGTAGATCCCATGGGCAAGCGGACCATCGGCGTCCTCACGAAGTTGGACCTGATGGATCACGGAACAAATGCCCTGGATATCCTCTCTGGGCGCGTGTATCCGCTCAAGCTTGGTTTCATAGGCATCGTCAACCGCTCGCAACAGGATATCCAGAGCGGCAAGTCGTTGGCGGATGCTCTGCAAGCTGAGCGTGACTTTTTCAGGCATCATCCCGCATACAGGAATATGGCCAACCGCTGTGGTACACAATACCTCGCCAAGAGCCTCAACCAGACGCTCATGGCGCACATTCGAGACCGGTTACCCGATATTAAAGCCCGGTTAAACACCCTAATGGGACAAACTCAGCAAGAGCTCGCAAGCTATGGAGATGCCGCATTTACTGGGAAGGAACACAGAGGCTCGTTAATTTTGCAGCTCATGACCCGCTTCGCCTCCTCCTTCATCGCCTCCATCGATGGTACTTCTGCGGAAATCTCAACAAAGGAGCTGTGTGGTGGTGCTAGGATTTACTACATCTTCAACTCGGTCTTTGGCAACTCGCTTGAGCAGGTGGATCCTACACAGAATCTCTCTGTCCTCGATATCCGGACAGCGATCCGTAACTCCACTGGTCCCCGCCCTAGCCTTTTTGTTCCAGAGCTCGCATTCGACCTCCTCGTGAAACCTCAGATCAAGCTTCTGGAGATCCCGAGCCAGCGCTGCGTCGAGCTAGTGTATGAGGAGCTCATCAAGATATGTCACACCTGCGGATCTACCGAGCTAAGCAGGTATCCCCGGCTCCAAGGCAAGCTGATTGAAGTCGTTTCCGACCTCCTCCGAGAACGACTCGGTCCTTGCGCAACTTATGTAGCGTCACTCATCGACATTCAGCGGGCATACATTAACACGAATCACCCGAACTTCCTTGGCGCGGCTGCTGCTATGTCCTCGGTCATTAACGACAAGGAGCAGAGGGAGAAGAAGATTGCCCTTGAAGCTGAGAAGCGTAAGCGTGAGAGGCGGAGGCTAAAGGAACTGAATGGCGTGAATGGCACTGAGGTGCCTGAGAACGAAGAGGAGGCCGACGCTCCGACAGAGAAGACGCTCCCGATCCGAAAACACCATCCTCAGGCCAGCCGCAGTATGTCGCCAGCAGTCGGTCGCTTGATGAATGGATCTCACAGTCTTTCAGGTGCCTTCAATGGCAGCCGAGCACGATCACCCCCGCCACTTGGCGGAGCCGGATCCGCTCGTGACAGCTTCCTAAACTATTTTTTCGGCAAGGATGGCGGCCTGCCATCAAGCGCTTCGGTGGCACAAACCTCTTTGGAGAATCGACCCGGTAGCAGACATGTCAGCCAGAACATTGAGCCCAGCATCGGCCAGAGCTTCCGGAGAGGCGACACCCGGCAACCCGCCCATGTCTTGGAGATGGTGCCTGACGACTACGACATGACTAGCCCGATAAGAGACTCGTACGAAGGCGGATTCGTAAGTCCAACCAAACCTCCACCTGGTAACCATATCACTAACCATTCTCAGCCGTCGGAGGCCGACTCAGCGCCTGCTATGACTGAACGGGAAGCTCTAGAGACGGAACTCATCCGTCGTCTCATCTCGTCCTACTTCAACATTGTCCGCGAAACCATTGCAGACCAGGTGCCCAAAGCCGTCATGCATCTGCTCGTCAACCACTCCAAGGACGTTGTCCAGAACCGGTTGGTCAGCGAGCTTTACAAGGAAAACTTGTTCCAGGAGCTACTCTACGAAGACGACACCATCAAGGCCGAGCGCGAGAAGTGCGAGAAGCTGCTCAAGACATACAAGGAGGCAGCCAAGATTGTAGGCGAGGTGCTATAACCGAATCGCCCGCTTGTATGGATCCCACTGTAGGTTTAAAAGTTGTGTGAATAGCTTGCTCCGCTTGGTCATGGCTTATCTGGCGTTTGGAGGCCGCTTGTGGATATTGCATCTTTGGCCTTCTTTCGCATATTTCTACTCTTCTGCCACTTCCTCTCTCAGACGGGGTGGCAGGGCGTTTGATGGGCTCCACTTGGCAAGCACTGATCTTTGGATTTGGAGATGGATCGAGGAGGGTAATGGGTGTACCATATGTGCGATGAGAGATGCAGCGCGTGTATAGAATATACAACTCACATCAAACCCACTGGATCTTCCGAGTAAGCATGTACTATTCGAACCACACCAGAGTCTATATTGTACATAAGGTACAAGAATACAAGAGGTGACGTCTCGCACTCTGGCCCTCTGCGTTTACATCATCCTCGCGATTCCCCGTTGCTAGGCCGCTATATTCACCCAGACACATGCCAAACAAAAGAAAGCATCTCGCAGCTCATTTCTCATCCGTGATTCCGAGGAGCGTGTTCAGATCGGCGTTGGGGTCATTGGGGTCTGCTTTCGCTGTAACAAAATGTCAACTGATGTCCTTTATATCCCAATTTTCCTCCGCTCTCATCCATCTGCCACATTGGAGGTTGGAAGGGGGCTGGTCTGACGTACCACCAGACGCTGGTTTCGGCTGTTCTGAAGGATGTATCTTTGCCCACTCCGCCTTGGCCTGCCGGATCAGCGACTCCTTGTGCTCATATTCCTGCTGTTTCTGCTGTAGTCGCTCGCGCGACCTTATCGACATTTGGTGGGAGAGGCCGTAGAAGAGGCCGAAACCGAGGGCGGACCATCGGAGGACCTGTTGTTCATCTCGTCAGCTTCCATCGCACATCTCTGAAGCTTCGCATGGTACGAAATAGCTCCAAAAGGACAATTGAAGCGCTTTGGATAGGGTAGGCGTACATTGACCCCCACAGAAGTAGACATCGTGACCGTCGTTGCTGGGAGCTGCGACAGCGGCGCTCTCGTCCCTAGCGTTCCAATGGCAGAGGATCCGGATCTTCGAAGTCGGCAGACCGCGATGGAGCGTCTGGAGGTGTTGTGCGGGCGCGCGGCGTCGGGGTGGTTGGGGCGTAGCTGTGAAAGTTGAGGTTGCTGGTCGCGGTTCATCCCGACGGAAATCTTGCTCGCGGAGGCTGTTCCCGAAGTTGGGCCGAGGAGTCCCTGGTTGCTTGGCGCGTTTTAGGGGAAGCGATGAGAGGGAGACTGGTCTGTTTACCTTCATTTTCTTCATTGGGTTTATGGCGAGAGAGTGAATCTAGACGGATATAGCTTCGCATATACTCTTTACGACCTGGACTTGAGGAAGGCAGTCCGAGACTGTTGACAGCTACCTCCGCACTCCACATGGAGTCCACCACAATGCAGCAGCGGCGCGAGGAAATCCTCGCAAAGAAGGCCAAGCTCGAAGAGTTGAAGCGGCAGCGCCTGCTGCGGAAGGAACAAAACCAGGCCCGGCAGTCGATAGGAAGCCCGTCGCCATCAGAAGTACGGCATCTCCAGGAAGCTCCCAAACAGACAAGCACCGCAACTGACAGCTCCACTACAGGTCCTACAACCGACGCCGCGGCGCACAGATAACGATAAACGCGACTTAGATGATCTCATATACAACCTAGTCGGGGTCGGGGGCAGCCGCCCCAACTCTACGCAACCAGGCTCCCCCGCCGGCGGACGAGCGACGAGGCCACATTCAGTGATCAGCGCGAGCCAGCTTAGCAGCGATGGCGAGGCACCGGCTTCTACGTCATATCAAGTGCCCGTGTCGGGAATGGTGGATAGAGAGATGCAGACGCTTTCTATAGCCCCGCTAGCTACGGTCTTCGAATACGATGGCAATGAAGTGCACGCCTCGAAGAAGGAGAAGGAAGTCATCACATACAGCAAGGGCGTACAAGCGAGCATAGACTGGAGTCCGCCGAAGTCAAGGGGAGCCGGTGGAAGCGACTCAGAGAGAGATGAGAGTCCGACGCGGTCACCGCGGGCGAGCAAGCGGTTGAGCCGGAGGCAGAAAGAGAGGGATGAGGAGATTCGTGCGCAGTTGAAGAAGGAGATCGAGGAGGAGGTTAGGGCGGCACAGAAAGCGGCAGAGGCCGGAGAGATACAGGCGGGCTCGAAGGAGAATTATCCGTTCAAGACGCTCAACAATGAGGAGTTGACCGCAGTGGAGAACTCAGACGACTTCATTGAATTCGTAGAGAGGAGCACCAAGGTGCTGGAGAGAGCGCTGGACCAGCAGCTTGATTACGATATCCTGGCCGACTACGCACACGGAGGCTTGGATGTGGACGAGGAAGACGAGGGCTATGGATCAAGCGGAGCAAAGAGGGGACGGCGGATAAAGGAGATCGCGCAGTTCTGGGATGAGCGGTGGAGCAAGAAGAGGATGATTTCGGATCTGGGCTTCTCTACAAAGGTATGAATCAGTCAAGAGCTTCGAAAACCTCGGATTCGCTGACGGGCTACAGTTCCCAGAACTCGTCCTCGCTTCATACACTAAGAATCCCTCCGCTCCCCACGATCCAGACGGTCTCATTCAAGTCTGGAATCTCCACATGCACGACCGCCCCGAATACATCTTCCACGCGCAGTCCGACATCCTCACCGCGAAGTTCTCTCCCTTCCATCCAAACCTCATCATTGGCGGCGCATACTCAGGGCAGGTGCTTCTTTGGGACACGCGCGCAAAGTCGTCTCCCGTGCAGAAGACGCCGCTCACGGGGTCCGGCCATACGCATCCGGTATACTCACTGGATATTGTCGGAACGCAGAACGCAAACAATATCATCTCCGCATCGACGGACGGTGTGGTGTGTGGCTGGACAGTCGACATGCTCTCACAACCCCAGGAATTTCTCGAACTGACTTCACCTCCGCCGGCGAAGACGGATGACATGGCAGTGACATGCATCGCCTTTCCGCAATCCGACCCGACGTACTTTCTCGCAGGCACAGAAGAAGGGTCAATCTATCCCTGCCACCGCTACGACCGCGCTGGTGCAAAGGCGGGTGTCGACGGACGCGTCAAGTACGCAGGGCACGCTGCGCCAGTAATGAGCTTAGACTTCCACCCAGCAAAAGGTCAAGTCGATCTTGGTGATCTCGTCCTGAGCTCGTCCGTGGACTGGAGCGTCAAGCTCTGGAAAGTACGACCGCCAGCTGCAACAGGCCCTTCGAACGCCTCCGCCCCTGGGGCCGCCCAGCAAGTCACCCCAATCTTGGACATTGCCCGCGAAGACCTCGTCTATGACGCCCGCTGGTCGCCCGTCAAGCCCTCCGTCTTCGCACTCGTTGACGGAGCAGGTAGCCTCGAGGTCTGGGACATCAACGTCGATGTTGAAGTCCCTGTGCAGAAAGTCACGCCTAGTGATAGTAAGAGGGGCGCTTTTGCAAGCATGCCGAGTGGTCTGGGCTACATGAACAGGAGTCTAAATAAGTTGGCTTGGGAGAGGAATGAAGGGAAAAGGGTTGCAGTTGGCGGTATGGATGGCGTGGTTACCGTGTTTGAGGTGGGCGGCGACTTAGGTGGCATGGAGACGAGGGGCGAGGAGTGGAGTGGAGTCAAGAGGTTGGTAGGAAGATTGGAGGCGGTGGGCGAGGGTGTGAATGGGAAGTAGGCGCCCACAACGCGTCTGGAGAGCGGCTTGGAAGGACCACACTGGCCCTCGAACTGAAGGGCGAATGGGTGGTGATTTTGAGGCTCAGATCGATTTGGTGCGTACTTTCGCTCGAGCATTTCCTGGTGTCTGTGGTCCTGGGCGACATACCCCTTCATACCATTATTGCGAATTTGATTTTTCTATGTCTTCTAATGCTATCTTTCCAGCGCCTTCCGATGCTGATTTCGTGTCCGTTTCCTATCCGTTGCCTATCCATGTCCTATCATCATAACATACTCCATGCCCATTACATTCGGCCCTGCCGTTGCTCTAGTTTGCGTCAGCTTCTTTCTCGAACCCTGGCAGTTTCGTGGTCACTCACTTCACCTCATCGATTACTTCTTCATCCCCATCCCCACTGAGAGCCTCTTAAATCTCGCGGACTCATAGCACAAACACACCCGCGGCCCCCGCCAACGCCCCCGCAATCCCCATTCTCACATACCCCGTCGGCGCAGCAGCAGCACCTCCCGTACTCTCACTCCCCGTACTCTCCGCCCCCGCCGCTGAGCCAGTCCCACTCCCCGAACTACTCTCCGAAACCACAGTCACGCTCTGCGAAATCGGCGTCGACACCGTCGTCCCGCTCCCGCTCGGGCTTGGCAGCGTCACCGTGAAGGAAACCGTGGTGCTCTCTCCCGAAAGCGGGGTTGATTCGACGCTGATATGCGAGGGCGAGGGCGTCGGGATGAGCGTGGATGGCGTCAGGGGGTTTTGGGAAGATGGCACTGGTTGGGATGAGGGCTCTGCGGGGACGACGGTGCTGCCGAGCGGCGGGTTGGTGGAGAGCAGGGCTTCGGTGGAGGGCGCGTCGACGCTGAAGGGGGTGCCCCAGGTGGAGGTTTGGGCGGAGACGGAGGCGGATTTTAGGCCTAGCAGGGAGAGGAGGGTGGTGCGGTGGAGGGATTGTTTGCGCATTGTGGGTCGTTGGTACGGTGAAGATCGAATTTGAGAGTAGAGGTTGTAGATCGAGTTTGAGGGCAGAGAGTTTGGTTGTAGGTTCGCACGTCTCGTGCTGTGTTCCTCTCGGTGTTGAACGAAGGAAATCGTGGATACGGCCGACGAATTCAATTCCGACGTTTGGAGAAGATAAAAAGCCAGAAGAAAGATCCTCTTGAAATAAGATCTCCGATTGACGATGAGATTTCTTAAATTCTATATGTAGAATTCCGCCATGCACTCAGGCACACGCATACGGACGTCCGAAGCCCACTAAACTGTTTTCCCCACAACAGCCACGCACAGCAAGACAAACTGACATCAGTTTCTGCAGCTAAAGGGCCCTTGCATACAGACACTTCGCCGCAAGAAAAGCTCCTGGAGTCGTGGTTGGCGGACGTGCAGTCGGAGCATACGTGGTGACCTTCGGCTCTCCACGTTCAAGTGCGGACCCGACGGAGTTTATAAGGCTGAGCCTCCCTGGAGGCTGATGGGTGGGAAAGAGGCCTGAATTGGGGCGGTACAGTGCACGGGGTGAGGAATGACGATGAGAAAGCTTATGCAGGCAAGCATTGGGGTTGTGGAGTGTGGAGCGTTTCCAAGCGCGTATTTCTCCGATTCTGGCACGGGAACGGTGGTGGGTGGTTGGTTGCCTCAGGCATCCAGACACTGCAACTCTGCAGCTCGTTTTGCGGTGCGCCTCAGCCTGTGGAGGCAGTGACACATGTGCTACCACACCGACAGACAAGGTTTGAAACGCAGCTGTCAACGAGGTTGGCTGCAGGCGTCGACGCGATGCTGCAGCACTGCCAGCAAACCAAACCAAGCCAAACCAAGCAAAGCCTCCACTGTTCGTCAGTCTTCTCAGCTGTGCGACTTCAGCTCCTGCACCTGGTCTCGCTTCGAAAAACCTGGGGAGGCAACTGCATGCAGCTGAGCTCGCATTTCTGCATCTTTCGACCCTGCCTCCCAAGTTGCAGCTCAACAGCTACCACAGATCAAGCTCGCATCGCCACTCCTCGTCCCCACGCCCATCCAACCCTGCACTAGCGCCATGCACTCCAGACTGCCCTGCATCAGGCCCGCATGACACCGGTCAACCACCGAAATATTGGACGCGTCAACCTCACCTGCTGCCTTCGTGTTACCTATCCACAGAACACAATACAGCCCCACGCCGACAAAGTGGCGAATGGACGTACGGGCCGGGTGTTCGCATACGGAGTGGAGTGGGGTGGAGAAAGACGGATGGGATGTCAGACGGTGCGTTTCAGACACAGCAGACCGGACCCAGTTTTGAAGAGCTTGTTGGTTAAGGTTATACGGACTGCGCTGGCTCAGGCTCTCACTTTAGCTTCAGCGAGAGCGCTCTTGATAGAGCTGTGGGTGCGCCTCGCATCGGCACAGCGGCAACAGGCCCAAGTTTGCCATAGATGGCATGGCATCATATGGTGCCACAACGCCCAATACCCAGCACTGCGGTACTACCTGCTTGATCGAACGATCTATGTGGCACAGAAAGTGTTTCTTGGGATCTTGCAGGCTGGTGGCGGATGTAAAGATGAACTCTCGCGGCGCACCACAGCCATCAGGCTGAATGAGTGGTGAAACGCATCACGAAGGTGGTTCCACTGCTGCGAATCCTCATGGATTCTATATGGTACGTAACTCAGACACGCACGAGCAAATTATGAAAGGGGAGCGGAGTCGCAAGCCGAGTGGGTAGTGTTATGCGTTTTCATTTTTGGGCTCTCGCCCGCGTGTCTGCTAACTTCGCCTGTACAAAGCCCCGTCTGTCTCGTATGCCGGACCAGACGAAGCGATGCCACCACCAATCGCAACCAACGCCTCGCGCTCTCATGGCTTCATGCATTAGAACACTAGCTTTCCCCCCCCCCAACACATATATTATCCAAATGCTTTGCGCAAAGAATGTGATATCGTAGAATCAGAAAGCATAAACAAGATATGAATGATGCTAAGAAAGGAAAATCTAGTTCAGGTAAGCCATGGCGGCGACAGCGCCGAAGATGAGCGCCAGCGGGCTCGAGCCGAGCATGCCAGCGGCATTGGTCTCCTGGGGCGGCGAGCCGCCGGAGGAAGTGGGTTCGCTGGTCGAGCCCGAGCCGGTGCTGGAGAGCGTAGCGCTGGCAATGGTGCTGTTGGAGCCTATGGTCGACGAGACGGAGGCAGAGGCAGAGGTCGCGGTCGTGATAAGAGTGGTGGTGGTCTCGACGGTGGTGCTTATCTCGGTGGAAGAGGCAGTCTCGGAGGCGGTGGCAGAGGGCGAGGCAGAGCCGGAGGAGCTGGGCTCGGCAGAACTGCCGGTGAGCGTGATCAGGTCGCTGTAGTTGGGGTCGGCGCCCTCCTGGTCGATCTCGAGCGCGTAGTCATTGGCGTTGGGGAGCGAGGCATCAACAGTCCACTCATAGGAACCGCCGGTCGCGGAATCTGTTGAGTCGCGTCAGTATATGCTATGGCGCGTTTTTGCTTGCCGCAATTGCGCGTGGTTAACGTACCGGTCAGAGTAGCGATGGTGTCAAGGTCGTTGGGGTCGCCCTGGCGCAGCTTGATGGTAGTGGGCGTGTCGTCAGCCGGGGTCCATTCGAGCGTGTACGTCTTGCCCGGCTCGATCGAGGTCGGGAAAGAGGTGAACTGGACAGCCATAGCGGCACTGATCAGGGCAGCGCCCGATAGAACGACGTCGAAGAAACGCATGTTGATGGTGGTGTTGATTAAGAGGTATTACAAGGTTATACAATTGGTATGTGAATATGAATTGGTCAACGAGTGTGGGAGCTGTACAGCTGCGAGGATGGTAGGAGGAAGGAGGAAGGAGAGACGGTGGTTAAGAGAGAAACGAAGAAGCGCCGGGGCGCAGCTGACTTTTACGAGAAGGCTGCCCGGCTGAAGGAAGCCAGAGCAACGGCAGGAATGCAAAATTGCTTGCTTACCCGAAAACAGCAAGGCTCTCGTCCCATGGTGGCTAATGAGGATGAAGCTCATGCTCTCCAATCGCCTACAGGACCAATGGCAACCCTGCTCCTTAACGAGCCCCGAGCCATTATTGCCTTCGCATGGCCCCCTTTTCCAACTCTTCGCCCTTGGTCGCCGCTCTCTTGGAAGCCGCCGCGCCCAGATGCAATTCACGCGTGAGCGCTTGGCCTGCAGCTCGCATCCCTGAAGCCAAACACCAACGGCTGCCGTGATCGCGCCGCCTTTGCAGCACCGCTAAGCCCCCTTCAGCGTAGCTCAACGCCGCCCAATACGCGGGGGAAATTCAGGGGCTGCGCCTGCAGCTGTTTCTCGCGTCGTTCGCGACATCGTTGGCGGCGCAGGAAAAGAATACTTGTGGAAAGATCAGCTGTGCCATGATGAAATGCATCTGTTTACGAGAAACAGGTCTCGCGATGATCCTCATGAACCCATCTCTTCAGTCAGCATTCCGGCGGTTTCCCGTTTCCCCCTAGCAACAACCAATTACATGCCTTCCTTATTGGGTAGGAAACTATTAATGCGAACGCCGCCGGATTGTCGACGAGCCGCCGCGATGCCGTCATCGGTCTTCTCTCCCGCAACGCCAATTACTATACCTTTTGCATCGCGGTGCAGCGATCTCGAAATAAGACGGGGATTTTGTGCCGGAGATGAAGTGGTTTGATCGATCGCTCCTTGGCAGCATCCCGGTGTGCGGTCGGTGGGAGACGGGAGACCGGTGCTTATTCTGGTTAGCGAGGCTGCAATTTCATTTCAGCGGGAGAACGGCAGGCTGCTTTGGCGGTGCGACGCGTCGCCGTGGCGTAAAGAGCCTCATGCGGCTTTTGACCAGGAGGAGAACGTGCTCGATCAAGGCGAAGTGGATGCAGGGAAATGAATTCGGAGCAGATGCGGGCGCGGTCATGAAATGGGGAAGGTCCGGCACAGCGACGGGCAGGCGCGATTTCATCACGTGCCAACAAGAATCACCATGCGAATTTCTCGAGGATTGCTGTTCCTAGAGTGCTTCAGGTATCGTTGAAGACGGGACCAGGTTTTGAGAATTGGTTGCTAGGCTCAGCGACTAGCTCGCAAGAAGTCAAACTGAACGCCAGAGAGATCAGTAGATACCCTCCGGTCACTACCCGAAACCAAACCAACTCCAGGATCTCATTGCCAGACCATCCAAATCAAGAGACCGCCAAAGACTCCATCCGACTGCTCAACTCCTTTCCTTACGTCCTTCAGATCCCAATGCAGACATGCCTTGTGGACAGCGATCATGCATACTCCTCTTCGTCCAGATCGGCCTCCTTTTTGACGGTATTGCCGAATGCGCTAGCGAAGACGTCGTCATTGAGATCGTTGTTGGGAGAATCATCCTCGGTAATCTTGGCCTTGCTCTTCTTCGCACGCGGCTTCGGGGTTGCCTTCGGCTTCTTGGGCGTAGCAGGTGGAGTCAGACCCTTATCCACGGCGTCTGCACCTATACATGTCCATGTTAGCAGTGAACCACTGAAGAGCGACAACCCAACACTCACCGCGCTTCTTGGAGGGTGCAACAGCGACGAATTGTTCTCCGCCTTCGACGCGCTCCTTGAGCTCTCGGGCCTTCTTAAGGACGGAACGGAACTGATGCTGGAAGGAAGACGCAGTCTTGTTTCCATCGAGGGCGCTCATCATGTCATACTGGCTGACGCTGATGCTGGTATTGCCAACCGCCATCAGGAGGACTGCGACCGTGTTCTCGGAGAACATCTTGCCTTCACCGGTGCCGTTGGCGTCGCTGGCTGACTTGCCCATGATGCTGATAGTGTGTTTGAATAAGCAGGCGAGATGTGCTTTAGAGGCTGATGGATACGAGGCAGAACGTGGTATCGCGATGAGGATGCGATGGTGGAAGTGTAGAGAAGAAAGGATGGTCGGATGGAGTGGGAGGCAGCTTTATATAGACGTCTGTGATGGGCGGCGGCTCGCTCCCCGCTTGCGGGGTGAGTGAAGATGGCGTCAGAGATAAGCAGCGGTGAAGACTGTCGGACGGTTGGCCGGGGAAGGTGAGTGTTGAGCTCGCTCTGGGGCCGCTTTGGTTTCGCTCTCGAGCTGGCCGGGGCCGCCTTAAAGCAGGTGAAACTCGCGCTTTGAGTGAGGCGGTGAGCGAGCGGAGCATCTGCAGGACCAGATTCCCCTTCACCATGTCGAGTTCTAGACTAAGACTTCCCTTACTGGAGCAAGGTATGGAGCCCGACGTATTGTCCGTCGAAGGTCTCCAGGTTAGGAGATACGCTTTCCACAACTAGACCTGTACCCAATCCCCCATCTCCATTAACAAGTGTGCCTGGCGCTTCACAGTTGCATCGGCACCATCCTTCGAACCGAATTTACTGACGAGTTCGGCTTCCACCTCTTCGTATTTCTTCTGCACGCTCCTTGAAAACGCGCTGTTTGGTCCATGGCTCGTCTTTGATGTTGTGGCGACGAAGTGGATGAGCATTGCCGCTATGACGGCCATATCGACCCCAGGCGCAATTTCACGGCCTTCACTAGCCAGGTACTGCGCTAACATCGCCATCTGCCATGTCTGAACCACACGGATCGGGTGATGGACTTGTGAGTAGAGCTTCGGTATGATGTGGCGGTTCCTCTTCGCACATTGAACCCATGCGAGGTCATAGTTACCCGCTGCGAGCATATTGACAATGAGGTCGTCGCGAAAGGCGGCGTACGGTTGACGGTATACAGGCCATAGGCCCGACTGGAAGCATAATCGCATGCCATCCTCAATCGTTGCGATTGCTTCTGCCGGATCGCACGCCCGTTGCTCTTGTTCGTACACTCTGAACGCCTCGCCTTGGAGTGCGGCAACCCTCTTCTCATCGATAGAACTTCCCACATAGTTCGCTGGATCACTTGCAGACTCAGCGCCCTTAATCATATCGTCAGCCACCTCTTTCCACTTGTCGGCGAGGTCCCTGGGATCGATGGCCCATTTGTCTTCTTGCTGAGAGGGCCCCTTGCGACATTTGCTGCACCTGCACGTGAAGAACCAGCGTTCTTTCAGCTCGGTCTGGCGCCGCGCGTAGGGAATCGTCGTGTCGATGTAGGAGATGTAGATCTCCTCGTCTTTCTTGATGTCTTTCAGAGCCCGGAGCTCGACCCCCGGTCCATCCATGACAACATACGCGTTCGGGTCGCATGAGTGGTTCAGGTAGCTCAGTACGGGGTCTATCATGATTCCGAGCGGATCGTACGTCGGCGTTACCAGCGTCAGAGAGTTGGAAAGTATCCTCGCATACATTCCAGCAACGAAGTCTTTGCTGAACGTGTCCTGGGTAAACGAGAACTGACTAGTGCCAAGGGCCATCAGCTCAATGCCACCGTACTTCCCGTTCCGCTTGAAATCATCGATATGCGTATCCAGCTCGCACAGCATCTCCCAGTCCCGATCTAGAATGAGCCCGTGTTTTCTCCTGACCAAGACGTCCATGCAAGCCAGGACAGCCTTCGGGATCTCCTTGTCGCTGACGGGCTTCAAGTTCTTGCACTCATGCTTGTGACCCCGATTCCAGGCTTCTTTCTGGCATGCTTTGCTGCAATATCGAAATCGCTTGCATCCCGCACAAGTCTGAACCTTTATCCCTTCTTTCACATATAGTCTTGATCCCAGTGACGATCCCTCCGTCCAGACGTAGCAATTGGCGCAGGTATCTTTCAGCCTCTCGGTATCTAAAGACCCGACGAGGGGACGCTTGAGGGCGGCGATGAGTTCTCCGCCCTTGAAGTCTGTTCCTGCGATGATGCCTTTGCCGATACGTTCGCCCTTCTCATTAACACAGGCTTCTGATGGAGCGAGATAGAAGGGCAATGATGTTGCGCCCGGTTGCGGGGCTTCTAGGGCCATGGTAGGGTGTTCTTATTTAAAGAGATGTACGAAGGGAAAGAGCCGTCAGTGCAGACGCGAGGTCAAGAACACCGCGCGTGGATTCGTCGTGAGACGTTGTGTTTCAAGGAGTGTCGCGAGAAAACGTGACCTCGGGACTATCGGACGCTAGTCACAACGCTAGCGTAACTCCGGTTAGCCTCCATCTCGACATCCTTGCCCAAAGCTTCTACGTCCGGACACTCCATTGTTGTTCGTCCTTACAACGCCTATACCCTCCTCTCCTTGTTAAAGCGCACTGGGAAATGGCGTCATCTTTGCGAAGGCAAATGAAGGAGGAGAGATGTTCCGTGTTGCGGTCTTCAATGCAGTGTGTCATCGAATATTCAATGCGGCCGTGGCTGCGTGACAGTATATGAGTACATTCACTCTGTCGAAATGAGTATAAGGAGCGTCGACTGACCCCAAGGCGTACCTCAAAGGAGCCTTTTTCTTCAAAAACCTCCCCTAGGGGCCCACCAACCCTGCATACTCCAAAACTCGGAAATTTCCTGCAACTACAGCACTTCTGAGGTTTTCTCACAACTGCCATCAATAACCAGTCAGCATGGCTCTAAAAGAGCTTCGAGCGTGGAAGTGCCATGGATGTAAGTGCGCTTCCGCCTCTCCCCATCAATCCATAGTGCCTATATGCTGATCGCATAGGCAACACCATATACGATCTCCACAACGACGGGCAAGAGAAGTGTGCGACGTCCAGCTGCAGCGCCTTCGGAGATTGCCACGCTATGATTCGATATTACCCGTGCAGATACTGCGACTATCTGACGGTGTATCAGGATCCCGGACTTTGGGGTTTGCCGAAGATTTGAGCGGTGGAAATACGGATCAGGCACTGAAAGTGTTCTGGATGACCCATGGCTATGCAATGTAAGGACGTTCCTTCTTACCATACTATCACCTTAAATATGCAATCCTTCGAGTAGGATCCTACATGTGCGAGCCGATGTGTTGCCTTCCCGGGGCCTTGGGAGCTGCATTGAGGACGGCTTAATTACATCTTCTCTAACCAATTGCTTTCCGCGTTACCTTGCGTTTCGCCCGCGAAGTTCCGTTCCTAAGGTCTTAGAACGACCTAGACACGCTCTGCTTCTCCAGCACCTCACACCCTCCCTTGCGTCCACAGCTTCAGTTCACTCAAACCCTCAAATGCATCCCGCCCCCATGCAACCCGCCCGTAATCAGTACATCAGTCGCCGTCGTCCAAGCCCCCGCCCCACTCAGCAGCCAAACCGCCACGCCCTTCAAGTCGCCCACCTGGCCCCTCCGTCCCAGAGGCGGCGCCTTCTCAAACACCTCCTTCATCTGCGGATTCGCCTCCGCCGCAGCGCGCCCCATCTCCGTCTCGATGAAGCCCGGCGAGATACTGTTCACGCGGATCTTGTACGGCGCGAGCTCAACGCCGAGATGCAGAGCGAGGGTTTTGACGGCGCCTTTGGACATACCGTACGAGGAGGTGTGCTCCGCGGGTGTGGTGGTGTGGGCGGTTTGGGAGGAAATGAGGAGGATGGAACCGCCGGAGGAGTTAGAGTTTGAGCGCATGTGGTGCGCAGCTAGTTGGGCGGTGAAGAAGGTGCCCATGACCTGGGGGTTGTTGGTAGGCTGACTGAGTGTGAAGGGAGAAGATGAGGCTCACGTTGATGTTAAGGATTCTCTGAACTTCATCCCAAGTTTGCTCGAGAAACGGCTTGTCGAGGGCGATGCCTGCTGCAGTGATGCTGATCTAGTAAGGATTTGCGGCTCTAGGGATGGAAGAACGGTTATCACTTACCAGGTATCTATATGCCCGAAGTCCTTCACCACCTTATCGAACGCTTCCTTCAAACTCTCCTGGTTAGTCACATCCGCCCTGCGGTCCCGTCGTTAGCCGCCATTTCCGCGAGCACTACTAGAACCCTTTCTCTCATTCGCAGGTGCGCGTACCTATAGTATCTCCACTTGACGCCAGTATCTTTCTCCATCTGCGCTAGATCCGCGCTCGGCTTCTCGGAAATATCAAGCAGCGCAACGTCACTGCCAAACTCGGCTACAGTCTGGGCCAAAGCAAATCCAATGCCTCTTGCACCTCCTGGAAGCTCATGTTAGCGTTGAGGGGAAGGTCTGGCGCCCCTTTCTTGAAGGAAGGGCAGACAACATACCAGTCACAACAGTGGTTTTGCCTTGCATGGAGAACATATCGTGCCCTGGCTTCTTCTGCTCGGATGAGGCCATGATCAAATGGATATAGAAGTGATACTAGTCAAATGTGAAGCTGAAGGCCAATGGTCGTTCTGGGACCGTGTATGAGTCGAAGGTTACAATCTACGCGATGCCGAAGCGTGCATATAGATATGCTCCATCTTAGTGCGGGGAAGCAACTCTTGATTTCTAATCCTAATCTGCACCTGGACCGATCATTCGCTTTCATGTGTGATTTATCGCAACATTCCCGAATATCTGCATGTCTGCGTGTTGTGGTGTGTAAAATCGTTCTGGAGGCATAATCTCGAGCGATCGACCAGCCAATCAGAGGTAGGGCGTCGGAAGCTAACGGCGAAAGGAAATCTTGCCGCAAGAGACAAATGTCAAGCAAGATCACGAAAGTGGTCTCATGATGTCTAGTGCGGAGTTTTGAACCGTGGCACGTGGGAGGGTGCTTCGGGCGCATTGTTGAGCTCGTTGTGTGGGTCAGGAAGTGAGGGGTACTCCGATTGGGTACCCCTTCTTCAAACTGCCCACGGAAAGCGAACATCACGGCCCCCAGACCATCTGTATATAAACCTGCCTGAGCCCTCTTTCAACCCTCACACCACCGCAGCAAGCCTCCACTAAAACATACTCGCACACAGTCCATGGTGTTCCTGGAGCTCTAAAATCTGGACTGGACCTCTACTATGGCACCACCTAAAAGCTGTGGCGACACATGCAATAATCTTCCTCTCCGGAGACAAAAGCCCTGAAACCCTTTGGCAATGGCTGATCTACACCATGATTGTATACAGCTTGATATGTGGCTTGGAATGGAGTCGTACTCTTCATCTAAATGGCTCCGCACATCGCCCCTCGGCCAAACACTGCAATCGAAAAGGAACCCCCGGTGCAACATGGAGTCGAGCTGCAATGGAGATAGAAATCGGAGTACAAGACTTTGATGGATGTAGCTACAGTGTGGCTAAGGACCGGGCCAGGGCCAACCTGGACTACAAGAAAGCCGACCTCCATTGGCCTCATCAAATGAACGGGCTCTTCCATCGGGCCATACTGGACGAGGGGCAAGAGATCCGACACATGTCGAAAGAGATCGGCACAAGCATCATCTGGATCGCAAGCACGCTGCCTAAAGCTCCAGGCTTAGGACCGGGTCGCAAACGCAAACCTTGGAACTCATTGCGCTCCTCGCGCGCGACACCACAGGCTCTAGCACGACCAAACCTGCCGTGCGCGGCAAAAATGTGCGGTTTTCCCTATCCCCACAGACTAGTTACCTCGTCATCAGGGTATACTCTCCCGCCGCTACGAGCCTGGCAGTTACCGGCGTGCCCCTAGATATGGAGCCCTACACCTTGCACAAAAACACGGCAAGGGTCATGAATGGCGAGCTTGACTACCTTTTCCGATACACGGCGTTGAAACGCAAACGCCGATCTGGGCAAATCAAATGCATACCTTGAATTCCCCGCTCTTAAACCAGCACGATGGTCTTCACATGTTGCTGGGGTCTAAAAGGCGCATAGACAGCGTCCATGGAAGGACCAGAAACAGAGAGGTAATTACAGTATGGAGCGCTCTTGGAAGCTGTACGTCATACACTCCATGACAGTCCCTGACTCGGAGGCAAAGTTGTGCGGCTCCTTCTACATGCGAGTTGAGATCAAAGCATCGACTCGAATTATGAGCGCTGCTTCCGAGAGGACAAAACATCCAGGACCACCGACATGCGCTGTGCGAGTCCAAACGCACTCTCCCGAGCTTATGGAGCGTCTGGCATCCGGAACTCCATACGTACTAAGGGCACAGAGCGCGATTCAGCGCTTAGGAATGCATATTAGCTGCGGTGCACCGCGCCAGCCCGCAACAGCTGCAATAGCCCACAGGCTGCGGAAAGCTGCCCCTAAAGGCCTTCAGTAGGTAAAACGTAAGATATGCTGGATGTAAATTGGATCAGTTTCCATTCCAAGACCCCTTCATATTCCTCACTCAAACCTCGCTTCTCCAACGTTTAAAAATGAGGGAAACAACCGCCTATGACCTCTGCGGGAGAGGAGCCACCAAAAGCCTAATACTTCACCCAATATGGCCTTTCCCTCGCTTCTTCGGAACCAGGCTGTGCGGGGGTCCAAAAAGGTACCTCGAGCGAAACATGTGGGAGCCACCAAAGGCTCAACAATTCGCTGGTATGACCTTTTTCTCGCTTCGGAACCAGGCTGCGAGGGTGTCTAAAGGGCGGCTCAGCCACATTGATGCGGGAGAGTTCTGTGAACGGTCGATTCGAAACGGAACGCGGGCGTGGGAGGTTGCGGGATGATGATAGCAGTGTTCAATGGTGATGATCCGCACCATGGTGGATTAACATGAGATAATCTGTCGAAACAATGAAGACGGAACGATTTTTCTACAGATATCTAAGAAGAAAACGGAAGGAAAGAACGGAGCATGAGGGCGTAAAAATATCTCGATTCAAACTCAATTCAAAACCTAGGAAAAGATGTAGCCAAAATCCGACATACGCGATCCAGAGGAAGAAACCTTACAACTGCACTAGCCGTGTCCCCTGTCTGTCCCACTAGAAGTACAGAAAGAAAGCCAGCAAAGGTTCCGCAAAACATTATGTGTTCTCGTCATCGACTAGTTGTCGCCGCATCGCTCGCTCCCCCGCGATCGTCCACGGCGCTGCCCGACGACCAGGTCCGGAGCTGCCAATGCTCCCCTGTCACCAACCCTACTCAAGTATCTTAAGCTCAGCAGCACTCCTCGGCACACTCGCAGCAATCAGCGCAGCACTCGCATCCCTCCTCGCAGACGAAACAGCAGCACAGCGCGGCCAAACTGTCCCCAAGTTAGCCCTCATCCACGTCCCGTCTGGCCTGATTGATGGATTGTGGACTCACCAAGCGCCCAAACACCCACGGTCCTTCTTCTGCTTCGGCGGCGGGCCCTGCTGGTACTGCATCTGCTGGCCCTGCGGCGGGCCGTAGTACATCTGCTGGCCTGGTGGCGGGCCGCCGTACTGCTGTGGAGGAGCGCCGTAGCTGCGTTGACGTCAGTGCATCTATCCACTCAAAAAAAAAGCGGGCAAACTCCAATCGTAGCTTCGGCACCGAAGGGAGAGGGATTGAGGGAGGAGAATGCGCACCTTTGCGGCGGGTACTGCGGGCCGCCTTGCTGGTAGTACTGGTTCGCCGACATACTGATGGTTATGCGCGGTTTGTAGGATGTAGATAGGAAGACGGGAGGTGTGGGTAGGTTGACGGGAGTGAGGTGTAGGAGGGAAGGAAGAAAGGCCGACCGAGGAGCAGCTTGCGACAAGACCTTGCTCTCCGTCAAGGGTAGCCTTCTCCGACTCGCTTGGTTCGCTGGGTGATCGATCGATCGGCGTGCGGCGGGGAGATAGCGAGCTACTGGATCGCGGCTTCCTTCGCGACAAAGATAAATGCCTACGCCTTCAATGGGGGGAACAGCAGTGAAGAAGCGAAAGAACAGCAAGGCCCGTCAGCAGGACACACTGGCTCTTAAACAGCTGCACTGCACGCATCACAGAGAAAAGCGGGGATGCCCTATTCTGAGGCACAATCCCCATGCACGCCCCCCTTCAGATGCCACATCATTGGCGCACATAAGCACCACGCCCAGCGCCTGCCCTCCCGGCTTAACCGCGCCGCGCACAGCGTATGACGAAAAGCTTGCACCCGCGCTGCACCCACACTCATCAGCTACACGACAATTCGCATCCTCGTGCGCCTCTCCCTAACCATTACTAGATGCGTGGCGGGATATCAAGATTGCGCGCTCCAGCCACAGGCGCTTCGTCATCGCGCCGCGCCATATGGATCAAGCGGCAACGCCTCCATGCCAAGCAGGCTAAGCCTTTGGCGAAAAAGCTTCGCCTTACCGCCTCAGGTCGGTTTCATGCCGAGACTTGTAGGGTGAATGGGCGTTTGACTGGGTGCGGACGTGCACCGTTCGCCGGAAATACTCATACTCTCATGCATTAAAAATATACTACAACATACTTCAAAAGTCCATTGATTCCTCATCCTGCATATGTTGTGCTGATGCAAACACCTCGCCTGTCCTCCTAATCTCATTACCCTCCTCTTCGCTACGGGAAGCGCCAAGCCAGACCAATAAATATACCACGAGAAGCGAACGAGGCCAAGAAGAGCGCCATGCAGAGGATAGTAATGCAGCGACGGAAAGCTTAATGCGTATGCCATGCATCCATGGCTAAACCCCTGAAAATAGAACTCCCATGTCGAAACTATATACAATGCGTATATAACAGCACGACGTGGAGGTGCGTGATCTTAGAAGCCGAATGGGTTATGGGGCGCTGTACAGCTGTCAGTAATTGGTTCAGGAAGATTAGCGAGAGGATATACGCACTAGCTTTGGCAAGGTTAGCCCTCCCCGTCGGCTGCGGCGTCAGCTTCTTCGCCGGCTGCACTCCAAACCTGATAGGAGGTGCTGGCCCCGTCTTCTGCGGTACCAAGGGTTGAGCTGTTGGCATCGACGGCATTGGAGGCATTGGTGGCATAGGCGGTGGACTTTGCGTCTGACCGAAGCTGGTCGGCTGCGCCTGGAGGGCAGGAGGCAAGAAACGGTTGACGCCCGTGGCCTGCGGGTTAAGCGGCGGCGGAGAGAAGGTTTGGAAACCCGTAGGTTGCATCTGCATAGGCTGCAATGGGCCATTCTGCTGGAAGCCTTGCTGGAATCCCGGCTGGAAATTCTGCTGCATCCCGGGCTGGAAGCCGGTCGGCTGCGGTTGCATCATAGGAGCGAAGCCTGTCTGTTGTGGCTGTTGTGGCGGCGGGGACATCGCGTTGAAGCCCGTCGGTTGAGGCATCATGCCATTCTGTTGGAACTGGAATTGAGGGTTTTGCTGGCCCTGGAACTGCGGGTTCTGTTGGGGGTAACCCGTCATCTGCTGCTGCATTCGCTGCATGTTGAGATCTTGTAAGCTCTGACCGGGAGGCGAAACCTGCGTGTGCATGTTCGGATTGTAGCCTGTAAGTTGAGGCTGCAAGGGCGGAGGTGGGCCGAAAGCGCTCTGTTGCGGGTTCTGGGGTGCTGAAGAAGCACGCTGTGGTGGAGGAGCAATGAGGCCTCCTTGCCCCGTTTGCTGAGGCGCTGTTGGTCGGACCCGTGGTGGAGCGAGCTGCTGGGGCGCCATAGCCTTGACCGCTGCTACTTGATCGAATAGTGACTGAGTAGCACCCTGAGGTTGTGCTGGCTGCGCAGGAGGCTGAGATGCCGCTGGCACTGGCGCTGGCGCTGGAGGGGTCGGTTGCGCCTGTACCTCAGGCTTAAGAGCAGGCATATCCAAAAGAGACAGTTCACCCATTGAGCCTGTGAGAGCGGGTGGTTGCGGGGCTGGTGCAGGCGCAGGCGCAGGAGCTGAAGTTGAAGGCATTGAGGTAGCCGGGGCTGGCTGTCTTGAAGGCTTGACCTCCCAAGCATTGTCGTCAAATCCTTCAACTTTCTTTTCCGGCGTAGGAGCAGATGTTAACGGAGTTGGTGTCGAATCTGCAGGCTTCTTGACTGCCTCGTCGGTCTTCTGCTCGAACGCCTTCGCATCCACGACGTCGTTCGTCTGGACAGGAGGAGCAGGCCGTCCTTTTCGAGTGTTATTCCTCAAGGCACCGCCTGGTCCAGAGAAGAGGCCACCACTACTACCTTCCTCGCCGTTTTCGATTACGGAGGCGCCACCAAAGCTAACGCTGCGTTTCTCGCGTTCGGCACGCCCGTACTTGGCGTCCAGGTGCTTCATCACGCGGAGGATATCGCCTTCTTTAAGACCGAGCGTCCGCAGCAGCTTCTCAGAAATGTCCGGCATGTTCTCTTCACCCATTTGGTCTCTGGTGAAAGCCTGCGCATATCGTTCGCAGATCTGCGGATTGACTCCACACTGGAGGAAGAAGTCGAACCAGTCGTATTGAGGCTTCGACTCGACAGTTATTCCTGACGCGGATCGGGTGGCCTGGTCCTTGTCCTTGGCGCGCTGTGTGCTCTTCCGCTTGATCTCTGAGAGTGGCTTGTCATCGTCCAGTGAAATTCCAGTGGCACGCTCGACGTATTCCAGATCTTCGACAGACATTTTCGGCACAGGAACGGCAATCTTAACACCATTGACTTTGTGGAGATGGATCTTCCCGTCTTTGACCGTCAGGAACTCAGCCTCGACCTTGAATGAGCCGGAGCGGTCGGTCCATGTTCGTACTTTGACAGGATCTAGGAATAAAGTCAATAAAGCTCAGCTTCGTCATGGATATGCTTGGAGGAAAACTGACTCGGTTTTGAGGACTTGGAGTCTTTCGCAGTACTTTCGCGCTTGCTTCTCTGTGAAGTACGAGGATGGTCAACGTTTGCTTGCAAGAGGCTAGAATGCCTCGCAGGCAGTTGAAGGCCAGGTCCTACCTGATCAGCCTTGACGTCGCTCTCACGTTTTCTAGCCTTCGACATTTGGCGAGCAAGCTCCTCTTCCTCCAGCCTGTTTTGTTCCACCACCGATCGTCCAGCATTAGTCCCGGAGCGAGCGAGCGTAGCGGCGGCGGAGGAGATCGGCACGGTTTCTGTGACTTCGACGTAGTTAGCCGGCACCACACCCTCCTTGCCGTTCTTCAGTCTTCGGACTTTCCACCACTCATCGCTGGCAGAGTCGTCGAGAACCAGAATCTCGTCGCCGAGGCCGACCGTCACCTCGTCGTCGCCTTGTGCCATGAAATCGAACAGCATTACGCCTTTCTTTTGCACATTCGAATGTCCAGAGCCGGCAGCCAGCACCTCTCGCAGGCCAGCGCCCTTTGCGGCCCCAGACAGTTCTCCAAGCGCCGAGATGATTTCGGTCGCTGTGTCCTTGGCCCCGCAGTGGAAGTCGACGCTTTTACTGGGCCGCTTAAGCTCCATGAACACATGCTTCCCTTCCTGAGAGTAGTATTCCAGCTTATCCGCGCTCCACTCCTGCTGCGGTCCGTCGCGCGACTTCTCCGGCGCAATCATGATCATGCCCTTGGGAATGTTGATGCCCAACGTGATCGGCATTTTCTTGTTCTTCCCCGGTTGCGTCAGGTATTCATAGATGTTGTACAAGTGGTATCCTGAGCCGGAAAGTGGCGTTGGAGGCGGTTCGTCGCGGCGATCATATTGGTCGAAAGTGACACTCCGAGGGGGTGGAGATCTGACCGGAGGTGACTCGGGAGAGCGCGGAGAGGCATATTGCGTGGGCGGCGGCGAGATTGTCTGGGACGGTGGTCTCTGCGGGAGACGAGGGGGCGGTGCTTCTTCGTCGGACTCTTCCGGCGTGAACTGCACCCGGCGCGTCGGGGCGCTGACGTGGGGTGGAGGAGAAATGGCCGACCGTGGAGCCGCGGTTTGCTCAGACTTCTTCTGAAGGATGCCCGCGAGTGCCGCAGCTGGACTCTGGTGTACTGGACTATCCGGTGTCGGGGGCTGCTGCTCGTCGTCTGAGTCGGGCGCGGCAGCTGGAGCAGGAGGCCTGGGAGGGAGTCCCGGAGATGCTATCGGCTCAGCAGCAACACCCTCTTTGAGGTCGATGTAGTTTGCCGGAGCAAAGCCATAGTCGCCGTCGACCCCCACCAGTGTCCAGTCCGGGTCTGTGGTGTCGTAGACGTCGAGGGTTGCGTCTTCCTTGAAGGAGAGCTCTTCGTCGGTCTGGCGCGTGTAGTCGTAGAGGGCTCTGGCTTTGGAGATGGGTGCCGCCTATGTGAGCTCGTCAGCAGCTGCAATGTATGATCCGGTATATCCATCTCAAATGTGCCGTCCATTCCTAGTATGCCATGCCTCATCCTCGCATGGGCTGAGGCACATGCAGGGGCGGCGACCTGCAGCTTACCTCTTCGACGTAATTGTTCGGGATCAATCCCTCGGGCTCCTCCTCTTCATCATCCGAGCCCTTCTTCTTTGCTTTCCACCAGTCGTCCTCGGTCGACTTCTCCAGCACCATCAGCAGGTCGCCCTCTGCCAAGGCGAGCTCGTTGTCGCCCTGCGGAGCATAGTCGTAGACGGCGCGGTATATGCCCAAGAACACCATCGTGGTGGTTGGAGGCGCGGCACTCCCTGGGGCCACGTTATATCGAGCGAGGGAGAGCCGGTGTTACGAGTGACGCGGGAGTGTAATGATATGCATAAGCTAGGCGGAGGCAACGGGGGCTGTTGCTGTACGTCGAGGGGCTGGCAGGGAGAGAGCGGGCTGTCCCCAACCGACCAGCTGCGGGAGGTCCCTCCGTTCGAGGATGCGGCAGTGAAGGCGCTTTCGCGGGGTGGATTAAAGTGTGGAGCTCTGGATGCGTGGCCGCTGCAATGGCCTGCGAGGTGAGACAGATGCTGTGCGTCGCTCGAAGCTGAGGCGCAAGCACGAGCCACCGTCGCATCGGGCAAGGTGCATCTGCCAGCCTGGCGACGTCAACGGTGGAGCGTGCCTGCAGCTCACCAACACTAAATTCCATGCGGGCATGCTTCTTCCATCACTATTCGTTGCGGGCGGCTCAAAATTGCATCTCGCTCAACTGCTTTCTCCATGCCGTACCCACGCTTCGGCAGCAGCCGCACGGGAGAGCCAATGTCCGCTGTCTTCCTCGACTATTCATGTCGAATTCGAACATGCATTTCATGAAGACTCGAGCATACGTTCAGTCGCTGATTTAGAGGCCCATATATCATATTTCAGAGGTCGCTATAGCTCTACTTGAGTAGCGAGTCGCACTCGCCAGACCTCATCGTTTCCAGCTCGGCCTTGTCTCGGCGATACCGAATGGTTTCATTCATCTCGGCGAGTATTCTCATCTTGCCTATCAAAAGGCCTACTTCTCAGTAAGTGAACCGGAACCCCTCCGTCCCCTCAATGACCTGCCGCCCCATCCTCTGCCGCTGGTTCGCCATGTAAAAGTACACGGTGAACGCAGCGATGCACCCAATAATCATGATATGCGACCCAATCGACACCCATATCGCCGTCATATATCTCGGCGCCTCTTGCTGTCTGAAGATAAAGCTTCCTGCGATGCCGCCCGCTCCATTACACGCGGTAATGGCCGCTGCAGTAAAGACCCTCTTCCACTGACCCACGATATTGTTCGCTTGATATGTCGCCATGCCCGCCCAGTTGGCCACGTATGCGCCTGTCGCTAGATACGTACCCACGTATCGCACAGTGACTTGATTGCTGAAGCCAAGCATGCAGAAGCCGGCGATGAGACAGAGCGAGTTAAAGGTGATGATAGGACCGCGCAGCTGGTATTTGTCGCCGATGAGGGAGGACAGGATGGCTGGAATGACGGCGTAGTAGTACGGTGGCGCGGAGAGCAGAATGGCGTCATTGGTCGAGAAGCCCATGCCGCCTTGCAGGATGATGGGGAGAAAGTACGAGAGCGCTGTCGAAACCAGGTTCTGCAGGAAATAGAGCGTGCAGAAGCCGTAGACTTTGGGGTCGGTGGCGTGAATGAGGACTTTCTTCCATGCGAAAGGCTCAACTTCGACATCTCCCCGGTCCTTCTCGATTCGACTGGCAGCGATTTGCGTTTCCTCTTCGGAGAGAAACATGAAGCTCTGGTGAGCATTCTCAGGAAAATCCACCATCCACCAGAAGGTTACGATGCCGATGAAGGCTGTTATAGTACCCTGGACAATGAACATCCATTGCCAACCCTTCAGTCCAGACCTCCCGTCCAGCTGGTTCAGTCCGAAGTTGACAATGCCTCCAGTTGCTAGCACGGTGACTTCGCCGCTCTGAAGGAGAGCAAACCGAAGCTGCTGCTCTTTTCTCGTATACCTGTAATGTGGGGATACAATTAGCAAATGGCTCGCAATGATGTGCGTGCCCTGAGGATACGTACCAGGTCGATACGAGGTACGTTAGCCCCGGATACACCCCACTCATAGCGATACCCAGTAACACTCTTAGCGCGATCATCTGCCTCCACGTCGTCACAAAAGCCGTGCATAGCGTAATGATGCCAAAGGAGACAGTGATCAACGAGAACCAGATCCTGGGGCCAAACGTCCGGACCGCAATGGTTGACGGCAGCTGGAAAGCGATAGACGCAATAGTAAATATAAAAATCGACACAGAGTATCGATTCCCTTGATCTAGATGCAGATCCGACAGCATCGACGTCACCGAAGCGCTCGAAATCACGCCGCTATCGAGCAAATTCAGACTGCACAGGATCCCCGCGATACTGCACAGTCGGAAATCCACCTTTAACCGTATTCGGCGCTCCAAAGCTTCCTTATCTTCATTTCTCGCTTCTTCCTGCTCTTCCTCTACGCCATTCTGAACGTCCACAGCTAGCTCTTCTGACTCCTGCGTCGGCGGGCTTTTCGGCATCGTGGAAACGGTGTGAGAGGGGTCATGGCAGCGCAGAGGAGCGGAGGGAAACTTATCTTTGCTGCAGTGTAGCGGGCCAGGCGGGATCTGGACAGGGTCCGCACTCTATGCTTGCAGATCGTTGCTTTGCCGAGGTGCGATTCCGGGGAGGCTGCTGACTAAGGAGCACGATTGTGGAGATGCTCGGGCTTCGAGGACGCTATCATCATGAATGTGCAGCCATGGTTACAACGAGACTGTGGGTATGGCGATTCCTTTGATTGCATGTGGTGAAATGGTGTTACATGGCTTGAAGGTCTTGAACGCACTCCGTTGTAGTCTTCTTGCGTAACGATCAGTGGCCAAGTTTCTTGAAGTGTCGAGAGAATATCATGATGCTTCGGCCAGATTGGTAACTTGACTTTTGTTCATCTATTAACGCCTTTCGATATCGATCACAAAGCATGTGGATTTTGGTGGTGCTTGATGCGTCCTCGTTTAGCGCCGCCGCGTGCACGGCCCAGGATATTTCAGGAACGAACAATGGCCATCATGAGATGAGCTCGAACCGCCTGCTGAGCCGCATTCCGTGCCTCACAATGACTCTGAAATACGTGTGCTCTCTTCAGCTTGAGGCAGGCCATGTCAGCCTGCCTTGTCCTTTCGTTTTCCATGTTCCTTTGCGCACAATTCTCCCTGTGTGCACGCTGTATGTACGATGGGCACCCTCGAACGCATCGATAGCTTGACCTGGGTAACGGGTGCCGCTCTTTTTACGGCTCAAGTATCTTCCCTCCTCCTCTCTCGCGCCACCGAAGGATACACCGCGGTATACGCAGAGCTAGTCTGCTGGATGCTAGTTAGAGCCGTCTTCCATGCTGTTCATCCTCACAGCAACGGTAGATGGAATGACAGCGATGTCTTTGCCAGATCGTCGACACTGCTACCATGGGTAGCCGCTGCTTCTATCTCCATCACCACGCTATCTTCCTCGATCGAAGATACTGCCTGGATAATAGTGAGCGTTTTCCTTCTCTCAATCGTATGATGGCGCTAACGGACATATTCCGCAGCCAGCAGTTACCCCTGTATTGGTTGCTCTCCGTCATACCGCAGTCCTCCCTAGCCTCAACCAGTCGTATCCCGAATGCCTAAGATCAATACCCTGCCAGGCCTTTGTTGGAGCGGTATGTGTCTTGGGTCTCGCCATTCCACATGAGCATACCAAGCTGCCCTTCGTTTTGCTAGCCTTACTTGGTTTAGTCGGGCTCTATGCCTCTCTTATCCGTATGTTCGAGCGGAATATCAGCTACTTCGACGGCCCCGCACGGTTGGCATTGTCTGATATAGTACGGTCTATCGCATCCCGCACGATCGCTATACTTGCGATAGCAGCTATCACCCTTATGTGCATCCTATGGCCAGGATCCAATCCATACATTCTCCAAGTATTGGTGGCCGGTGGTTTGAAAGCCGCACATTGGGTTGCGGTTTTCTGGCTCGTAAGGTTACCCAAACCCGAAGTTTCCCTGTCTCTCCTTGCTCACTTACATAGACTCGAGAAGTCCCTTGGGAAACCGCTACAACCATTTGGACCTGCGCTGCTGCCACCTACGGCTCTCTCGACCCAAATACCTATACCTTGCTACCTCGACTGCTCGAAGCACTCAATCTACTGGTGGTTCGCTCGATAGCGGTGTACCAGACGTCTGGCTTGTTGCGAAAGACGAGCCGCGGCCGATTTATATTATACCTCTTCGCTATATGGCCCTGTCTTTCTCTCATTGACCACACAACTCTAAGCGGGCCAATTGGTCTTTTACCAGGAGTGATTTGGGCGCCAAAAGGCCCTCAACCCAGCCCACGACATCCAATTGAAGAGCTCATCCTCAAGGCTCAAGCCGATTTCGCAGTCCTCGTCGACGGTCAGTCAAAGACGCTTGACGCCGCAGAAACGGAGTATCGTCGACGGTATTCGCGCGACCCGCCGCCAGGATTCGACAAATGGTACGCCTACGCTCAATCCAAGCAGTCAGTCTTGATCGATGACTTCGACACGATCAACGAAGATCTGAAGCCGTTTTGGAAGATTTCTCCTCAATGGCTGCTCGAGAGCATAGACTACGTTACCAGTTTTGAGCATTTAGCCCTCCGAAAATGCGGGTTCACCGATGGAGTATACCATGGATAAGGTGGCGGTTGGATCGTCGACGACCTCGGCAAGCTACTAGGAGAGGTAGCTCGAGATATCCCCGATGTCGAATTCGCCTTTGACGTGGTGGACGAGCCAAGAGTAGTAATCACCCAGCAAATGCTCGATGCCGGCGGCGTGTCGAAGCCAGAGTTCCAGGACGTGAAGCACAAATCCATCTGGGAACGAATCACAGGTCCGTGCCAAGGCAAACCTTCGAAGACCTACCAACCCACCGTCTATGATCACGGCATACCGTTCGTCCAGGACTGGTACGAAGCGAAAGACGTTTGCCAGCATCCCGAGTTCGACCTGATGCATGGTTTCTTCTCCTCGCCTGAGACCTGTATGCTCACCGACGCGCCCATGCCCGTCCTATCGCAGGCCGCCCCGACCTCTTTCGGCGATATCATGTACCCAAGTCCCTGGTACACCGAGAAGCAGGAACAGGGAAACTACAATGACGAGGAGGATCCTCCATGGGAGCAAAAAGCCAATACCCTTAATTGGGCAGGCAGCACCACGGGTAGCCACAGCACAAACGGCAGCTGGAACTACTCCCACCGGCAACGCTTCGTCAAGCTGGTCCAGACCCTGAACGAGACCAGCCACAAGTACCTGAGAGAGGTGAAGCCTGGAGCATGGCAGAGCTACGAAGCGACAGAAGACCATAGCGGCTTGTTCGACGTCAGACTTACCGCTGTCATCCAATGCGACGACCAAGACTGCGCCGAGCAGAAAGACTTCTTCGCCCTTGGCGAGAAACAAGAGCGCAGCCAGCAGTTCCATTCGCGCTTCATTTTTGACACCGATGGCAACAGCTTCAGCGGGCGGTACTACACGCTTCTCCAGTCACGCAGTGTCGTCCTCAAGCAGACGGTGTTGAGGGAGTGGCATGATGAGCGGCTTATACCTTGGGTGCATTACATTCCTGTCAGCCTGTCTATGGAGGAGTTGCCGGAAATTATGAGATACATGACCAGCAGTGAGCAGGGAAGGAGGCGAGCAAAGGAGATTGCTGATGCGGGTCGGGAGTGGCATGGGAAAGTGTTAAGGAGGGAGGACTTCACTGTCTATCTCTATCGGCTGATGCTGGAGCTGGCGAGGATCATGGATCCGCATAGGCAGGTGGAATGAGAAGAGATTGGACGAGAAAGCTACGGACTACGATTCAGGGAGCAAGCACCTCGTTCTCCTCCCGGACATGGGCTTCATTCAAGTATCCAGCCTGCTCAAGGCGCCATTGGAGGTGCGAGGGGATGTGGGCGAAGGCTGGATGCTGGCATCATTCCGGCTTCGATGGCTCGACAAAGTGCTCACAGGGCCTGTCGGTGATTGGCTAAACAGGGCTCGGGTTGCCATCGGAGGACAATAGGTACAAGCAGAACGTTTCCACGCATCGCGCTCCGCGGAGATCCACGTACTCGCTCTCCGTCGCAACGATATCCTTAGATCGTAATAGACTATTCAGTGTCCAACACTATCTGCCTTACCATCCGCGCCCTACTCCCCCCCTCCAGCCTCATAATCCCATCCATCCCCCTCCTCCCCCATCCAAGCGCTCTCCAGCAATCCAAACGCCGACTTCCTCTCCCCAGGCCGCCACCGCAAACAGCCATACAAAAAGGCCACAACAAGCCTCTTCCCCTCCTCATTCGGGATGCGCAGCCTCTGCTCCAAGCCAGCCCACTCCACATACCCGCCGACCCAGAACCCTATGCAACCAAACGTCAGCTTTTCACTCGCTACAAGAAAGAAAGAAAGGGGGGTGGGTATAACGCACCTCGCTCATCAAACCCCACCGCCCTTCCCATCACCTTCCCGGCGAACAAGTCCCGAGGCGGCATCCCCAGCACTTCAATAACTTCCCGCAAATGCCGCGCCGCCATCCAACAACCCAGCGCGTCGTCCACGCCCCTGAACAGCAGCTCACCGCTCAGCAAATTGTACACCACGCATCCGAGATTCCAAATGTCGATTTTGCAGTCCCAGCCCAGTTTGAGAATGACCTCGGGCGCCTGGTACTGCAGCGGCTGGACGCGCGCGTCGGCGCTGAAGGTCTGCTCGCCGTACCGCGCGAGGCCGAAGTCCGAGAGGATGGGGACGCCGAAGTGGTTCTCCCAGGCCAGCGGACGGGATTGGTAGACGGTGTAGGGCAGGTCTGGGATGTGTTTGCGGGCGCTGGGCCTGAGGGATTCGGCTTTTGAAAAGGCGTGCAGGGGAGAGGGGGAGGTGAGGCGGAACATGATGTTTCCGTCCTGCAGATCTGTGCAGTTGGTCAGTTAGTCAGTTTGTCTCTGGAAATGAGAAGATCGGGCCTCCAGCTGGCGTAGGGAAGAGGTGAGCTTGACTTACCGGTATGTACAATGCCGCTCTCGTGCAGAAAGTCCAACGCAAGCAGCACGTTCCGCACTACCCATCGTACCATCTCCACCGGCACCCTGCAATCCACATACCCCTTGCGCAGGTCCCTCAGCGACATAGCCAGCGGCGCGTGCACGAGGCCGTAGTACACACTTCCGTCCAAAGTTAATTCGAACGACGCGAGCATGCTGCGAACGAGGCCTGCCCCCGGATGCGAAGACTGCACCGATTTTATGTATTCGTATATCCTCGCTTCCCTGCTTCCCTGGACGCTATTCTGGCGGCCGACTTTGACCACAACATACGGCTTGTCTGTTTCTCTGCGAATACATACATCAGCAAGCTCATTGAATAGATAGGAGCAAATGGTATGCATACCCGAAGTCCCTACAGAGCCATATCGTAGAGTTCGCGCCAAAGCCTAGTTTTCCCACTACTCGATAGCGGTCGTTGAGGAGGCCACCAATGTGCACGGGGTAGAAGCGCTTTTCGCGAAAGTACTTGGAGCCTTCTTCTTCGAAGGCGGAATCCGAAGTGATGATGCGTGGCGGGCGGGGGAAGAAGCGGCAGATGATGGGTATTTTGGACGCGAGCTGGAGGCCGCAGGTTTTCAACCGCGTGGTTCGGTCGGCCATGGCGGGTTGGGAAGTGGGTTTAGTTGCGGGCGCGGAGATCGGAAAATCCTGCGGCGAAGCATCGTGGGAAGGATAGAGAGGAAATTTCGAGAGACCATATTGGTGTTGCTGCTTTGGAGCCTGGGAGATTTGGCCTGAGAAGGTGTGGTGGTGACCGCGCTGCAGTGAAAGGTTTTCATCTTTTTCAAGGCACGAAGACCCGCCGAAGCACTTTCGATTCTTCATCCCCGGGCGCAGCGATAGCTAGTCTCGAGCCCAAGACCAGATTAGTTCTCAATGCTTCAAGCTCTTCATCCTGCTGTGCACACACCTCCATATGCCCCTCCACTCTCTTTTACCAGGCGCCTTCGCCTTCACCACTATTAGGACAACGACATTCTCCTTCCAACTCAGACTATTTCTGCTTGCTGTAACCTTAAGGGTGCATGCGCGAGCACATCGATATCTGAAAGGCGCTAGAATACTGGGAGAGGAAAGGGGCTTGAGACATGTGAGAAGAAACTCTTACTCACACGTCGTTCATTTATGGACAATGCTCTTGTCGAAGCCTACTATGCTAGAGATCTTGCAGTGACTGCATTAGTAACTCGCATCGCACGTTTCTATCGGGGTACTTTTCAGTGTAGCGCAGCGGAAAGGTGCAAGCTAGCGCAAGCATCCTCTTGGTGCGTACAGAAAAAAGCAGTCCTCAGATGCCACCGTAAGGATAGCCGGGTGCGATGTAGCGCCGCTTAGTAAGCTACAACGCTCAGCCAACAATGCTTGAGACTTTGTGGACTGGCCCCGACCAATACATGTCCCACCTAGGTCCCTTCCTACAAGCAGGCGCGTTTCACAGAAAGTGCCTGTTCACATCAGCCGAGGCCCACGTCGCCGACCGCTCACCTCGCTTAGCGCAATACAGCGAAACGTCCTGTACAAACTTGTTCGACCCCGCCTTTGGTTAATACAGCAGATATAGCGTCGTATACCCATGATCAATATGAATATAGGTCTTCCCTGCTTTCATCAAGCCAGCATGTCGTATGTAAGAGTTTGGTAAGAGTAAGACATCTAGACACAGGTAGGCCAGTCTTACCTGCGTACCTGGGTAGTAAGCTGCATCTTGACGAGCGTTTCACCTTCCTACTAGGCCTTTCGTACTCCGGTCAAGCAGCACGGTCGCAGAAATGACGCGCTTAGGTGATATCGGGGTGGTATCGATAAGATGGCTCGCCGCTGTCATCGCGGAAGCGGCTCGGCTCCCGACGGACTCGCGGCGTGTGGTGTGAAGAGTCTATTTTCACCTCCGTGGGGAATTCTTCGGAAGACCTGCTGAAGCAGAGCGCATGAACCGTCGGACATATTTCCATCAAGGTTTGATATTTTACATCAGGTTCGTATTACTAGTTAAACGGTGCATGAGTGCATAAGAAGCCGAATGTGAAGCTTCTTCGGGACACCGGAGATGCAAAGCGTGCCGGATGTGGTGTTGCACAAATGCATAACTGAGAGAGGAAGGCGACATTGGAGTATCCACAGTAGGAGGATTATCCTTTGCTTTGTATCCCGGCTCACAAGATTAATCGATCGGCCGGGAGAAGAAATATGGTGTGGTACTCGGTACGTGCCCACCACGGCACACAGTTGGGTCGGATGGGCAAGTGAGATATAGCATCATATGCAAATCACAGGGAAGTGGTCCTTCTGTGCGCGGACGCTGCTCGCCATACTCACTACCGTGTCGCAACGGACCGCGGCGTGGTTGTAGCTTTTAAAATAGAGCGATCTTGAACCTTAGCGACAGGCATCCGTCCCGGCGAGAGGTGTTCTCGCGTGCCGGCACGAGACGGACGCGGTGGCGGCGAGAGCGTGTGGAGTGTCGGGACCGGACCGGGGAGGGGAACGGGAGGAGTGAGGGGGCTGCAGGTCAGCGGAAGATGTAACCTTATTTGATTAATGCGATGAGCAATTGAAATTGATACGCTGCGATATAGGCCGCTTGACAGTTTTAGCCGGCCTGCGTCCTTGTACACTGGTACTTGGGATAGTTTTGCATGGTAGGGCAGATCATGTGATGCGGCAGAGAGCGAGGCATTTCTGTCGTGGAATGAAATGCTGTTACGCAGCAGGAGGAAGACCGGGGTCTCCCACAGCTTTTCGTGAGGAGCGTAGGGGTTCATGTCGGAGCCTTCGGCGACTCCGATGCAGTACCATTTCTCTTCGAAGCTGCCCGGGATGATAGACGTTGACATGTCGGCAGTTTGGATCCGGGAGTCGAGGCGTTTTCGGGTAATATGGCTCTTCTTGTGAGGAAGGAAACATTCGAAGCGAAAACAACACGAGCGAGAATTAAGCCGCAATCGTCTGGCAACGTCACCTGAAGTCGTGTAGGCGCCTACACGCAAGGAATGCCGTATTCTTTGGGCGACGCGCAGTGCAGGTCATGCACAAAAGCATGTACGATTAGATTTTGCTTTTCAGGCGTCCGGAGAGGACAGCAGGCTGGGGTAATGCGCCGACGCTCTCCACGCTGCTTGCTAAGCTGTGTGACCTTCACGAGCGGCCGAACCAGCTCGCTGGGAGGATGAACGGCATAGAGGCGGTGGAAAGCGAAATGAGGCGGCATGAGCGTGACTTGTTGGGCAGCATGCAGAAAAGCGCAGAGAAATTCAGGTGGCTGGTCGCGCGAAGATTTTGACATGATGGCCTCCACATGAGACGGAGCTGAGGAGTGCGCGATACTGTGGGGACAGGCGATGTTGAGCGAGGATTCATGATCTGCAACCAAGGCCGGCGCCTCACCCTCTCGCCCATGGGTTGGAGACTGGACAGGGCGATTCTGTGCATGAGGATCAGACGCTTTGACGTGGTGGCTCGCGGTCGCGGTGCATGGATAGAGCGCTGACGTCGTAGCTCGTCTGAGACGGGGCCGAGACAGCAGCTGGGCCAATCGACGATGGCGCGGCGGACGGCGGTGGTCGAGAGCAGGCGACGAGAGAGGCACCGCGTCGAGACGGCGAGGTGCATGGCGGCAGGGCGAGCGTTGGGCTCTGTCACCAGGAAAGGCGGGAGGGTGGCTACATGGCAATATTTCGAGGTGTATAACGCATGGGCTGTGCGAGTGTGATGGCGGGAAGCAGCAGCGTTCGGCCCCCAGCGCTTCGCGGCGAGAAAGTTTGCTGTCTCTGCGAACGCGAGGGCGATGGCGATGGCGACGGCGATGGCTGATGACGCGCCGGCGAGGGCGTTTCGGAAACAGGGCAGAAGTTTGGAGTGTGCGGGAGGTGCGCGCTACCCGTCCGCGAGCCAGGCCAGGGGGGCGCAGCAAATTTCAGCTGAAGGGGCCAATTGCGCGGCGGCGACCGGGGCGCGGGGCAGCTGCCAGAAAATGTGCTTGATCACGTTGGCTAGCCGCCCGTAATTCGGCCGCGACGTGCGACTGTGATTTGTCTGCAGCTGCGAATTTCTGTCCGCGGCTGGGGGCGTGCAAGGTGCGATGGTGTCCACTGTCCGGACGCTCGTCGCTCGTCGCTCGTCGCTCGTCGCTCGTCGCTCGTCGCTCGTCGCTCGACCTGGGAGGCTCCGGGCTGGCTGGTGGACGGAGCGCAGCGGAGCGGTGGCAGGTGGAAGCGAGCGGGCGACCACGTCAAGCCCAGCCTACACCGCTTGGGCCGGCCGTCATCGCGCCCGCGGAGTCGACGGCGCGCGCCGGATGCCCTCGCGCCCTCGCGCAACCCGCCCTCTTCTGCGGACGCGGCGCTGGGTGGAAACTTGAAAGACGGCGGAGCGCACGCATCCTGGACATACCGTAGCAGGGCGGATGGCAGAGGCACGGTGGATGATGTGCGCGCCGGGAGCGCGATGGCTGGGGCGGCCGGAAGGCCTTCGCGAGCCAAGGGTCGGTGCTATTGGGCGGCAACCCTGAAATAAGCGGCGGCGCAGGCGAATGATGATAAACGGCGGTCCTGCCCCCTCGCTCGCAGGCCAATCTGCGTCTTTCAATCCTCTTCCAATCACCCTGCACCACCTCGCCTGCCCTACCGCTCGCCCGCCTATCACTGTCCCATCACGCGTCTGCACCACGCCAGCGCTCGTGGGCCTCCAAAGCCGCTGCTTGTGTGCGCTGCCAGGGCGCATCCGCAGAGAGAGCGTGCAGCGCTGCAGACAGTGGTATTTCCAGGCTGCCGCACCGCCGGCGCACAAGAGCTGCGTGCCCGCCACTCACGTCCCACCAACCTCAACACCGCAAAATCTCGTGACCGTGCTCCGCTGCGGACTGCGCATCGGTAAGTCGCCGTCGGGACCGCGTCCTGAAGACCCCCAGCGGCGTCAACGCACCTGGATACTTCCAGGCACGCCCGCTCGCGCTCTGGCTTTCGCGCGCATTCTCTGGCGGCTGTCGCCGCGCTCGCCGTGGCCCCGCCCCAGAGTCTGTTCTGTATACCACAGCACCGTCGCGACCACCACTACCACTGTCAGCCGCCATGCTCCTCTGCTAACGGCCCGCGCGATAGGGAACACACGGCTCATTAAAGCATAGCAGCCTTGTATCGCGCTGCCAGCTCGCTACCTGCTGCTCCAGCGTCAGCTGCGCGCGGCGACAATTTATACTGCGCCGTCGCTGCCCGCGCAAGCATCGCAGCCGCGCATAGAGCGACCTCTCCAGACGGCCCCAGAGCGCCAGCGTCACCAGGCGCCGCAGCAATCGTCGGCACGCGCAATTGCGACGTGGATGCGCTGCCCTTGATTCGAGTCGGTAAGTGTGCGCTCACGGCGGTCTGCGGGTCATGCAGGTTCAATGCAATGCCAACGCATCACCTCCAATCGCCCGCCCGCCAGCACATGCCCACCCTCGACCTCCTCCAATTGCTCGACTCTCTGCGTCCTGGGCTAGCTAACAATTGCTCGTCGCAGAATCGACAATTCTCAGCATCCTCCCCGACTGGCGAACTCCTGCAACGGCTTCGTTCCCCACACGGCGCGGCCCTCTAGAACCGCATCAGCTCCGTCGCTGCCTCTGCCCGCGCACCGCCTCACCCCGAGGCCGGAAGCGCCCAATCGCCGTCGTTGCGCCTCAACCTGCACTGAGGCTACGACCGTGCGCTCCCACAGCGATCCGCCTCATAAGCGTGGCCATTGACAACGCATCAAGCATCTGCCCTGCCGTGACGTGACCCCAGCTCGTCCGGTGTGCCTAGAAAGCCCGGGCGTCCCGATATCTACGCTCTCCATCAGCAAACAAGACGCAGCTCGCTCGAGGCAGCTTTTAATCCACCGGCCGACCAAGACAGTCAGTGATTCATCGTAGCGAGACTCCAGCTCCTGGTAAGCCCGGCCCGGCATTGGCTGTTTGAAACACCACTTATTGGCCGTGTGCTAATCTCGCCTCCGCTCCAGGCTCCAGGCCTCAACCAGTCGTTGCGGCTCTCCGATTTAAGTCGCGTCTCTGCGCGCTCGCCATCCCCCCAGTCGCGACATCCTTCCACCCCAAGCGTCCCAATCACCTCCCCCGCGCAACACTCTATCCGATCGCTCATTTGAACGCGCGACCGAGAGGGCTTCCCACGCGGACCGACACAGCGAGCCGGGTCTGTGCCATCAGTGGCGCATCTGGGGTAATACTTGAGGCTGCGCCGCCTCCAGATCGCGTACATTAAGCTCATCTCTGTACTCCCAGGCATCGCGTACCTGAGAGACACGCAGACATGACCGACTACGCGCAGTATCAACAGCCCCACCACGGGCACGCGCCCGCCCACATGCAAAACTACGGAGGAGCCCAAAACCCCGCCGCGGGGAACTCGTCGATAACGTCTCCCACACAACAACAGATGCATTCGTACCAGCAAACATCCCCAATTCTCCCCTCGCAGGGCTACTCGCAAGCCGGCGCGCCGAATCCCCAACACCATCAACCGATAAGCTATGCGCAGCAAGGGTATATGCCGGGCATGCATCAGCAGTACGGCATGTCACCAACACAGGCAGCGGCCATGGCGACTGCGGCAGCTGCCGGCCCGGCTGGTTATTATGACCAAATGGCAGGCCAAGGTCAACTTGCGCAGGATCCACGCGCCTCTCCACGTATGTCGGGAGGGCAGATGCAAAAAGACGGACGTGTTCCTCCGCGCTCCCCGACGGCTGTCTCCAATCCCATGAGTGCGGGCGCCCTTCCCTCTCAAGTACAGATGGCGCCTGGCCAGGCGATTCAGCAGCGACGGATGAGCACCCAGATCAACAGCCCCGCAATGCAGCAGCCGCAGCCCGTCATGAACCATGCCGCGCGGCCCTCGGTACCTCCACAGATGGCTCCTCAAGCTCCACACCAACAATCTCCTGAGCTCGTTGCCGGAGCGCAGGCAGAGGAGGCACCTCTCTACGTCAATGCCAAACAATTTCATCGAATTTTGAAAAGACGACTGGCGCGCCAGAAGCTCGAGGATGCCCTGCGACTCACATCTAAGGGGCGGAAGCCGTACCTGCACGAGTCCAGGCACAACCACGCCATGAGGCGTCCCCGTGGCCCCGGTGGGCGCTTCTTGACGGCTGAAGAAGTCGCGCAGATGGAAGCCAAAAATACTGGAGGTGCCGAGGGAGGGGAAGACGGCAATAAGGAGAACGCACACACGCCTGCAAAAGCGTCCATGGCGCAGCCCAGCTCCGGCACGAAACGGAAAGCGTCAACAGCTCAGCTGAAGGGGACGCCATCTAACAAGAAGAACAAGTCCGGCGCGCCTGTGCGACCCAGCACGAGCGAAGAGGATGACGAAGAAGACGAGGACGACGCTGACGATGATGGTTGAGCGACACGCCGACCTGCGCCTTCCTGGTTCGGATCGATTCAGCTTGTAGGCCTTTTTAATCTTCTTCATATTTTCTTCCACATCCCCTTTTATTTCATGAGTTTACGAAGCGAGTGCTTTTTGGGTCTCTGGTCTGTTTCTGCATGTTACCCCTTGTTGTTCTCTATGCATACAACAACCCACAACAAATTGAAATACTATGTCATCATTAGCGATGGGCACGGATGGGGGCCGGGTCATACACATGGATGGTCGGACGGATCGGATACTGGTACGATACCCTGCCTGATGGAGCTATCCGGGCGACAGAGCGATCTGTTGCCCCCTTCTCCTCCATCTTGCGGAACTTTTTCTCCTCCTTTTTGGTCTCTCTGCTCTTCGTTCCTTGAATACCCCCACATTCGCTACTTGTATTGGACGAACGGGCCGCCCTGCTCTGCCCGCTGGCTAGGGTTTAGCTGGCGGGAGTGCCTGGGTCATATTAGAAAGGATTACCCTTCACCGGAAGAAAAATGGAATCAATGTTTCGACGACTGTGTGGATCCGCTTTTTCCACTTTGGTGTCTTCCCTCGTTTGGCGTCCCGCTACCACTTCCCAGCCGGCGATTCTTGATGGTGTGAGCACAAGACCTCCAAACTCTCAGATGGCGGCTGATTATTATACTAGTTCATGCCCGCGTCAATCGCTCCATTGGTGTCTGTACCGCAAAGCTGCGTGCCAGTAGGCAATTCCGTTGCACGCCTTACCCACACCACCGCCGAAATCGCCACGAAACGTTCGGAATCCCCTTAGTGCTCTCCGTACTCTAGTCTATCCTTTCATAACTTCACCCGAGATTAAGTCTCGCGTAATCCCGGACGAGCGCTATGGAATGAAGACTGCCTTGTGCTGGGGTATTTTGTAGGATGGATGCTATTCGCTTCGACGAGGGAAGATCTTGAGGTCGCGGCAGGTAGAATGAGTCTCTCCTCACTTCCAACCAAAGACGACCGGATACAGAGAGCCGACGGATTCAAAAGAGAGCTCTTTTTTACGGATCGGAGCGGAGGAGAGGGCCCCTAAGAGTGGTTGCAGAGACATCCAGAGTTCCGGAAAGGGGTTTAACAGATTGATGGGCATGATGCGTGTGGTGAATCAAGCTACTGGCTGGGTCCACGAATGTTCGGTCGAGAGGCTGTTGGAGGGATGTGAGGGAGAACAGGGGATGTTCTTCTTGTGGATGTCGGTGGTGGGAAAGGGCACGGAACTTCGAAATCTCGTCGGAGTGCTTCCAGAGGAGGTCTGGCAAAGCGCGCTGCTCGTGCTACAGGGCATGCCGGCGACGAGTGAAAACGTTCAGAATGAAGGGAGGCTTGGGGAGGCGTGCGGTTGGTGGCCCACGGCTTCTTCACCTCACACCTCAGCTGGTAAATCAGGCGCGCTGCTACCTCCTCCAGGCTATCCTGCACGGCTTGCCTAATGACAAATGCGGTGCTCTCTCCCACCTACGCGATGCCACGATGCCGGGGTACTCGAAACTCGGTATTGCGGATGGTATGCTGCCCGACATAGATTGCCCGCCATTGGCCGCCGCTCTGGACATGTATATGATGAGTAGTTTTAGTGCGAAGGAGAGGAGTGAAGCGGAACGGAGGGGAATTTTAGGGAATTGTGAGTCTAGGGGAGCGGAGGCAGGAAAGGGGTCGTTGTGTTGTCAAGGAGTAGAGGTCAATGCGATGAATATCTTCAACGACTATAGAGCAAGGTACATCAAACGAATATATTTGCAATGCATTCAATCTGGTCTCTTTCGTGGGGTGTGTTGATAGAAGCCCGGACAGAGACCAAAGGCCGACTTGAGCTAGCCTGTTTCAGGTTAGCCAAGCTTCATAAGGGGCCATGACGCACAATCATTCCCTGCGTCTACTCTCCCTCCCTCTATAACGACTCCGACCAGCGCTTCGTCATTTCCATTCAGGTAGCGGTACCGTAAGAGATGGAACATTTTATTGAATGGCGACTACATTGCAACGACGAAAGCAAACTGAGGAAAACATCATGAGTCGTAAAATCTCGTCAACCCGACTTCAATCCATTCTGAGCGTCCCCTCCTCCAGGCTACGCGGACCTTCCGAAAGAGCCGCTCTACGGCACCAAGGCCCTTCTCACTCTGAAAAACCAACGCCCTGTTGCGCGCTCGCATTCCCTCCCATTTGCTGCTGCATCTGCGGGTGCATTCCCATATTCGTCTGATATCCCATCTGCGGATACTGTACGCCATTCAGGTGCATAACGGGCTGCGCATGAGGAGTTCCGGACATTGCCGCTAGTGCAGTACCATCCGTGGACATTATCGGACCTTGAGGAGGCTGTGCATACTGCATTTGTGTAAAGCCGGATGGATTCGAAAACGCATTCTGCATTGCTTGCGCTTGGGGTCCTCCCCAAAAATTCGGGATATGAATGTTGGCTCCGCTGCCGGTACCGCCAAAGCTCGCATGTTGATAGCCCCCAGCCGGATACGGTGTGTTCTGAGGCGCTTGGCCAGATATGCCCGAGTTGGAATGTTGAGGCGGAGTTTCGCGATGTTGAGGAGGGTACGCTGAAGACACAAACTGAGCGTCTGGCTGTGTCTGATTGTGATACAGATCGTTTCTCCATTCTTTTCTCCGGGCATAATGTGGTGCTGTTGCACCAAGCGTTGACTGGAGGTACTGATCGAATTCCACTGAGGCATCAGCAACAACTTCGAAATGCCGACGTTCAAGCACTGGCTTCGTTGGGGTATTCGCCTGGTTGCTAGCGCCCACGTGCTCATATTCCGCCAAAGCAACTGCCGTCTGGAAAGCGTTGCGTATCTGGCGTCCGTTCCAGGCGACCTTATACCTTGCCACTTGCTTACTCCAAATCTCCTGAGCGTAGGCTAGGATGATGACTTTGTCTGTGATGGCGCGACCCTGGCTGATCAAACGTTCCAAATGGCTCGACCAGATAGCGTGGGTCTGATCCCAGGAGAGAGGCGTGTAAAGCAAGCTGATATGAATCCGCGACCTGAAGGCCTCATCTATAGTCCCAACTCGGTTCGTCGTCAGAATTAGGATGCCGCGATAGTACTCCAGGGCGCGCAAGAAAACTTCATCCGGTCAGCTTACAGTTCATTGTCGCGTAAGTTCGGGCTCACCTGAGACCAGCGCATTACGCTTTACGTCCGACTTGGTCCTCTCAGCTAAGAAGACGTCTGCCTCGTCAAGCAACAAAACGCAACCCCACGATTCTGCGAGCTGGAAGTTGAAGTCCAGATTGGTTTCGACTTCCGCTGGAGTCATCCCCAGATCACCTAGTCAACGATTAGGATCTTCTAGAGCAATACAGCACGCAATCGTACCGCAGGTGATGGGAAATAATGGCCGTGCATGGAGCGCCGCCACGCATTCTTTCCACTTGTCAGTCCGTATCGAAAAGGCACGGTTATGCGGAGATACTGTACCTGCCGTGGATGTCTTTCCGACGCCGGGGGCGCCATGCAGAAGCATGATCAAACCCTTTCCTGAACACAGTCAACAGCCGGCCTTCTCATACCTCTTGTCGTCGGTACTACCTTTTTCTCTCACGATATCGAAGTCGAATTCATCCTTTTTCTCCTCTCCGGACAATCGATTGCGATAGTGAGTCTGCACGAGACCCTGAATCACTCTGATATGCTCATCTTTGATTTTCAGCCGATCAAACCCATCCTTGTCCTCTTTTATAGGACTGAGACTGTCTACTCGTAGGCTAGCTGGCCGGCGTTAATTGAGACTGGAGAGCGGACTACGGGCCCGATGACTTACCCCACTTCCGGCTTCTCAGAATAAATCCGAACACCCTATTGGGCAGGAGTTTTGTTTCCTCGGGTAGAAGATCATCTTCGGATAGAGCCGCAGCCTTTCTCTCCTTTGCTCTCTTCTCCAGGAAATCCTTCGAACGTTGGGCGTCCCAATTATAATCTTGGACGATATACTCATTCATGCAACAGAAAACTGTACGGCACCCCGCGTTGCCGCACCTGTTGGCATCACCGGTCGTCATTTCCTGAGTTTCGTACGGTGGCGACTCGAAAGTGGCAGTCCAACCGATCGTTGGCTTCCATTCGGGATTGAACTGAAGTGTTCTGTCGAAATCGATCATGACAGGGCTATCGATGTCCTCAGCATGAAGAATTTCCGGGATTACCTCACCGCTCGGCGCCACTATCAGCGTACGGCCTTTGGAATACATATGTCGCGATTTGAGTGCATCGACGAAACTTTGGCCGCGAGCCGTTGCATCAGCCATAATGCAAGGGCTGGTTTCATATTTCACAGGATACACTTCCAGCGACGTGATCTCTTTCCAATCTTCGAATCGTTTTATCTGGAACCGACGCTGGCAAGGTCCCCAATTCTTGCCGTCGAAGTCGATGTAGTAGCAGTCGATTGTGAAGTTGCTGAACGTGTGATCACGTCCTAGGGGCCATCTAAGACATGCCCGTGGGTCCGTTAGGAATGGTCGTCCCGATGTTGCCTGGAGAACTCTCCAAAGAGTTTGGGGGCCCTCCTTCGATATAACATAGGTTCCCGGCTTGAACAGGTGCCAAAGGTCTTCGTATCGAACACTTGGATCCTTGTTCGTGTCTGCTTCTAAATAGGATACGTATTGGGAGCAACTGTCGAGGAATGCAATAAGGCACTCCAGGTCTTCTCTCGCTTCGTTTGACTCGATCAGCTCGGCGTCTGTCTTCTCCTCCTGTATATTGTCAGCTAACAGAAGTAGTCGCGGTCAGGCCCGTGACGTATCTTTTCAGAAAGCGACAAAGGGTTTTGATCTCCGTCGCCCATATCCTCCTGGGCGGATTCGACGAACTTTCGTCGTAGATAAGTTGCGTGCTCCCGAAACTCCCGAAGATGATAGAACAGAGGCTTGAAGGGACGTATCATCACTACTGGCCTCTCCGAGCGGTCATACGCGTATGCTCCAATAATCTTCTGCACAATTCGAAGTAAGGGTAAGGAGTTTATTCGAATACGTTCCGGTATGCTTGAGAGTTGCAGCGGCCCTGACGCGCTTGCGGGATCCAGTCCATTCTTCATGGTCTCCATGTCGACGATCTGCTTCTGACGCTGGTGGAACAGCAGTGGCTCTCCACGTAAAATGTCCACTGCGTGGTGAGGTTCTTTCCTGTCGCGCAGGTTCTTGAAATCTACCCAGCTGACCAGATTCACCTTCGGGATTGCGGGCAGTCTCTTTGGAACTGATTTGGGTGTCTCTGGAGATGGGTCACGCTTCTCTAGGGCATCCATTCTCTCTTCCAGACGCGACATGCGGATTTCTGTCAGCACGTCATGCTTTAGATTTTGCTTGAGTCGCACATCTGCCCTCTTTTTCGTCTCTCGTCGTCCCTTTGGGGCTGATTTGTTTGCCCAAAACACGGCGTCGTCCACAAATTCGTCTACCTTTTCCAGGTGCTCGTCGCCACTTTCTTCCTGGTCCATATCCGGCTTCAATGCTGCCGCATTGCTCTCTGCGCGTTCTGGCTCAGAAGCTTTAGCTGTAGACTTCGTCGGCTCACCAAAGTCATTCCCATTCTGCGCAATGACAGCTGTGATCTTGCCTTCAGTAGCGTTGTTGTTGTTGTTGTTGTTGTTGTCCGTAGGCGATTTTGGGTCAGCAACGCTGGGGGCATCCGGACCGTCCGCTTGTTTTCCTGGCGCTTCCTCTGGGCTCCCTTTTTCTCCGATCTGGTTTGTCGTCGTCGACATGGTATAATTCTCGAATATGCCAACCAGCCGTACGTACAGAGGGTACTCTTCTAGCAGCGCGTCTAGTCGACTGAGCTAAATCACAGTGCGGCAAGGGCCACCGAACTCCAAAATCAGCCATTCCACCAGGATCTGTGGCCACCTGTACCCTATATGGCTCGTGACATTGTACCTGCCATTGCATATCCAATGGGATCTAAATATGACGATTGCAACATAGACTCCCTTCTGCTGTGGCCAGTCCTTCGAAACAGACTCTAACACTGCACTGAGCACCTGATATAACAACGTCCCACAACATCGCCTACAAGGTGTACATCAATCACAGTTGGGCTTAAGTTCGTTACATGCTAACCTACAACCTAAGTCTCGAACTTCACCGGTATGTGCTCCGCCACTCAACGAAACGTCGACCCCGCAGCCCGTGCTACTGTATCACAGTCGCAATGTTACGTGGCGGCTATAATAGGTGGATGAGTGGAGGCTTCGACTCACCAAAGCTGTCAACAGAGCCTAGACGTTGAGTACAGCGTCTGAGCTATCCAAACCACTCCGGCGTCGTGGTAACCATTACGCCTAGGCTCACTTGTACCATCACACTCTGATGGGTCACAACGGGGAGGGGGACGGCAAGTTAAGATCACGCGACAGTGAGAATGGATCACAGCTCCTGGAGGACTGGTATTCCTGAACCCGCTTTGATAGGCCGTGTCGGCTTAGAATAGCCGACGCCCCGGACGCCGTTCACGCTCCCCCGTACTTCTGAACAACCACCAACTGCGGTGGGTTTGCTCCACTGTCCGGACAATGGATTCGACTCCTGGCACGGGTCAGCCAGACCCAAAGGAGGCCATCGCGCTGGTGACGACATTCGTCGACAACAGGACTGAACATCTACATCCCGCACTCGCAACACAAGGTAATCATTACGACTCTCGATTACAGAAATATGTGCTTGGGAAGCAAGACCGATCCGAGGAAGGGTACGTGTGGCAGCCCGAGAGCGCTGAGGATTCGCAACATTCTGCTGATTTTGATCGCGTTCAGAGACCTTAGAAGATACGAACATGAGTTCAAGATACTTGCAGCACAGTGCGAGCAAGAAATGCAAGCATTCAATCTAAGAGATCAGACCGCAAGAGGCTCTACAAACAAGGCGAGCGCAAAAGCGTCATGGGAAGACGTGCTAGATGAGCTGGATAGAGCGAAGGATCGATGGGAAGCAAAGACCAATGGTAAAAGTGGTGTCTTCAGAAATTCTGGAAGGTACTTGAGTGGAAGGGCAAGTTACATCAGTCCATGGCTCGACCTCCTTCCGAGCTCAGACTATGGGTCCATCGTCTGCGGGGGATTGAAGTTGATCATCGGCGTACGTCCTCCACTATGGTGAGATACCTCACGCATACCTCACATGCATCCTGACTTTGGCTAAATCATATACGTGATAGGCGGCAGCTGCGAAAGAAGAAGCACAGAGCGAAATCCTACAGTGCATGGAGTCACTGCCTAACAACATCGAGGAAGCATGCAACACTATCGCAACGTTCAGCGACAAACTGGATCGGAAGCAAGAGATCAGGCTCAGAATAGCCGCGTTGTCGTTCTCAATGGCAGTGTTGAAGGCCGTGAGACAGATGACGTGCTGGTTTGATAAACGCCTCTATCGTACGCACTATATCCCGACCACACGCATGAGAAATGGGTCGGAGCTAATAACCCTGCAGGCAAATCTCTGAGCTCATTCTTAAAACAATCTGAATATTCGAAGGATATCCAGGAAGCTGTGCGCAGCATTGCGTCTCGATCTGAAGACTTGCGTCGGCTGGCGGAGGGGTGTCATCGCAGACTTGATGTCCAAACGAACGAGATGGTCCGTCACTCCTATGATGGTTTGCACCGGCTTTTATGCTGATATTGCAGGTGTCTACATTGGCTGAAATGGTGCTGGATGTGAAGACCGGAACAACGCGTCTCCTGAAAGATCATGTGACTAATGCACAGTGTAAGTAGTCCACCCCCACCTCGCAGCTTCGATCGAGCGTCGCCGGCTGCGCGCCATCGCCCGGTCGGGACGATGTGAGCAATACACCCGTAGCCATACGCCACTTCTTCAGTTCCCTAGAATAGAAGACCAACGGAGCTAATAATATAGGGGAAACTATTATGAAAATGTGGACCCATATCGCGGAGTGCGTACCGAGCCCTCCGGTGATCTACCAGCCCATCATCCAATGTATTCTCCAAACGCCGTCCCTAGCCAGTAAAGAAGATATACTACGATTCCTCAACGTTGACGGACAAGCAATCCAGCAACCACTTCTCGAAGCCACGGCACCACGCTTCCGGCATGCGCAGGAAAACGCGAACCTCTTGCAGCTAGTTCTGAAGAGTCTCCAATTTACGCATTGGATGCGCTCGAACGAGTCAGATGTCCTGGTGCTGCGGCGGGGCCCAGTCGACAGACAAGTATCGCAAACTTTCGCCTTTCTCGCTGCGACACTCGTGGAGACATTGTCGACTTCGACGACAGCGGTCGTACTGCACCTCTTCTGTGGAGGTTTGGAAGAAGAGACTCATCCCCCGGGCTCTTATTGGTTTCTCAGAAGCCTAATCTTTCAGCTTATGCAGTACCAGAACAGCGCATCTATCCGCTCAGATGCGCTCTCCGTTTCGACATACGAACCTAACCATCTCCGGGCACTCCTCCTCCACATCCTCCATTCTCTACCAGTGAGCCAGACAGTATTCGTTCTCGCGCATGGGCTTGGATATCATGAGTATGACGATGAGGCGGAGACGGTATATCTTTTGCACCTCCTTGCCGAGCTGGGAAGCTTGCCGCCGGATCCGAAGCTTCGAGTCAAGGTGCTCCTCACACCGTCCACGCCTTCTATGACTGGGGACATTGTTCCTTTCGAAAAGCAGCTCTATCTTCCGGAGGAGTGCGATTACCTTCCCGAGTACTCCTTACCTCACGTACTTGGGATGATGGGCGGTGAGATGCTGTACTGACGGGGTCTTGGTGTCCCTGGCTTGTCTACGCGTGGAAGAATGTGAGGTTTTGAATTATTCTAAGAGTTTTGGATTGAGTGACATAGTTCAGATACTTTCCAATGACTCAGAAGCATGATCTATGCGTTTTGTCAACGAGGGTAGGTGTTGGGAGCTATGTATGGTGCTAGTCCGTTTTGGGTTAGCTGCCGACAACTCCAATCCTGCTGGGCGAGGTGGACGGCAGGAGAGCTTCTTCCTTCCTGTCACCAAACCCTCTATGCTGCCATCTGAATCTATCTAACTGCGTACTTGCAACCTAACGGTCACAGGATGGCAAGACCAGTAATGGTCTTTCGCCCCGTTCCGCCATTGAGCGCCCGACGTCACCGCCCAATCGGCGCGCCGCACTCAATCCACCACACCCGAGAGCTCTCATACTATCTTGAAGACCTCAAAGCGCTTTTTAGGCCATCATGAATGGGATGTAGGATCGGGTGAGTCATTCTGCGTGAGTCTTGCGATCGCCGTGCGTTTGACAAAGCATCTACTTGGTCCCCACTCCTATCCTCTTCTCTCTTACCTCGCTTTCTGTCTCTACAGTATTGCAAGCCCCCACGATTCTATTATCACAAGTTCGATTACTTCTGAGCCAATTACGCCATCTTCATCCATCAGCTATTCTCAAGCAAAAGGCGTAACGCCCAGGTCCCAACTTCAAGCCAAACGAATAACGAATACGGTGCGCTCTTGGGCTTCGGTTGTTCTCCAACACTATCGGGAGTCATGAATGAAACACCGCGTATTGATAAGAACACGCAAGATCAAGATCATGCACCCGACGCCAAGTCTCTGTCGCAACTGCTCAACGTTGATCTTAAAATAATCGACAAGGAGGTCGGCAGAGCTAGGGCTGCTGACGCTCTCAATCATCACAAAAGTCGGATACTTGAGAAAGCTGCCGGAAAGAGCCCAACATTCCACGGCTGGTTTTCCGACGGCGGAGGAATACTTCTTATGCAAACACTCACGGAAGGCGCGGGCATGCGAACTGCGATCTGCGTTCTCGCCGCGGACCTGACTCTTCACATCCAACAATTAGCCGCCAAATGGGGAAGTGCGCCCTCTCCCATCACTCTATACTATCAACATCCTGTGGGCTTTCGCAGCTCTGATATCGGCCCGTGCTTCCTTCTCCGAGCTCTCCTTCTACAGCTTCTCCGACATACTCCCAGAGCGGAATTCTCCTTGAAAGGCCTAAAAGGCGATGTCGTTGGCTACCTCATCCGCAAGTTATACGACATACTCAATCAACTTCCGAAAGGCCGCACCGTCTATTTTATCCTTCCCTGTCTGTCGCATTATGAGACCCTTGATCCGGCGGGGAAAGCAGACGGGACTAGACAGGAGGTGGACTCTCTTCTTGGATTTCTCTTCGAACTCGCTTCTAATTCGTCACGGCTGCGCGCTTCTGTAAGTGTTGCGCTCATGTCTCCACTGCCGAGGCAAGCGGGCTTTATCAAACGTGCCCTGGAGGAGGTTCCTTTCGGCAGCGGTGTCTTGCTCAAGAAGAAGGATCACTCGGGGTGGACGTCTTAGACGCATATGAATTTTCGACACAAAGTATTGCGAAGAGTCATGTACGGGGAATTAATGTTAGGGTCACACTTATTCTCGAGCACCTCCAATTTCCCTGTACTTGCTACATTGCCTTTCATGCTCCATAGATGAGACATAAATCACACTTTCTTGTTGATTAACGGACCCAATACAGTTTTACTGCCAGCGTAGATTCACAGCGACTATCGTCAACATCGAACCCTTCCCACATTCCGATTGAGCACGAAATGCTCCACATATCGGCACTCGAGCCTGGCCCTCTCCTGAGACCGAACAGTCATCATCGCCATCCATGGGCTCCTGATTTACGCGCGTGATAACCTAGTGGGAGTGGACGTGCTTTTGGACCTCTTCTGCGAACTGGGGAACTGGAGCTCGTATCAAAAGCCGACAGTGAAGATACTACCGACATCTCAAACGCTTCTTAGTGTTCGAGGAAGTGTACCCCCTGTGAACCACATCGAAATATACGTGGAGATGAAGATCCACGTCAAAGAGGGGAAAGCGATGCTTGGCGGGCTTGAGGTTCATGATTTATTGTCGTTGACGTGCAACCCAGGTATGAGAGTTTCTACACCAGTCAAGGAGTTCCATGCCTGCGTCCAGTCACCACCAGAGTGTCTGCGTCTTTCATCACGACCAGTCATCATGAAAATCGTGTATTTAAGTCAATCTTTTTTTTTTTCTTGAACTACTTTCCTGCGCTCGATATAAATCTATCTTTAACAAACGCCAGCCTCCCGAGGTCGGTGTATCTCTTTTTCAATCCACAACATTATCCACCCACCCAGCGAAACCGCACATGAAGGCCCGTAGCAAGTCCAGAAACCATCGAGCGACTACCGTGCGCAAAACTACCCTACATCCTCGCCCTCTCTTTCTTCCTCTCCTTGATCGCCCTGTTCCTCGCCCTGTTCCTCGCTCTTTTCATCGCCTTCTTCCTCGCCCTCCCCCTCGCCAGAATTGCGTGTTGCGAGACGAGGTGCTTCAAGCAAACGGGCTCATCAACGATATCCGCAATGTCCTCCCAGAACCATCGAAAGATTCTGCGTATCAAGCATGGTGCAAAGAATTAGAGCAGCATCCGAGTTTCCAAACATGGCTTCGGGAAGAACAACCTGGACTCTTAGTGCTCGATTCACACAAAGAGCAGGAGACAGAGCACATCTTTGACAGGCTAGCATCGCACCTCACTCAACGGCTTATGGAAGCGGGTCTTGCAGTCCTCCTTCTGCGTTTGCCAATCAAAGGCGAAGAGCCGTCTGACTTCGCGGCTCTGAAGTTTTTGATCCTCGAGCTTCTGAAAAACTTCCCTGAGGAGGGCTTCGACTTGCAAGATATATTTCAAAAGCAATATTTGGGTTGTGTGAAACTCTTCTGGGAGCTTCTGGAGCGGCTCAGCGGGCACAAGAGCTTGTATATTATCATCCACAGCTCAGGGATACATGAACCTCAATCCCAAGCCGACATGCACTGGCTCCTGGAGGAGTTCCTCATGCCATCCGTCAATGGCAGCAAATGGTCGCCGAAAGCGGTGAAGGTGTTACTTACGCCACCGCTCCCGGAAAAAGATTTCTTGGAGCGTCTAGGGCCGCACGAAAGGATCGAGTTTCGTGGAAACGGGAAGGTCCGTGACCAGCGCTATGGAATCGATTTCCTTCTGAGTCAGTCTTCAGGGTAGCGGCGTTTTTCGGTGGGGTTGAGTCGTTGGATACGTCCACTCATCTTGGTGGGAGGTTGGAGTCATAGTCTAGCTAGGTATGTAAATGGGGACGGATTCCCTTCCTTCTTTCACTCTTCATCTTTGTCTTTCTGTACCCATTTCTACACTTCTGCGAAGCAGCTGCTATTTGTACACTCGACCACAAGAATTATACCGACATCTGATACAAAGCGTTACTACGTTCGTGGATTGCTAGCCAGAATGTCGAACACTGGCCCAGAGAACATCAATCCCGCCCCGAACGGCCACCCAAATGCCGACACAACGCACCCAGCGCCTCAAGCAATCGTTACCCCAAGTTCTCAAGCTGGTATGTTTGAAACAAAGCGTTCTTGCTCAACGAATCAGGAAAATGGATTGACTCTCCACAGTGACTCAGTATGCCGTGGCTCAGAATACCAACGCAATCCCTCCGCATCCAATATGCTACATGCGGAACCACCTCGTGCTTGGAACCCAAGCGTCTTATCTGCGAGACGTACTGCGAGTCGATAGACGTATCGTTGAAACGGCATGGCGGCACTCAAGGTGCGCAAATGACGACAAAATCAATGATGCGTCTTCAAAATTACGACACCAGTTCTGGCCAATAATCGAAAGTTCAGGCTCGTGCTGTGTTCACTTGGTGCGAGCGGGAGATGATGCGGATCCAACGCTATTCGGAGGGTTGGCCCTTAAGATCGTCGACAATCTACAATCGCCTCCTGACATCAACCCACAATGGCGTGGCTATACCGTACTGGGCTTTCAGTACGGGAACGCGAGTCGTTTCGAAGATCATGCTGGACCGGGTTATTGCTTCTTTCTTCGGAGTCTGCTTGGCCAATTACTGTCTTCCTGTCTCAGCACGGCCACCTTCTATCCCCAAGACTTTCCACCTGAGGTGCCAAGCCCATGGACCGCAACACCCTACGGAGGTCAGGGAGTTCTGGTACCACAACCACCGCAAGACATCTACCGAAATACCCAGCATGATGCACCAACCCAGCCGTCGATATATCCATACCTATCCAGACTGAGTGGCCAGTTCGTGCACGTACTACACTCGCTCCCTTGGGGTACCAAAGTCGTCATGATCATCGATGGGATGGGCCACTATCTGCACGGCAACGAACAAGAAGTAGGTCATGTTCTGGCCCTCTTGTCCTATGTCGTTGGTGTTACCAAGCTCTGCGGAAATAACCGATTGGAGCTGAAGGTGGTTCTTGTGTCACCATTGCCGACGTCCTTTCCTATTGATGGATTAGGGTTTGAACGGATTGGTTTGTATGTTTGACATTTGAATATGAGAGAATTTGTGGGAGGTGGAACGGCGTGCTGGATGATGAGTGGTTATGGGACTGGGACTGGGACGGGCCCAGCGATTCTCTACACGGGTAGCGAACATGACTAGCTTTACAATATGCTTGGGTCATCGTCATAATACTATCGTTTCCCACCTGAAGCCTTCCATGCCGCACTTCTCTTCTTCCTCCCATTCGGACCCTTTTTCTTTTTCCCTCCAAGCTTCAAACCGCTCGTACCTTGCTTGCTGCTGGCACGATGCCCTTCAAAGACGAATGATTCCGCTGACTTGAACGCTGCGGATTTCCCAAGCATAGCGCGAGCGCGGCCTTGTTTCGATTTCTGCTCATCAGTGACCTTGGCGTTGTACGCTCCTTTTGACTTCGCAGCCAGAGGCTTTGGCGTCGAGTGATCCAACTTCTTGTCTTTTCGCTTCTGTGCTCTGGCGCGCACAACGCGCAGTTTCCGCGGAAGAAGAGGCGGGAACTTCTGGTCATTGAATTGCAAGGCGGCTTCGACAGCGTTCTCGTCTTCGAATTGGACATAAGCGAAGCCTTTCCCGACACGGGTCTTTGAGTCGCGTATGACGCGCACGCTTTCGACTTTACCTGCTTTACCGAAGTGGATCCATAGACCTTCTTCCACATCGCTGGGGGGTTTGCACTTCTTTTTCTTCTCCTCTTCCTTTGCGTTGATGTTGCTCTCATCGTCGACAAACCCAAGATTACCGACAAAAACGCACCGCCGATGATTCACCTGCGATGGATGCGCGACGGAATCTACGCGTAGGTGTCTGCCGAGCACCACTGTTCCGTTCAAGTTCTTCACGGCTTCTCGCGCAGCGAGCTTCGTCGAATACACTACGTATGCATTCGTAGACTTTGTGGTAGCGTCCATCACTTCCTTCTTTGCGAATGCGGCTCGTTTGGGTAATGCGCCCGCGAAAGCTGTCGATCGATAACGTATAGATTCAACTTTGTGCGGGGGCTTATTGTCCGCAAGATCAGAGATGAACGAGGACAAGTGCTGCTTCAATGTCTTCTCGGCCGTCTTCGACACGATCGCTTCGTTGGAGACGTTGCCCAGAAAGACTGTACGGGCTGCCTTCTCAAGCTCTTCCGCCTCAATGTCGTTGGTCTCTACCAGCGTCTCGTGCTTCGGTATCGTGAAAGTCTCCTCATCAGACTCATCCGCTTCGCTAGGAGCCTCGTCTTCACTGTTTGCCCCCGTAGCTTTAGTCTTCAGTTTCTTTTTCCTCTTCTCTTCATCCTTGGCCTCTTCCCGTGCTATCTTCTTCATATATGTGTCTTCCAGATCCTGCTGGGCGTTTCGCTTGCGTTTCTTATTTTGTCGCTCTTGTGCCCCGCTCAACATTGACTCCTGTATCTTGGCTAGGACTGCTTCGTTTTCGGACTGTGCCCCCTCGGAAGAGCCATTCGAGCTCGAATCTGACCCCTCAGAACCGTCTCCTTCTCCTTCGCTGTCCACTTCATCCTCGGATTGCTCGCTGGCGCCGCTCACGCTCCCGTCTTCGCTGGGGCTCTCATCGTCTTCGTCGTCGCTTGCGGACTCAACGGGAGCCTTCTGTGGAATATCTCGATATCGAAACTTCTGTGGAGGCTGCACTGGACCTAGCTATGGCACAGATTAGTTCTATGACCCCAATATCGAAAAGTTCGGAAGTTGCCGAGGAGAGAATACGCACACTGCTCGCAAACAGCGAGGCAAGACCCGGGTCAAACGACTTCTGGTCGACAGCAATGAATGACCTGTCGCTCTTCTTGGGCGTGCCCAGTGATTCAGGGCGTTTGTGCGCTGATTTGGCCATGGCGACAATTGAATTGTTGGCAGCAGCAAGCAAGACAAAAGTTTCGGTGGAGCACCGTTCGCGCTAGTCCTAGTCAGCCTACCGGCCCGCGGTTTCTCCGAGTGACCCCTGCACTTGATCATTCGAACAGGGCACGCCCGCTTGTGAGCGAGAGCAGAGCCGTTTCCACCACTCCGCCAGCTCGACCTCTCCGCTTCTCTCCACGCCGTCCCATGCCGCACAGCTACCGCCGTTTGCACTCACAAAGCTTTACGCCTCTCGTAGCTGTCACAGCGCAGCTCTACCCAGAATCCTCCCCCAAAGATCCCTCGGCACCCGCGTCCCTCCAAGCGGCGGAAGCCTCTTCGCCCGCACGCTGCGCGCATTGCTCTCTACCCTCCGCCGCGATATTTCTGCGTCGGAGGCCTCGAATACACACTCCAGGTCGCATATACACAACATTGGGCGCGAGTTGACGCACTTTCCCGCCTGGGCGCACCATGAGCGCGACCCAGCGAGCGAGGAGGAGCACTTCGAGAACTGCCCCCGACACCGACGGTGACCTCGCGCAGTCTACCGGTATGTTACCCTTCTATCTATGAATCGGCTATGTACCGTGGTCGTTCGCGCTTCCAGTGTGACAGCGAAGCGCTTGAGCTGCCCTTCGGGCGTTTTCTGCAAGCTGTTGCGTCAACCGAGCGCCGACGGAGGCGCGGAAGTCCACCGCTCGCCTTCACTTTCCACCACCGCCCATGTCACGAACTTGATCGCTGACGAATATTCTTCTCTTCTTGCAGGCACGAGTCCAATCTCGAACCCTGACCTACCCGACCCCTCCTCCGCACCCTCCCCCTCACACCTGGCAGCATCAACTGGTCTGCCACGCCTAAATTCGGAAATCCCTGAGACGAACGAAGCGACAATGCTCTCGACACTAACCGCGTCCGCCCTAATCGCTGCAGAGCCGCACAACCTCAAGGACGCAAAGGACGGCTTTGACGACCATGCCGATAACAGGTCTAGCAGCTTGAGCGAGCTTGGAGATGCCTCTGACGAGCATTCCGAGCCTACCCCGCGGCCGTCTACTGCAGTAGACCTGAACGAGAACGAGAATGATTCGGAAGCAGAAACTGAGCGCTTAGAGAACACCCCTCGCAAATTGACACGCACCGCAACAGAGACGTCGCTAGCGTCTGAGCAGCTGTACCAGAGGACGCCGAGTAAGCTAGCGCAATCGAGAACGATAGATCAGGAGGAATCCGCGCCACCGACGCCTTCCATTACTGCTGAAGACGCTGCGACAATACCAGACGCAGCCGATGGGACCACTGCTCTACAAGCTCTTTCCATAGCCGCAACCACAGAAGCCGACAACCTAGCAGAGTTAGCGGGGAGGAAACGGAAAAGATCAAGCGCCGACAACAGTTCCCTCGAAGAGCAAGCCGATGAGCCTGCTAGGAAACGAAGCGGCACCGCCAAAGATTCGACGCTCAATTGCGATCGCGAGGGTGTAGTCGATAGCTCCGCGCAAGCCGATGCTGAAGAAGAGCTTGAAATTGCCGAGGAGCGCATCTCGCAGCTGGCACAGGAAGAGGTTGAGCTAGAAGTGCGCCAGGCCGAGATCGCAGTCGAAGCTGTCAATGAATTAACGACAGTCGCGAAACACGCAAAGCCACGCAAAGGAGGCAGAAGAGGCAAGCGGAAGGTGGAAGACATGGCTCACTCCGCCGAGGCGCTTTCCAGCATCGAGGGCCATGAAGGGGAAGGTGATGGCGACAACGAGGAGGAGGATAGCGGAGCCGTAGACGAAGAAGGCAAGTACCCACCGTGTAATTGGCGCTCTTACCCCTCTAACGGCGAACTCAGTGGCCAAAAAGAAGCATGCGATCGATGAACTAGCCAAGATCGAGAAGAAGTTCAAAATCTTCCGAGAGAAGTGAGCAACCTGCCCGTATATAGCTAAGGTGACAGCCACTAATGGCGAACAGGTTGTGCGACGAGCAGATCGCACAGTACGAACAAGAGCTAGAGATGCTCAGACAGCCGAGCTGCGTCCATCCGGAATACCTCGCTATGATCAAATGCATAGACGACCGACGAGCCGAGAAGATCGCCTATGAGAAAACGTTGCTGGGGTATAAACAGAGGACCTTGGAGAGGGTGACAGAGGCCCAACGTCATCAGCTGCATAGTCAGTACTTTCAGACTGTACGAGACGTGCGTGAGCAAATACTCTCCGAGTGCAACCAGCGGATATTCGAGCTGCAGCGTGGCCGGCGGCAGCTAGGCGTGGACGAGGTGGAATACATGATGAAGCTGCCAGAGAAACGGTCGGATCAGATTCGCCAACAAGCCGCGTACAACCTCGAAGTATCCATTCTGGCCGGCGTCGCGAAATACGTGGGCTTCCCCGCAGCGCCGGAGATCAAACCAGCACGGCCTTCCGAGATCGAGGAGGATCTTCGAGCGATGAAGGTGAATTGACGCACATTCTGTTGTCCGGCCAGAGCTAATACTTTTGCAGATCGCAACTCGCCCTACCGCTCCTCCTCCCTATGTACGTCCAGCGTATGGCCGAACGTCAACCGCCGACGAAGCAGCTGCAGAGGAGCAATTTCTCGAAAGGACACCGTGGGCGAATCCTCAGCATCCTGCGCACCAGCAGTCACATTATGGAGTCGCTCCTGCGCCGCCCCGGGTACCAAGCTATCATACGCCCGTTGGTCAAAGACGGTTAGATGCACCCAACGGATCGGCTTCCACCATCGAAGCCAACTCGAATCCTCCTTCATCGACAGCCGGCGCGCTCCACAATGGCCGTATTGGAGAGTCCGAATCGCCGGTGTTGCAGATGAAACGGCATCCAAGCGATCCTCCACCCTATTCGGAGACTCCTCGAAATATCGCCAGCCTGGCAAGAGAATCCTACGCCATGTCCAGCCCTGTGGGTGTGCCCCTGGAGCCACAATCAGACGAACAAGCTCTGCGCTGGGGAGGAAGCGGCGTACGGTCGCTTAATACCAGTACATCCGCAGCGATACCGGGTCGACCAGACTCCACGAGAATCCCATTGTCACAGCGCAGTGGCCTTGGTACCGTCAGCGTAGGGAGTGGGAATGGTCTTTTCGGCCGGTGATCGCTCTGGACATAATGTGTATTGTATGAATAACGGCAACCGGTGTTGGATTACTGGGCTTCGGACTTCAGTTGGATCTCCTCCTGCAATGGGAGAACTTGCGGGAGCATTCCACACTGACGTCCTGGTATAGACCTTCTTTTTTTTGGTTTTGCGTCAAGCGACTGGGTGGGCTTTGGAGCCCTTTGGATGGTTATCCCGCTTCATCGGCGTTGGGAAAGGCGGCAATCTCCTACTCGAAACACTCGTAAGCGTTTGAGGCACTGGCCTGGATCTTCAGTTCTTTGTTCAAACCAAGAGGTAGCGATTTCGGATGCGGCTTAGCGGAACTGGCCGGCTTTGCATGGATGTCAATGATACCTCGGAGCGGTGTATTCGTCAATGATATTGTACAGTTCTCTGATTGTGGTGCGCGAGTACTCTTCCTGTGATGTGCGATGTAAGGGGCTGCCTAGGGTTCCTGCCCAATATTGGGAACGCTAAGGGCACTAGTACACGTGATATCGTGTAGCGCGACCTCAACCACACTATTCTTCCAACATCCCATGGCCCTCCTCTCAGCTGTCTGATCACTCCCACTCCGCCTTCGGCAACGTGAGCACGATGACGTACTCACTGTTTCGAGTGGCGTCCGCCACGAACGCCCGCCCATATCAGCGCCTTTTCCGAGACCTTCCAGGCACAACAACGAATAACACGACTTCACATGCGCCAAGATCGTGAGGTCCTCGTAAGGGATGTCTCATGATACTTCACATTCTCCTACGCGGGGATAGCCAAATACCGCAATCGCGTCTTTTCGCAGTCGTCGATGGCGTCCAGTCCCCGCAGAGCTCGGCCACTCGATGGCCTGCGTACGGGCCGTACCCGATCCTCACGAGGGATGCTATGCATCCGTTGGCATCCGCTCACCATCGTATCTTGTGAAATTAAGAATGAGTCGTCGAATTGCGAGGAAACACTGGTTCTATCGACTCTTAAAAGTGAGTATTATACGTTCGTGCGTGCAGAACTCAGCCCCTTTCCCTTGCTCTCGGTTCATTTTGTTCGACCTACTCCTCTTCCGGTCACATATACGGGCATCACTTACCGGTCATAATAGACATTCGCATAGCTACACCGCCCTCCATCTGCGTCAAGCTACACACGACCTGCTACCTACGCAATGTTGGCATCACGTGGTTCCGCTTCGTACTATAAGACAAGCTAGGGCCAAACACGCGAAGAGGGATGCGGGTGGTGTCAGGGCTAATTGCTCCTCTAGTTCTCCTCCCTGAAGATCGTTCGAAAGAGATGGAACATTGACTGAAGTAACACGCTTTCCTTCATGTCCAAAGCAGGCAAGAAGCCCAAAATCCGCGAGAATCCCAACAACTGGCTCTCGACCCTCTGCCAGCTCCCCCACGCCGCCTTGTATTGGTCGAGGATGGTGTCAGCCTACGACGGAAATGGCCTGACTGCTTACTGTTACACAAAACGTGAAGCCACAGGAGCGTCGTATACTCACATTCCATAGTACCGTCCTAGACTATTCAGACCCTACTGCTCGACGGTCGTTCGACTACTATTTCTCAGGTTCGTTCGCATAGATTCGCTTCAGGTGGAGGGTGCGGCGATGCGTTCATTATCTCGCATCCGTGTCCGTGGCTGCCTCTAGAGAACCAAGGCAGGCAAACTCCTCGGTTAAACTCCAGATATGGTCTGCCGAATCCATGTGTCGCTCCCCGTCCCTTTGGACAACGACTGCTCACTTATAACACGACAATATCGGCTCTGAATTGCGGTGGTCAATACCACGCATCGCGCTCGGGGCATACTTACAGTCGGCAATCTTTTGTCATAAGAGATCGCTGCAAAGTGCGGGTACGATTGTTGAACCCTCAGAAACTTCTACCTCTAGCAGTATAGGTTCCACCGTCCTTGATGACATGCTCGTATCCAACCTGACACACCCAGCATACGGCTCCGATGAGGCGATTAGCATCAAGCTCTATAGATATTAACTAATAAAGCTTCTTCACGATGTATGTACGAAACGCATCCTTAGCTCAGGTTACTTCGTCAGGCTACACAAAACAGCTAAGGGCCCAGATGCCGTCAGAAGTCATGCCTCCACGCGACGCGCGAATGACGTTTGCATCCAACTGCCCGTCTTTTCCGGTCAGTCCTAATTATCTCCTGTTAGTGGGGTGTCTCTTTTACGCAAAGCCCATCCCTCGTTCTCTTCAATCCCGCGATTCGCATTCATGCGTCTTGCATCGTGATAGTGGCTCAGCGTCTACAACTTTGCCACTTCACCGTGTGAATGAGCCGCAGGAAGTGAAACAGCCGAGAGTGAGAGGCATTGTGATGGTTCAGGCAATGCCCGTTTTGCTTATGTTCTCGACGGTCGGTCCTGCGTCGAGAAGTGGGAAGTCTGCTGAGAACGAGCCTCCAAGCCGCGAGGCCGTCAAGTGGCGTCATTCAGTGGTTTATACCTTTCAACATGTCGTTTTCCTCGTTTCAGTAACCCCACTGGGGAAAGTCCCTGAGAAGTACTATAGCGCTCCATGATCTATACCACCAAATGCAAGTATAAAGGTAAGTCTTCTCGTCGAGCCTCTCTTCATCGCACATCAGTCAAATCAGCCATCACACTCATCAAATCATTTCTACCCCCGCCGTTTCAACAAACACACAACAGCCCCCATAATGAAATTCAGCCTCACTCTCCTGGCTGCTGCTGCCAGTGCCGCTGCTGTCTACCCTCGTGATGATCATATTGTCACCTCCCTCGCCAGTTTCAAGCGCAGCGGCTGCCAGGCGGATGATCGAGAGGGCTCTCCCGTTATCTACAACGTCACTGTGTGTCAGAATCTTCCCACGGATATCGTCTCTTGCCTGGTCGATATCACGCCTCCTGAAGGCTGCGCGAGTAAGTGCTCCTCTTCGTCTCAGGAGAGAGAAGGCACGAGAAGGGAGGTGGACTCAGACTGATTGCTGGGATATAGTGAGGTTCTTCTGCAAGCCTGACTGCCAGGGTCCGCAATACATTGATGTCCCCCAGGCGGTTGCCTTCCACAACTGCTTCGAGTGCGGGCCCGGGAAGGGCGTGGCGTCGGTTGTGCTGACCTCGGCGCTTGGTACGTGTAACTGGTTCTGAAGGGCTCTTGAACAAGCTCGACGGCTAGCTAGCTAGGTGGTGATAGATAGGTAGAAGTAGGAGTTCTTTCATTTCTTAAATCACTCAAAAACAGATGCGCTGAAACTTATGTTCGTTCCATCGTTCGGTATGTTTGGCCTGCTTTGTAAAGACTCACGGCTCCTTCCTTCATCAAATTGTACTGTATTCTTGGGCATACTAACTATCGTCCACGCTTTCGCGCGGATAGCTTGTGCTTACTTCTTTGCACGTGCTTAGAATTAGATGAGACGAATCAAGTTTCGCAGTCACGCGGTGGGCTAAGACGAAAACTCTTCGACTACGACTGAGGATACCCTTGTGACGAGTTTACGGAAGACGTGATGAACAACGAGACTGGCGATAACTGCGGATGCAGGTGTAAGCATCTACTGGAGCTCTTTCGGAGCGAACCGGCCGCAAACGCCGATGGAAGGTTGGAAGGGAATGTGGAAGGTTGTAAGCCCAACCTTCCTTAAAAGGAAAGTTCTGAAATCTGTCGAACACTGCTACACAATAGGGACGAAATTCTTCACCGTGCACGTGCCACGTTCACCGTTCATATTCACTGTAGGCGTGCGCTTCACTCTCTAACGTTTGGTAAGGTCCAACCTTCCTAAATAGGCAATTCTGCTTTTTCTGTTGAAAACTGCTACAATAGCGCGTCATCTTCACCACATTCATTCACTGTTTCACAGTACTGTGTTCAACCGGGACTAGTGCTCGCGCTAGATCAAAATCGGCTAGCTCATCCGAACATGGCGCGACCGTCCACAGGTTGAACTCCAGATCGCTCCGCAACCACCACCACCATTTCTGGCCATCATCACGGCGTCTTTTGCCAGCGTCTCGACCAAACGTTGAATTCGTTAGAGCGGGTACAGCCAGCGGACGTATAACTTCAGTGATGGATTCGCGGCAATATCCCCATGCGGCCGCAGAGGGTGCGCATTGGAGGACAGCTTGGCTATCGACTGGCATCTCTCGGGCCATTTTACCCTGAGTGCCGGCTTCTCTGGAAGAGATGCGCGTTACCTTCAGACCTTCAAACGTTGGCTTCCGAATATCCTCGGATCACAAGAGATGGATGTGCCCGTCGGCATCGGGATTTACGCATAGTCAATACTGAAAAATTAACGCAGTGGTACTAGCAGGCGCGGACACCGTGTCAATCCCCGTGACAATATCGCGAGTAGGCCCTCTACAGTCTTTCCCTAGGAACTTCCTAGCCGGCGATTCTAGAGCGGCATATAGCGAATGATCCGGACTATGAGTTTCGTCGCCTCAAAGTCTACGCGCTTTGCGTATTTTCAGTCCCTACATCCAGCACCTATGAGCTACACATTGAGTGGCCGCATAACGCCAGAAGGCGACGCCATTCCAACTCCCAATCAGCCAGATGCCCGCAGTTCCGGTTCAAGAATGGAAGTCTGTCAAATCCACAACACGTTGTTGCAACCTGGGACGATCGAGGCAAGGCGGTATTGGGGTTGTGGAAATTTTATAGCTTTTGCTGTAATAATTCCTACAATCTTTCTAAGTACTCGACTTTTAAATCGACCCTAGAGCCATCGCCATTCCCCCGCACCCCCCCATCCCGCGCCTCCACCACCTTTCGCTGAGGGCATATGTCGTCTCCATATTCGTGATGCTGCAGGATGACCGGCCCACGCGACAAGATGCTCCCACGGTGTGAACATCGCCGGCGACGAATTCGATGGCGCGAACAAGATCGTCTCCTCGAAGCCACCCGTCAAGATCAGATGGAAAGAGACCATGAGCATTACAGCTGGCGAGATATCTATGGGCCATAACATCGATGAAACTATCCATCTTGTTGATTACATGAACGCCCTCGAGAAAGACAAGGGACTCGACATTCAGTAGGGCAGTTTTGCGAAAGTTGGCTTTCAGGATATGAATCAATCGAAGATGCCGCATTGTCGGTATTGGCCGAGGGACGGAGAAAGTTTTTGGGACATTTTGAATGTCATTCTAGGAAACTATGCGAGGTGAGCGTGTCCTTTAGAAAGCAGCCTTATAAATGCCAAACTGATCCATGACAGAATCGACAGATCGATTGTTGGTAGGCTCGGTGAGCTTACCTAGGTAAAGTTGAGTTAAACTGCGCAACTGCGTTTTAGTGATTAGGAAAAGTGTATCAAACCCTCCGTCCTGACCAGAGAAACCGTCATTTTGAGGTGATGGCCAGTCGTGCCATCCTCATTCACCGTCGGCTTCTCTCAGTCTACGTCATCCTTGCGCGTCGGGCCAGCACTTAACACCCGTGGACCATCATCTCCGTCCACCACGACTTGATCTGAACAATCATCACTCAAGATCAAATCTCAACTCAGTTGAGTCTCAACGCCGACATGCAGCTTCGTCTCTTGCTCCTCGCCTTCTTAGGCTTCGTCTTCAACGTGGGGGCTTGCCCGCCCCCGCTCAACAATTGGCGCTTCGTGGGAAACGAGACTCACGACAGCGGCACGCTCGTTCAAGATGCCTTAAGCAGTCCCACCGGAGGTATGGGCTGGGCCGAGGCGGTGTCGCTGGTAAGAATTCATCACCCCCGAGCAACACTGCGCTTAAAGAAATGCACTGATAATCTCTGTCACTTTTGCAGAGCACCAATCCTCACACGACCTGGCCCGCTGGCCTCGTACGATACTGCTACACAAATCCATCTGGCCGTGATGCTTTCGCGGCACCGATCGACGCCGCCTGGAAGCTCTGGACTGACAAGATTGGGCAACAGAGCAAGAAGAACGGTCATCAGCTTCAATTCATGGAATTCCCGTTCGAAAATAACTGGCGGTACTGCTACCTCGAACGCAAAGGTGAGCACGACCCATGGATTTGGAATCCTGAAGTCCCTGGTGGCGAGGTCGTCATAGTACGAACTCTGGAGGTAGGGTATCTCTACGCGACAGTAGGATACGTCCTATCTACTTGGGACACCGATGTCGCTCGGCACAGTCTCTGGATAAATATGAACAACATCAACCAAAGGTACATCGTGAAGGACATCGCGCACGAGCTGGGTAAGTACTGACGGTTTCATCGAGACGTGTGTTGCTTACTGTATCAGGACATCTCTTCGGACTATGGCATGAACACCAGAGGATCGATCGTAAGCCACCATATTATTCCCAAGCTTCCCCGTGGAGCTACATAGCTGACGCAATATAGGCGACCATTACGTACATTTCGAATGCAAGAATCTTATCGATTATGACCGCTTCAAGAAGATGGTCGAAGAACACCCAAAGGACCCGTCCCATAACATCGACTTGCTTTGCAACAACGGAAACGTAGCTACGCAGTACGGTTGGCACGACCCATCAGCATTCTCAAAAGTCTACCTTGAAGAGGAGAAGAACGGCCGAAAGGAGTTATTTGTACGTAAAAACTCCCAGCATGCATCCACTCCGCAATCATATATCTAATGTTTTCTTTTAACAGGTCGTGAACTACGACAAAGAGCATTACGACGAGGACAGTATAATGCACTACGACTCGTGGATCGCTTCCAGCCCCAAAAAGGATATGAGCAAAAAGGTCGATGTTCCGCTTGTCGCATGGTTGAAGAGCCCAGTGGAGAATCCGCCGGATAAGGTAACGGAAGACAATTCTTTTTGGATCTGGCAGAGATTGAGGATTAGCGATGGTGATGCGAGGGCCATCAGATACCTGTATCCGTGGAAGGGCTAGGTCGCCAGGCAAGGGTACCGATTCCAATGTCGAGTATGGCCCCGCTAGCGAGAAGGCCTCCGGACGGTATGGGGTTAGGGCTCACCAAGTGGAAGAACGGTAGGACCGTTCCGATAGGTTAGTGACATGCATTGGCAATCTGCCATGGCACGACTAAACTAAGACTATCCTCTGCACCTCTCGCCGTTCGTTGATGGCTTCACCATGCATGATACCGTGGATGTAACACCATCCAATGAAGTATGCACTGATCATTTCAGAATTGTCCACAGCCCCTGCGTTGAGGGGGCGAATGATGACAGGAAGTCGGCAACCGGGAAGCAGACAGACATAATCGTCAACCTCGACAATGGGCCATGTCACCCCAAAGTATCCGTGCGACGATGCGAAAGGCCTCCACCTGTCACTCCGGACACGCAGGTTGCGGTAGAATTCGTTAGTTTTGATTTGCCGCAAGCTTTTCCCTGAGTCTAGCGCCCGCAGCAAGTCTGTAAACGCATTTCCGAGACGAGCAGGAGCTGGGCGCTCACCCAAATCCATATCCATTATCAGAGTCTTCCAGACGAGGTCGGTAACTGAGTGGGACGAAACATCCCCCAGTGTATGTGCAATCTCGTGGGCGCTATGGAAGCAGCAGCGCAGTTCGAGTAAGTCGCCCTCCGGTAAGGTATAGATTGTATGACCTAGTCGTGTGACGCGATCGAGGATTACGACATCCACTTGGAGACCACTATCCGAACGAAGTGGCCGCCGCCGCATTGCTCCACCGGCGTCCCATCCTGTTTTGCTGCATATATGTATGGGGTCGTCGAAGGAAGGCTGACGAAAGTCCGGGACCCAAGACGGTAATTCAAATGGCAAATGAGCCTGAGGTCTTCCACGTTGGCTAAAGAAAACCGACGATTGTTCCCTGGGACCAAGACCGCACAAGGAAAGGAGATCAAGCGACGTGCCTTTACACAAGATATTCTATATCCGTGGTAGTATATATTAGTAACCGTCTTACAGCAAGGCAGAGAAATTGGTAAACACATCAGCTTGTCTAGGTCAGTGGCTATGAAAGGCTTTAGGAGAGGAGCTCTAATGCTAGCACGAAGGCATCCTGACGTATGCAGATCGATATACGTACCTCGGCCGTGTCTACGAAGACCTTTTCAACGCTGACGGTGTAGTCGGGGATCGGCAGGAGCTCCGCGAAATCTGCGATACCCTGAATAGCGAAGACGAAGTCGCGGCTATCTGTTGCTGCGGAATAGAGGACTGCTTCGAATAGGGACTCCAAAGGAACTTTCCCGGTCTCGCGAAACATGCTTTGGAGACCGTATAGCCGGGTCGCGCATCGTAAACCGCGATACGCAAGGTACCGGACGTCAAAGAATTCCACTGCGTCCTCAAGAGTCCATAGCGATTTGACGGCTTCTTTGAAGGTCTGGAAGTCAATGATGTCGCTGCCGCAGGCCACCCACGTGTTGGGATTCAGAATCGCCTCTTGCAGAACCCAAACCCTTCGAAACCACCGTCGGCTTAGCAGAGCCATCATCGCGTCTACCCTGTACATTGCAGCATTCGAAAGAAACCAAGGTGGCTCCGTGTCTGTTCTCATATAGTGAAATGCCATTCGGGATAGGTAGTCTTCTTCTCCGAGCCATACGAGCACCATGTGCGCATTCGAATACACATTGCCCATAAGCTTGACTTGGTGGGCCTTCTCTGTCGGCTCTTTCTGGTTGATACAGAGCGCATCGATCCAAACCGTGAAAGATCTCCCTCTCCTTAACAGCACGTCAAACAAATCGGACAATGTTTTGCTTAGACTAAGGAACTGGCCTTCAGAGCAGGGTATTTGGCGTACTGGCTTTGTGTCTCCCCAGGTATACGAAATGGCGGTATAATGGTGAGACCTAGTATTTAGAGCGATGTTTTCGAAAGTGCAGAAAGGCTGCCTGTGGTTGACTGAGCTATCGACATGTAAGATGCGGATGAAGTCGCCCCGCGGCAAGGGCTCGTGCCGGTATTGAGGATAATCCATCTGCGAGTGGGAGGAGTGCATGCCGGTGGACCCCCAACGTCGTCCTTGAAGGATCTGAGGGGAGGGAAAGAGGGGGAGGAGGGCAGTCTACGACTTATGACAGAGGAGGGCAGCTACGACTCATGACAAGGCTACAATGCCTCCCACCTCGCATACCAAGACAGCCTCAACCAGCTCGGTACCCAATCAGCGTCCAGCATAGCCGCTGTCTCGGCGGAAGCGAGTCCAGCCTGGTCGAGCATATCGACCGCAGTAGCTGGCTTCTTCATTATGCTTCCAATGGGTCTCATATGGCCAATAGTGTAGCAAAGAAACATGAGAAAGGGTGTATGATTATCTAACCGGTTCTGTAGTTTAGAGTTCTCTCAGGTGGTGATCTGCACTAACTTGATGCGGAATGGCGGGGATCGAACGATTATGACGTCGACTAGGGCTGAGCCTCCCTCTGCTGGACCCTGATGTCAACTACCACTCACACGCACCATCCTTCTGCCTCCGCCTCTAAAATGATCGTCGTTCCCTGCATTGGCATTGCTGCCTGCGCTGCCTCAATTGTTCATGTCTGTAATGCCTCGCTCCCCTCCGTGATATTGGAGCCCGATCATGGCTAGCACTACCGCGACGACCGCAGCGCCCGATCCACCATCCTCGACGAGCACTACTCAGCCCCCGGACGCAACCGAGCCCCGGACAGTGACTGAAGACGTATCAAGCTCCCCGCCCACCTCCATACGGCCCAGTCTCTCGTGGAAGTCGTTCCGCTCGTCTATCACACTGTCAGAGAAAGCTTCATCCCATCTCGGCTGGGCAATAGCATTTCTCAGCGTATTATTCACCATCGTAGCGCTCTCACCCGCATTTAAGTCACAGGATACGTCGGAGAAATCGTTGAGATTGGCCGAATGGACGGCATTGAAGGACTATATTGAAGAGTGTAGGGAAGAGCTCGCGGCGGGAATACAGAGTCAGGCATGTCTGCGAGCTATGAAGGCGAAGCTACCACCGCCTCCATACGTGAAACCGGGGATACTTGATAGGATGAGGAGGGGCTTGTTGCAAGAACACTACGGGAAGCACAATGGAACAAGCAGAGGCATGCAGGTCAAACAAGAAGAACTGCATATTCCGAGGGTCGTTCAGGGGATTGTTTTCCTTGGAATCCTCTTGACAGCTTGCGTATTCCTCTTCCTCAGCTTCGAAAGCACCCGGTCCCGCATTCGGCGTCAATCGCACCCGCTAGATGCTTATGGACAAGTGGAGAAGCTAGTACACGAAGGCGAGATCGCAACAACTACCATTTGTCAGCCTCCTAGTCCCGCCGAAGGCTCTTTACGTCGTCGCGCCGTCCGCACACACCCAATATACCAACGTTCTAGTCTTGGGTCGGCTATACATCATGAAGACATGGCTGAGATCAGAATGCGCCTTCGGAACGGAGAAGACGTAAACCAACATTGGTCTTATCTTATATACAAATTGGCAATCACGCCTTCCACAGCGGTGACGGGGAAACAGCTCGAGATTGCGCAACTCTTTCTGGATTTCGGCGCCGACGTAAATGCACTCAAGGGCTGGAACGGGCAATCGGCCCTCATGATCGCGATCCACTTCGGCAACTTGGACGTCGCGAAACTGCTCATCGCCAATGGAGCGACGGTGTGGTATTCACCTCCACTGATTGCCTCGGAGAAACACCACTACACAAACTTCTCATCGATGCATGGTTTCAAAGGCACGACGCCGCTTGCATGAAGAAGCTCTTTCCGATCGCTCTATGTCTCATCCAACATGGCGCTCATATGCCGGTGACAATTAAGGAGAAGTATGTCATTGGAAACCCGCTTTGGGGTGTTGTGTATATGGCCATCTGAGAGATCGAATGGCCGGAGGATGTCGGCCCTGACAGGCGTATGCAGAGAGTCGGTAGATTTTTCGTCGCGGAGGAGGAGGCTGGAGCAATGACGGAGGATGACGCGGAGAATACACGGCATGGAGGCCGTGGAGAGATGATGGAGGTTAGCAGAGATGCTAGGGGCAGGATAACGGTTGAGTGGCCTTCAGCAGTTGCAGAGACTGCTCTTCTTTCGCAATGAGTTTACTTTTCTCTTCGTGTTTGAGATATGTATTAGTACTTTTGTAAATCTATGTATTCAATTTTCCGACCTGAACATGTACGAATCTGGAAGGCAGTCTTCTTGCCTATAAAATTGCCGTGATGCGCAATGCAAGGACTAGAAGCCGGATTGCCGATGGCACAGTAGGTCTCATGACCACTTTCCACAAGCCAACCCGAGCAATACGAATGCTGCGGGGGTAAGCTCTTACAAGGCTGAACCGAGTCCTGGTGAACGCCTTACGGACCTCAACTCGCATCAAGGTGTTCTTGGTGGGGTATCAGGACAACCACTTTTCATTCTTTATCTCTCTTTACAGACCCACACCTCTCCTAGCTTCTTACAACTTACCGGATACCAGAGGAATAGCGAAGTCATTGCAACGATTGCGCAACGGCAATTCGTGTATATCAAATCAGAGCAGAATGCCAATTTCGACCAGAACATCTACCACGCTTCTTGATCCGGCAGCACAGCCCGATAACTCCGGTAATGCTCAACAAGATGTACTCCCAGGCTATGAGAACACGCCCGACTACTCTGCAGAGACCTACCACCAACCCCTCGTGACATACCACCTCCGCGCAACCAAGACCAACACATCACACCTCGTGCCCTTCGAACCCACAGCCAGCAAGTCCCATCCATCGTATGAGATCCGCTACCGTTCCAGCACCGCCTTGCCTATCTTCAACCGCAAAGGCGACATCTCCGTCTCGCGGACATGGCTTTCTAGCGAAGCCTCATCCACCACGGTGATAGCCCGCGCAGACTTCCACGACAAAGGGCCGCTGCCGTACTGTCCGCGAGCCCGCTTCACGCTCGACAGCCCCGTCGAAGGCAATCCCGCCACTACCATCGAGATGTCCTCCCCGAACTGGAAAAATTGGAAGTTTTCTTATGAAGCTGCGTCCTATGTATGGACGCTCCGCGACATCCCCGCGTGCATCGAGCTCTCGTCCGCGGATTCCTACTCGGACACGGCACCGCCGGTCATCGCGCGCTTTACGTACGGCAAGGTGGGGACGAAGGTGCTGGCGGGTGGGGAGGTTGGGCAGCTGGAGGTCTGGAGGGATGCGTTGACGGAGAGTACTGTGGGGAGGGAGGTTGTGGTGTTGGGGTGTTTGGTTGTAGTGAAGTACTTTGTGGGGCTGGGGAGGCGGTATAGGAATGATGGGAGTGGGGGGAGTGGTGCAGGGGCGTTGATTAATCCGAAGGGGGATGAGCGCGCGAGGAAGAGGGGGATGGGGATGTTCTGAGTGGATGAAGATGAGAGGAGCGAGTCTTGGTAATTGATGAGTGTACTGTGTATTGCCATGGATAATGACCCGATAGAGCTAGAGATATCTTCGGTTTGGCAGGTGTCGGCCACTCTGCGCGGTGACTTAGCATCTAAATCAGGGGTACCACATACATCGTCAAAGGAGCATGCGATGTGGTGAAAATGGACGAAATGCGAGTGACTTGACGACGCGGGCTATTTAAAGCTCCGAGGCAGTGACGCCTAGACGACAAGGATGGCGGTTGCGGAAATCTAGACGGGCATTCACCCCGTGCTTGGCCCCCACCAAATGCTGGTTGACCCGTACACCTCGACACGCGACGTCTGATCCTCCATTATCTTGGGATATCTTCTTTCGTCCTCAAAAACATCTCGGCTCGCAGCGCACGCCGACTCTTCCGAATCGCATCCTCTCCGTTCCGCTAGCGGTGCGGCGCGTCGTCTGTTTCGAGATCGCCAAGCCGCCCGGGGCCGTTGCCTTCAGCTACGAGGCTGTGGACGGCGAAGCAGCCAGCTGTCAAGAATCCATCGCCCTCCTTCTTCCCTCCCTCCGTCGCCGTCGCCCTCTCTATGCATCATGAAATACCTTAAGGGCATACTGCTGCCCGCCCTCCTGGCGCTCGCGCCCTTTGCCACGGCGAGAGACGAACCCACCGTCGATGTCCAAAAGTTCGACGGCGAGCTCGTCAACATCTTCTATTTCGACGATTCCGAAACCGCCCTCCTCGCCGAAGTACCCACCAGCAAGGTTTACCGCTCCACAGATGCCGGGAAGTCGTGGGACGCCGTGAAAGATCTACGGACTGTTGGCATCATCAAGAACCCGTTTGACAACCAGGTCGCCGTGGTTCTAGGCGAGACGAAACACTGGATCACATACAATCAGGGCGAGGACTGGACGGAGTTCCACACCCAGTTCGGGCCCTCGCTATTCGGGCAGCCGTTGAGCTTTAATGCAAAGGACAGCAAGAAGGTGCTCTATCATGAAATCGAAGACTGCTTTACTGCGCCATGTCTCGGGAGGGTCAGTTTGGACATTCGCGAGTATTGGGACCGTATAGCTGACAGTGCTAACAGACGTACTACACCGAAGACGGCTTCAAGTCGAAACCGAAGGTCTTGCGCGAGGACCGGAAAATGTGCATGTGGGCGAAGAGCTCCGAGCGCTTCCTCATGGACGAGAGCAAGCACGACGATCGCATACTGTGTATAACGCAAGGCAAATACTCGGATCGCTCCAAGGACTTCAGGCTGCTCATAACTGACAAGTGAGTGCTTTGGCTCTTGGATGCGCTCGCTCGCTAACAGGGGCAGCTACTACAAGGATGAACATGAACCTGTCATGTCCTCCGGTCGCACGGTCCAAGGCATGGCGAACATGGCGGCCGTGAAAGGCTATTTTGTCGTCGCTGCGAAATCTGACCGCTCGAACGAGCTATCGCTCTACGTAACCGACGATACCGAGACCTGGCATCATGCTGAATTTGGCGAGGGCAAGATAGAAGAGGATGCTTATACCATACTCGAGTCCACCAACTACAGCATCCAGGTTGATGTCATGACGTCCAAGTTTGCTCTGATGGGTTCGCTCTATACGAGCAATTCTAACGGGACCTACTTCACCAAGAACGTGGATCACACCAACCGCAATGATCAGGGGTTCGTGGATTTCGAGAAGATATCAAATATTCGAGGCATTGTCATGGTCAATGTGGTCGACAATTACAAGGAGGCCGAGAGTCCATATGCCAAGAAGAAGCTCAAGTCGCGAATCAGCTTCGATGATGGACGGTCATTCGAGCCGCTCAAGGCCAAAGGCGAAGACAAGGAGCTGCACTTACATTCGGTCACCAACCTTCACAACAGCGGACGCGTCTTCTCTAGCCCTGCGCCCGGTATCGTTATGGGAGTGGGGAATACTGGCGAGTTTCTGGGGAAATACTCCGATGGTGACCTATGGGTCTCCGATGACGCCGGGCTTACTTGGGAGCTTGCGCTACAAGAGGCGCACAAGTACGAGTTCGGCGACCAAGGAGCGGTTCTTGTGGCCGTATACGATGAGGGTGACACCGAGACCATCAAGTATTCACTCAAACATGGTCGAAAGGACACCTGGAAGGAGATAAAGCTTGACTACAAGATCCGTGCCCGCGAATTGACGACTGTCCCAGACTCCACCAGCCTCAAATTTATCCTCTATGGGTCCAGAAGCAAAGATGGTGGTGGCAGGGAGCACGTCATTCTTCACCTGGACTTCTCTGGGTTGCACGAGCGCAAATGCGAAGAGAAGGATTTCGTCAAATGGCCTGTGCGAGCAGATGAGAGCGGACCCATGTGTGTTATGGGTCACAAGCAATTCTTCCGCCGCCGCAAGTGGGATGCTGATTGCTTCGTGGAGGAGGACTTCAAGGATCCTATGCCAGAATTCGAACCTTGCGAATGCGATGAGGTCAGAGACTACGAATGCGACTACAACTTCACACCAGACTGGGAGGATAACGTCAAAAACTGTGTACCCTCGGGCGCCATAGAACTCCCTGAAGACGCCTGCAAGGGTGACGCCAAGACGTACATGGGCAGTTCTGGCTGGAGGAAGATCCCGGGCAACAAATGTAAAGGCGAGACCAAAAAGGACAAGAAGGTCGAACGCAAGTGCGACGAAGCATCGACACCACCATCATCTAACCAGATCACCAAGGAAATAACGAACTTCAAAGGCACCAAATTCCGGGAATATTACTATCTCGAGCGTCCGACGCAGGATGACGAACGTTCGAGGGACAAGGACGAGACTGTTGTTATGCTAACCAGTGAGCGTGAAGCATACATTACGCATGATCATGGCAAGCACTGGAAGAAAGCGGTCGACGACGAGATTGTGGCCATCTACCCACATCAGTACAACAACGACTATGTCTACTTCCTTACCGCGTCGAAAAAGGTCTATTACTCCATGGATCGAGGGTTGAGGGACAGCACCCACTCATTCGATGCACCGCAGCCGCCGAACGCACAGTTGCTGCAATATTTGCAATTCCATCCTGACCACTCCGACTGGATTATCTGGATTGGCGGCGAGCACTGTGAGAGAGTCAGCGATCGCGAATGCCACACTATCGCCTCCATCTCTCAAAAGAACGGCGTAGAAGGGAGCTGGGAGTCTCTGTTGCCGTACGTAAAGAAATGCGCATTCGTGTGGCGCGAGGCAGGCCGACACGTCGATGAAAAGGAGGTCTTCTGCGAGCAGTACACGAACGAGGAAATGGGCGCTCCAGTCGAACTAATCTCCAGCGAAGACTGGTTCAAGACCAAAGACGTCAAGTTCAAGTCGGTCGTTGAGTTTGCTACCATGTCCGAATTCATCATCGTAGCAACCAAGGGCGACGATGGAAACTCTCTCAAACTGCATGCCAGTCTTGATGCCAAAACTTTCGCCGAGGCCAAATTCCCACCGAAATTCCCGGTCGACCACCAAACGGCTTACACCGTGCTGGACAGCTCCACGCACTCGGTCTTCCTTCATGTAACGGTCAACGCCCGGGAGGGTCAGGAGTACGGCTCCATCATCAAGAGTAACAGCAATGGTACCTCTTACGTGATGAGCCTCAACGCGGTCAACCGGAACACGGACGGCTACGTCGACTTTGAAAAGATGCAGGGCATTGAGGGTGTTGCGCTTGCTAACGTAGTGGCGAACGTGGAAGAGGTCGATAAAGGCGCTAAAAAGCAGAAGCAAACCCGGATCACGCACAACGACGGCGCGGACTGGGGCCCTCTCCAAGCTCCCGCGAAAGACTCGGAGGGTAATCGTTATTCCTGCGACGTGTCGAACAAGAACGAGTGCTCGCTGCATCTCCATGGTTATACCGAGCGTGCGGATCCACGTGAGACGTTCTCTTCTCCTACCGCCGTGGGCATCATGATGGGTGTCGGAAATGTTGGCAAACAGCTCACCACCATTGGCGAAGCGAGCACTTTCATCACCACTGACGCAGGCCTCAGCTGGACGGAGATCAAGAAGGGCACCTACGCATGGGAATTCGGTGACCAAGGCTCCGTCATCGTAATTGTCCGACGTGGCGAAGATACCGATCATCTGTACTATTCTCTGGATACCGGTGAGACGTGGAAGCTCTACAAGTTCTCTCCCCACGCTATCAGGGTTGACGCCATCACAACCGTCCCTAGCGACACTTCACTAAACTTCCTCCTCTGGGGCAAGGATGGCAGGGAGCTGGTGGCCATCAACGTTGACTTTTCGGGCCTGGACGAATTCTCAAAGAAGTGCGAATTGGATGAGAACAACCCGACCGCAGGCGACTATGACGTATGGCGTCCACAACACCCAATGCAGAACGACCAGCCTGAGTGTCTTTTCGGTCATGTCGCTGAGTACCACCGCAAGAAGCGCGGTGTCAAATGCTACAACGGCCAGCGAATCGATCATCTGCACAACATCGCCCGAAATTGCACCTGCACCAGGCGGGATTTTGAATGGTAAGTCTCTATATCTGTATCATAGCGTTGTGCCATGTGCTGACTAGTTGCAGTGACTATAACTTCGAGCGACTACCCGGCGGCGAATGCAAGAAGATCCCGGGTCTTGGCCTACCTGAGCCAGACGCGGTCTGCAAGCAAGGCGCGTCAGAGTATTGGGACATCACAGGTTACCGCAAGATTCCCATCTCGACGTGCCATGGGGGGCAGGAGATGGATCATACGAGCGCGGTGCACGCATGCCCGGGACACGAAAAGGAGTTTGAGCGCAAGCACGGCATCTCTGGCTTTGGCATCTTCCTGGCGGTTGTCATACCGTTCATCGCAGCTGGCGGCATCGGGTACTACGTCTGGCGCAACTGGGACGGCAAATTTGGTCGCATCAGATTGGGCGATAGCGCTACCCGGTTTGACAGCGGGAGTCCCTGGATCAGTTGGCCGGTTGCGGCGATCTCGGCTGTGGTGGCTGTGGTGGCGGCAGTTCCCATGCTAATAGGCAGTCTGTGGAGAACGGTGTCGAACAGGTTTGGTGGGTATGGCGGACGCACGTACACGAGCCGCAGTTCCTTCGCTAGGGGCAGAGGAGACTATGCGGTTGTGGATCCGGATGAAGGGGAGCTGTTGGGTGAGGACAGTGACGAGGAAGTGTAAGCTATGTACGATGCTCCCGTTTTGGGGTACGGAGGAGGGACAATTTTTAGATAGAGGCATGGTGCATTGGGGAGTTCTTTCTCTCGCTTGTTCTTTGGGAGGATGCATAGCGTCACGCAAGCAGAGGAGATCGGATCTTGGATGTCCGGTTCCCTTTGCACTTGGATTTGTAGATTGCAACTGGTCCTTGTACATTCATTGTATCAAATTTATCTTGTGTCGATCACATGGGATTTTCTTTGTTTCTGTGATGTTTTTTTGCGTGAGGCGAGGGGTTTCATTGGTGCAGAGGCCGTAATTGTGATGTTGCGCGAGGAAAGGGGGGTTTTAGCCTATTATTGGCCAGCGAGTGCGTTAATGAGAGGGTTGTTCGCGGGCAGCGCGAAACGGCAGGCAAATAGATTGCGACAAACCTTCATCTGTTTCTTTATGCGGCGCCGTATGGTTGCATCTGTTGGTGACGGGGTCTGATATCAGTGGCTGGCTGCGCCCGCGTTTCTCATGCCTGTGGGTCTCTCTCCCTTTGTCGGACTTGCCTTGCTGTGGGGGAGGTTTCGAGAAACGACGTCGGCAGGTGCGATGGATGGCTGACGGTGACAGCGAAGCATGGGGGATCGACTCTATTTTCTACACACGGTTCGATGTTGATGACGAAGATGCTAAATTGCGATCCTCCATCATGCCGCCGCAGACTTCCCAGATTGTCCGTACGATGACTGCATTGTCCGCGGCCTCGCCCAAAGCGTTCGTCCAAGTGCACCAGCCACAGCCAAAGTCCGGTGTACGCCGCAAGAAATTAATCTCTGCAAGTCCTTAATCATGAGTCCGAAACGGCGGCCTAAGATTAGCCTCACGTGAGGGAGCTGGTCGAGATCGTTTGGTTTCGCAGAACGATGGGGAGGTTTGACGGCGAGGCCAAAACAAGTGCAGCGGCAGCGAATCAGAGCGCGCGCGTAGGGAGGACAGGGCGCGCCGAGCGGGGCACAGGCGTGCGTCGTTGGCCGGCGTGGGTTTGGTTTCGCGCGCATGAATTTTGCTGGCGCAGCGAAGCCCCTGGAGGGTGCGTGTGCGTTCGCTGCTGGCTCCATTTGAGTGCGTCTTTCATGCACGCGGAGGTGCGGCGAGCAGAGGGCAGCGATGCCGGATGCGGACTGGCCCTGGTGCAGGCCGCTGTTTCAGCCGGGCGCGCTAGCCTATCAGAGCGGCGGTGCCGGAGCAGCGGGCCCTGACATGCGGCTCTCCTTGCCCTACGCGGAGCCTGTCGTCACCGCCGCGACTTTCCACTCTGACGGCAGGCCATCTGCAGCACGAAAAAAACCTTCCAACTTAGAGGCCTCAACAGCGCCATGCTGCCGGCCGCAACTGTCCCACGCGCCCGGAGCAGCTGCAATCGGTGCCTCCGGCGGCGAGCACAATCTGCGCGGCTTCCAATGGCGCGTCGCCGCCGTGCCGCGTCCACCTCTGCGGCAGGCCATCTCTCGGCGCGCGGACTCAGCTCGAGAATTGGGCATGGTGCGCAGCGGGAGGCTGCCGGCCGCCAAGCCGTTTCAAATGCAGACGACTCTTCGCTGAGCTTGGTGGTTGTGCACTCGCCGCCGTTCTTACGAGTACATGAGCCACTCCTTCCCCGTGCGCGCCTTCGCTTTGCTCACGCACACGCACACATCCCTGTGCCTCTGGATACCCTCCTTCCTTCCTTCCCTCTTTCTGTAACCAGCCTCCGTCCTTCCTTTCCTCGGACTCATCCATCCATTCATTTAGAGTCCTCGCCCGACTACACATTCGTTCATCAACTCGAGTCCTTTCTCCTCCCCTCGAAGCCTTCGATTCTATTCTGCCGGCCGCATCTTTACTACTACCTCTTCTCTCCGCTCCTTGTTTGCCGTGCTGGCACGTCTTGGCCTAACGCGCAATTGCCTCAGCTTTCGCCTCGCCTGAAGTGCTTGCGCGTTGATGTGAGTCTTGGTGTTCCATATCGATCCCTCCGGCATTGTGTGCCCACTCTACGGCAGTGGGCTGCGTCGTCAACCCTACACAACGCCTTTGTTGCACGTCTCCTGTCGTTTTGTTTTCACTACCTCGTTCTCTTCACGTTCCCTGTCGCCGTTTCCTTATAAGGCAGTCGCCTGTCCCTTCCGTTTGCTCATACCATCGCTTCATCGTCACCCCCGGGCCCAGGCAGACATTGACTGTTCGCAGCGCTAGTCGACTTCTCTTTTCTTCGTGACCTACAAGACGGCCACACGCACCTTTCTACTACCTTCTCGACGTCGCTCCTGCGGATCCGGAATCACCTTTCTGTTGTCTAATCCAACATGAGGACTACCTTCGCCTTCACTGCCTTCTTGGCTTCATGCTCCGCTGTTCTCGCTGTGGACGATGGCTTTATTGGCTTGAACAAGAATGCCACCTGCAAACAGGACCCCGCCAACGCCAAGGAGATGATTATCATGCTCGACTCGGAAAAGTACGAGAACGCTGAGGCTCTCCTTCAGAAAGTGGGCATGCAGCTGGACGATGATAAATCCTTCAAAGAGTTGAAAAACGAAGCCTACACCGCCATCATCCTCCAGACTTCGCAGAGCTGCGTAGAGGCATTGAATGGCTTAGCCGAGGTGGCTTATGTCGAAGAGAAGACGACCGTCCAGTCCTTCGTCACCCAAAAGACGGGCGCGCCGTGGGGTCTGCAGCGCATCTCGAACGATGCCGGCGCATCTGGTGATGCCCAGGGCCAGGATTTCACCTACTCCTACGAGGACGAGTCTCTCGGTGCCGGTGTGGACATTTACGTGGTCGACACTGGCGTGCGTACGTCGCATGCCGTGTTTACAGGACGCGCCACGGAAGGCTTTTCGTTCACGACAACTGCTGCCGACGGTGATGGCCATGGAACTCACGTTGCCGGTACTGCCGCAGGTGCAAAGTTCGGCGTTGCTCAAGGCGCCAACGTCATTGCTGTTAAGGTCCTCGGCGACGACGGTTCAGGTTCTTCCTCGGATACCATCTCCGGAATGGACTGGGTCATCAATAACCACAACAAGCGCAAGTCCCAGTCGGGCTTTGTCGGTTCTATCATGAGCATGTCTTGGGGTCTCCAAGGAACCGCCCAGTCCGTTGACGATGCCATCCAAGGTGCTGTCGACGTCGGCATTCACGTTTCGGTCGCGGCCGGTAACGATGGTGCCGATGCTTGCTCGACCACCCCAGCACATCTCGGTGGTTCCAATTCCGCTGTCGTCACTGTCGGCTCCGTCAACATCCAGAACGAAGTCTCTTCCTTCTCGAACATTGGCGAGTGCGTCGACATCTACGCGCCCGGCGAGGAGATCCTCAGCTCCTGGAACACGGGCGACAACGTCATTAACTACCTCTCCGGCACCTCGATGGCTACCCCACATAACTCCGGCGTCATGGCCTACCTCATGGCTCAGGACCCCACAAACCTCGGTCAGAACCCGGCTGCGCTGAAGAAGAAGCTGCTCGAGACTGCTCGCCAGAACGATGTCACCGGGAGCCTTGGAGGAAGTGCGAACTTGCTCCTCAGCAACGGTGTCGATGGCAACGTCGCTGTGACCAAGCGCCTGGTGAAGAACTACGTTGTCCCCGAAAAGGGGGAGAAGCGCACCGTGACCGGCAGCCCTGCTTCCTGGGCGAAGAACCTCGTCAACAACCTCGGTCAACGGTGGGAGCTCCACGCCGAGGATGCGGCGCTCCGATTCTAAGAAGACCGCATAGTAGCGCAGGATCGATTGATACCCCTCATCAGCTGGATTATTGGAAAATATTCGTTTTATGTTTTCATATTCCCTGCTCAATGCGGGAATCTAGTACGCCTAATATCGCAAGTCCAGCATCTTCAGCATGGCGTGGCATCTTTTCATGGCAATAGTACTTTTCTACTCCTCTGTCGATGTGCGCCCCATATGTGGAGGAAGTGAGGGAGGAACCTAATTTTCGCTGTCAATACTTTTACGGATTGCATTGACATGCATTGGTAGGAGGAGGCATTTTGAGCTGCATAGGAGTACGTGCGTGTCGCATACTGTGCAGACCGCATAAACCAGGCCCTTGTCGTTATTGACAGGCTGTAATACAAATCAACAAATCACAAACACTGAAGATCTCAATTTGAAATCAGAGCCCAATGAACACCAGATAGCCGAATGCCTTTTGCTCCTACCGTTACCCGATGATCTTAGGCGGTGTCGTATAGCGATCGGCTCAGCTTTCTTCCCCCGTACCGTAGTACCTGCATCGCTCTATTCTCTAGAGACATGCACCAGCCCTCAACAGACGTCAATCTGTCGCCCCGCCCACAACATGGCGCATCGCGTGAGAGGCCCCACTGCAGTCTGGTTCTCGAACACTTACTGCGCGGCTGCGACGCGTGTTCTCGCGTTGCAGGATTTTGCAAGCGTGAATGGAGTTCGGCCGGAGCGCCGGGGCTTAACTAATCTCCGATCCATGGATGCTGGAGGATGATCATACGGAGTGGTTTTTATGGTCGGACCGGACTGAGGAAGGAGGGCTTGGTGATTGAGCTACAGTATGATGGGATGATATCTAATCCGAGGATGTGTGTGCATCACGTGGGGAGAGTTGCGGTCTTAGACGGCTTAGCGCGAAGATCCCGATGGTTCGTCTCAGCTCAACCGCAGCCATCAAAGACCCGTCGACATCAGTTTGTGCAAGTCTTACTACTCCTTACCTGGAGGTACCATCGTCATCGAGCCTGAGCCCCACATAATTCATCATAGGAGAATCCGGAGTCCAATGAACAAAAAAGTGCCCTGCGCAGCCAGTCGATCCTCAAAACACCGTCTGTCCTTCGGCGCAGAACGGCCTCGCCATCTCGAAGAACTAACGGGTGCTTAACCGTTAAAGCGCCGCCTTGTTCTTCCTTCTCTATACTTGTATCTATGTATCCGGAACCTTATCAATTGCGCATAAAACGCTATCATTTCTATTTTCTGCAAGTAGCGGCGCAGCCCCAGATGGAAGCGCCTCGCTCCAGGAACTAACTCTTTAGATCTTGTTCGTGGAAAGCGATGACAATGTTGCTAAGCCTTCGTACGCCGCCTTCAGACAAGATCAGAGGTAAATCAAGTTATGCCATGTTCATGCCTGGGCATATTCATTCGTCACGATCGCTCGCGATGCGGCACGGACATCGTCGACTTTTTGGTCGTCCATGAGAGGAAGAGAGTTTTTTGACGACGGGCCAAAGCGGATCCCATGCCCAACGGGCTTTAGGCTTTTAGTAGGTTCCTTTTTCCTCGGAGGGAGCTTGGGGAAGTGCAAGATGAAGAGTTGGAGACTGAGGGAGATTTTATATACCTCGATTCCAGCCGCATCTCCGCCCCACTTGAGCCCCTTTACTTCGTCGCATCGAAGCGTAAGCCCGCGATCTTTCGAGATCGCATGTAAAATCCCAAGGGTGGGGGTCTTCGCCTTTCCACTTTGCACTCTGCCGTTCGAGGCTAAAACTGCGTAGCCAGTGAGCTATGGGGCTCCCAGTAGCGGAGCCACTGCACGATCAAAATAGACGTCAGGATTCTTCCATGGAGAGAGAGGTTTAGTCTGCTCCGTCCCCAGGAACATAATGATTCCCAAGCTAGATTTGGACCCGCGCATAGCGCAAACACATCTTGCTTCCGGCCCCCGAAGGCCACACATTCCTGCAATGCTTGAAGAGCTTTAGAGTGAGGAATTGTCTTTGGGAGACTCAGTGGAGTGGGAAAGAGAAAGAATGCGGCTTGGGAGGTTTATATATGTGAGATTCAGCCTGCCTTTCTTCTAACGGTGGTGGCACTTTATGGCATCTCGCCCCACATGGCTTCTCGTACTAGCCAACTAGCTATAAAACTCTCTGCTCCGGCAAGCTTTCTCCTTCGCGTTGTACTCCTTGCCGCTCCTACTAAAACGTACAACGAGGTCATTCATGGAGACTTCGGTTGTTGCGCCGTTTCTGCGACTAAAAAGCACGCAAAACGGTGACATGTTGCGGGGCTCGGTTCTGGGGGCTGAGCCATTAAAACGCCGTGGGATACCTTAACATGGACTGTGGGTTTCGAGGCGAAGCGACGAAACGGTGCTTGGTGAGGAGAGGACGTCGGAGTGATGAATAGCATTACTTATCCTCGCCGATGGCGGCGTGTCCAAGGCGTCTAGATATCTGGCTTATCGATGCGGACACCTTGCCACTGGGCGTTTGCACCAGACTGCCAGAGCTATTGCGTCCAGCGCGGCCTTCTGCTTCCGAGGTGCCTACACTCCTCAAACCTACCAGGGGATTCGAGGGATTACTCCTCCTACCCCAAGGATAGGCTTCAGAGGCCGTCCCGAGTCCACGAGACCTGTCACTGGTCCCTTTTAGAGCTGGAGAAAGACATATCCTTTCTCCGAAAAACATTTTAGAGACAACGGCGCCCCCTACCTTTCGAGAAGTGTGCAGAAACGGAATCGCGAGCGATCGTAGGTTTTATAAAGCGAGGGGCAGAGAAGCCAAGCACTTCTTCACGCAATTCATGCCCGCTAGCAAAAGCGGTGCTAATTGCTATCATCAATTCTTCCCCCCGGCGCCGCCCTCACATCCACCAACCTCAGCACAACAAACCTGGACAACGGCCACCGTGACTGCCCTCAACGTACGAATCGTTAACACATCGACGGTCAGCATGTACACCTCCGCGAATCAAACCTGACCCCGCCCCGAAGTACGGCTCCGTCCCTACTGTTCCTCTTTACTAAGTCTCCAGCAGACGCTCCAGGGATCATGCATTGACTGTGAAAGCGTTCCATGTCTCGTACCTCAAAATCTTGTAACTTGAGACAGGTCAACACACATCGCTGGTATTGAAGCATCTTTTAGTCCTTCCTTTCGAAAGAGAGGTGCACTTGTGTGAAGAGTAGAGTTCCGACCCTACGAAGCATCCTTTTATACGCCTCCCTCGTCTCATCTGTTTCACCATATATACTCCGTCATAGCACTGTCTCATAACGCAAGCTTGAGCTCGTCCCTCTTCAGCCCTAAGCGGAGTATATATAACCCTTCCTGACGCCACCTCACTTCGCTACTCGCACTTCCTCTGCTCGTTGCAAGGCACTAAAAGTCCACCACCAAATTCCTTATGGGAAGTTCGGAGCGTCCGGCTTTTCTAAAAAGATGAAGATGCTTATGTCATGGTTTCTGTGCCCATAGGATCAAGGCCATCTCCAGTACGGTATACAGTGAAGCAAGGCATTCACTTCTTCCCTTTCCGAGGAACCCAAGGACACCGCGGCAGACATGATCGGCTTCTGATCACGATTTTAGGTCCACGCTCCAGTGGCATCCCTATTTTAGCCGGAAGCAGCAAGTCCGACATCGGCTCCGTGGTTTAGCTTTTAGTCCCAACGAGCCGTACTCCGCTGTGTAGGTAAAGAGAAGAAAAGAGAAGAGTCGTCCCCCGGCGAGATCGTCCTTTTATACCAACCGCCATCCCGTTTTACGCATTGCGAGCCGCGGTCATGAATTACCCCCCGCGTACAATCCCTATCGCAAACCTAGCCTGGAATAGTATATAACTCTCTCTCAAACTGCCCTTCGTTCCTCTCTTCACGCTTCCTAAAATACCATATGGTGGCACTAAAAATTACGAGAGTGAGATCGCATGGAGATACCGATGGATCTCCAGAGTCCGAAAGAAGTATGAGCAACAATATGACTCCTTGATGGTGTAAAGCTCTCTAGCAGCTGAGACGGTGGAAGATATTGTCTGTGGCTCCCAGTCGCGACTACTGACCTAGAGAAGCATGCACTGTCTCGGGGGAAATAGTGACGACCATCTCCATACAGTATTGCATGCCGCAACTACACTGGCATCAGCCTTGCTCTTCTTTCGCACTTACGCATGCGGAGCCAGGTCGTTGTGTAGTCTAGTCATTGCCAGTGGAGAGTCATTGCCAGTAGGGAGTCACCATACGCACCATGAAGTCCCTCCGCCCCAAGCAAAACCACCCTATAAATACCAGCCCCAGTAATCCGCAAAGCCCGCTCCCACAATCCTCCAACAACAAAATTCCATATACATACAACTCAGCAAGCACTGCATCCTCGCCTCGAAGCCGCCCAAACACCGTCTCCAAGAAAAAGCTACAGCACACAGCAAAATGGCCACCATCACTCCTATCGAGCTGCTCAACTACCTGGGTTATTGGTGGATCTGCTGTAGATGCGAGTTAACGTCCCCGCATTCCCCTGCCTGTTCTCCACCCTGATACTTTACTTTCTCTTCCTTGCACACACACACACACACACACATATA